TAAGAACCCTACAGCAGCACCCGCCTAGTACCTGACAACCGAGCCCCGGACAAAGTACGTTCGCATCCAGCCCTTACCTTTGATCTCGACAGAACCCCTCGGCTGGAATTCATAGTCGCCCCGCAGCCGCTGGTACACCTCCTCGGTCACCTGGATTTCGTTTTCCTTGCCCGTCGACTCCATCCGCGACGCAACGTTGACGGTGTCGCCCCACACATCGAAGGTGAACTGCCCGTGGTTCGTTGCGTTGGCGAGCACGCAGACAGTCCGCCGGAGCGAGCACCCAGTTCGTCGGAAGACACCCGGCCAAGTCGACCAGCGAGAGAGAGAAAACCAGAAAGGGTCAGACCAGCATCCTCCGGCCCAAAGTTTGCCTGCGCTTGCACAGCCGGCCATGATCGCATAGCAAATATGACTACCAAGAGGGGGAGGCGTCAATACGAGCCTATCAAATGAAAGAGATTGCAAAGGCAGCGTGAAAATGGCACCGGCCTTCTCTCCGTCCACAGCCCGCCCCACGAGCCCAGCGCCGATGGCACCATGGGCACTTACAGTTCGGGTTCCAATGACACCAGACACAGCAGGGCCCGCTGAGCCACAAATCAACCACAGCAGCGGCACCGTGGACGATTGATGTTTATCCGACGGCCGATTATCCGAGCGGAAATGAGTCAGCAAGGCAGAGGTGGCTCTTTGCCATGGAGTTCTGGCAGTGGGCAACCGGGCCACTGGGCGACCACCACAGAGCAAGCACGCACGGCACCATGGACGGTACTTGTTCAGCCAGCATCCACTGGCTGCCAACAGCTCGCCTTCCAACAGCGTCCGCCCTCGATACCCACCGTGGATTCCCGTCCGCAGGAGAAACTTTTGATTCGTCCGCTTGTTGAAGTCGCGAATCACTTTCTTCAGGGTCAGAGCAAAGTCGATCATCTGTTGACGTGGTAGTGCGGGTGGTCTCCCTGGTTCTCGGCCATGGCCATGTACTTGGATCCTGTGTGCGTCCACACCGTCGAATGGATGCGTCAAGGCGGTGTCTTTGTCCATGACCCAAGGGATCGCTCGGATGCTCCCATGCTCTCCGACGGCCATTGCCATTGCTATTGCTATTGCTATTGCCGCCCCTCATGCAATTACCAATCGTCTTGATCTTTTCGATTCCAAAGGAGGCACAGCACTCGTCAATGTCGCAGATGATGGCATTCAGGAGCCAGATCGTGTGCTTTTGCGAAGCTTGCTCGAACGGCAGGAAGTTCGTGATGCCCGTGAACAGGATCGACACGTCCTCTCGGTCGTCGGCAATGTGTGTAAAGGGATTCTCCTTCAGTCTCAGGATCACCGAGAGCGGAAGAATGTTGAGCAGCAGTTTCTCGGCGCTCTGTTGGGCCTGCTTCATGTATGTATACAGGTCCTCGTTCTGTGCATGGGTAAAGGATGTCAGAGCTCCACGAGCGCTGCGCTGGCAGATGCATGCTCTGCAGTTCTTCCTCTCACTCGAGGGCGCATCCACAGGATCTAAAAGTATCGCAAGCACGCACCTGTGTCTTGAGGTAAAAGTTGGTCCGGGCAAGCATGTCCACCTTGCGGTTGGTGAAATACAGGAGGGTAACCGCGACCGCCAGGATAGGCACTATCGTTTGAGCCGTGTAGATATCCAGCAGTGGCGACTTGTCGACCAGCAGTGGGATCGAAAAGATCACAGCGCACACAAGGATCGAAACGCTAAAGAGAAACATCTTCATGCCCACGTAGATGGTGTGCATCATCAGAACAATGACCACGCATGTGATGCACTGGATGCGGGCGCTCGGGTGTGTGATCGCAATCACCAGGTTGCCCACAAACGAAAACCAGATCGTCGTCAGGGCGAATAAATTAGGCAAACATGACCGCGACGATTCCTTGCTCTTCCGTTTGGGCTGGCGAGGCTTTTGGCTCAAGGGGAGCACCGTCCGGTGCATGTGCTGGAAGAACTCAATCCACTCGTCGTACTTGGTCTCTATCGCATCGCCGAGTCTGCGCCATATCTTCGAGTGGTAAAACCCGATGATCACAGCAAGCAAGACGAGCCCACCGAGCCCCTCAAGGATCAGCAAGAGGTACTCCGAGGGAACCAGAAGGACATGGGACGTAAACAAGATGATATAGACGACAAAGGTGACGCCTGCAGTGATGAACAGCGCTGCCATGTGGTTCTTCATGTAGTGCCTGCAGTAGTCTCGCTCCTGTGATTGATCAAGGAAGAACCCTGCCCAAATATCGAGTCCCCACACTTAGAGTCAGCCCCAACCAGACTTTGCCACAGAGCAACCAACTGATGACCGAGGAGGCGACACTTACCGGTCCACCGCCCGATGCTGCACTGGAAAGATCGCAGTGAGTCGTTGAGGCTCTCTTTGAAGATATGGACACCAGGAATCCGCTGCGGCGATCTCTGCGACGATCGTTGCGATGGTCGCTGGCGGTTGCGAGCAAGGTCCTTGGGCTCGGTGAAGAGCTGTCTGTTCGCGAGCGGTGGATGTGAAGGCTCGCGGCTGAAGCTGAGAATCTCTATGTCGCTGTCTTCGCCCTTCAAGTCCCCACTGGGTGGGGTGTGGAGCTCATTGCCATCGTCGGTCGAGTCACTCGGCAGCTGTTCCGGTTCGGTCCACCGAGTCGCCGTCTCATGAGTCTCGGTCGGCCCACACGTATAGAGCCGAATGTGTGTCGAGCGAATTCTGCACAAGTCCTTGAAGGAAATGGAGTCGGTGGGGATATTGAAGGTATTGATTTCCCTGCCAAAGGCATCGAGTCGTATATCCGGCTCAAAGGAGACCATTCCCTTGTTTCGCAGCAACTTCTCGGTGCTCTGAGAGACGTGGGGTATATCAGGGGTCCCCTTCTGCTCCATCAGCGAGGCGATCTCGACGTCCTGAGACCAAATATCTAGACAAACCGCCTATTAGCCGCTGCAACTCACAAATGCAACAGCACAGCAATTCAAGACACAAGCCAGTGCATCATCCAAGCCCTCTTGGACCTGCACAGTAATGTCCGCAAGCCACTGCGCTTGCAGGAACTCGAACATCTCGATTCTGGCTCGATCGCGACTGCAGCCTTCATTACGCATCCATGCAATCTGCTGCTCCGTATGGTGTTTAGATGCACATCCGCGCAAGCACACCTACCGTATTTGAACTTCCACAGTCCCACCACGCCCGCCAAGATGGAGCCGGTATGGATTCCGACGCGAAGGCGGAGGTTGCGGCGGATGTTTTGCGAAATCTTTCGGATCGAATGAATCATCAGCAGAGCAACGATGCAGACCTTCTCGGCTTCGTTGGCGATCTGCGTTTCCGACTGGAGCTGCTCAGGGACACCGCCAGCGATCTCGATGCAGTCTCCGATTGTCTTGATCTGGAGATGTGCGAGATCGTTCCGTAAGCAAGAGTCCGTATCGATCCAATGCGCACCACTAGTACTGCTACCAGCGACACCAACACCATCACCAGCAGCAGAGGGTGAGCTTCTTAATCATTCGTCGTGGTCGTCCGTCGAGTACCTTCTCCAGCCCAAAATCCGTGACAATGTTGTCAAACTCTGAAAAAATGTCGCTGAGAACCCCGACGAGATCATATGCCGGTATCTGTGACGAGAACTCGGTGAATCTAGCCAACGGCGAGAGTGAGCAACCAAGCTCGATACAAGACACGACCAGCTGAGAGCACATCCGGGCAGCGCGGCACTCACCCCACAATATCGGCAAACAGGATCGTGACGCCGTGGAGCTCCAGAAATGTGTCCTGGATCATGTTGAGCGAGTCTGGGGACATGTAAAAGTCGTTCTCCCTCATGAGCTGGGCAATCTTGGCCGGCAGAATCATCCCAAGCATCAAGTGGCTCTGGTTGCGGGCCTCCATAATGTTCTCCTGATGCTTGCAGATGATCCGGTGCTTGATGAAGGCCCTTCGAATGTATACCTCGGTCATATAGATCCGCACAAAGCCCACAAAGTTGACGGACAGATAGAGCAGGATCTCGATGTAAAGCGAGTTCATCATTGAGCCAGACTGGTTTCCAGGGGTGGCTTGCATCAGCGATACGATTGTGAGGGCAATATGAGCAGCGGTCAAAGTCAAACCCGTCGCGGTGACAGTTCCGTAGTGGGACGATGCGGAGAGATAGATCATTGCGATTGTGCCGACTTCCGACAGGGCGATGATCGATCCCCTGGACACCTGTCGATACGCGCAGCGTTGAAGCAGCAGGGATTGTGGTCCGATTTAATGGTCGTTGGAGTTGCGACGCAGTACGGGATTCTTGGAGAGCGATCCGACCAAGATGGCAAAGCATAAGCGTAGCCGCGAACAAAGCTGCCTGAACGTTCCACTTACTGGGGTACTGGAGGGAAAGAGCCCCAGCGCAAACACCGTGGTGGTCAGGTTTTCGAGTCCAAAGAGAACAATCCAAAAGATCCTCACTGGAAAATCGAGAGACTCCCAGGACGGACGGTGGCAGAGTATCCCCATCGCGATCGACGTCAGCAAGTACAGATATCCAAGCGTGTGCTTGTAAATAGTCGAGGCGTCGATGCTCTTGGCTGATAGCAGATCAAGCAGAATAATTGTAAACACATAGAAGGACAGAATCCAGAGCTTGATCTGCAAAGTGTTGGTGCCTTGAACCTGGTAGAGGTACATTCTATACATGCGCTCGGTAGGCGGATCAAACTGCAGGCTCGGACCAGTCTCTGGCAGCTCCTGCACAAGTCGCAACACCCGGATCGTGTCAGTAGCGTCAGTGATGTTGGAGTTCAATAGCATCATAAGCGCCAGGGATGTCATGGCAGGGATGCCAGGTCTCGGTATGGCAAGTGCAGGCACAGCCAACGGAGCCAACAGATCCAATTGAGCCAACGGAGTCAACGGAACGATAATCACACGAACTGCGCCGGTGCATTCGCGGGCGCATGCAGTAGCACAGCTGCCCGCCCGGTCGAGACGCCTGCAGCAGCAACACCATCAGCAGCATCCACTTGCCTTGATCGGATGAAGAATCGAGTCCCAGAAGCTTGTTGGGGACAGCGGAATGATAAAGTCCATGACGGAGGACCCACGCCGCTTGATGCCATTGAAGGACGTGCCTTCGTTGTAGAGCTTCTGTCGCTGGATCACCCGGCGCTGGATATTCCAGATTTGCGACGTGTCGACCATCGATGGCTCGGACTCTTCGCTGCGTGAGGGCTCTTGTGTACTCTGCTGATGCGAGCCCAGCCGAGACTGGGGCACCGACACCGACAGAAACTCAGAGGCCAGTCCGGCGCCCATGAACGACATAACCGAGTCTTTTGAGTTGAGGAGACGGGTGGGGTCGGCGGGAAGACCGCTGTGGGTTTTGGCCAGCTTGAGGACACTGGAGCTTCTGTCTGTCGGCGCGCGCGAGTGCGTCTCGGTCCCACTTCCAGGAAATTGCCACGAGCTGACAATGTACTCGACGGGAACGTATGCTGAGAGCGGTATCTCGGACGTGCCCTTTTCAGAGACAGTATAGGCGATGCCGTAGCCCCAGATCTTGTTTTGGCGACAGCTGGTGTTGAGGCGTGAGGATGAGGGCGAGTCTTGGTCGCTGTTGCCGAGCCAGTTCTGCCGCTCGTGCATAAACTGTGCAATGCGCTCGTCGTTGCGTTGGTCCGTAGGCCTGTCTTCCCCGCGGCTGCACGATGGCTCAGTCGAGTTTGGAGGTGCGAGAGCGTTGGGCGGAATCAGAATGACCTCGTGATTGCTCGGGGGTCTGGCGCTGCCGCTCTGGGCTGCCCGGTTGAAGAGCGCTTTGGTGCCTCCAACCAGGGGGATCAAGGGAGTGCCAAGGGGAGATTCATCCCCATCGTTCTCGAGAGGCAAGACGATATCGATCAGAGGCCGATGTTGCCGCTCGGGGTCGGGTTCGCTGGCGCTCGCCCCAAGTCTAAAGTTCCCGCGGCGTGACGACTCCCGAGTCAATGAATAATGCCTAACCAGCGGAGGCGTGCCGTCGGCTCGCTGGTGGTAGCGCGGCATGCTCGAGTTGCTCTCGTAGTCCCACGAGTTTCGATGAGATTGCTGCTGCAGGCCACTCGGGAGCTTGGGCTTTGGAAGCCACCCGGGCGAGAATGAGATCAGTCCCGAGAGCTGGCTGCCTGTGATCGAGAATGGTCGCGACTTGATGCTCTGGGAACCGTTGTCATGGTCAGGACTCGGCCGCATCTTGGGGTCGTGCATGGCCTTGCCAAGACTGGCCTTGCGCTTGATGCTCGCATTGTGGTAGGGCGGCGGGAGCGGCAACTGCTGCGAGCTTTTGTGGGAGAGAGCCTCCATGGCAAGCAACAGTTTCGGGGGATGCGGGATTCGCGAGGTGGGTGCTAGTAGCGATGGGTCTTCCTCTCGACCAGTCGGCCCGCCGAAGGGCACGTATGCATCTGGAGGATGCATATTATCTCTGTCGGGTGAAACCGGCCTGCGGGAGCTGTCGAGGATTGACTCATCCGATCGATCGAGGGGGTGTTGGAACCAGACGACGCTAAAGGCTCTGTAGCTATCCTGTCGTTCCCACGATCCGTTTCCTTCTGGATCGAGGACGGGCTTGAGGCCATGACGATGAAACTCATGGAGCAACAGAGGCCCGTATTGCCAAATGATCGCTGTGGAATTGACTAATGACGCGGCGGCAGCAAGTGCAGTGTACGATGGATGGGTGGATGGGCAAGCGCTGAGCAGGCAAGTGTCGTCAACATCCTCGAAGGTGAGTCGAGCCCTTTTGGATGGCTTTTCCAGCGACTGGGACTATGAATCAAGGGCATTACACACTTACTGACACTGCCCAGGCCCGGTGCGGGCAAAGAGAGGAAAGGCGGACGGACTCAATTTGACGTTGTCGATCAAAGCCGATTGGACTGATCGGGTGAACCCAAGCCTCACTAGGTCCGCCGTGCTCACTGCCAACCTCGGAAGCGCGGGCGGGCTTGCGTTAGGGGAAGGGCGGATCTCGATTGTCCTCGGCTGCCACTGTGATCCGGTGAGAGTATAACGACGACCCATCGGTCGCTGTAGCTTGGGCAGCCCATACAAGAAGATAGGGGGCACCCTGTCTGCTTCCGCATGCATCACACGTATCTGTGCCAGCGGTGCCCTTGATCACTTGATGAACATGTGTGCACTCACGATCCAGAAAATGGCCATCCGCCTCGAAAACGAGGAGTCTCGTTGCGGTCTGTGAACGCTCTGTCGCCACAAAATGGGAACCAGGGGCATCTGACTCGAGAGGAGGCTTGATCGACACAAGGAGGAGCAGCATAGGTGCTGGTACATTCAGTCCGGCCAATAAACCATTGGCTCTGAATTAATCCGCCAGCCTCGTTTGCCAACCAAATGCGAGCCTCCTCAAACCAAAGGAGCCGGAGGTTTACCATTGTGTCAGAGTGACGCAAATTTCGATCCGGACGAGTCGCTGGATGGTAAATGTTGGTGGACTCGTTCCCCTGAGTGGATCAGCAATGGCTGACCATGAGAGCCCATTCCTTTTTTGCTTGTTCACCGCCCTTCCCTCAAGTCTCTTGACCTGGGCAGGGATTATTGATACAGCGTTTCCAAAATGAAAGCGGGCACCCTGTTCTGAGCCAGGACAGTTGTTGTTTTCTGGAACCTGAATACATCGACCCACTCATTGCAACAATGGCCAAGCAAGTATGTCCAAGGAGACCGAAGTGTGATTGCCTTTGAAAGTGCCTCGTGGAAACAGGGGAAGCGATATGCATCCAGCCCACGGAGACTCAGGTTCGCCAAGTACTTTGAGCTATTCATCCGCCACCAGAGACGTCAAGCTGTGCTCGGTGAACGAGTTCAACACATCCCAGGTGTGCTCAGTGCCGGGAAGCCAAGCGACTCGAGAAGGCCGAGTATCTTGATATCGATACACCATGGAACTGTCTAGAGGGTCGAGTGAATGCACTCCACTCCCACATCGACACAGGGATCGATCGAGTATATTCAAGACCATGCTTCCCAAACCAACGAAACCAAGAGACTGCCAACCAGGACGGGAAACCATCCCACGGCTTGCTCACTGGGGCCTACGACTGTCCCGTCTCTTTCTGGACCGACTGTAGTCACAGAACCGTGGTCATCACGTTCAACGAGCCAGATATCAAATCACCCTGCACTCATTTCGCAGTTAGATTTCTCAGGACTATGTTTTCTGGTGACCTTTGTTCCTTGTTTGACCAAGTCTCTGAGGGTCGATGAAGGCTCTGGGTCAAGATGTGGGGATGGAATGGAATGATAGTATCCAGCATTTCAGATGTTGAGGTCGAACCATCAAGCAGGCAGTGGAAATGAGCTCACAGGCCAAGTGAGCTCACAGAGCACATGAGCTGGTAATCCATCCGGGAAGGCAGTGAGCCAGTGTATGTCGTCGACGACTGACGAACCAGTTCAAAATACAGCCAGACACAAATGTCCACCAGCAAACCGAGTGGATGTCGAAGGAATAAACTCACGGCCCATCCCCGGAAAGGCTTTCCATCCGTGGGACACAAACGGAGTGGACAGAATGCTCGCGAGTATCCGGCAGCTGCTGCTTGGGGACCGTCTGAGTCATACCATAGGAGAATGAGAGCTGTGTGAGTGGTCCAAGCTTGAATCAATGTTGAGCGGTTCGATGACCAGGGCGATTGAGCCTTGACCATTGCCTTGGCCACAATGACATCCGTCGCAATTCCCATCGCTTCGCCCCAGCAGCGTCGAACCGGGCGATGCATCGTGTCCGGCTTACCGAGCGTCGCTCAGATCAACCAAATCAAAATTGAGTCGATAGGTCCCCTCGACTCGAATGAACAATGCTCCAAACACAAAGTAGATCCCAGCTTCGGTGCCATTGACACCTTTGGCGAAGATGCTTGGCGAAATCAGGGCACCAAAGAGTGAGTGCTGAGCATATGGCAGCAATCTGCTCATATACAACTCGCTGTCGGCCCAGCCCGGAGAGAGATGTTGATTTGGGGACTCTGTGGTGCCAAAAACCGTTCGGTGGCCACTGCTCAACGCTTTCTTGGGATCGGGCTCATGCAAATGAGCCACCAAGGCCATCGACGATCCAGGCGGCGATTCTACATCGCCTTGCTTGACGCCGTTGTATGGCGCAATGGTGTCGGCTCGATTGGCAATATCTATGTGCTGGATGTGAGTCGAGTTGGCCAAGGCGATCGCCGGGTTGGGATTGTCCGGCACTGATGAAGGTGGTCGGAATGTTCGGAGTGGTCCGAACGGTACTGGAACAGCCTCTTTGAGTCGTGAGGGTGGAACAACAAAGCTCCTGTCTTCCTGGCCGTCGGCAGAAACGAGGCGAGCACGAACAACAAAGTTCGAGGCTTCGGTCATAAGCGCGGAACTGGACAAACCGGCGAATTGCATCAACATCAGCATCGGCGCTTGGAGGGATCAATGAGAAAGTGTGCCAAGCGACACGCAATCTTGATTCAAGCGAACCAGCGATCAATGCGACATTCGCTCATGGGAATGCAAATGCCAGCGGTGTCATGACACTTGCTCTGAAACTAAGCTTCCGTCGTGCTCCTGCCGGAGGAGCTGCAGGACAGGAACAGGATCGATCGGACGTCCGTGACGCCGTGAGCCAAACCCCGAGCGACGAACCCTCGTGGGCTGATCGACGATCGTCAAGATATATACGGGATCACTCAGCTGCCGGCGAAAGTTGTGATTCAGTCAATGAAGGTTATCTCGTGAGAGTGGCGAGCACGAAGGCCGATGCAATATTGCTGACAACAGCACGAGGCGACTACACGAACAATATCCCCGAGCCATCGAACAGACAGCCCACCCGAGCAGACAAACTGGATGAGCAGCCACACCGCGCCCCAAGTCGTCTGCGTTGTCTGATACCCACCATTTCGCGATGTGTGTATGGCGCTGTGGATTGCAAATGGTGGGGATGCGGCTTTCCCCGAGGCGATTGATCCATATCGTGATGAGCACGAAAGTCCCAGGGCAATCAGCACGAATGTGTCTAGCGGATGCTTTGGGTGTGCAAATATGGCACCCAGCTCGATACAGGACCTGTCGGATAAACTTGGACTTGGATCACAACCAGGTGAATTGGCGGGCAACCACCGATCCGGGCAACAAACAGCATTGTTGCGTTGGCTATTGGTTGTGTACTTGGCCAGCGTCGGGCCCCTGCCAGACACACTTACTCATGTTGCAAGAACGGTGGGCTGTGGGCTGGATGCTCTGTTTCCAACACAAGTAACTGTTGTGGTGATCAAAGTTGATGATTGTTTGGCCAGACCTTCCCATGCCAATATGACTCAGCATTTTACCCGGGCCAGTGGATTGAGAGTAAATAGTGAGGACAGCGGAGCAACCCCGCAATGATCCTCCGCCAGCTTCCCACCCCCTCATCGGCCAGTTCGGCATGGCCTCAGCCGCCAAGCCCAGGTTGCCAGATGAAGGACTCAAGCTCTGACGAATATGTCTCGTGCTTGGTGGCAACTCCTTTCATCATCGGATACAAAACTGGCGGTGGATCGCCTTTCGATCGCCCGATTGCGATCCTCAACGAGCACCACCTCCGTCGCTATGCATCTCAAAATCATTCGTGTCCGTGTCCGCTAGTCACTCTCAACTAGCTCTCGTTCTGACACAAGCATGTACTACGTCATGGGACAGAAGCACCAAACCTGTGGTCGATGTAACTCCCATCATGATCGGCCGCATGGCAAGAGCGGCGAGGAGCTTGACCTTGAAGAGTCGCTCCGGGAGAACTACATCGAGGCATTTGATATGATCCGCACATCCACCGCCCCCACAACACACGATCCCGTCGAACTCCAAACAGCCTACAACACCATCGTGAACAGCGAGCTGATTCCATGGCTCACGGCAAGAACCATCCTGTCGTCCGCCTCGTCCGGAGTCACTGCGGGCCATTATGTTCCCTCACGCCGGTCCTCCTCAATAATATCTGTGGCGAGCTTGAGCACTTGCCCAAGCACCTACCTTTCAACGATTCCTGATGATGAAGATCACAGCGTTGATCCCGCATGCTTTCTTTCGAGGACGAGAGTCTCTCTGATCGCAACCAGAGATTGCTCCTGATCAAGCTTTCCAGATCGCGAATGGGAACACTTCTGGCAAAGGTGATAGAGATGACAAACAAGCTGTGGGGAGCCTTCGCCAAGGCCATCTCAAAGATAAAGGGCTCTATAGGTCAAGCATTCGCTCAAGAGTAACCTCGAACTAGGTGGGCATCTTAGGAGCATATGTGAAGACGGCGGGGTGCGGTCTAGCCATGGTGTATTCTCGCTGACATTGTGCTCACACAACCCATTTTGATGCAGAAGGCTATCCAGGACAAGAGGTTGATTCCACCTGGACAATATTGGCAGCCTTTTCCAGTGGACATCCCAATAGATGTAAGATACATACATTGATACCACAATACACATGATTGCCATCACCTCGATGCCGAGTTGGTCAGGCTACAACCAAGTCGTGCCGGAAAACAGCGCAGGCCAGAGCGAAAAATGGTCCAGATGCTCTCTTGTGCCTGGTCGGTGCCAGAAGTTTGTCTCCCAGCGATACGAATGAGTGAAGGTAAAACCTCGCTGGCGGACTCATGCTCTCCTTTGAACCAATGATATTCGGGTCAGTTCCAAACCAGGATCTGCTCCGTTCGCATTCGTAGTTTTGGTGGCGCCAGGAGGGGAAGCAGAAGGAGACTTGGAAGATGCAAGTCTCATGTCGAAGAACTGGATGATTCATAATCGCCGTGTGTGGGCACAAAGTGGGATGAAGGAGAAATGGATGTGATTGAGCCGTCGGATGTGGGGGATGGAGTTGAGTGTGAAAGAATGTATGTTGGAATATACTCCATTCTTTTCGACAGCAGCATCAAGCCCTCACTCATCCTGAGTTACACCACAGCTACTGCTGAAAGGGAAACGATGAGAGGGATAGAGAGATCACCAAGAATGAACCGGCAGCCCACGGACTGTGCTTTCTTGGTGGCAAGGTGACTCCTCAGGGCGTCAATCCTCCCAAATCCCTTCTGACAGGCAGGGCACACCCACGGAGTCTCTGTCGCATGCACGCAGCGACAGTGTCGACGGAGCTCTTGTCTCCGACCAAAGCTCCTTGAGCAGTGAGGACATGCGAACAACTTCCGTTCATGCGGCTTGGTGTTCGATCCAGCTGAGAATGGAGCTAGTGGGTGCGGGCATGTTACCAACAGCGATGAACATGCTTGCGACTCGTGAGGGTGGCTCCTCGAGTCATTCACATGTAATGTTGGTGCACTGGAAGCAGCCATGACCGGCCATCGTTGGCCTGGAGGCACCCAGGATTTTGCGATGGGCTCATCATCAGGTTTGTTGAGGAGATATTGGATTTTCATAGCCCGGTTGAAGGAAATGTGTCAGATGTAACTGGTGGCGAAACTGGATCAATTGCCCATGTGTTAGATCAACGCATGCACTCCGGCACATATCAGCCACGATCGCAAGCTTACCGAGATTTTTGGCAACACCGTCGTGGCAAGGGTCTTTGATGCGGCCTCGCCGAGAAGCGAGCTGGGACAATGATTTGTACGATGGACGTAACGATCCGTAGTCGTGCTGTCCACCAGTGATGAAGGCCGCTGAGGCAAAGTCTTTGGATACCCGACTTTTGTATGCCGTCCGCCTTGGTCCCGTTGACCCAGACATCTCGGCAGCCGGACAAATTGGTTGACCGGAGTGCACAGAGGCAGTGTTCAGTCTGCATAGTCCGCACGAAAGCGTGGACACAGCGGAATACGGGCTGGCGGAGGGGGGCATGATGCGGGTGATTGAAATTAGTCACTAGGTATGGGTGCTGGCCAGAATTCAAGCGATGAAGATGGAGAAGAGTCCGAGGAGATTTGGGCACGATAGGAGAAGCCTGCCTGATCGAAGATATTATCTCGAAGCCATCGTCGAGATGACCAGATGAAAGATGTTCGTCGTGAAGCAGCCCTCCTCCCGGATGGTAATCGAGATGCTGGTCGGCCTCCATTGGGTTTGCTGGCCTCCAATAGTCAACCAAGCTACACCCCCGCCCTCGACAATCGCGGTCCCTGTCACCACTTGCCAGCTTCCCTCTCCGCTTGGCACCAGCAAAACTCTGGCGGCTGTTTGCATGTGCGATGACGTGAGCCAATCCGCAGCGATGATTTTGTAGCCCCGGGTCAATGGATGAGTCATGATAGCTCAACCGCTGGTCTGAGGATTCCGACTGGGACGAGCAGATCGAACTGTGATTCCAACCGCGAACCCGAGAGGCCTCCGTTACCCGGTGCTTACCATAGCTTTGTTGCTCATCAGGAGTTGTGTAAAGTGAGTGACGGGATTGTTTCATTGCCCGAGGCGAACGATGAATATCGAGAAAGACCCAAAAGGTCCACAGCGATCGGCAGGGCGTGAACGAGAGGATGCTTAGAAAATGGGCGTTCCATACCCGCCGATCAATTACGATCCGGGGTTCGTCAGCGAGCGAACTCGATTTTGGATCACAACCAAGTCCGATGGCGGGCACTTTTGATCCGGCCAACAAGCAACACTGTTTGTTTCTGTCCTTGGAAAGGCCGCGCTTGGTTTCGTCAGTCGATAGTGATGTTGATTCGTGCTGGTCAAGGATGCTGGCGGGCTGGTTGGCGGGCTGGTTGGCGGGCTGGCGGGTGGGCTGGTCAACTGGCTGGTCGGCGGGCTGGGTGCACCCTTTCCAACCTTCAAGCGGCTGACCTGACAGCCCGGTCGACTCTCTGGTCAGTTCCACTCGATGTCACCGTGACTCAGAAACTGGCCCGGTCCATCGAGTCCCAGGCAGTTGTTGAGTATGATCGGCCGAAGACCGGTCGAAGGCCAAGCCCTGCTCCACTGCCTCTGCCACTTTTGCCGATTCGATCGAGACGGCGCCATGTCTGAGCACGATCCGCATTGTTGGGGACGCATCAGCATGGCCTCTCACCAATCTCGATGGCATCGGAACTCAAGTGAAGTCTCCAACGCCGGAACAACGATATCCTCGCACCCACGATAAAGCCTGCCCCTGAACCGATCCAGAATCTCCATTGCCGCCGTGAGCGCTCACCTAACCAACATGCGCAACATCCCTAAAACCATCCATCTTCGAATACCGTCTCCAATTCACCCATGTCCCTGCACCAGTCTACCCCTGGTCACAAATGCACAAAACAAGCTGGCGGGAACGGCAGCTTGACCTACGAGGAGACCATCGAGGAATACAGCATCGAAAAATCACTCCAAGTCAACTTCGTGAGGGCAGTCGACCTGATCCGCACATCAACCGCTCCCACCATGCTCGATACTATAGATCTTCAAACTGTATACAATACCATTGTGAACAGTGAGCTGATCCCAGGACTCACTCCGCCAAGTGCCTCGCCTATTACATCTCAGATACCGCTGCCCTCGAATGGATCTGCTGTCAATCTGAGCATCGTCACAACCACCTCTTGTCTGTCCTCTGCTGTCGACCGAGGAAGCCACGGCACAAACCTCCACTCACTGTCGTTCCAAGACGAGACTCCACGCGATCATGATCGCCGATGGTTTATGATCAGGCTCTCACGATCGTTTTTCGGCTCGCTCTTGGTGAGGGCAACCGAGAAGTTGGCTGGGATGGCGAAGCATTGCAAAGGTACAGTGTGGTGCTGTAAACTTTGCAACCTTGGGCGAAGAACTACAGCTCATAGGAAGAAATGGGACACCGAAGTCTTGAATCATTGTTGTTGTTGTTTTTGAGTGATTTGTCAAAGGGAAACTATTGAATCGTCACCGCCGTTGTTGCCGCCAGCCATCGGTGGCGACTTCGGCTTGGGAAGCACGGTATTGAATACAAGATTGATCTTCGTGAGCGACGATCGACTTGCACAATGTGCCATCGATGGGAGGTGCCCTTGGACCCACTGATGATGAAAGCCCCCCTGCGTGGGGGGGGGAGTATTTCTATAACGCACCTTTATTTGTGTACGCCTGCCCTCAGCATCACTGATACTCGGCAAAGTGTCGTTCTGGAAGGTGGCTATACGCCTCCTCCCCTGGGCTATCTGGAAGGCGGCTACATGCCTCCTCCCCTGTGCTATCCTCTATGGGTAGGTGCTGCCCACCCAGCCAGGTCTTTTGTCAGCTTCATGAAGATTTGTGAGATCGTACCCCACAGAGCATCTACATCTGTGTCAGTTCTCACGAAGCGCACCATCCTCTCACTTCTGTCGTATCCAACATGGCTGAGGAGGTCGAGGATCTTGTCTATCGGTCCCACGCTGTCGTGGGTCGGTTCCTCCCACTCTGGGTGTCGGGCATTGTACTCTTGGACCACCTCGTGGAGGCTTCCGTTTGGGTCCGCACATTCCTGAGCATGCGTTCTGTCGAGGATCACCGGGTCATTTGGGTCTGTCGTGCACTGCTTGCAGTGTCTCCTCCCGCCTTTCGGGTGGCCAGGGAAGCTTCCGAGTCTCCATCGGGCCGCGGTGCAGTGTAGCCATTGGTCCAGTTTGGATTTCTTGGCAGCCCACAGGCCCGACATGGTCGTCAGAGGCGAGCAGGCCGCCGTCAGCTCCTTCTTCCGGTCGAAACTGCGGGCGTCTTCGAGGTGCATCGCCATTTTCAGAGGTGGGCCAGGTTCTTCAACCATTCCTTCTGCAAAGAGCCACCCCATTGTTCCCAGGGGTGCCGGGTCTTGACTTGCTCGAGGCGCTTCCAGTAGTCGTCTTCGTAGATGGCTGCTCCCAGGAATATGGACTTGCGCTCTGGGTCCGCGCGGGTGAATCGGAGCACCAGCGAAACCATCTTGTCGTCCTGGTCTTTCCGGTCCTCCCAGATAGCCCGGTATTGAATCGCCAGCTGTTTGAGGCGGCCCGACATTGATATGAGCCCGCAGTTGATGTGCATGGTTCCCCACGATGTGTTTCGGACCACTTTGAACAGCGCCGTGAGGCAGTGCATCTGGGTTCGGTTGAGCGTCTTGGCCTGTTTGGCTTCGAGCAGATCGAGGGACAGGGCATACTCCATCGTCGGTCGGACAAAGGTCTTGTAGACCCGCACCAGCGATCTGGCGGTTATGTTGCCGAGGGTGTATCCTTGCTTTGCGATCCGTTGGGCCACTACTTGGGCTGTCGCCGTCATCCTCTGGATCTGTCGGTCCATCTGGAGGCCGTTGACGTCGAAGGTGGCTCCGAGGTACTTGAACTCCTTTGCCATGGGCAGCGGCTGGCCGTAGAGTCGGAGGCCGGTTGCTCGTTCAGGATTGCCCTCGGAGAAGATCACCTCGCATTTGGGCGGCGAGAACTTGTATCTGTTGTCGATACTGTGCTGTTCGCAGATGTCGAGCAATCTCTGTGCTTGCCTGGGCCTGCAGATCAGTGCGCCGTCGTCGGCAAACCACAGCGAGTTGATCTGGATGTTGATGCCGCGGGTGGTCGTCAGGGTCGTTCCTCCCTCTCTCCTCAAGAGTTTCGGGAGGTCGTCAACGAAGGCACTGAAGAGCAGAGGGCTCAGGACCGAGCCTTGGATCAGTCCCTTCTGCAGTTGGACTGGGTTCGGCAGTGTGCATCATCCATGTGTTGTTGTTCGTCCATCAAGGCAATGGTGTCGTCGACAGTCACTCACTCACTCATTCACCACTATCCAGATCAGTTGAGTCGGGCTGAGTACATCAGACAATCTCTACACCCCATCCGTGCCTGTTTCTCGATCGCCAATTCCATCTCTGTCCTCGCATCGGATCTGTGGGTCCCGATGATGAGATTGAGTGGCAGTTGTTGGATGGATGACGGCGCTGTAAGTCTCGGTGGGTGAGTTGCTGCCAAACCAACTGATATCCAACGCTGGCAGTAATGAATGGGTGCTGGATGTGTGGGAATGTTGATGACAAGCAGCGATTGACTGGCACTCGAACCATGGATCCAACCATGTTCCTGGTTTGATGACTGTGCCACTCTCGTTCCATTCCACCCATCTCGTCCCATTCCATCTCATCTCATCATCGTCTGAAAATCATCTGGACATCATCACAATCCACTCAATCCACACATCGTGCATCATGGCTGCCAGTGTCCATCATTCAACTGACATGGCTCACCTTGCCATCGACGAGCACATCCCAGATATCTTCACTATCATATGCTGCAACGACAGCTTCCAGCTTGCCCTCGACCTGAACACCATCAAGACCCTGCTCCGAGTGTGCAAACGAGTCCGTTCTCTCCTGAGCTCCAAGCTGCCTCGCTTCAACACCTGGTGCCAGAGTATGGAGCTCCTCAATCCAGATGGACAGATGCGGATCGGTCTCACACCAAGCGACCAGATTGCCATCTCGCTGCATTGCAAGAATCAAGCCACAGCCGACCGATCCTGGCTCGAAGATCAAGCCGATAAGGGCAATGCTGCCGCGTCGTATTTCATGGCAAGAATCCTGCAGGCTGAACTTGCTCGTCAGCGGTCAATGAATTGGAACAAGTGGAAAGCTATGCAACAAGAAATCTTCCACTATCTGAAGAATGCCGCCAAAACAAGTCACCCAATGGCACAGCTCCACCTGGCGGAATGTTATCGCAACGGACTCGGAGTCGACCAAGACCATACCAAAGCCGTCGATATGTTTCGCAGCTTTGCAGATGGCGGCGTTCCTCATGCTCAAATCGCCCTCGGTCGATGTTATGAGAATGGCGAAGGTGTCGATCAGGACTACGACGCAGCCATTGAGTGGTATTCCAAGGCTACCGATCAAGGCAGCGACGATGGCCGACTCCACACCGTATTCCTCCAGGCCTGGTTCTCGCTCATCGGCCACGGTGTCGACCAGAGCGACGCTGATGCCTTCAATCACTGGCAGCAAGTCAGCAACCTGTCCACCGATTCAGTAATCAAACCCATCGCCACCCACATGCTTGGCTGGATGCACTACCTCGGCCGGGGTACCCAGCTCGACAAGCAGGAAGGCGTCAAAATGATCCGAGATAACAGATCGGATGAGTTCCCACTCGGAGAGGATGAGTGTCTGGCACCGTACAGATGGCGTGTCTCATCCGACTCACCAACATCCCGCAAGTTCTTCCAGTTGTGTCAGCTGGAATCGAACCGTGACTGGCTGTGCAGGCATCTCATGGCCGTTTGCCTGTTCCATGGATTCGGAACCACCGAGAACCGGAAGAATGCAGCCGTCATCTTTGAACAACTCGCCAACGACGGCCACAGCGATAGCCAATATTGGATCGGATGGTGCTACTACCGTGGCGGAGGAGTATCGGGGAACTACAAGAAGGCATTCGAGTGGTTCAGCAAGTCGGTCGACCAAGGCAACTCATATGGGCAGTATATGGTTGGTTATTGTTACTACTATGGATACGGAGTCGCCAAGGACGAAACCAAGGCAGTCGAGTGGTTTCGCAAGTCGGCCGTGCAAGGAAATCGATACGGTCAAAATTATCTCGGCCACTGTTACCAGAATGGCGAAGGTGTTCCCGAGAATATCGACACCGCCATTTTCTGGTACCGCAAGTCCGCCGGCCAGAGGTGGCAAGATGCCATCAATCAACTCACGAAACTCGGCAAGTGGCCCTGATCATCGATTATCATTCCCAACTGCCACATAATCATCATCACCGAACCTGTAGTCCGAGGAGTCAACCAAACCCTGCAACCGCGCTGCCTTCACACATCCCGGACACCGTGATACCGAAGTGTGGATTTTCAAAGTGGTTCCGATAAAGCGGTAATGGCCAAGCGATGTTGTATTGACATTCAATACATCCGATAAATCCAATATACAAGAGTGCTGTCCCATGACAATCGCTGATGTTGATCGACCGAGAGAAACATCGAATGACTCGACAATGACAACTCGACATTCACAATCGATGCTCGTTCGGCAACCATAGATGGCGAGCACGATCCAGACCATCCCTCGCCACATGGCACAGGAGAAAGCAGGCAGCATGCCACCAGCCTTCCCGGCATCTAGGCTATCCTCCTTCGATCTGACTCCTGGTGATGCGCCTTGGGGTATGTGAATGGACCAGCCAAGTGCCGCCAGCGCAGTCGGAAGGTAGTCTCGTGGTGCCGTGTTGAGACGACTCGTTTCCTTCTGAAATCAGGGGCGAGGCAGATCAAATTACTGAGGGGCACTCAGGGACAGACTGCCCCGTTTGACTCCGAACAAGCTGTGACATGGCATTTTGGTTGGCATGTATTCAGTTCATTTTTCAAGGACTAAAGTATTTTAAGGCATCAATAGAGTAAGGTAATTCTACACCAGATTCCGCGCAGGGCCGGTATCGCCTGCGCAGACTATATCATAGAGTGTCCGAGTTGAAGTAAGGTGTATACTGTCATAGGGATATTGAAGGGGAGGGGAGGAGGTCTTGGGAATCAGACCTGAGGAGTTTCGGTCGCGAAGGAAGCAGGAGCGGTGGGGAAAGAGGCAGAGGCGGACGCAGTCGTAGAGGCAGGGGTGGAGGCGGTCGTAGAGGTGATCTTCGTGGCAGAGTCGGTGTTGCGACCGGGGTGTCCGCCACCGTTGTCGCTGGTGCTTGTCGAGGGCTGACCACCGCCGCCGTTGTTGCTGGGAGAGGGTGTAGTGAACACGGTAGTGGTGGTAGTGGTGGTGGTGGTGGTAGTGGACGAGCGGTGGGGGTGGTCGGCAGTGGTTGTGGTGACGGTAGAGGTCGAGGAGGCCTCGGTAGTGGCATCTGAGCTGGCCGATGTGCGGTGGCGATGGTCAGTAGTGGTGGTCGAGGCCTCAGTCAAAGTGGAAGTGGAGGGGGTGGTCGAGTCGGAAGGAACCTCGCTCCAGGTGCGGGTGCGAGAAGGGCGATGGTCGGTGGTGGTGGTCGAGGTCTCAGTCGAAGTGGAAGTGGAGGGGGTGGTTGAGTCGGAAGGAACCTCGCTCCAGGTGCGGGTGCGAGAAGGGCGATGGTCGGTGGTGGTGGCCGGGCCAGCGGAGGTGTCAGAAACAGCGCCAGAGGCAGAGGTGTGTGTGCTGGTGATGACATTGACGGAGGAGGACGAAGAGGGCACGACGACGGGCGAGGTGGTGTGGGCCTTGGAGCTGGAGGCAGAAGACTGGGTGGGAACAGGGCCAACAGTCACCGCAGAGGTGGGAACGACAGCTCCGGAACTCGCGGTAGTGGTGGAGGAGGCGCCGGAGGAGGGAATGACAGCAGTGGACTCAGAGGGGCCAGCCGAGGATGCGGAATGGGGAGCAGCAGAGCTAGCAGCAGTGAGGGTGTTGGCAGAGGCAGAGGCAGCGGAAGTCACAACAGGAGGCACTGAGGCGGTCACGGTGGAGGGCACCGCACTCGATCCATAGACAGGGGTAGAGAGTGGCACGGCGCTGGATCCGTAGACAGGGGTCGAAGTCGCGGTGGCAGGGGTGGTGGTCTTGCGGCATTTGCTCTTGGTGACGGCGGGGAACGAAGCAGTCAAGGTCGCAGTGGCCGTGGCCGAGATGGCCGAGCTGGCCGAGCTGGGAGTGACCGATGAGACGGCGACGCTGGAGCTGCCTGCTTGTTGGCAGATGGATGTGCGAGATGGATGTGCGAGATGGACGCGTGGGTGAGATATCGCAAACACTGGAACAACCTCGCCAGCATATCCACTGAAACAGACTTCCACAACGACATTCACTTCAGCAGCTACGGCAAAGTACACCACAAAGTCCCACCACCGAGCCCACCACCGAGCCCACCACGAACCATAGGGAGGAATGTAGGCAGCATTGACGGCGGTCGCGGCGAGAGCCGAGGCGAGCAGGACAAGGACCTTCATAGTGGTTCGACGACGGCGGGTTGGACTGCGGTGAAGAGGCCGGGGGAAGGCGAGGGCCGGCCTGCCGTGGTTTTATATCTCGGCCGCCATCACCGCCCCCGAAAACCGAGGCCGTGGGCGATGGAACTGAGCGGACCGTGGCCGCCTGTGCAGGGTGGCTCCAGGTCTGTGGATGCGCAGTGCCCAGCGGGCGTTGAGACCACGCTGTGTCCACTGTTTCACCTGTCTTTTCTGTTTGATCAGCGTTAATCCAGTCTACTCTGACTATCCCGACTATTCTGTCTCTTCTGCTTGATCAGTTGATCAGTTTAATCTGTCGATTCTGACTATTCTGTTTTAATCTGTCTGCCCTTCTCGACCATCCCCTGTCTGGCAGCAGCGCCTGGCCGCAAATGTCGCTTGTCTCGCCTGCCATCCAACCAAGTGTCGCCTTGCACAAGACCTCCCCTCGCGCACACGGCCCTTGGCCTCGCACGAGACGACTCCCCTTGCGTGACACATGCGCGACCCCCTCCTGCCCTGCCAGCACGGCCATGGCGCTTTGTGCATGCCCTCCCGCTCCTCCTCTGTCTCGGCCGCGGGTAGTATCTCCACCCACCCCCATTCAACATTGCACCATGCTCACCCCTTCGCCATGTTTGTCCTCGCACCATGCCCGGCCTTGCGCCATGTGCAATCTCGCACCATATGCAATCTCATGCCATCCCCTATCGCCTCTCGCCCTTGTCTCATGCCCCTGGCTCGGGTCCTGCCAGCCACCCCGCAACCTTGTCGGCTCTGTGTAATTCAGCCGCACCAGTCGCCCCTCGTTTTACATTCTTGGTCCTTTTTTTTCTTGCGTTCGGGAGGGGGTCTGCCTGTCGCGGATGTCTGTCTGCCGCTGACAATCCGTCCACGGATACCCTTCGGTCCTGGCCAGCCCGCAGCAGTCGTCAAGTCTGTTCGGTAGCACTCAGCCATGTGCCGTTTCTCAGCAGATCGACCGACACCGTTGCATGCACCACCTCTTTCGTCGCAATTTCTGGCATGAGCCCGCTCCGCCACCCAGCCAACTGCTGGCCAGCCTGTCCACGTGAGCGGCTCCAGACCGCTGAATCCGTCTCGGCTTCGGTGTCGTTCGGGCTGGCGCCAGGGCGGTGATGTTCCATCGCTGCCAGCACCGTCGTCGCCATCACCACGGTCTCCTCACCGCTATTGTCGGCCTCACCCGCCAGCAAACTCATGCGACCCGCAGGCGCCATGATCGCCAACGCCATGCTTGTTCCTCCCCGTCCGCTGAGCGCAATCGATCCGCTTCGGCCAGTCTCGGGAACGATTGGCACCAACGCCGTCCCGAACCCCACAACCCTCTCGCAACCATCTCAGCAACCCCAGCAACCGCAGTATAACCCTCGCCTGCTTGATGACTGGGAGGCCAGATCGCCGCTCTCCGAGACCCAGAAGCTCTCTATTCTCTTCCTCAAGGAGAGGGAGGTCGATATGCAGCTAGGTGTAAGGCTCGTTCCTGCCTTCTTCGGGTCGCATCCCAATCCCTGAATCTCCACTGCCTTGGTGAACCTGTCTCTGAATATCGCTGCACCGCTGATCCGACAATACTCTTGTCCATCCTCGCCCAGTCGATCGATTCCAAGATCAGCAGCGACGATGGCAGGCCCAAAGCAGCCCTATCCAAGGAAACCAGCGCTTCGTCGCTCTCAACCACTGCGACCGATGTCGACCTCCTCTCTCCCAAGCCAGCCTTTGGCGGAGACCAGCCCCCGGGGCTTTCCGATGCCGCAGATATCCGCGAAGCAGTGGGCCAATCGCTGCTTTCCGAGCCCATCGAGAATACCCGCCAGTTCCTCGCATGGTTTTCGCGGATCGAAGAGGAGATGGAGAAGGAGCAGGAGGACATTTACAGGTAGCCCGCTTGGCCACGCCATGTTCACCTTGGATGTTTGTTGCCCCAGTTTGCCGATCATTGAGCTGCTCGCTCAATCTCAGTGTTCTTGTGAGCACGAATGTCGTCCCGGAGGCTCCTTAGCTCAGCCCTGGTCCTTGCATTGTCATGACGTGCTGCCTCCTCGCATTCATTTCCATCACTGTGCGTCATGGAACTCATCGAGGCATTCACACATCTGCGAAAGGCTTGCGGAGACTTGACGACCGTCCATCGACACGCTCTAACTGCCTGGTACACTTTCTCTTCATTGTTTCACCGCCCATTCGCCCTCGGCCGTAACCCTGGTCGCCTTGCAAACCGCCAGACTGCATCTCGACTCGATCCACGAATACCAGCGCAGCTGCAGCGACTTTCTCGTCAATATCGATGCAACAAAGCAGGAGCTCGCTGTTCTCGCCAAAAACTATCGCTTTGTCGAGGACAGGACAAAGGCCCTCCAACTTGCCTGTGAGACACTGCTGGACGAGCAGGTGAGCCGATCCCCCTGCCATCGCCTACAGCGTACCAGAAGCCATCCCTGGACCTGTGCCCACGCCTCGTGGCCTCTGGTTGCGGTTCTGACTCTTACCACCGTCGCGGCTGCCCACCTCTCAAGAACCATCTCGTCGAGATTGTCCGCGAAATCAGCGAGCGTCTGCAGTTCTACAACGAGCTGGAGCATGCCATGAAGCTCTTCAGCTCGCCCGGAAACTCTGTCTGTCTCGACCCGCAGTTCACGCCGATTCTGCGCAAGCTGGACGAATGTCTCGTCTTTTGCACCGAAAATGTACGAACCTGCACACCAATGCACTGCCGACCCGCTCCGCCGTCCTGCTCACCCTCGGATCCGAGTCTCTGGCCTAACAACCGCTGCTGGACGTCACTTCCAGATCCAGTACAGGGACTCGGAGCTTTATCTCATGAAGTTCCGGCAGTGCATGACCCGCGGCATGTCGCTCATCAAGATGCACTGCGTTGCCTCGCTCCGGGCACTGCTAATCGACATCAAGGAGCGGCTGTCCAACAGGGTAGCGACTTATTCTGGACCATAGCACCCGGCTTGGCTGAACATCCATCGCGCTTGTTGCCGCCATTCTTCTGATTCCTTGATTCTCATCGACATTCCCCACTGTCGCACACTATTCTGACCACCGGACTTGCAGGCGCCTGACGATGTGCTGCCGCCGAGTCTTCAAGTGTCCATATTTTACGTCAAATTCAAGACCCTGGCGGTCAGCCTCAAGCCGCTGCTCTCAGAAATTGAGATTCGCTGCCACGGATATAAAGAGTACGCAAACCCGGTCTCAGAGGAGCCTGGGGAGCGATGGCAATATCCATGGCAAACCCCGTCTGTCGCTGCTTGCCAAACTTTCCTCTGACTTGTCCACACCACCCTTGCATCGAACGGTACGAACCACTCGCCTTTATGTTGGAAGGTACCATCAGCTGCTTGCCGACTGCCACAACGCCTACTTTAGCGTGCGCCGTCAGCTCCTCAGCCCGTACATCATGCAGCAAATCAACGAGATCACATCGGCCGACAATATCCTTGACTATGTACGTTGCTGCGCCGTGTACTGGGTCGTGCGAAGACGGTGGCATCGCCCGATCGAGCTGCACTCCATCGCATGCTAACAGCTCGACTCGGCGACCTCCAGACCCAAAAGGGATGTGCATATATGATGCGGCTTTGTATGGACGAGTTCTCGTTGTTCTATCATTACTTCACCCAAGGAGAGACTGCACTTTTGTAAGTGGCACCGTGAGCGTGGTCGTTGTACTGAGCTGATTCCATTCGTCGACGGCGTCGCTCTGCATATCGTCGAGGTAGATTGCAAGGTTCGAGCGGCAGCACCAGTCGCGATACTTTGTTGAATTGCTCGTCACCTCTCGTATCCAGGGGCTTCCTCGAGTCGCTGTCAAACCTCCTCTACGACGAGCTCCGTCCCAAGGTTCTCGCCCAGACCCGTATCGATGTTCTCTCGGAGCTGTGTCAGACCTTGCAGGCCCACGCCAGCGCCGCCAGTCTGCCGGTCCCAGTTCCTGCATCAGAGCCCGAGGGTGACCAGCAGGTGATCCAGGAGGATCAACTGGCCGCCATCCGCCTCATCGCGATGAAGATCCTCCAGGACGCCCAACAGCGGCTGGCCTTCCGCGCGCAGGCGTTCATCAAGAGCGAAATTGAGGGATTCAAGCCGCGCGACCAAGAGCTTCTGATTTTGGCACGAGGCGGTGGCCGTGAGTACATTCGCAATCAATGCTGCATCGACGCTTGACAGGAGACCGTGTCATGGCCCTGCGGCCATCGAATGGCTCGAGTGGCAACATCGTATCTCTGTCTCTCAGCTTGCTGACCGAGCCCGCGGGGCATGCTTTAGTGCCAGATCCACACATCATCAACTCCTCCGTTAGTGTGGCAGCCATGCTTGGTCCACACAATCACCAGCCGAGCTCGAGCTTGAATGATGTGCCTGCCGTCCTACAGGTCACCGATGTCAGCGAAGCTGTATCCGAGAGCAACTTCCAGACCGCCAGCGCATCCGAAACCACACCTGCGGTCCCCAGAATCAACACCTCCATGCGCAAGAACAGCGCCACAAACTCGTTTGGCGCGCTGGTCTATGGCGGCGGCGAGTGGTATCCGACTCTCCAGAAGACGCTCTATATTCTTTCAAAGCTGTGGCACTGTGTCCCGGTACGTCTGACAACATCGTGCTTGTGGTGGCTGCGTGTGCATGTCAATGTGTACATCTGCCCATGTGTCCAAAGCGCCTTGCTGTGGGGGCGTTCGGCATTTTCGAGGGTAGGACAGGCGAGTTTCGAGTCATCATCGAGCTGCCGTGCCGAAGCTCACCCAGCCATCGGAAACGCTCATCTTTTCGCAACCACATGCTTTTCCAGGATAAAATCTTTGAGGACATTGCCGAGGAGGCCGTGGATCTTTGCCGCCAGAGCCTGATCCGCGCTGCCGAAGCCATCACAGCTTCGAAAAACTCCAAGCTGGACGGACAGTTCTTCTTGATCAAGAACCTGTTGATGCTGCGCGAGCAGATTGCTCCGTTCGACGTCGACTTTGTGCGCAAGGACGACGTCCTCGATTTCCCGGGTCTCTCGGGTGAGTTGTCGACGTGGGGTCTGGGATTGTAATCGAGTGGCTGGACAACGCACTCGGAAATGCTGCTGTCGTGTCCGCGATCAGCTCTCTGAGAGCGGGGTGCGTCGGGGCAGCACATTCGCATTATCCAGCAACCACGGCAGTCGCCACCGTGCCTGTCGAGGCGATTCCACTTTGGCTGGATGCGGCGGCAAGTGCGCCCTTCCGCGCCAGCCTGTTCTGCTTCACGGAAACACTCACCAAAGGTTGAGGCACATACCGACCACCAAGAGCGCTGCTAAACGCTAACCGTCCCGCTTGGCTGACCCTGGTAGAGGCCGTCTCGACACTCATGGTAAAGTCCTGGTCCATCTCGAACCTGACGACTATCAGCCGAGACTTGATCACCGCCGCATCGACACCTCAGCTCCTCGAGAACTACTCTGATGCCAAACAAGGAGTCGACAACGAGCTCAAGCGAGTCTGCGAGGATTTCATTCTCGAAACGACAAGGGCGTGCACCGAGCCCATTTCCAGCTTCATGCTCAAGGTCCATGCCTTCAATATCAAGAACGATGCCAAGCCTGCTAGTGCTCGGGAGCTGCTGATGCGACAGCCGTTTGCGACGCCTGGTAAGTTGGCGAAGCGGCGGGCCGCATGTCCAAGGACGGTGGCGCACATACTTCCAGATAGATCCTCCCAATGTGGGCCTTACCACGCTGCACTACGAGCGGCCACCACGCATCTGCGTGCTCGCAATGCTGCTGCGTTCGGCTCGACTCAAATACGATATCGTATGACGGCTCCATAGACCAAGTCCAGTTGGTGGTCGCGAGTCTCCAAGAGCTGCTCAAGAGCCGACTCGTCTCGACCCTCTCCAAAATGTCGGACTATCTCGGGGACAAGAAAACCGAAGGCATCCTGATTCGTGTGCTTGCGGTAAGTGTCGGAGCACCACCGCCAACGGAAACGTAGCTTGTTGCCCTGGACCTGCCACAGAGGCGCTTGGGAATCGGTCGTTGCAGATATTCGCTCTTGGAGGATGGCACGCCGAGCTCATCCTTTGCCATATGCATGCTCCTCCCGGCTGCGCGGCCTGCAACAGAACAATGTCCTGGAGCACTATCAACGCTTCTACCAGGTGGTGTTTGCGTCCTACGACTCGGAACTCTCTGGGACGATCATGACGGCAGGCGAGGCTGAGGCCCTGATTGACCAGATCTGCTCAAGCACCCAAAAGAAGCGAACCCCGAGCACCGACAGCTTCATTTGATCGCTGCGTGTTCGAATCACCTCAGCGATTCACAGGTGTGCAGACTCGGCTCGACTTGAGTCTTGGTTGGTTGCGCACCCCTCCACTCAAGCGGATCGATCCTATCGAGCCGTGACCTTTGTGCAGCTTCATCGCAGCCCAGCCCAGGCATATCTGCTCCTCCTTGCTTCTGCGTTTGAGTGTGTGCATTCTCTCTTGGCAGCAGCCACTCGCTCGCTTCGTCACTTGGTATGGTCGCTCAATCCCAGATGATCGGCTTGAAATCAATGGGCCAGCCCGCATTGCATCGGCATTGCATCGGCATTGCATCGGCATTGCATCGGCATCGCATCGGCATTGTATCGGCATTGTATCGGCACCAGATGCACTTGCGACCCGGTCCATTGCTGCAACATAGATGCTACTCTCGAGCTATCGAGGTTGGTCCGATACTTGTCCTTACCAAGCGACCGGTCCAGCCATATCCTCGCTGTGATCCAGCAGCTTTTGTGAATCTCTGATTGATCCCGGCAGACGAGCAGGCGAGATGGGGAGCGGAAAGCACAATCGAGGGCAGCAATACCCTCGGCTCAACCCGGCCGATAGAGCAGAATATCGGGGCTGTTGCTGCCGATCCAGAATGGTGTCATCATCCGCTCGACCCATCGATCACTGCAAGCGCCCCTCTGCCTCGGCCGAGCAAAGAGCTGCACTTCTTGACCACCACCCTTACTCGTCTGGGTATCGGTTTTGAAGCAGCCCGCCTGCCCGCCTTCCTCGCTGGGCCCCTTAATTCCTGGAGCTTGCATCGGACCGCCTCTTCTGCCGTCCCTGTCGCCGCTCGCCCATCCTGCCTCTGTCGCCCATCCCGTCGAGTCGGCTGCACAATGTCCAGCGATAACATACAGAGCACCTCGCGGCAGTCGTCGACTGGGCGCCCTCGCTCCCGGTCGGCAAGTGCATCGGTCAGCTCGAGTCGAGGCTGGAAGCTGGCCGAGAGCCCCGCAACGAGCACCCCCGACACCCCGCAAAAGCGGCGGAAGCTCAAGCCGCAGCTGCTGGCCACAATCGAAAAAACCAAGGTCCGGGGCAACGGCTACTTTGCCAAGGGAAGCTACTCCCAGGCCCTCACCGAATACAGCCAAGCCGTCTCCCTGTCACAGGTGTTTGTCGATGCCATGATGGAGGACGACTATCGAGAGCTTTCGTTTGTGGTCGCCAAGTCGGACGAGCCGCTCGATCCTCGCATCGTCGTCTCGACCCTGTTCAGCAACCGGGCAGCGACTCGGTGCCAGCTGGGCCTGTACCATGAGGCGCTGGAGGATGCCGAGCTGGTCATCAGGCTGACGCCGCTGTGGGGGAAGGTGAGTCCTGGACGCCATCATCATCGTGTTGGGCAGCGAGAGACGGACGGACGGAAGCCATCATCCTGGATCAGCGACGGCGCAATCGCACATTCACATTATACCCGATGCCGTTTTGCTTCTCTGTTCTCCACCCCATCCCCACCCGAACGCCTCTCACGGAACTCACAGGGATACTTGCGTCGCGGCGAAGCGCTGATGGGCATGCAGGACCATCGAAATGCAAAAAAGAACTTCCAGCGGGCTCTGAGTCTGGTAAGCCTGGTGCGAGGAGGCCATCCACCGAGCGACGCTACTGTCTTTGGGACCGAGGGCAGTCCCAGCCGCTCAATTCCCCGATGAGACTAGTGCTCCTGGGCTCTGGGCATGGTGTTGGTTCTCTGGACGATGCTGTCGTCGCTGACAGGACTCGTATCCGCTGTCTGGTTTGATGCCACAATGCCATCCACATGCTCCTGGAATCCGGCCTGGATGAATCTGGAATGTCCTGATCCGATCGCACCGACTCCAGCTGCAAGACGACGAGCACATCAAGGAGCGGATACAGCTTGTGGACATCTTCGAGGAGGATGATCGAATGGGTGAGTCGATCCGGGCCAGCTGCCATGTTGGACCTGCTGGCCTGTTGGGCCAGGCCACATTCTGCTTAACGGCATCGCCATTCGACTGACCTCCGTCGTGGTGCATCAGGATTCCGCCTGCATCAGCTCTCCGTGGGCAGGCACATATGCGAAAAGCGGGCGTTCTTTGCCCCCATCCAGAACTTGATCTGGGACTATGCCCTGCAGATGAAAAACTACATCTACATCATTGAGCACAAGGCCAGCAAGGAGTGCCTCGTTGTCGACGCTGTGGGTGATCCTATCGCACTGCCGGCACTGGAGCGCACCTGTGATCGAGATCAGACGACGGTGGATCGTTGGACTCTCTCTGACGACAGAACCTGCCTTTGACCAGTGCTGGGATATCGATGGCATCATCAAGTATACGGATCGCTTCGGCCTCAAGATCGTCGGAGCCATCGTCACGCACCACCACATCGATCATGGTATGGAGGGCTGCGAACCCAGCATCCATCGTCGGCGCTTTCCTTCACTATATCTCTGCCTAATGCTTCGGAAAAGGCTATATGAATCGAATCGAATCTTCCTAGATACTCTTCGCTCCCTGGCGCTGGCATCATGCTGACGCAGTTCTTTCCTCTGGACGCAAACAATTCCCTGCATCTACTACGACGATGCTGCAATCCCTCAGTCGGCGGGATACCCCCTCCGCCTTACGATCAGTACCGCATCCGAGTTGATGGACTTGCCAAGTTGCTTCGAAAGCTCCCCACAATCAAAGCCTACGTCAACCCCAGCGACATTCCGCAAGTCACCCAGGCCAACCCAGAGCTCAAGGCCGAGCGGCTCATCGAGACCTCTGATGACGCCATACTGTTCCTCCCGATGTCGAAAAACGAGAGCAGCAGCGACAGCAACAGCAACAGCAAAAGTGGCCGGCTCCAGTTGGCTGCAGCCGACACGGGCTCAACAGCGACATCGGAACCCCACCCAGAGTACATCTCCATCAAGTTCATCCACACCCCGGGCCATACCATGGGCTCGCAGTGCGTCTTGTTGAACCAGACCCGCCTGTTGAGCGGCGATACCCTCTTCATCGGCACGTGCGGTCGGGTGGACTTTAGCGACAGCTCGGTCGAGAAGATGTACGACTCGCTGTTCAATAAGCTCACGAAGCTCCCGCCGTCGACAGTGGTGTGGCCGGGGCACTCGTACGGAGGATCGTTCACGACCATCGAGGCGGAGACCGCCAACGGCATCTTGAGCCCAAAATCCAAGGACGAGTTCATGGATCAGTTCTGCAAGGCGCATGCCAGGAAGCACAGCCCAAACGACATGAGTCTGTAGAACCCCAGAGAGACCTTTCCTGTGTGCGTTGCAGCTTACGGGCGATCCAATAAAAAACGGGACACCCGGGTTTTTGACCATTCATCGAATATTTTGTTACCCAATGTTATCGCGCGCTGGCCATGACCATTCGCCACACATCCAACTTTCGCACCGCCGCATTGCGATGCTACGCCCTCATCCATAGCCTGCGCAAGGTCGCCTCCATATTCAGTGTATCCAAGAGCACCATCCATCGATGGCACCGAGGATGCAAGCTGGATGACCCATCCCGGGTCCCAGCTCGCAGATCCACTTTCTTCGAGCAGGCATGTCCAGTCATTCGCACCCTGATTGAACAGGACCCGTTCCAGACTGGTCCTGTGTTGCGATGCAAGCTCGAGTCCATCCTCCAGAGGAAAGTATCACTCTCACTCTGCCACACTGCCATCCACCGAGCAGGTCTCTCACACAAGAGGGCAACACACCTCTACAAGTCCAAGCGACTGGATGAGCGAGTGGCACAGTTCAGGGACCAGGTCCGCTCCATCGACCCGCGGCGATTCGTTTTTGTCGATGAGACGGGGATCAGGAGATCCATTTTCCCTCTTTACGGATACTCACCGAAGGGTGCTCCGCTTCGCCAGCGCAATCACATGAAACACAAGTCTGTCTCGGCTGCATTTGCCATCAACCACTCTGGTGTGCTGCATCGCATGTACATCCCCACATCATTCAAGACACACTCGATGGTCGAGTTCTTTGAGCGAGCGAGCTTCCCAGACGACTCTGTGATTGTGATGGACAATGTCAGCATGCACAAGACAATGGCTGTCCTGGACTGCATCGAGCGCCGAGGATGGTCAGTGATCTTCACCCCACCTGCTTCACCCGACTTCAATCCCATCGAAAACTTCTTTGGGGTTGAGTCCCCACCGATTTGGGGTTGAGTTCCTCCAATTTGGGGTTTAGTCCCCCAATCAAGCCGCCATTTTCACGCTCAAATCCCTGGCTTGAACCTCTCGGCGATTTTTGAACAGGGTCACTTCCCCAACCAGCCCGCAACGACGGGCTCCTGCTCTCGGGTATAAATGCCACACCTTCGTCCTGCTGCTTTCTTCCCTCATCTCGCCTTGATCTGATCATCGCGCCATTGTACGATAAAGAGAAGTCTCTGCTCTGACCAGTACCACTGGCAGGCATCCAGCATCCTCTGCCCCCATACCTCCGAAGCGTAAGGGTGCCGGTGATGGCCAGCCTCGGCCACCCAGGCCCAAGAAAGCCAAGTCACAGTCGGAGCCTGTCTCTGGTTCGTATTCTGATCTCACGCATGCTTGTTCATCTGTTGCTCCGTCGCTCACCACCACTGCTTCTGCAGATCCAATGGATGTCGATCCCACCGAGCCTGGTCCATCTACTTCCTCGAGTACCGGCAAGCGATGTCGCCAGTGCGATGGCACCGATCACGAACGTTGCAACACCAACAAGTGTCCAAAATATCACCCCCTCAAGAGTTCTGTCGTCCCACTCGTGGATGGAAGGTCATCCGCCCCTCAGTTCAGCTGCTTCAAGCAGACGATGGATGGCTGTTGTCTCAATCCCGCTCTCCGCGACAAGATCCAGGCCACCGTCGCAGCCATGACCCAGATTCAGTTCGAGGCATCCAGGCTGCTCAACCTGCACATCCTCCGGTGCATCGAGCAGGATCTTCCCGTCCCCGTCATCTCCAAGACCACCCCTGCTTTCATCCGTCAATGCTTCAAGATCGTCCAGGCCGGTGCCCTCTCCCCGACCGGGGACAATGAGAAATACAACGAGCATCTGGTCGCTTCCTTTCGCGACTACCAGACCACTCGGCACGCAGACCTGCCTCCGGCCCCTCGTCTGCCTGATGGTGCTCACAGTCAGCTTCTCACACTGGCTGTCAATGCCTATGCCACCAACTGCACCACCCACCTCGACCTGGCCTACTGGCGACTCCTTCGCCGCTTCTGCGCTGCCGTCTTCCCAGCCAACAAGCACAAGCACGAAGCCATCGAGGCCTGTCTCGAGCTCTTCGAGAAACCAGGGCAGACTCCACCCAAGGCCGATCTCGAGTTCCTCTATCCCGAGTTTGGCCACATCCTGGACGAGTTTCGGTACAGCAACGACCAGGACCGCTTCCGGGCCCTCCACCGCCTCTCATACCATGTGAGAATCCTCGCCCGAGACAAGATGGTCGACAATGTCCACAAGTGGATCGACTGTGACATGCCCGCCCTCCGAATCACCGAGCTGCAGCGCCAGGCCAAGCTGGACAAGCTCACTGCCAGAGGCATTCCCTCCGACGACAAGAGGTTCACCACGGCCAAGTCTGAGCTCGGCACCACCAAGTCCAAGATCAACAAGCTGGCATCCAGACTCAACTGGGCACTCAAGCAGCTCGCCGTCGACACTCCTCCGGCCGTGTGCACGATAGTTCCTCTATGCACTGCAAGGGCCAAGTATGTCAAGATTGACACCGTCACTCTCTGGGAGCTCCTTGACACCGAACAGCACCTTGGACTCACCAGGGACATGCTCAAGGAAGAAGGTGATGACGGCATCAACAACCAGGATCGTCTCTGGCGCAGTTGCTTCAAGTTGCGTAGTTCCCTCTTCCAAGAGCGGGACGTGAACAAGAAGCTGTTCAACTACGAGATCAGCACCGATGGCATTGGATGCACCATCGGTCTCGTCAAGTTTGTGCGTCGAACCGATCGCACCGAGACCATCGAGCCTCCTCCGACTGCCGAGCAGCGCATCCAGGCCCACATCGGTGACCCAGACCCCAACAGGACCACTTGGATTGGCATCGATCCTGGAGTCGGCTCCATCTTCACGGCGGTCATCCAAGCACCGGGCCACCAAGACGAGGTGGTCTCGTTCTCCAATGGCCACTACCAGCAAATGTGTGGCCATACGTCCAACACCAAGTGGCACAACACCATGAAGTATCGACTCAGCATCGAGACCTGGATGTCGACCACTCCCTCGCCCAAGGTGTCGTCCTCGGAGGCTTTCAAGGTCCATCTCACCCATGTCCTGCGACCGGAGCTTCGGGTGCAGCTCGACTTCCACCTTGGCAAGAAGGCCCGTCACCATCGCTTCACGGGCCACAAGAGGCGCCAAGTGGCCGTCGACAAGATGTGCAAGGCCGTCCTGAGGCACGCCCCGATACGGACCGATGTGGTCATCGCCTTTGGCAATGCATCATGGCGGCAGGGCAAGGGCTATGCATCCAGCCCTCGGAGGCAGCGGTTTGCTCGGTACTTTGAGCAATTCGAGCACCACCGACGCCGTCCCAATCACCATCATGGAAGCGCCAAGGTGGCCTCGACGAACGAGTTCAACACCTCGCAAGTGTGCTCCAAGTGCCTGGAGCCAGTTCGGTTGGAAGGACTCGATGCGCCCAGTGTTGCGAATTCCCACTTTGTCAGGAGCTGCAAGAATCCCAGCTGCCGGACAGTGTGGAATCGCGACGTCAATGCGGCGCGCAACATGATCACAGTATGCAGGTCGATTGTGGAGATCGGAGAGCGACCGGTGGTCTTCACTCGGAGGCTGCCAAAGTGATCTGTTTTTATTTCTTGTGGCTTTGCTAGACGCAAGCACAGCACATACTACATGTTCATGGAAACGGCTATATTGTCCCGTTTTTTTCTGAATAAAGTGTAATAGCACGGTTTTGTTCCCTCGCTTGACCCCTGTGCTACAGCTTCGGAGTGCACTTTCAGTTCCATTGTACCTGGCACTAACAGCGAGACTATGAGCAGAGTGCGGTGGATGGCCATGACCATCGCGCTTCCACTGACTGGTTCTGATGGCGGTGAGTCGGCGAGCTGCTGCATCCTGCGGTTTTCCCGGCGTGATCGCATCGGGTTATGGCGAGGCAAGCAGTGGGATCATTGCTATCCCTGCACTCTTGCTAGTGATCTACGGACCAGCGCTGCATAACTGCTGATACGAATGGGCAAAGCTGTATTGCGATACGGGAAAGCTGCATCGCGAGCATTTGTCTCTGATGTACTGCGCCCTGTGCGGGCTCACCCAACCCAGTGTCCGGTGCGAGAGCGCAGGCCGGCTCTTGGGTCGGTGGGAGAAAGTCGTCGTGGAGCGACAGCAATGTCAGAGCCATCAGACAGCACGCACCGTCAAAAGCCCTGGAGAGCAATAGACACTGCCGCCGCCGGGTCTGTCGAGTGCGAGCGATCCATAGCTCGAGTGCCCCGAGGGATATCCTCGATGAAAGTACGGTCGCACCTCTCCAAACCCGATGGGACGTCCTCGGATGCATCCGGCCGGCCTTGGCAGCAGTTTCACGTTCCCAGGCCCGCAAACTTGGCTCGCACGACCGCCTGCACCGGCTGTGTGATGCCTTCGCCCGTTGTGCCCAGCGACTGGCCATGTCGCCAGCCCATCGCCAGCAGCATCTTTTCGCCGATTCCTCCGACGGGAGCAGCATCCTGACCGACAACAGTTCCAGCAGCCGGCTTGGTGGAGTCATCAGCACCCCCGCCACCGCCGCTTCGTCTCTGGGCAGCTTTGGTGTGGACAGAGTCCTTCTTGGAGCGGACTCCCTTGCCCTTGCCGCCTTTGCCGCCAAAAGTCTGGACATTGCCAGTCATGATGCCGCCAGACTGCTCGATTACGCGGTCGGCAATCGTTTTCCAGTTTTCGGGCACACGACTGCTTCGGTTGCGGCACAGGATTGTGAGCTTGCGTTGGCCGCTGCCTCGCGCCTTGACCCCGATACCGTAGTGCTTGGCCATCCGAGCGACGAGGGTGCGCATGGCGGCCGGCATGGGTGCCAATGGAATGCTGAGGAACCCATCGGGATCGACGACAAAGTCGTGAATTTGCTGGTTGCAGCGCCGGAGCATGTTTGCAGCCTTGAGGTCGATGGCGTGTTGGCTGCCTTTCTTGCCCTTGAGGGCCCGCATCATGGCTTCGACCTGTTGCTGCATCTCCAGCCGCCGCTCCGCCTTCAGCGCACGCTTGTCCTTGCGCTCTTGTTTGAGAGCCTTTCGGCGCTTGCTCTTGCTCTTGCTGGGTTGGTCGGGAGACGGCAGACGAGGGTCACCATGTCTTGGGAACTTGCCGCGCAACACCTCGCGGAACTTTTTCTCGAGCTCATAGGCATCCAGGTCATCGTCGTCACTTGCGCGAGTCCACTTCGAGGGGCCACCTGCAAAGAATCGATCCTGCGCAATGAAGGTCTCTTCGTTGTCACGATCAAAGCCTGCAGCATCGTATGAGAGCGATGCCATGAGCCGCTGGTTGTAGACCGAGTCATCGTCAACATCGCCGTCATCGTCGTCATCGTCATCGTCATCGTCATCGTCATCGTCATCGTCGTCATCGTCGTCATCGTCGTCATCGTCGTCGTCAATGTCATCATTGGTGACCTTGTCGTCGCTGCCGTCGCTATCCCCATCTTCAGTTTCGAAAGCATGAGCGCCGCTGTTCATTTCCGTGGGTATGTCGCTGGCGTCTACCGACTCGAGGTCGCCATCGTCTTCGTCAGTGACTTCACCACTGGGTTTAATGCCTTGATTATCCTCGAGGTCGGTGCCAACGTCTTCGTCGGCTTCGTTATCAACATCAGCGCCATCAATGACCGACGCGCTACCCAGGGCCAGCACATCGCCCGAGGCTTCTATTTCGTCCTGGCCACTAGTAGCATCTTCGAGCTCCTCGTCCGTGTCCCGGTATTGGAACACGCCCTGGTCGTCCAGCTCCATGTCCAGGTCGTCCAGCAGCAAATTGTTGATTTGGTAATATTGTTCAAACGTGCCTGACTCTTCCTTGCCGGAGCCTTCTCCGTCGCCCTGGGGCATCGACAATGACGCGAGTGCAGCGTTGTGAGATAGCGTAAAGTCGTTGTCATCTGATATGTTCGCCATGTAATCCAGCATGACTGCCATTTCGTCCGAGTCCACGTCGGATTCGGCGCGATAGCTGGGGTGCTTCTTCCACTTGGATTTGGCTTTCTGCTTTTGCTGCTTTAGCTTCTGCTGTTTTTGTTGCTTCCAGTCGGCAGGCTGCTGTTTGTGGCCCTTGGCTGTCTGAGAATGGCGACCCGCTTCGTGCGGAGACCCCGATTGCTGGGCGTGGGATGCGACGGGCTGCTGGTCGGAAAGAGCCGCAGCCTTTTGCTTCCGGCCATGGCCTTCTCCTGGTGCGCTATCTGCATCGTGCTCGAGACCGGCAAAGGCGTTGCGAGACAGAGTGCGGCCTTGCAGATCAACAACTTCGTATCGACCGCCATGGCCGATATGACCGATATGGTTGTCATCGTCGTCGTCGATGAAGACAAAGCCGGGGCCGTCACCGGGGGCAAAGCCAGTGTTCCGTTGGCGATCTCGCAACTTTTGATTCCGCTTTTGGTTGTTGCGGGGTTTGTGTCTGGGATTGTTCTGAGTGCGACCAGAGGTCTGTGGGCTGGGCGGCTTGCCACGGACTGGATCGGAGCCGCTTCGGTTGCCCGCTTCGTCGCTATACCCGAGCGAACGGTCCGGCTGCTGGTGTCGGACCCGGTCGATGCTGGAGCCGATGGGACGTGCTTGGGGTTTGGGCCTGCTGCTCAAGCCGGAACTGGATCGGCCAGCGTCGGCTTGGACATTTCGGGAGTCAAACTTGCCGCCCTCTCTCTTCGAATTGAGGGGTACAAAGTCATCAGATGCGGATGCTTGCCTCTGCGGCAGGGCGACTGTGCTTGAGGCTCTGCTGGAGCCTCCGATGGGAGGCTTAGCTTTGCCTTTGGAACTGGCTCTGGAGGAGGAAGCTTGCGAGGGCGGCTGGATAGCTGGGGTTGCAACGGTGTTTGCTTTGCCGCCCTTGGCTTTCGAGTGCCGTTTCGGCTGTGGCAGGCCTGCGGGGATGGTCTGCAGCTGGTCTGCCACAACAGTGGGGTCGCCCAAGCGATCGATTACGAATAAATCATCCATGTTAAGGCTGGGTGGGTTGAGCGGCAGGATCGTTGGGGTGCGATCGAACGAGGGCAGTGGGAGCAGTGTGGGGCTGCCGACAGAATGTTTGGGCAGAAGAACGACGCCCGAGCGCTGACTCGATTGGATTCAAGCCGGGCTGGTTGCGATGGTTGGTTTGCGATGGCTGGCGGTGAGGTCTGATCAAGTCGGGTTGATCAAGTCGGGCAGGAAGCCAGGAGGCGCAGCGGGCGAAGGATCAGCAGCAGGCGGGGTCGCTGCGGCGCCGGTCGAAACCGACATTGAGAATGCGGCTTGGGCTGTCGCAGTCGCAGTCGCATGGTTGTGTTGGACGGGCGGGCGATGGCGAAGGTGCGCATCCGAGAGCACTGCAACGGCCCAGCATGCACACTGCTCGGAGGGAGACATGGTCGGCTCGGGCTGCCATGCCCATGGCTCGGCCAATGTCGTTGGCTTGGCCAATGCCCCTCTCGCTCCGGCCACCGTTTCCCCGCGATCAGCAAATTTGGGCCAACGGGGAAGGCTGGCATGGGCAAGTCGCCATCCACCCAAAAAGCCAACCAAGGGCGACAGACGATCCTGTGGACCGGTGGTGGTGGTGGTGGTGGTGGTGGTGGTGGCGCGGTGGGATGATCGCAATTCGATATCCACAAGTGGTGGATCTTGGGCGTATCTTTTGTCGCAGCTCTGCCCCAGAGCCATCCGCCGCCTCCGGAAAAAGAAAGGCTGGCTGGCCACAAGAGGCACAGAGGGTGGGCTTGTTACGGGGATATCCCATCACAAAGCCAGATCCCGAGACGCCCAACAAAGGCTTGGCCGCTGTGGATGAGGGGCGACTTGGTGAGCGCATCTGTCAAGGCATGTCAGTTGCCAACACTGGACGAACAACCAGCACAATCGATTCAGGCAGCGACTCTATTCGTTAGGGAAAGTAAATATGTTTTTATTGTACCAAATAGTCAACAGGATAAGATCCTGTCGCTCCGTCAGGTTGGATTAACGACCAGAAAGAGTACTAAACGAAGGAGCGTTATCGAGCAGGATTCATAGGGTGTTAGAGAAGAGAAAGTAAGATTCATAGACGATTCCAGTTGCAGTTTAGCATCGTGCGTATATCATAGACAAGTCGCGGATCTAAGGGCGAAGAGCGGAACTGGTGTGGGCAGGGTGGGAAGAGTGAGAGGGATGGGCAGAGTGGGAAGGATGAGCACTCTGGGAAGGATGGGCAGAATGGGAGGGGTGAGCACTCTGAGAAGGATGGGCAGAGTGAGAGGGATGGGCACTCTGGGAAGGATGGGCAGAGTGAGAAGGATGAGCAGAGTGAGAGGAGTGAGCACTCTGAGAAGGATGGGCAGAGTGAGAGGAGTGAGCACTCTGAGAAGGATGGGCAGAGTGAGAAGGATGAGCACTCTGAGAAGGATGGGCAGAGTGGGAGGAGTGAGCACTCTGGGAAGGATGGGCAGAGTGAGAGGGATGGGCACTCTGGGAAGGATGGGCACTCTGGGAAGGATGAGCACTCTGGGAAGGATGGGCAGAGTGAGAGGGATGAGCAGAGTGAGAGGAGTGAGCACTCTGAGAAGGATGGGCAGAGTGGGAGGAGTGAGCACTCTGGGAAGGATGAGCACTCTGGGAAGGATGGGCACTCTGGGAAGGATGAGCACTCTGGGAAGGATGGGCAGAGTGAGAGGGATGAGCAGAGTGGGAGGAGTGAGCACTCTGGGAAGGATGGGCAGAGTGGGAGGAGTGAGCACTCTGGGAAGGATGGGCACTCTGGGAAGGATGAGCAGAGTGAGAAGGATGAGCACTCTGAGAAGGATGGGCAGAGTGGGAGGAGTGAGCACTCTGAGAAGGATGAGCACTCTGGGAAGGATGAGCACTCTGGGAAGGATGGGCAGAGTGGGAGGAGTGAGCACTCTGGGAAGGATGAGCAGAGTAAGAAACATGAACGCTCGAGGAACCCTGGGAAGGCTTGTGGCATTTGCTCTTGGTGACGGCGGGGGACGAAGCAGTCAAGGTCGCAGTGGCCGTGGCCGAGATGGCCGAGCTGGCCGAGCTGGGAGTGACCGATGAGACGGCGACGCTGGAGCTGCCTGCTTGTTGGCAGATGGATGTGTGAGATGGATGTGTGAGATGGACGCGTGGGTGAGATATCGCAAACACTGGAACAACCTCGCCAGCATATCCACTGAAACAGACTTCCACAACGACATTCACTTCAGCAGCTACGGCAAAGTACACCACAAAGTCCCACCACCGAGCCCACCACCGAGCCCACCACGAACCATAGGGAGGAATGTAGGCAGCATTGACGGCGGTCGCGGCGAGAGCCGAGGCGAGCAGGACAAGGACCTTCATAGTGGTTCGACGACGGCGGGTTGGACTGCGGTGAAGAGGCCGGGGGAAGGCGAGGGCCGGCCTGCCGTGGTTTTATATCTCGGCCGCCATCTCCGCCCGCCCCCCAGCGACCTGTGTCGCCGTCGCATGGATTGTGGCGACAAGCAGCCTTTCGTTTTGCCATGGGCGCCATGAAACCTGTGCGATTCTGGTGGCTGAAGGCGGCCCAAAGGGGACACTGCGCCACGGCTCCGGATCCATCCACCCGCTCACTCGATCCAGCCACTCGATCCATGCGTGTCACGACATGCGCAGCTACGCCTGCGCCACGCAGCCGTCCATCGCCATCTCCCATTTTGCTTCATTCCTCCGTCCCTGATGCATTTGATTGCGTTCGTTCCCATCGTATTCTGCATCGTCATGATCCGCACTGGCCGCCGCTGGCCCGAGACGTCCCGGCCACTGCTCGCGGGCCGATTCGCTCTCTCAGCCTCGCCGGTGCCCATGCTGGTTCCCACAAGCAGACTCGCACATTCCAGCTCGACCGTCATCCAGATTCCGCAGTTTGCCGACTCGCTGTGCAGGCTGTTTCCCTTCGCGGCCGACCAACACAACCCCGTCGAGATTGTCAATCGCGGGAAAGACTACAAGATCCTCAACCCCGATCGCAACGTCCTCCACGACTGCTTCCGCTTCAACCGCCCGAAAAATGCCTGGCAGACCTATTCGGCCATGCGTCTCGAGGAAAAGCTCAATCTTCTCAGCGCCGACGATCACACCACGTTGCTTGGATATCTCACCCGCCATAGCCGACCGAGGCTTGCCGCCATCCAGGCCGACCGCGCCTTTGCAACTCTCTGCCAGTACCACCGGCCCGATATCCGCGATCACAACTATGTGCTCATGTGCCATCTCCGAAACCAAAACGATCTCCCTCGTCTCGCCGGGGCCTTCCGCAAAATCTACGAGCACGGCAACAAGCCCAACAGCCGGTCATTTGCCCTGCTGATGCAGTCGCTTGTGCATGATGGCCAACTCGAAGCCGCCCACTCGTTGTGGCACGAGATGTGGTCCGAGCTGCCATGCTCCGAGGCCCAGCCTGATCACTGGGCCATCATGATTGCCGGATACGCCAAAGCTGGCAACAGGAAGGCCGTCGAGGATCTCCAGCGGCAGTTTGCTCGACTGCGCTCCGACCCTGCCAGCGTTGTCCAGGATGCCACCATCCGGGCGTACGGATATCTCGGAGATCATGCTGCATCCGAGGAGCTGTTTTCCAGCCTGGCCAAGTCCAGCAGCGATCCGGCGCTGCAGCCACGTCTGGAGAGCTACGACGCCATCATCCATTCGGCCCTGCTGAACAACAAGCCAGAGGTCGCCGAATCGCACTTTGCTGCCCTCATCAAGCGCAACGCGACGCTCAGTCAAGCCATGTTTGGCCACACTCTTGACGAAGCCCGCACCCGGGCGCTCTTTGATCCGTTTGCCAATCTGGACGAGGATTCGGACGACTTTGTCGACGACCCCGAGGGCGTGGCTCCAAGGGGTCTGTGGCTCGCCGGCATTCAGCCGCTCTCCAGTACTTTTTACCATCTCATGGAGCACTATGCCCGGAAGGGGGACATTGACCGAGTCACGGAGCTCTACACACACCTGCGACTCTCCAAACTGTGGCTGCACGACTGCATCTTCCTCGTTGTTGCCACCTATATCGCCCGCAATGACCCTCAAAATGCCCTGCGATGGTACAACGCTGCCGTGGGTCCGCTGCGCTACCACCCGCCAAAAGCCCTGATCGCCTGGGCGAGCTCGGTTCACCCCGAACGCATCCGATCGTAGAAAGCCTGTGACTCGGCGACGCAACATCGATCTGTCGATCGCCTCGACAAGTGTGTCGGATCCTTCGGTTGGATTTTGCCACTGACGCAATCGTGCTGACGGCATTGCACCGTTACCCGGCACGATCTCAGTGGCTCTGGCAATTCGTTGCTCTGTCGGAAGCGGAGCCATGTCCCTTTAGGATTGATCCCAGAACGATTTGCTATCCAGCCTCCAGATTCTGGATCAGCGACTTGGCATCGCATATCTTACCACGGTTCGGCGGCGCGAATCGGCGCTATTCTGATGCAGAGCCATCAATCGATCTATCCTCGCAGGTGAACCAACGGCAGTAGATATGGACGAAATCTGGACAGACATGGAAGGAGACATGGAAGGAGACATGGAAGGAGACATGGGAAACCTTGAAATATACAGTAATGTGTATTAACACGCCGTGTGGCAGCCGCTTGCAGAACAGTTAGACACCACGGAGCTCAGTCTCACAATCGATTCTTGGCAGAGGCTGCATATGGAGCCAACATCGGACTCGAGGGACGTGGAATGACTTGGGCCAAGTGACTGGCACAGACGAGCGATCAACGCTCACAAATCAATTGCGCCCTGTGCGGGTGGCCGCGCTGGTCTCGGGATACTTGATCTTGAAGGACGAAGACGGGTCCAGGGGATCACCCAAGAAGCGAACGTGGTGCAGATAGTTGAGACACTTCTCGACAACCTCCTCCAGCGAGGGACACGGCGCCGGGTAGATCGAGCGGGTGTTGGCGTTGTCGATCTTGAAGGACATGTCCATCATCATGTGCATGAGCGGGAACAGGGCGTTGCTCTCGACGGCGGGATGGGAGTGGAAGGCCTCTTTGAACTGCTCGCGGGTCTCGAACAGGATCGGCCAGCCATGGTTCCTGACAATCTCAAACAGCCGGGTCTCAGTGAGGACACTGTGGCGAGTGAGTGAGTGAGTGAGTGAGTGAGTGAGTAATCAGAGTCAGGATCCACCATTCACAACACACCACACCACACCATATCACATCGCACTTCCCACCATATCGCACACCATCATACCACATCGCACTCCACACATTCCTCACCTGTGCTCCGAGTCGCTGATGTGAAACACAAACTTGGACAGGGACTCCTCCGAGCCGGCAATCTCGGCAACCACCTTGGCAACATGGTCGACGGGATCCATGGTCATCGTGACAGGAGTGGCGTGCGAGGGAGCAACACCAAGCTGGATGCATCCCTTGACATATCGCCAGATGTAGTCATCAGAGTTGGACACTGGAGCGATGGAGGGTGTGAAGGTGTCAGTTGGTGTCAATTGGTGGGTGAGTGGCACTCGGCAATCGAGACCATCGATTCATGGCCAGTCCGTGGGAATGAATGAGACATTTCCACCACACCACACCACACCACACCACACCACACCACATTCGACTCACCTCCGTAATGGCTGTCGCCAGCAATGACGGCTGGGCGAATGATCGTCACCGGCACTCCCCTCGATCGTGCCTTGTTGACCAGCTGCTCAGAGACCCACTTGGTCTGGCCATACCCGCCAGAGATGTTCCAGGCCGAGTAGATCTTCTCCTCGAGCGGCTTGTCTGCCTTCTTGGCCATCGGGATCGTGCCGATGGTCGAGATGTAGTGCAGCGGCTTCAGGTGGTGGGTTGTGGCCAGTCTCAGGGCCGTCGTCGTGCCGAGGACGTTGGGTCCCCTGAGTCTGTCATAGTCAAACAGCCAGTGGACCTCGGCGCCGTTGTGGACAATCGTGTCGGTCTCCTCGCTGATCTCCTTCCATCGCTCGTCCGAGAGTCCCCACTTGTCCTGCGACAGGTTGCCGCACAGTCCAACGAGTCGAGACTTGAGGTTGTGGTCGAGGAAGGCTCTCTGGCTCGGATCGAGGACCAGCTTCTGAGCCGTGCTGATGATGCGCTCGACAGCCACCTGCTCGTCCTTGGCTCGGACCAGGCAGTAGATCTTGGCCCGAGGGAACTTGTGGGCCAGCTCAAAGACCAGGAAGGCACCGAGGAAGCCAGTGGCACCGGTCAGGACGATGCCGCGAGGGTCCTTGGGATAGACAAACGGAGGAAGACCCTCGGCCGTCACACTCGCATCGTCGAGCTTGGCGGCCTCGGCAGCCAGATCAACAGTCGGGGGAATGAGGGGCTTGTCGTCGAGGATGTCGACAACCAGCTGGGCGACATCAGTCGGTGTCATTCCGTTCGACAGGAGGATCAGAGGCGATATCTCGACATTGAACTCGTCCTTGATGGCGAGGGCCAGACGACCGACACTCAGCGAGTCAAAGCCGACGCCGCCGATGTAGTAGTTGCGGCCGTCGAGGGCGGCAATGTCGATGATCTGGCTTCCAAGTGTGGAGATCTTGGCGGCAGTGCGGGACAGGGGAGTGTTGGCGAGTTTCAAACGAGGGTACTCGACCGACTTGCCGAACTGATCGACATTCTCGGCGATGCGCCTGAGCTTCTTGAGGTCGCGCTTGCCCGAGTCGTTGAAGGGGAACTCGTCGAGCTCGAAGCAGTTGTGGATCGGGAACTTGGCGACGTTTGTCAGCGCAAACATGTCCTCGGTCAGCTGCAGAAGCTCGGCAGGAGTGGGGTTGACCTCAGAGCCGCTTCTGCGGACAAAGAGCATCACGATCTTCTTCTCGGAGGTCTGGATGAAGGTGCAGTCCGAGATGACCTTGGACATGTTTTCGTTGGCCAGCTCCTCGAGGGCGTTGAGGTCGACATAGACGCCGTTGACCTTGATCTTCTGGTCGAATCTGGAGTGATGGTGTGAAGTGAGGGAATGGATGGCGTGAGTACTCGGGATGCAGTGGTTGGATGTGTCCTCAGGGTACCAGATGTGCACTCGCCATCAATGAGAGATGCAACACCCGGCCATTGATCACCTTCCGACGACAGTGAACTGGTTCTCGCCAACCATCTCGACCCAGTCCATGGTGCAGATTCGAGGTGAGCCATCTTCGAGGAAGCCGAACGAGGCGAGCTTGTCATTCGGATCGGCGGTGGTGAAGTTGGGATGGTCCTTGATGGGGTCATCCTTGTCGACAGCCAGAACGAGCACACCACTCTTGGAGACACTCTGGTCGACAATGTTGCCTTCCTCGTCAAAGAGGAGACAGCGAACGCCAGGCTTGGCCAGCTTGTAGACCAACTTCTCCGGAGTGGGCTCGGATGGGATCAGCCTCAGAAATGCCGAAGCACCTATTACAGCCGACTGATATTGTCCGCATCTGGTAAGTCTGCGTGCGCCATGCTCCTGGGTCTTTTCGAGCCAATTGCCGACTGTACCGTACCTCACTCGATGCGTATGCTGACTGCATTTCAGCATTTGGACACAGTTGTTTTGCTTGATCGAACAACGAGACAGGTACGAGCTCCGAGCCCATAACGACTCTTTTGACGTTTTCCCATTTGATTTCGGCGTTGATCGACTGAGCAATCCCAAAGACCATTCTCACAAATGACGGAGGCTACCGGCGGAAATGGTCATCAGCTTACACACTTTTCCAGCAGATGTGCTCGTATTCTAGTGCGCTTCAGCACAGGCCATAGCTGCCGTCGGGTAGCGGCAGTGCATACTCACCATGAACATGAACTCGAGGCCATCATTCAACAGCTCGATGACACTCAACACTCGATCCAGCTGGTTCTGGCTTGGCTTCGGAAACCAGAGAGATCCCTTCACATTCAGGGCACCCATGCAAAAGCCAAACGTTCCCAAGAAAGACGGCCCCTGGGTGTATGGAATCATCGTCAGCTGCCGTCCAGAGACACAGTGAGTCCGAGAGGACGAGCGAAACCAACCTGCGTCAATCCTACGCGACAGTAAGTCAAGCCAACAGAAGCACGGGTGGTTATCGCCCCAAAGTGAGAATACTTGTATCTGGTGAGGGAATCGAATAGCCCGCACGATTCAGTATGGGTAAATCATGTCAGCCCAAATCATTTGCCCGTTCACTTACGTCTTCGGAACGCCTGTCGAGTCGGACGAGATGATCAGAAAACCGGCTTACTCAGTACTGAAGTCTGCTCACTCAGGAGACTCGCAGGCAAGGTGGCACTTACCAGTCGTGCCGGAGGTGCATATGTAGGTAACAAACTCATCCAGAGGCTCGCATGCTTCGATAGAAGGTGTGGGTGCAGGTGCGGTACCGGGCTCCAAGAGCAATGAGGCGTCTAAAGCCATCACGCCTTCTGTCTTGCCCGGCTCGATCATATGGTAGAGAATGTACTTGACAGCATATCTGCGATACACCCTTGTTAGTTTCGCCAGAGACACAGTCACTGCGGCCGACCCAAGTTGCTCGTCATCCGCATAACTCGCTCCTTGAAACAAACCTCTGACAAATGACGCTGCGAGCATGTCCAGGAAGGTTGGGTGCGAAATTGATCGTTTTCCTGCGGATGCAAGCAAAACACATGAGATGCTGCATCGCCCGATGATTACGGAGACTGGGATCCGGCTTGGAGAGCGGGTCGCAGGGTTTATGTGTATGCTCACTCGTCACTGAAGCTCCCGTTGCAATCGCACTACCTACTTTCCAAGCATCCAGACGGCAAACGAATAGAAGAGCCAGTGCGCTTCGGTCTCGCAGTTGGTGCCGATGACGTCGTGGCCCTCGTCGTTCCAGCCCGGAAGGAGCTTGAGCTTCTGTGCAAGCGAGAACGCAATCTCCCAAACCTGAAGATAGGTATAGAGCTTTGGAGTGCCATTCTCATAAGTGTTGATCATGGGGGTCTTGGGCTCGTCTCGGGCTGTGTTGATGAGACACTCCACCGGGTGAAGCCACGGACCAAAGGCGGGGGCTGGTTGAGCGGGTTTTGGCTGGGACAGGAGGCTCTCGCCTGGATCCTCGTTGCAAAGGGTCTCAACCGAAGACGTTCTCGTTGGCATCGTGGCGAGCTCAGTGGACTTGGGCATATTTGGTCGCTAGGCAGCGAATGGGCTGTGCTCGAAGCGGTGGTGATGGCGGTGGTGGTGGTCGCGGCGAGGAGTCCGGTGGCTGCCGATGGGTCTATATAGGCGTTGCTATTTTGAAACTCATTCTGTTTGGGACCGACGAGTGATACCAAGCATCGCTGAAAATGGACTCACTTGGAGTGCGCACGCCGGGCATCCGCAGACAAGACCTGCGGCTTTTTTCTTTGACAAACTCTGATTGCTCATGCCGCTCGCTCTTTCCCGCACTGCAGTCAACCAGCTGGACCAATGGGCCGCAGGTCGAAGGAAAACATTGGCCTTGTGACGCTGCCGCTCTTTGCCAGACCCGCCTGTGACTCACTCAGCTGCCCCGATGGCTCAAGGCCATCAGCCTGGAGGCCATCCCCTGCAGACCCATCCAGGCAAGGGTCGCTCCTTTGCACGATCTGTGCTTGGGCACTGCCTCTCGCAAGCCGCCCGTCTGCGTATGTCAGATCCCGAGGGTACCGCCATCGACGAGGATGCAGTGGCACTGAGCCTCCATCGCCAGGGGGGTCGAGTCGGGGCCGCTTGCTTCAACCACCGCACTCGCACGCTCTCGTTGATGGAGGATATGAATGAAGACGACCATGGCACGGTCGGCTGCACCGGTAGACTCCCGCAGTTGCTCGCCCCGGAACTGCCATTGTTCCGAGGCCTCTGATTCACCGTCGATCGTGGGTCGACCCATCCACACTTTCTGACGCTGGGCACCGGTTCGTCCTTTGCCCTGCCCGAACCCATGTATCCTCGTCTGGATCGGCTCAGTCCTCAACCAGATTGACCCAGAGTTGATATTGGTGTGCCAGGGAAGCTCGGCGGCGAGATATGTCGAGCAGCTCAGATGCGGAATAGGTGAGATACCTTTCCGGCGGACGTCGCATCGATAGAGCACTCCCGCTCCCCACTCCCCATCGATGAGTGACAGGGTCGCTGTGTCGATCACCCGACCGTCGTACCTTCAGACATGCATCTCTCACTGTCACTGATCGAGCACATATCACTCCACCAGCGGACGCTGGCTTCTGGGAGAGACGTCGTCTGGAAATTCTCCCTTCTAGAGAATATGATAGCCGCGCCGGCATGCGAGTCCTGGCAAGCATCCAGCCCTGGCCCAATAGGCCGGAATCAGTCCTTTGGATGGGGCCCGATGACTCATATGACACTTCAGCCCGTGCCATTCATCTTGGCGGCACGGTATCACCCGACTCGCCGCTCATGGTGCGATATGTTGGCAAACCACTCGGCCGTCCGTAATCTTTATGACTCCAGTTTCTCACGGGACCTCATATATCGCGACGGCGTCCCATCATAACCGACAGATAGGAGCTGCTGGGGCATTGATATCCCATCTCAAGAGACACTCACTGCGCTTCCAGCGCAACGATGGGCAATCGGACCACACGAGTAGCGATATCGTGATCGACTCCATTGAACAACTCCATGTGTCGGTACTCGGATGCCTCGCATCTGCATTCGATGGCGCCGGTCCCTGACCTTGTTGCTCCCCACTCACCCCTGTAAATGCGGAGTTACAGCTCAAAATGGATGTATATCAGCCAAGAGTCTATGAGGTTGGTCTTTCTGCCGCATGTGTCGCTTCTGGTACAGCTTGCTCACCCGCTCTGGCCAGATCATTGCGGGTATTCCATGAAGAGACACATCCCAATATGCACAGTCAGCAAACCAAGGAGCAGTGCTCACTGTTTGGTCGGTATGAACGAGAGCGACATGGATGGAAGCCGAATGTCCAGACTCGAAACTGCCTCCAGCACTTGTCCCGGACACCGGTTTGCTCTGCGCCGCAGGACATCACGTCAGAATGACCCATAGGCGGCTATCGAGCTGCGATCTTGAGTATTCATCTCGCCCCCATCGTGCTCGGCTCTGCTACGCTCTACCCTGGATCATACAGGTCTTTTGAATTTCACCAAGTCGTCCGAAGGAAAGGCTCGATTGAGACTGTGGCTGCAGCGACCACTCTGCTCGCAGACAGACATCTCGATCCGCCAGGAGGCGGTCGAGTTTTTTGCTTCTCCTCAGCACTGCGAAACACTCAAGTCCCTGCAGACGACGCTGAGCGGGCTTCGGGGAGTACTGGTATGCACATTCGATGCTGGCGGTACTTGCGGTACTCACTCTGACGATGACGAATCGGCACACAGAAAGCACTTGCATCTCTATGCGGCCCAGCAGTTGCGTATAAGGAGTGGCACAGTCTGGCCCAGGTGCGAAATGAGCGTTGTTTGCATCACAGACTTGTGACTCCCTGCTGATGAGTGGTCCTGGCACCATCAAGCTATGCTTCGCTGCAATCCAAGCACATGCAAAGCTCCATGACCACCGCAGCATACCATTTTTCGAGTCGGTGAGCCATGGATGCATCCGAGTGCATACTGTCTGACGAGTGATCCATTAAGGAGGCTGAGGTGTCGTCACATAGAAGCCTCGATTGTGTGGAAGCCAATTTGCGTTTCGACCCGTCGATTTCATCGGCCACTCACTCGCCGCTGGTCTGCCATCGGCAGATCTCGTCGATGATAGAACAGGAGGCCATCTCCCGCGTGTTCTTCTCCATCCACGAAACTATTGACTTTGATGCCTCCGAGGTCGAGGGACGCACTGTGATCTGCTCGGGTGTCGATCAGGAAGTAGACAGGCTGCGCTCTGAATACTCCAATCTCGAGCAGCTCCTGGTGAGGACGGCCATGACAAACTACGCATCTTTCGCCCGAATCATTCATCAGTTGACTCACCCGACTCACTGCAGTCGCAAATCGCCCGCGAGATGACCGATCGTTTGGATCTGTGGCCGACCCCATGCATCAACGTCGTATACTTTCCGCAAGTGGGTGTGCCACAAGTCCGATCGAGCCGCTGTTGCTTCACATAACCAAAGCATAAGTGCGAGTCACTCATGTCCCACACGCAGCTGGGCTATCTGATTGCGATAGCGTCAGCGTCCTCGGGGACAGTCGACGGTCAAGTCGAGTCACTTCTGACGCTAGAACTGCTGGTGGGTAGTGACAAATCTGCGAATGCTGGATTCGCGAGTGCCAAGCCCGAGCGCACTGCCCACGTTTCGCTCGAGTGGCCCGGAATCGATGCGACAGCATCGACTTGTGGACTAGTTTCACCCGGTCTCATTTCCTTTGGGTGCAGTTCGAGACAGAGGCTTTCCGATACTACAAGAATCCAAGAATGCGAGGTAACCAGCGAAGGGATGCAACCAGCGCGCAAAACACATCGCACCAGCCATCGGCCTAGCATGTGCACCAACACAACTTGGCTGGGATGCAGAGCTCGACGACTCTGTCGGAGATCTGCACTCCATGATTGTCGATTCCGAGCTCCGCGTCGTCCAGGCTCTACAAGACGGCATTCTTGTGCACAAGCACACGATGCGCGAGGCTCTCGAAGCACTCTCCGAGCTTGACTGGTATGCAGGTCGCTGGGTATACTGACAAAGTGCATGTCCGGCCTGCCAATGGGCATGTGTAAACTGGCCTTTCAGAGATTCAAGTTTGCCCAGGCATTCTCGGCTGCCTCGATAGCGGTGTTTTCTGCTAACGAGAACGACGGCGATGTCTCAGCGCCATGTCCCTGGCAGAGGCTGCACAGCGATACGGATACATCCGGCCTGAGCTTAGCAGCGACCCTGTGCTCGTCGTCCACAACGGTCGCCATCCGCTGCTGGAGCAGTCCGTCGGCACTTTTGTGAGCAACAGCACGATCTTGGACGCTTCCGGTGGCAGACCTGCGTCTGCACCTGTAATGCTGCTCATGGGTGCCAACTTTTCAGGAAAGAGTGTCTACATGAGCCAGGTACAGGTGTAGAGGAGTCCGCAGTTGGATTGGTGTCGATAGCCTCTTCTAAAGTAGCCAAGACACTCATCGCCTAAATCTCCTCTTGGTTGCCCCACAGATTGGATTGATCACATTCATGGCACACATCGGAAGCTTTGTTCCAGCAGACGCTGCTCTCATTGGCATCACCGACAAAATCTTGACACGGATGGAGACTAGGGAGAGCCAAAGTCGAGTGAGTGGTTCAAAGCCGAGCTCCAGCCCTTTACTTCTGTGCTCAAATGGGCCCCGACTCTTTTCCGTGGCAACGCTCTGCGTAACGATCCAATCGTTGGGCTGGAGCATGATGCGACCAAGGGCAGCGTTCACTGATTGACAAGAACCCGCCAGAACTGCAGTTCGTTTCTCCTGGATGCCTACCAGGCTTTGCAGTGCCTGAGGCTCTCGACACATAGATCCTTGATCCTCATCGACGAGTTTGGAAAGGGCACCTTGACCACCGGTAAATCGAAAGTGCTCCACGCCTGAGACTGTAGCAAGCTTGGAGTAAGCGAACTCACAATGATGGCCGGACGAAACCTCGTAGATGGGGCCGGACTCTTTTGTGGAATATTGAAGCACCTGACACAACGAGCCCAAAGCTGTCCACGGGCGGTGGCCATCACCCACTTTCACGGCAAGTATGATCATCGTCGACAGGCACCTGTCAATCGAATTCTTCGGGAAAGCCACTTTGGATGCTTGAGCTCGACAGTTGCTCATTGCAAAAGTGCCTCGGGGCCCGCAGAAATCATGTCCAAGAACCTACTTTCAAGCGAAATCAGCCTCGGCTCTGTCAGCTGCCATCACATGCACATCATGCAGAACCCGACTCGGACAACCGAAGGAATCGTTTATCTGTACAAGTGTGTGTGCCGCCGACCCTGCTTCTGATGCTTCTGATGCTTCTGATGCCTCTGATGCGGCAGGCCGCTACCATAATTGTTCCCGCTGTTGCTCAAATGCACCCATGCACCTCTTGCCTGTCCAAGCCCAGTACTGCAACGCAGCTGACAACTGCGACTCGCCCACACTAGAGTCACACCCGGCCCTCCTTTGTCATCTTGCGGAATTCACTGCGCCAAGTTGGCCGGTCTTCCAGGCAGCGTCACGGATCGTGGTATGAGCGACTCAGCTGCCTCATGCATCGCACTCCGCTGATGACGCGCCTCTTCCAGCCCAATCCGTCGCAGATTCCCTGGCCGCAGGAGCATGCTTGGTTCCGCGGTCAGACCGAGTTGGATACGACCCAGAATCAATCCGGCTCGCACTTGATGCTTTCAGAACGATCGATCTGGACCAAAGTGACTTGACCGCTCTATGGGATCAAATTTGACACCGACACTCGCTCAGGGTGTCGTGGAAACACAGTCATACCCCCAATTGTGCATCGTACACTCCCTGAGCTCATTCATCTCGAGTGATATTGCCGAGGACCGCATTCATGTTGCTGCACACACACACAATGATCACGTGGGCTTGTGAACCCACCGATCTCCTCAAAAAAGCCGTCCTGCAGCGCCATTCCGCCCCTTCTCGTTTCTGCTGTTCGCCCGCCTCCCCGAGACGCTGGAAGCACCGAGGACCGCCGGTGTGTGTCTGTTTTCTGCGTCCGCCACAGTGTCTCTCTTGATTTCCCTGCATGGATCAACCTCGGCATCCCTGACACCCAAGCGATCGCTCCATTGTTGTTGCAGATTCCAATTCCAATTCCCAAGCGCAACCAACTTCTGACCGGCTTTGAGAATGATGGCGCTTAGCTCAGTTGCATCCACGGATCTCAGTACGCTTCCGATCACCGAGGCGGACCGCCTGAGGGCTGAGGAGGTATGTTGTGGCAGTGCCACGGTCTGATCATGTCGACCTGGCTCATAAGGAGAAGGATCTGCAGCATCCGGCACGACACCAGCAGGAACTTTGCTCGATGCACCAGTTCAGATCGGTCCAGTTCAGATCGGTCCAGTTCAAATTGGTCCAGTTCAAATTGGTCCAGCGCATCTACCCAGATCATTGCTTACGCTGATGAAGGTCGCTGGAGATGAGCGGCGTGTTCGACCCAAACGGCTGGACTGCCAGTTGAGCAAGCCAGCAGCCGCTGTTTTGGAGGCCCCGTTCTTGGGCAGTCTTTCTCTGAATGCTCATGACCCCTTCTGCATCTGCATCCACAGGAAAAAGAAAAGGCCAACAAACTGTTTGCCAACAAAAAGTATCATGAAGCCGCTGAGCGGTACACCGATGCAATCTCGTTCAATCCGACCGTGCCAGCATACTATGCAAACCGCGCTTTTGGTAGGCGAGCCGGGCGATTCACAATATCGGCATCGTGGCGATGCCACCGCTAAAGCCTCTGGCACTGACCATGTGTGGTTTCTGTGTGGACAGCCTACATCAAAGAAGAGTACTATGGCGCCGCCATCCGCGATGCTGACAAGGCCATAGAGCTTGACCCAGGGTAGGCGATCCGCTGTTTCCATGGTCTCGAGTGAGTGGTACTGATCCTGGCATCGACCTGACAATCCCCTGGCCGATTGCATCGATGTAGGTACATCAAAGGCTACTATCGGCGAGCAGTTGCCAATATGGCGCTGAACAAGTTCAAAGGTACGAGCCGTGCCACCCAACGCTGTTGTATTCTGCCGTACCGGCCCGCGGCAGGCTTGGTAGCATCCCACTCACACTGTCTTCGTTCACATGCTCACTCATGTCATCTCCGATGCATTCCAGAGGCCGTCAAAGACTTCCGGGCGGTGGTCAAGGTTGCCCCCAAGGATGCGGATGCAAAGCAGAAGCTCACCGAGTGCGAGAAGGAGCTGCGCCGCCAGGAGTTTGAGAAGGCGATCATGGTCGACGATGAGCACAAGGTCAGCATCATCAAGCAGCTCGGCGATCTCGAAGCCATCATTGTCGAGCCAAGGTGAGCCTGGTGGAAGCTGGCACCGATCAAGCATAAACGCTCCATGTGGTGCTCTGGTCGAGAGAGGGAAGCAGGGTGCGGACACATCCGACTTGCGCAATCGGCTTTGCATACAGAACGCGCGGCACAGCCACTCCCAGCTCATCATACGCCTGTGTGTGAACTCGATTGGATGCACTACCGCCTCCGCAGCTACGATGGCCCTCATATGACGGACGACGGCATCACGCTCGAGTTTGTCACCCAGATGATGGAGCATATGAAGAAACAGAGCAAGCTGCACAAAAAATATGCACTCAAGCTGATGATCGCGTGCAAGGAGCTGTTTGAGAAGCAGCCCCCAATCGTCAAGATCGACATTCCCGAAGGCGCCAAGATCACGGTCTGCGGCGACATCCATGGACAGTTCTATGACCTCCTCCATATCTTCGAACTCAACGGACTGCCCTCGCCCACAAACATGTACCTGTTCAACGGCGATTTCGTGGACCGTGGCTCGTTCTCGGTCGAATGCATCCTCACGCTCCTGGCTTTCAAATACCTGTACCCCAACGCCTTCTTCATGTCCCGCGGCAACCACGAAACTGACGACATGAACAAAGTCTACGGCTTCGAAGGCGAGGTCAAGGCAAAGTACTCGGACCTTACTTTCAAGCTGTTCTCTGAGATCTTCAATGCTGTTCCGCTCGGCAACCTGATTGGCGAGAAGATCCTGGTCATCCATGGCGGTCTGTTCTCGCGCGATGGTGTGACTCTCGACGAAGTAAGCCCGCACATTGATTGCAACTCTGCCACGACTAGACATCACAGCCGTCCGCTGCTGTGTCCTTGATCTCGCTGCAATCCCTGCGCAATGCCGGGCCTATCCGTCTGACCCAAGTGCAGTATCCGCTGAATTCGTTGCACTGACTCTCACGACAATGCCCTGCCTGTGCGCTCTCGACCTCCCTAGCTTTATGCCATCGACCGCTTTAAGCAGCCCGGCAACGAGGGTCTCATGTGCGAGCTGCTGTGGAGCGACCCACGAATGCTGCCCGGCCGTGGTCTCAGCAAGCGTGGCGTTGGCATCCAGTTTGGCCCAGACGTCACCGAGGACTTCCTCCGGACCAATAACCTGAAGATGATCATCCGCAGCCACGAAGTGAAGGACGAAGGATACTGCATCGACCACGACGGAAAGTGTAAGTGATGCTGCTGTGTAGTGGCAGCTACACAAACAGCCATCGACCAGTGGAAGGCGTAACAATCTTCCTGCTCTGATGCACATCTACATGACACCGGCACATGCAGGCGTCACCATCTTTAGTGCGCCCAACTACTGCGACAGCGTTGGCAACAAGGGCGCCTTCATCACCATCACACCTGATCTGGAGCTGAAGTACACCAAGTTCGAGGCCGTTCCGGTAAGCGATCCCTCGGTTTGACCGAGATGACAGCACTCTGGCACATTCTGGGGCCAATCGAACAGCGACGCCGCTATCTGAGGGATACTTCTCATTCGTCATTCTACTCCCAACGTTACCCGGAACTCGCGTCCACGATCAGCACCCGCCCGTGAAACCGATGCAGTATGCTGGACGGTTTGCAAGCATGTTCTAGAAGGGCGATCAAAGTCACAAAGCTTCGGCCTGGTGTCGCCGTGTACAGCCAGCGAGTTGTTGGGATAAGGCACGAACCATCGCCGAGCAACTACTGGAATCACCGCTGTGGCGAAGCATGTGCCAGGTCGAAGAACACAAATATGCCCGCACGGATACGTCATCCGCCCAACTTGTTGCGGCCAGCCAAAGCCAACACGACCAGAATCGGCAGCCGACATCCCAGTGAACTTTGGTGGCCTTTGAGCAATGCGCTTTCTTCGCCCACCTATGCCTGCTCTTCCTGTTTTCTCTTTTGACACCCTCTTTGGACTATCTTTGCATCGACCCTGGACTCTTCCCTGTGCCACTGAGACTTTCTTTCGCTTCACAGGAGCTTCTTTCACTTGAATCTGATATTCATCGCCCTTCCTTTCTCGAGCCAATAACTTGCTGCATCATGGGTTTTGCGCCAAAAGCTCCTGAGTGCGTGCGGGTTTGTCCCGAGCAGCGCTTGTTCTTATATTTGCAGAAGGATCGCCAATGGCTTACTTTTTTTTTGTTGTTGTTGTTGTTTTGAGCTGAGCAGCATCGCCTTTGGACATTTAACTCTCGACAACCGTCGTCGTTTTGCGTGCTCGTTGTTGTGTGGGTTTCTGGATCAGAGGTTGAACGGCACAACCAAGACAGTGACAATGAAGAGAGTTGACGCAAAATGCAGACACGGCTCCCATAGCGTTGGCTGCCGGTCATTACGTGGCATCGACATCTTGAGACCGGCCGCGAGCGTTCGAAGACGACGCAGACGGGCTCGATCTGTATCTTGATCTCGGGGTGCTGGCCGGCTCTGTGCTCAGGCAAACTCCTGCAGCACCGCCTGGACTGGCTCTGGAACCGAGTCCAGCAGAGAACGAGGGCTGACGTTATCGGCATCGGCGACGTCCAGACCGGCACCTGCGACACGACCGGTGGATGCAAAACAAGCGCAGATCGGAAGCCGAAAGTGAGAGGGACGTGGGCAAGAACCAGGAGCATTTCAAACGAGCAATGCGGCGACGACTGTACCATGAGCCAGAAGATACCGAATCGACTCAGTGTTGCCAAGCTTGATGGCCTGTGACGGGAACGACACCTTGGTGAGCGATCGGCAAACGTGCAGCTCGGCAGGCAATAGTGGCAAGTAAAGCGATCGAATGAACCCAGTCGAGCGGTTGAGGACTCAGTGGCCAACAAGCAACCGAAACCCCGATAGAGCAAGATCCTGCCCACCTCCAAGAGCGGGGTGCTGCCTGTCTTGTCCCGATGATTCAGGTTGGCGTTGCTCTGGGCAAGGATATCGATCATCTCCAGGTCAAGATTCTTGGTCGAGGCAAGAAAGACGGCAGTCTTGCCGCTGGCATCGGGCAGATCGACAGAGCATCCCTTCTCGATCAGCAGCTGGACGACGGCGGCGTGGCCGGGCGCTGGAGCCTTGGTGTGGCCGAGGACAGCAAGAGAAATGTAGGAAAAGTCGAGGAAGGATTCCTTGCGATTCAGGGATGGACTTGGCTCGGCAGAGAGAGCCTAGCCCAGCACATATCGACCGGGCAAAGGCACGGGATAACGTCAGCTCTTGGATGCATGGACAGCTGCCTGCTCTGATCTCCATGTGCTCTGCAGGCTGAGCACTGGTTCTGTCGAAAAAAAGCCTACCGCATGAACCTGCTCCAGATCGCCGCTAAAGCACGCCTTTCCGAAAGGTGACAGCATCTTGGCTGGGTCGAAGAAGAAAAACACCCCAGCGTACCACTTGCGGATCGCCGCTCCGTGGTTCTTGCCCATGAAGGTGGGCCGTGAGAGGAGACGGCGGACCTCGCTGGGGATGTATTGGTTCGGAGCCGAGGAGGACGAGTACATGGCAGAGCTGTGTGGGCCGAGGTGGTGCTTGGCAGGCGGCAGCGACGAGGAAGGAGAGGATATCGTTGTCGAGATGAGGGTGGAGACGTGGGCGAGGACGAAGGTGCGGAGAACGACCCACAAAGGCAAATCGCGAGACCAATGATCGAGCTGCCATGATGACCGGCAGCAGCAGTCGTGAGGACGACTCAATAAGGGCCGCTGGTGAGCCCCGTAATATATTTTGCCCGAGACGGAGTGTTCGATATCTTCCTGAGGAGCCATGCATCGGGGCCATGCATCGAGGCCATGCACAAATGTCCAAATCGCAACAGCAGTGTCGCTCTCAGACAACCGCCTCCATCTACATGTTCGACCCCCGAGTTCGTCGTTCACCGAGCCAGCAGTCCAGACATCCATGCCGACATCAAGGTGTCACCGAAGGGAGCACGGTAATTGTTGATTCTGGATTGAGGAGCAGCAGCTCTTGGTCTGCGTCTGCGTCTGTGGTGGCCAGCGGCCGGTGTGGCCAAAAGTGCTGTAGAAGCTCAATGAGCCCTGCGAGAGGCCAACCGAGGATCATCGCATACAATGGGATTGTCCCCGAGTCCGCACTGTCACCACCACATTTGTCTCCAATGCTTTCGCAGAGCTTGATGATGTCTTGCTTGCAGATCGGACACAGCCGAGTGTGTCGAGTGAGCCATTCGCTGATGCTGAAGGACCAAGTCAACTGCGTCAGTGCTGCAGTTGAAAGTCTGAACTGGTCCACAGTCCAGCCGACCACAATTGATGTGCTTCTCGACGTATCGCACCACTTACCACTGGTCATGGAACATGTGGTGGCAGGGTAGCCTCCGAACATGATTCCCACACTCAAAGTCGTCCATGCAGATGACACACGAGTCCTGAACGACTGTGCAGAATCCGCCTGGTGACGATACCTTGGTGGCAGGAGCAGAGGCAGCGTCAGGCGGTGCCGAGGCCCCATTCGCTTGCTCTGCGGCCAGACCCAGATCTTGCTCGGTCAGGACCTTGACTGGGATTCCGAGGCTCGTCAGCTCCACTGTCACGGGCGGCACAACGTCGCTGGAAACGTAAAACGCCAGTCGCCGATAGTAGTACATGTTGCGGCAGAGGAGTCCAAGACCAAAGAGAAAGGTCATGATCCAGGTGCTCATCAGGAACTCAAACAGTAAATTGATCAGCAGATCGTAGACGCCGTGGGTGAGCGGGTTGAGCTGATACAGGTTCTCGTGGACCCACTCGGGGCGGAGACCGAGGCTGATGCTCACGATCAGAAAGGCATCAGACTCGCCAAGCAGACGCACGGCCGTGTATGCCTCGCGGAGAATAGTGCCTTGGTAGTGGGAAAGGAAGGCCGACCAGATGTGGATTTCTTCAGCAATGCCAAGCGACTTCATCCGGATGAGCCCTCGGAGCCCATTCATATTGCCCGACGGGTGAATGGCCATGCGGTCGTAGATGAGAACACCTGAGAAACCGGCATTCTGGAGATTCCAAACCTTCACCTCGAACGAGCAAGACCCTCTCTCGACGAGAGCGACCCAGCGGATAGCCTTTTGGGTGGAGATGGCCGGCAGATCGATGTTGAAGGGGTAGCAGGCGCCAGAATCAATGGCGATCAGTGGGAATGTGCCCACGGAGGAGTAGTCGATCGGAGTGCCAAACTCGGCCTGGATGCCCATCATGGTCTGGTGCTCTGCCGGAATCTGGATGAGATCGTCGCTGATGGTGATGTTGACGAGCTGGCTGTAGTCGACCGTCTGGATGGCAGGAGAGGAAGAGCCGACATGGGAATGAACTGTGGATATGCCCAGCAGCAGGCCGATCCATCCGTGTGCTAGTCGGTGCATGGTGGTGGTGGTGGTGTGATGAGCAGAAGCAAGCGAGAGATGCAGAGCAGACTCGGGCTGTGGGTCTCGCACACCGTATCTATAAGGAAACGGGGAGGCGCAGGGTCTTTGAACCGAATAATGCCGATATCAGGTGGCATCCAACGAAACAGGGCGTTCTGCACAAAGCCAAAGGCAGGTCGGTGCTCCGCGACAGTAGCCGCTGTCTCTATCGGCCATCGGGAGAGGGATGAATATGGCGATCGGCAGGAGAGGCTATGCGCAGAGAGCAAACAAGACCAAGAAGACAATGCCAGACTCGACAATGCAGGACGACCGCAGTGTACTCGGGCCAATCACAGTGCCCAGCAGCCAAGCGCACTATGTCAAGCAGATGGACCATCCAGAGCCGCCCTGGTTGGCGAGCGAGTGCTCCATTGTCCCAACGCACGACCGACCGCAGCAGCAGGACCTTGTACTCTATCGCCGTCATCATGTGCCCCCCAAACGGATGTCGATCCTTGCGGACCATGAATCGGGTCAGATGTCACAGTGCGGCAACACAGAAATCAAATATGCCATGTTGTGTTGCGCTACTGGTGATGGCGATACGGTTGGACACGTTGGTTGGGCATGTGTGTATTGAAGATCCAGAAACAAAGAAGTGATCTTTGGCCTCAAAAGCAAGTGTCCCGTTTCGCGAACGCTGGTATCTCGATGAGGATCACCAATCATTATCCTGCCAACCCTGTCCAGATCGAGCAGGTCGGCTGGCGCTCTCGGCCTCCCAGCGCTTCAGTTCCTGTCCGTTTTCGCTCCAGCCCCAGAATCGGACTGGGGTGTTGATGATTGCACGTCGACGAGGGCCATGGTCAAGATCGCCGTGAAATTTGATGTTGGAGTCCACAAAAGTCGTCGCAAAGCGCGGTCGAGTATCGAGCATGGTTTGATCGGATGGGATGCCAGGGTGGTTGCATCAGAGCAGACACGAACAGACGAGAGGAGGGATCAGCGATCTTGCCAACTTGCTCCAGCTGTATCAATCGCAGCACAACGATCGAGAAGCCAGCAATGCGAGCGAACCAGCGCGTCGCCACAGCCAGGATGGCGATCTGAGTTGCCATTTGAACCGATCCATGTGTCTCGATTCGAAGCCGGTGCGACGATTGAGTCGCGACACCTCGTGCTGGTTATCTGGAGACACCGTCGACTCCAGTATGCCGGTCGTGCGATGCCTCGAAAAACACGACCTGGTCCAGAGTCCTGTGCCATACTGGAGCCCAGAATTGACCGACAAACAGGACAAGCTCGAACAGCTGACGAGCAGAATCGGCTGGACACTCAGATATCACGACTCATCATAGGGATTGAGAGGAGACTTACAGTAGGATCGTTTGCAGGCAACAGCAAAGCCCAGGGCAAAGAAGAAGGGCACTTGGACAAGCATGGAGCGGGTCAGGTACTTTCTGGGGACGGTAGGCGAGAAGTGCTCTGGATGCGGACAAGAGTGTTAGTATCGCTCGCAAAAGATGCATATCCAGATCCAGATCCGGATCTGGATCAGGACAGAGCTGATGCGGAGGTCGATGTCGCATGAGGAAGCTCAGGGCGTCGATCCGCCATGGCTCGGGTGATTGCATGGACGGGCGAGGATCAGCAGTCAGCAAACACGGCAGAGGGACAGATATGAAACAATCACACACCCCAGGCAATGTGGGCGGCAGGGAAGCCGAGGCCGATGGAGCTCATGACGAGGACGTCCGAGGCACGGAAGTAGGAGACCAGATCCTTGACGTGGGGCTCGGTCTCGATGACGGTGTAGGGAGTGTGGTCCGAGTCGGGGAGGCCGCTGAAGAACTTCATGATGCCGGCGGGTGCTGCAGATGTGAGCTGAGGGCGAGCTTTGGATCGGACGGCAGGGCAAATGGCCGGTCGAGGATGATGGATGCAGAGCGTCCGACGGCCGATGCAAGCGATGCGATGCGATGCGATGCGATGGACAGCGACGCAATCCAAAGAGCGCCCAAATGCCAGAAAAAGGAAAAAATCGCTTTCGAGGGCGAGGGCCGGTTGCAGCCAGCCGGGTGGTTGCAGCCGGCTGGATCGCGCACCGCCCACGTGTTCGGCGTCTGTGCTTGGCTGGCCTCGGCTGCCCCATGTCCGTCGCCATGTCCGTCGCCATGTCCCGACGAACGCACTCTCTGGCTGGACCGCCACTTGTCGCCAAGCAGGCCTCCGCAGGTGGCTGTTTATTCATGCACTCACTCGTTCGTTTCTTGCTCTCTGCTGCACCCACACACCCCGCAACAACCACTCCTCGGTTCCGATTCCACACAGCCAACACTATCAAGCTGACAGAGCTGCTCAGTAGTTCTCCTTGGCGACCGTGGGGAGGACCTCGTTGTCCTTCTTGATGACGCCCAAGTGCAGGATGCGATCTCCCGCCATCGCCACCGGATTGGAGCTGCGTCCGATTGTCTGATCGAGGGGCCACACAAGAATGTAAGATCGACATTATGATCTCGCACAGACAGACACATAGCCATGCAGCCCAAGAGCATTTCCCCTCCCCATGATATCGTGTGGAGTCTTATGGTAACCCCTGTATCCGCTCCGGCTCGCTTCGCTGTCTGTCCAACGCACACGATCTACGAGGGAGGGCTGTCCACTTACCACTCCGTGACTCGGCGAGTAAATCTCGTCCACGATGTTGCCAAAGATATTCTTGATCCGAGCAATGAGGTCGCCCTTGCGCACGACCGTGTTGACCGACGGATACACCTCGAGCACCCCTCCCGTTTTAGTGTAGATCCAAAAGCCGCGCGAACATATGATGGTGTTGGGCGGTGGCGGGATCACCGCGCCTTCGGCGGAGTTGGCGTTGATTCCGTCGGATTTGAACATGTTGAGATAGGACAGAATGCGCATGACACCCATGTACGACCACTGCACGTACTGGTTCTGGAGCAGCTGTGGGTTGCCGATTTCGACCGTGATGGCCTTGATACCGCGGGAGCTTGCAGCCGATCGAAGGGTGCCTGAAGTGGTGGAGATTTCAATGAGAACATGGGTTTCCGTCAGAGGCGAGCCGTGGTTATCTTGAAAGATCATCTCTTTACCAAGCCTGCCGCAGCACGCTCATTCCTCTGCCTCAGCTAACACTGATTGCATCCGTTTGTTCCCTCGCACTCCAATACATACCGTCTTGGCCACTGTTGTGAAGAATGATTTGCGGTTGCTGCAGCTTTGCCATGATGGCACTGACGGGGTCGTTCATGTCACTTCGTACATAGTATGAGTTGATCCGACCAAAGCTGGCGGTGTGCAGGTCGATCAAAAAGTCAAAGTGGTTGATGATCTTTGTGATGAGCATGTGTGCGTAAATCTGGCTGGCGGTGCCGTTCTCGTTGCCAGGGAACAGGCGGTTGAGGTCCTTGCCGTCGCTGAACTCGCGAGTGAAGCGCAGATAGCCCGGGACATTCACGCAGGGAACGGCCACAACGGTGCCCTTCAGCTTGTAAACATCAATGTCGGTGATGACTCGATGGATGCAAGGCACACCGTTGAGCTCGTTGCCGTGAACAACTGCCGTGATTCCCACCTATGAACCACAAAAGTATCGAGCATATGGTTATTCTAGCGATTTGAGGCCTGGCACCAAGAGGGAGACCCGGCCAGAGTGTGTGCAATCATCACTGCCTTTCCAAGAGCAGCTTTTGAGGCGCCGCACCAAGCGACTGTTTGCCACCTTTGATATGGCGTGCCTACTTACTACGGGTCTGATGCCAAGATAATCCATCGGGGCACACATTATGGGATAGCAAGTGGATCAGTGGCGGTACAACTCGGCGCCAGCGGGGTGTACATCCACTATCCGCACCCACGGATGCAGCAGCAGGGAGCAGGGAGCAGGGAGCAGGGCGAGTGTGTATCTGGAGGATCGTGCCCCACAGCCTGGCTGATGTGCGCTGTCATTTTGCGAGCAACCTACCCTTCTTCGCTGCCTCGCGCAATGATGACGGGCACCCGGAGCCACTCGGACAGGCCTTGCTTGACCATGTTGATCCAGAGCGTGCTGATTTTGCCGGTCGGAAACTCGGAGATTGCCAAAGAGTCGCGCACCGTCGGCGGAGGCACTTCGCTCTCGTTCTGGAATCTGGCGCTGAACACGGGTGGGCGATAGTGACGGGCACTATCCCAATACATGAGCGGCAGGATCGATGAGGCCTCGTTGAGATCCGAAATGCTGTGGGTGGAGTCGAGATCCTTGCCAAAGCCCCAGGCAGGCTGATCATCAAAGACAATGATGGAGCCCTTGCGGTGGATCGGTGGCCGCTGCGGCTCGCTGGTGATGGAGTCGCGGCGAGGACGGCGGATATCGGCTTGGATGATCAGAACCGTGGCATCTTGGTGTCCTGCAGATCACAGAGGAGGGGATTATCATCAAAATATTGATAGTCGGGTCGTACCGCAACCCGCCTCTCAGCGAGATAGGGCGACATTTAACAAGATCCAGCGATAGTTCGTGGCTGGGTCCGCACCTTTCCTCGACGGCTTGTCTTGCCCCGGGACAGGAAGCATGCCCTCAAAGTGCCGCGGCTTTGCCTCGTCCAGATCAGCCTTATTCAAGGGTGTCATGGCAAATCCCGTTGGATCGGACTCGTCGTGGCGCTCGCACGTCAGAGTTTCGCCAGGCAGGATCGTGCGCTCGCAGATGTCGCCGTCGAGTTTGACCTTGATGCCGCCGCTGATGACATAGACGATGGTGAAGGCGCCAAGGAGGATCTTGCTGGTTGGATTGGCGGTTTCGTCGTCGCTGCCGCGAGAGCGGGAGGACGAGCGATGGCGGCTTTGCGGCGTCGGAGTAAAGTTGTGGTTCTCGTTGCAGATGCCGTCGTCGCTCAGACCGTGCGGGCAGATGGTCTCGAGGCTGACCGACACCTGTGTGTACTTGCGATTGGCCATGAACGTAAGCAGCTTCAGCGGCGAGGATTTGACGTGGCAGGCCGTGGGCCAGGAGCCGTTGTAGGTGTATGGTACCAACGGCTTGAGTGGAAAGGCTGTCTCCTGGTCATTGTGGTGCAAAACGGCCGGCGCACTGATCGGTGTCTTGGTATGGGCGATGTAATCCTCGCCAGGGAGCAGAACCAGAGCCATATCGTAGCCAGGAAGCACCGAGAGCGAGCAGTTGTCGCGTACGGTACTCAAAGACAGTCGCCACAGGAACTGATCCTTCTCAAACTGGCGCTTGGGCGGATAGATGGCAACCTCGAGAGTCTCGCCGAGACCGTTCTTCCACGGAACCGTCCCGGCGTTGTCGATTTTGTAGACAGTGACCTTTGGGAGATCTGGCAGGAGGGAGGCAGGATGGCGACGACAGAAGGCAATCGAGCGCCGCCCGTTGAATCGAAGATGTAAGTGTGCGGCAGCATAGGAACGGCGCGGATGGTGCCACGAGCAGCCCGGAAAGTGTATGTGGGAAGACGGGTTCGATGGAGGACAAGCCGCATGAAGGCCGTGTCTCATGAAGGTCGTGTCTCATTCAAGAACCAGACCAACGGGAAGCGCTACCAACACCATGAGCACACTGATCCGCGACCATCGTGAACGCAGTCAAAGGGACATGAGCCGGTGCGGGAGCTATTGCGCTCGACAAGAGTTCCCTTGGCCGAAACAACACACAGAAAGCATCAGGGCGGCGGCAATCGCGCATTCATTCCATTCCGACACCAAGGTTTGCATACCAACTTTGAGACCCTCGTCCTGTCGCTCGAGAGACGGATCGTTGCCGTCGCCGCTGGACGAGACCTTTTTCATGTCTTGATCGCCGCCGTCGTCAATAGATGCCTCCTGATCGAGATCCACCAGAGTGTTGTTCATGGCTTCAGCGGAAAGAGGTGTCGTGGCCGGTTGGGCTAAGGGCTCGTCAGGGGATGGCTGGCCAGGGAAGCGGGCGAAACGAGTGGGCGAAGAAAGGACCGGTGCGGGCTGGGCGGCAACAGAGCTGGATAGATTTGGATCGGGCCCGGCGGATGGCTGAGCGGATCTCTGAAGTACTTTGCCGATCTGACGAGAGTGCAAGAACGACAAGCTGGATCAGAGACAGAAAGTGTGTGGAGTGATCGCGTGGAAGCAAGGATCAGTGCAGGGGATGAGCAAGAGAGTGTAGCGGGCGAGAATGCAGAAATCGCGGGGGGGAATGCGATAATGGAGCGATGCCGGGATGTGGAGTGCGTTGGACCAAAAATGAGACCCAATGGACGAGTGGCAAATCGACACCAAGCGGGCTGTGGGAGAGCAGCAAACAGAAGCAATAGCGAACCAACGGTAGTGGCCGAGTGGGGTAGTCCTGCAGATCGGAGGGCACGGAGCAGATGTGGGAGAACCCAGGAATGTGCCAGGGAAAGGGGGAGGCCTATGGGCGATGAGGGCAATTGCGGTAGTCGGAGCCGGCGATGATGCCGACAGCGGTGATTGGGGAGCAGGGTTTGGAATCAAGCGGGAAGCAAACCGCCCTGCCCCGCCCCGCCCCGCGCGGCCAGCGAGGAAGTGATCGAGAGGATGGGAGACGGACGGGAGGCGGATTGCCCGAAGGCAGGAGCAGGCCGATGCTGCAGAGAAGCTCTGGAATGACGATGGATTTGTCGGGACACACCTTGGCCGCCCAGCGGCGGATGGGTTCCACGGATGCAGGCATGACAGGGGAGGGAGCCTGAGCAACTTGGTTTTGGGTAAAGAGGAGGCAGTTGGATGATTGGAGAGGATGAGAGTCGAGCGATGGAAACGACTCTAATGGAGATAATTGCAATGGAAGCGATTTCGATGGAGGAGATTGAAATGGAGGCGATTGCGGACGATCTGCCGCAACAGGCGGTCGGACGACCGAGCCGAGCAGCCAGGCCGTGTGTTGATAGTGTTCGATATTGGTTGTCCGCAACAGTCCTCAAAGCCATATGTCGATGGGGATCCTGTGCGAAAGCGTCCGACAGCCAGACGGACCCAAACATGTCATTTGCACCGGAACCAAAGCACATTGCAACCACTTTAATACCAGTGTATGGCTCGGGTGAATGAGGATAGGAAGTGGCTCCAGCACAGGCCGGGGCTGTCGCTGCTGCACGACAAACCGAAATCAGTGGGCGGCATCAGGAGAATCCACATGCATTCACGGCTATGCATATCATCAAGTGCATTCACCCAGTGACGTCCACACATCCACATCCACATCCACATCCACATCCACATCCACATCCACATCCACATCCACATCCACATCCATATCCACATGGAGAGCCCCCATGAGCAGCCGTCCAGTGACACACACGTGACTCTTGATGCACTCGAGCCTGCCGACGCGCACTCGAGCCAGCGCCCGTTCATCAAACCCCATATGGGCATATGGGGGCTTCATTCGCGGCGCGCTCTCGCCCTGCCCGCCCTCGTCTGCTCTCGCCCGCTCTCGGCTGTCCTCGGCCTCGCCTCCTGGCAGGATTGGCTGGAGTGCGGCTGGCTGCTTTGGCTCGGCCGTGGTTTGGGCCGGTTTGGTCCGGTTTTTCTTTTTTCACTATCGAGAGCGCCTGCTTTTGTGTTGCTTGCGGCGCTGCCTTCTCTTGCCCTCCATCTCCCGTCTGCTCTCGCATCAGGAATTCGACAACGATGGCTGCTGTTCGTGCCTCTGCCCAACGCATCGACTGGACCTCGCTGAGCGCCAAGCTCAAGCCCGAGACCGTCGCCTCCCTCAACGGCTTCCGAAGACGGCACGCTGAGCTGACCAAGGTCGTTCAGGAGCTCAAGGAGTCCAAGGGCGCCATCGACTTTGCCCACTACCAGAAGGTCCTGAAGAACCAGAAGGTCGTCTCCGATGCCCAGTCTGCCTTCAACTCCTTCAAGCCCGCTTCGTATGACCTGAAGGAGCAGCTCCGCATCATCGACCAGGAAGAGGCCAAGGCTGTAAGCATCGCCAATCCCGTTTCTCCTCGTTTATTCCTTGTGATCGATCCACTCTTTTCGCATCCCGCTGCTGCGTGCACGTTGCGCCATACCGCCTCCCTTTCCACGGATATCCTCCATTTCATTCCCTGTGTGTGCTCATGTGCCGTCGCGCTGCCCAACTGCAAGCGCACGCCCAAAATGGTTTCCTCCGGCAACATATCTGGCGGATCGCCCACCGTGTCGAGTTGCTGTAACGGACTACATGCGATCGGGATATATGTGGATCAGAGATACGGTTCATCCCGGGACATCGGTTACGAGCACTGTGATCGAACGCGACACCGTCTCGCCTTGGGGCAACCGCACGGACGACGGAGGCCGAAACACCACAGTGTCGTCGCGTCAACATGGCCCCGTCAACGTCGCTTCCCTCCAGCCTTGCGGGCAATGGGCCTCTCTCCCACCAACTTGGTGTGGCCCTCTGTGAAGGATGCGCGGCGACATGGTATTCGGCAACAGTGGACACATCAGCGTTTGGCCGGAGCCGACCGACACATCGGGCGAGCGAATGACAGGGACATGCCTGTGCATCTGGATACAGCTGGACATCCCCGGATCTCAACGAGGATAGCCTGTTGCAGAGCTGTGATCATATCATCAGCACTTGCTTGCTCGATGTGAGCCGGCGACACCTCCTCCCCCACAATGTGCAACACCTCATTGTATGATATACATGCTCCACCCCCTTTGTTATGGTGTACCGTGTACAACAACGCTAACCGCTGGAACTCTGCTGTCATCTGTAACCCCCAGGTTGCCGATGCCCAGAAGACTGCTGCCAAGATCAACGCCGAGCTTGTTGAGCTCAAGCAGCTCCTCACCCACATCGAGACCGCCAGACCCGTCGACCAGCTCACTGTAGGATCGCGTTCCACCCAGCTTCACGCCTAGTCATCGCAGATGAGAGACACCGGTTTCAAACCTCTCAACACCCCTGTCGGTGTCACTCGGATCAATCTGGCTTACTCGCGTGTCTGTTTCTTCTCCAGGTTGATGATGTCGCCCAGGCCTTGCCCGAGCTCGACCAGACCGTCGCCAAGATGGTCAAGCGTGGACAGTGGACCATCCCTGGCTACTACGAGCGGTAAGCAGCAATCAGTCTGCCCTGCTTGCAGCAATGTGACTCGCACCGGCCGCCGCTTGATCTTTGCGGCCTGCCTGCCTGCTTGCTTACCCAGTCAGTCAGCCATCCCCGACCGAGATCCGGACTGTTGCTAACTGTATATCTACGCCCTGTCCGTGCTGCAGCTACGGAGAGTTCGTCGTCGGCCTCTAAATGCACCACCAGAAGCCGTTGCGAAAGCGTGTCTTTCATCGCGTGCCGGAGCCCATACCGCCAATACACTCATGTATTTTTGTCGTGACTCGCGAACCGTCTCGTGGACTGGCCCGAGGAGAGCTCTCGGATCCCGAGTGCGATCTCTTTGTCATAATGGAATGCCCTCTAATACACCCCCACATACATTGGGATGCCCCGATCGCCGATCCACCTGTGCATCCTGTGCGCCAGCACCGACGTACGCCACAGCTGCGGTCTTGGCGCACCGGGATGGGCACCCGCTTGGTCCATTTCCACATGGCCGTGTGCACCGCAATCGCAGTTCTGCTCAGCAACCAGCGTATTTATGGCGTTCATCTACCTTCGCCTGACACCATGGGCATGGGCATGGCCACGCACAACGCTCTCCAAGACACCACTGCCACGGCACATATGATTTGCGGGCATGTGTTGCTGCACTCCATGCATCATCTGGGCGTCTGGGCATCTGGGATCCCCATTTTCAGACGGGAGCGTCCTGTTTCTGTCTGAACACACTGTAATAGTGGAAGTCGTTGATGAACTGGTTGATGTTCTCCGTCCACGACTGGGTATCCTGTGGATCGTGAGTGGCAGCGAGGGAGAGCAAGGCACCGATCAGGTTTCGCATCGGACAGATCAGGTTTCACATCGGGCCGAGTGATCACACCGCTTTGTTGCATGTTCTCCATGGCATTACCTTGATTGCTACCAAATAATTCCGCAGCCGCTCGGTCTGTGCCTGGGTCAGCTGTCCTGTTGCATACTTGTCCAAGAAATAGCCGACGAACTTGAGAATTCAATTCCCGAGGCGCACCGAAAGGGGGGGGAGGGAAAGCGTGTTTGCACGAATTAGCAAAGAACCCCAAAAACTCAAAGTGAGGTTCACGTCGGGGAGCAGCAATCGTTCTCGGCTGCCGGGACGATCGTGCCGAATACCCAAATGCTCAATACATGCGGCGCTTGAGTACCCGAGACTTACGTTGTCCTGGAACAGCGTCAGGTTGGTGAGCACCATCTGCCCTACGCACGAGACAATGTCGTCGCGCAGAAAGTCGACGGACCGCTGGAGCAGGATCTCGAAGAAGAGCTCCACGAATGGAACAAGCATGGTTTGCTGGAAGTACTCCTGAGGAAGAACGAGGGCCGCAACACCTCAGTATCGATGGATGCGGATGGATGCGGATGGATGCGGATGGATGTGGATGGATGCACCATGCACAGCAAGCCGTCCGTTCCCAGACATTGACTCGACTGCTGCGCAAGTGCACACACAAACCTTGCTGAAGAGATTGCACTTGGTATTGAAGCTAATCAGGATCGACATGTTGTTCTTGAAAATCTCGACGTTGGACGTTCCAAGCGATCGTGCCAGTATCTGGACCATCCCCATAAACACAGAGCGCAACAGCCGCAGCGCCGTCGGATTCGAGTCAGCCGCTGCGCGACCGAGTCTCCAGCAATCTCAACCCCCCCCTGCTTGGACAACCGTCATGCTCTCGGACCTGACTTGCGCAACCACCACGGACTTACCCCGAGAAGCCCATCAAATTCTGTCGGATGCTCGATCCCGTCGTGGGCTTGGCCAATCATCCGGCCGACGCTCGACCCGAAAAAGTATCGCCAGTGGTTCAGGATGATGACTTGGATCAAGTTGTAAAATCGAATCCGGAGCTCCTCGGATGTGGTGTTCTGGAGGAGAAGAGACGAAAGTGAGCAAAGAGCAATATCAAGTTGTGCTCGCGACTCCACAACCAATGATACACCATCGTAACATCAGCAGCAGATCATCGGCACACCACCAGCGATCGGATTGCTCGAGCCCACCTCATCCTGAAAGCATCGAGGATGTAGATCCGTCACGCAAAGCTGGATCAGATCCGGCAAGAAGACCTCAAATGTCTTGGACGGATCCTGCATCAGACTCGTCAGGAACACCACGAACTTGTCCAGCACCAGATGGCCCGCTTGGTTCGAGAGCATCTGCGTCAGGCGGTTCTGGGTTGCCAGCAGCTGCAGGAAGAGCTGCACCGTCTCGTGGATCAGGTGGATGTTTTCCTTGCTGACTTGCTTCTTGTGGGACTCAAAGAGGTTGATGGTAAAGTCGAGGAGCGTGGGAAGTATATCTGGAAGGTTGTCGCATGGCCGTACATGAGTGAGTCCCAGGCAAGTGCAGCTCAGCCCAGCCCGATTCAGATGTATCCAGCCCAATGCACTCCAGTCTAGTCTCCAAGCTTCAAGCGTTCGCGAGCTAGCCGAATCTGCGTCCAAAACCACTCACCGTCGTCATTTGCAAAGGTCGACAGCAGGTTGAATGTGATCGGTACAAACTCCCGAATGGCACTGTAGACGACATTCTTTGCAGGCGTGCCCTCCGAGTTGACTGCACTCATGCACGACGAGAACGCCGTCAGGCAGTTTATCATGGCGGACCTTGACTGCGCTAGATTCGGAGAGACAACCAGACAGCGTCAGCATTGCCATCGCTCTCACAGTCCGCACTCGCGGCGCTGTCCCCCCCCCCTCTGCACATAAATGCTGTCGGTTCTGTATCGGATGAGCCCTTTGCGATCAAAATCGACTTGCCATTGCCAGTATTTTGACTCAGACTGCCCAGCTCTCGTCGGTATAGCGTCGATAGGGACTGAAAGAATTGCAGAAACCCCGATCCGCGCTGATTCCACTCCTGGTAGAAGGTTATCGTTAGCAGCGAAAGCGGCACGGTCGCTCCCACCGATGGCCAGCGGTCACCTGAAGCACTGCCGCTCCAACACCATTCTCGGCATTGCCCGCTGCTTACCGCGTCCGTGTTCTTGGCATCGGGTCCCAGGAGCACAAAGACATTAGTTGCAAAAGTATATCCCAGCCGAATTTTTTCCGAGTTCAGCGAGGTATTGGGCGAGACCGAGGCCAGGCTGTGCAGATTGCACAGGAATGACTGCACAAAGGCAAACTGGAGGGTGTTGCTGTATCGCACGGTCGAGGAGAGGGAGACGAGCAGCTTGTAACTCGCGATGACCGAGTCGGCATCCTGCAGTTTTGGTAACACGCGGACGGGTAAGAAGAGCATAATATCAGCGTGCATGGCAACACAGCACAGCACAGAGCACGGCCAGCTGTCCTGGGCAACGGCGATTCCCCGACATCACACAGTATGCACGCATTCTATGTGGCTATGCATATCTGCTTGTCATGGACAGCGACAGCACCCTCGGTGCACACGATCGATGGCACCGCCCTTACTTACAGAGCTTTCTGTGTACTTGATGCACGTCGTGAACAGCTGCTGCATCAGCGAGTGACACTGCTGCTGGTACATGGGCTCTTGGAGGGCACAGTTGTAAAACGCCGAGACCCAGTGGACATATATCGACAGCGTCCCGAGTGTCTTTGAGGTTCTATGCGGTGCATCCGTGTCAACGATCGCACAAGTGATAGTGGAGGGTACTGAGCGAATATAGGGCCTGGGAGGAGCAGCCACCGGTTACACCCGCCTTCCTCTCCGTTCTCAAACTCAATGGCACTATCGGCTTACAAGCTTCCGTGTGACTTGCGCTCGTGACAGATATCGAGGATCGACAGAAACTTTTCGATCAATGCGCCGGCGTGAGACAGTCTCTGCTGGAAGGATCCCGTAAAGATATGGGCAATTCGACTGAAGAGCATCAAGGAGAGCTCGAGGTCACGCAGGGCTGTGGTAGTATCCAGTATGTGTTCGTGATCGCAGAAACAGAAAAATAGCAGGGAGAGTGGTGAGATTTGGGATGGCCTTTGCAAGAGGCGTCGGCGGCATAGTGTGGCAGTGCTGGACAATGGATGGTGGTTTCACTTGGTGCCAATCAGCCAGCCAGCCCTTACCGTACTGGACATTGGCGCCGCCTGCAAAGACACAGTTACACTGCTGGTTCAGCCGAGTGAACAGATGCAGAACTATCTGGTCGGGGTAGAGCTCGCATGATTTGGCTGTCATCCCAATGGAGACAGATTAGTGAGCTGGTAACATGAGTTTGCATCGAGAGTGAGAGAATCCTAGGCGTGATGCCGCCGGTAGCAGTAGAATGGGCTTGCGCGTGCCGCTCACCAATAATGTCGAGACAAGGCTCGGAGAACTTTTGCCAGTCGCTCTGAGTCTGAATATGAGCATGCCCGAGTTAACCTCGTCTCCAGGGCGGAGCCACTCGCACGTTGATGGGCGAACCACTGACCTCTCCCGGGTCGATGTCGACATCAATATCCCTCAGCTCGTTGGCATTGTCCATGAACTGCAGCTTTCGATGCACCGACAGTGTGAGACTGCACAGACCGTTCTGATACCTGTCCAAACAAACGTACACCAAGACGGCCCCCTTCTGTTAGCAAGTCGCACCAACAACGTACCAGCAAAGCACTCACCCAAGTCGCCTGATCCATCATCGCGATCGCGACACAGTTGCTGCCAGTGGGTGTACGCACTTTGTGATACTCTCGGAGTTGCCTCCGTCCTTGGACTTGCTTGACATGAGGTGTTCAATCAGGCCATCCCAGATGCCGATGCAAGCGACAAACGACTCTGGAGAAGGCTGAGCAAGTAAATGGAGTGGATGTGGTGGATGTAGTGGATGTAGTGGATGTGTGGATGAGCAAAGCCTCCTTACTCGAACCTGCAAGCTGACACCAATGACAGGTATCATTCTTCCTCTCCAATGTCCACAGTAGCCATGTGTAGCTATACGCATACACCCACACACTCACACACTCACCCACCTGAACCAAGGTGAACTCGAACAAGAGCTGCAGGAACTCGGTCATTGGGAAGCTGGGTGTAGCCTCGGCCCGTCCGATCTGCTGCGCTACGAAGCAGACCAGAAAGTCTGTGAACTTTTCGCGGTACCTAAGACACGGCGGGGGATACAATGACAAGTGAGTATGGCCCGGGCGCAGGGCAGAGTAAAGCCAGCCCAGCAGAAGCAAAGAGACAGCACCAGACACCCAAAGTGGTGCTACAAGCGACACACTTGAGCCGACCTACCTTTCATCCACATCGCCGAGGGCACGACCGCCGGGCGTGCTCGAGTCCGTGATCAGAAAGCGCAAGAGCCCGCACACCTGCTTGGCCATGATCATCAGGTACTCGACAAAGTGGGTCGGAATAAACGCTCTCGAGAGCAGCTCGTTGAGGCACGACATGGCTGTCGTCCCGAGGGCCACCTCGGCATCGTCGTTGAGCTGGGCAAACTTGAAGATGATGCCCAGGAGCGGGCCAAAAAAGTCCGATTCCTTCGCGAGCGAGACCCACGAAAAGGACTGCAGGATGATCTCGAGGGCCGTCTGGGCCGCAATCATGTTCTCGCCCGTGATCTTGCCCTTGTGCAGGATCTGGCTCTCGTTCCGGCGCATCGACCCGGGAGACTCGACCGAGAGATGGGCCAGGGTCGGGGACGAGCCAATAGATGGCAGGCTCAACTGCGCTGGGCCTTTCGAGGGAGACAGCAGGCCGATTCCATACTCGGCTGCGCTTGGAGCATCGTCGGCCGGGCCATCAAACGGCAGCAGCACCGCGTTGACGACACAGTGGTCGTAGATCTCGACCAGGGTATCCTTGGCAATGGCGATGACGTTTGCGACCTGGTATCCCATCAGCACCTTGAGTTCGTTCTTGCGCGACGAATCGGCATCCTCGCGGGAGGAGACAAACTCCTCGACCACGGTCTTGAGCAGCCGTAGCCGCAGCGAGTTGCATGTGTCCTTCTGGATCGTATACAGGTCGTGGAAAAAGTTGGGCCACTCGCGCGGGTATTCGACCTTGCCGATATCCACCACAAGCTTGATGATTTTGTTGGTGACGTAGGCGGCAAAGAACCGGTTCTCGGTCTTGAGGGTGTTCCAGAGATACTGCTTTAGCTCCAGCCGAGTCGACGAAGGGAGCTGTTGCCACCGCTCGACGTGGAACTAGCAGTGCCGTCGCAGCATCGCGAGAGTACCAGCCAGCCCGTTTGAATGTTTGGATGTTTGGATGCATGGCGATGTGTATGAATTGGGGGCCCACAGAGCAGAATGGCAGCGCTGTCAGTATGGCGGCATGGATGAGGTGCACATGTCAACAGACCGGATCTGCCTCTGGCCGACCGACCGACCGCATGGGCGTTTGTAACAATCGCCCACAAGCAAACCATGCTCTCGCTGCCGAATATCGAGCGGAGGAGGCCAAGTCGATACCGCCATCATGCCGGGCCGATGCTATGCCAACAAAGCATCGTTCACGCGGGTCATGGCCATCGGCCCCGTGGTCGTCTTGTCTGCATCCGACGGACAGAAGCTGGTCCTGGTCCTGGACAGCCGCAAGCGACAGCATGTCGATCGAGAGCACCTACTTCGTACACCGAGAGGCAGTACCACTGGATGTAATCCTTGTTGGCCTGGGGAAGCAGGCCCTGGCAGATGGCGATGGCATCGGGCAGAGCCTTGATGACGATCAGCTCGTTTTCTGTCAGGAAAGCACCGATGGCGGCGCAGGCGAGCAAGGCGAGATTATAGATGGGTCAGTCGTACATATCACGGACGCTCGACCGCTGCATCGTCGCCCAAGAGATGCCGCCGATCGACCCAGCACCGGTTTGGGAATCCCAAGCAGAGTGTAGTGCGAGCAAGACCCATCCGATCCGGGATGCAACGTTGCTGACAGGGTGCAACATGGAGAAAGCCTGCATCGGTGCGATGCTTGCAGATCCGACTGGGTCGATACGGTCTGCAACGTCTGCGTCCAAGACAGGAGGGTCACCGTGCGGATGAAAGCGCAGGTGCGGATGCAGTACGGCCGGTGAAAGCCAGCCCAGAAGAGACCAGGAGCAAGCAGATGCACACCTATCTCCTTCTTTCTGGTGGCCGAACAGAGCGAGTTTTCAAAGTAGTCAAAGAGCAGGTTCTGGAGCTGCTGGATGTCGACCGACATGGTATCGTAGCGATCCTTGCGGGACTGGAGGCCGGGGGGGCGAGTGGTGGCGGGATGGAAGGGTGCACCCGGCCGTATCTGGAGGGGAGTTGGCGGCGGGTTCGCGCTCGTCAGCGGCGGATCGGGATGGAAAGGATTGGATCTGGCGAACCGGCGGACGGGAGGGTATGCTGGACCGGCTTGGCTGCTTGTCTGCCGAAATGAGGTGGAATAAAGGCGCCCTTGAGGTTCGTGGAGACGCAGAGGGTATTGTAATTGCTATTGCTATTGCTGGACTGACGGAGAGAAGGACGACGGATGTCCAAGACCCAGGCTGGCGATGTCCTGGGAGCAACGGCGGTTTGCCCAAATGCGGGGGCGTGACACGGGGCGAGCCGAACGCCCCTGAACCGAAGATTCGCCCACAACCAAGACGCAAACAAACACTCGAGGCCACGGGGGCTCTGCGCGGCCAGGGTGGGTGGATGTGCGGTTTCTGGAGGCCAATGAGGCCGGGGGGGGGGCAAAACAGAACCGAGCAACATGAGCGATCGAACCAAATGGCTCGCCAATGGGCCGGTGGAGTGGGGACATGTACAATTCTGGAGCGGGGGACATGCACACATTTGTGGAGTATGGCGACCAAGTCGGTGTATTTGGTCGTCCAAGTCGGTGTATTTGGCCATCTAGACGATCTGAAAGTCAAAGCCGCCCTTGATATGGGTAACAGGAAAGTCGTAGATCTCTCCAAGCGCTCCCTTGGGCTTGATGGTACCCTTGAGGGCAAGCAGCACCAGGGTGGCCCGCAGCTCGAGCATCGCAATGTCCATGCCGCCGCAGACACGAGGCGGGGCACCCCATATCAAGTCGGTGCCGGTCGCCTGGACAGAGCCGTCGAGGAAACGCTCAGGCTTGAAGCGATGGCCATCCTCGAGGGACTCTTGAGAGGTGACGGAGTTGCCGTGGATTGCAGCGGTCAGCAGGAACCCCTTGGGGACTTGGTAGCCACCGAGCTCGGTGGGCTCGTGGAGTTCACGGAACATATGCATGACGCCGAGAGCACGCAGGCGGAATGTCTCTTTGATCACGGCATTGGTGTATTTGAGGTTGCTCAGGTCGCTGGTGGTGAGGTCCGACTGATAGGAAAAGCCGGCGGCAAGGGCCTCCTCGCGGATCTTGGCAAGGACATCGGGGTTGAGCGAGAGATTGTAGAGCAGCTGGAACAGGGTAGTCGAGGTGGTATCGAAAGCAGCGAACCAGAAGCCCATGACATACCGGGCTTGCGACACGCTGCCGGAAACAAGGTTGTGCTGGAGCGCAAAAGAGATAAGCTGGGCCATGAAGTTGGAGTCTTTGAGAGCGTCGAGGTCGGGCATGATGGTGTGGATCTCGGCCTCAATGATTTTACAGAGGCGGCGATGCGAACGGATGCCCTTGGCGAAAGTGGGCGAGAGCAGCGAGCTGGCTACGACTGAGCGAATGCCAGCCGAGACATCCGCAAGGAGATCAAAGATCTCGGCTTTCTTCTCGGGAGAGACGTCTTTGATGCTCATGTTCAAGATGATGGAGAGCGGAATGTTCTTGACAACGTCCTCGGCGCGAATGTAGCGGCCGGCGGCACTAACTCGGTGCCACTCGTCGATTTCCTCGCGGATGATGCGCACGAACATGGGGGAGACCGAGGCGAGATAGCCCTTGTTCAGGAACTGGGCAAAGTTCTTGCGGAACTCGGTATGGGTCTTGCCTGTGGGACCTATCTGCAAAAACTGCTTGATGGTCTCAAAGCTATGGACACCGCCGCTCTTTGGCTCGACACGGAAGGCCTGCGAGGGGGGCGGATGGTTCCATGACCAGGACGGGACGATGGGGAATCGAGGATGACGGGGACGAGAACGAGGAGGAACGCAGATATGAAGAATGGAGATATGAAGGCATTTGGGGTTACATGCTCGCCACGGAGATGGTCAGCGCAGCAAACAGCGTCGCAGGAGTGGGATAAATGTGCAGAGAATGCGGTGGAGCCAACGGGCTCAGCCCATCTGGGGATTGCTGTTTGCCTGGCAGCATCCAGTCAACGCACCTGGCGACAACCCTCATCCGTGGTGAGGAAGAGAACCTTGTTGCCAAAGATCGAAGTCTTGAAGGTCGGGCCGTAGCGCTTCAGGCGCTTCTCGACGAACTGGCGAGGGTTCCAGATAAAGTCCAGGGTTTCGCCAACGACGGGAAAGCCGTAGGAGCCTGGGATGTGGCTCTCGGCATAATAGTGAGCAAAGAGGAAGTAGGTGCTTGCTCCGGCGATGGCGAGGGGAACGGCCACTCTCCAGGCGGAAGGGTCGATGCTGGCGAGGCTCAGGTCGAGGCTGAACAGCGGCATGGTGACGGGATGAGTGGGAGAAGGCAGAGGGCCAGGGCGAAGAGAAGGCAGAGGGCCAGGGGGAAGGTGCAGGCTCAAATACGGTGGCCGTTTCCCAAGATGACGGACCTGCTGGGGAACCGAATAGCCTGTTGGTTGATCGACAGCGACAGTGGGACCAGATGGCAAAACGGGAAGGGTGGATCCTGTGCGCGGGTCGGCTTGGCAAAGAGCGCGGATCGCGGAAAATCGGGATGGGTGGGTGTGCGATGTGGTCGATGGATTGCTGTGCGATGTGGTTGAATGTGTTCATGATCTCGATCGCCAAAAACCTGCTCTCCCGCCGGCCGAGCACACGCCAGAACGACTGCATCGCATGGCGGCTGATGCCTCGGGCGAATCGGAGCAGCGCGGGCAGACGGATTGGATCGGCAGGGCAGTTCGGAATGTCGTCGCGATTGCACCGGGGATGGAGCATCGGATACCAACGATGCATCATCTCAACAATACGACAAGTCACAATCCCAGCGACAGAGCATTACACCATTACATCATTACTTCATTACATCATTACACCATTACATCATTACACCATTGCAGCATCACAACATTGCAGCACCACACCATTGCAGCACCACACCATTGCCGCACTCTAACATCACACCTCTCCAACACCACAACCACCACAGCATTGTATCAACAGTGCGGCCCTGTGTCCGGCACGTTCGCCAATACCGCCCCGCCCATCAGAGGCACCATCAGACACAACGCCCCCCCCATCAGACACAACGCCCCCCCCCATCAGACACAAACGCCCCTCCATCAAAGCCACCGATTCGCCATTGCGACAATGCCGCGCCTGATCGTCAGGAGCGTTTCTGTCCACTCACATACAGCGCTTCCATCACCCCCGCCCTCCTTGGTCCTCTGGCGCCTCTGACCCTCCTATCCAGCCATCCATTTCCCTGGCAACCCTGGGCTGCACTTTTCCATCATCGTATCCATCCCTTCCATCATCACACCCACCCCCTCCATCTACCATCGCATCAATCCTCTGGGTCGCTCCGACTCTTCGTAACCGCTTTGCCAACAACGCTCCTGGGATCACCCCTCCCCGCATCCATCCCCTCCATCGCATCCATTCATCCCCTCTTCCATCAATCCCTTCCTTCCTTGCCCCTGGCTGCCCTGGCACCCTCCCGACCATGCACTTTCACTCCCCTGGTCGCACCCGTTCGTCTTCCCGGCCAGCCTCGCCTGGTCCGGAGCGACTCCCTGGGCCCCCGGTCGATCTTGCCGACCTGCGTCCTCAGTTCCTTGCCCCAGGCCACACCCCCGACCAGCGTCGTCGTCGTCTCTTTGACATCGAGACCGCTCCCACCTTCTACCCGACCCACGAGCAGTTCCAGAACTCTCTGAGTTACATCGAATCCATCCGTCCGCATGCCGAGCGCTATGGCATCTGCAAGATTGTCCCTCCCAAGGGTTGGGCCCCGCCTTTTGCCCTCGACACCAAGGCAAGTCCTGCCCCTTCCTGTTCTCCCTCCACCACAACCTCCTCCTCCTATCGGCGGTGCTGATCAGTGCGCCGGGACGCTGCCCATCACCAAACTCCGTGTCGAGCCTTCACAGCCGCTCCCTTTCTCGTCGGCCCCTCCCCTACCCCGACCACTCCTCTTGGGAACACACGGATCCATCGCCGATTGATAGGGGGCGACCTCCCGGATATCTGGACTCTGCTCTGGATGGGGCGATTGGCAGACGTGGAGCCAACTCGATGATCAGCCGTGACCCGTACTCCTTCCCTGTATCCGAGCCTGCTTTCAGCGACCGAGCTTCAGCATCCTTGATCTGGCTGCTGTGATCGCTGCTCCCCCGTCGATCCACAGTGCTGATCTTAGTATCCCTCCATATGGACCTGCACTTTCGTGTGGATGTGCATTTCCGTATGGATCTGCATTTCCGTGTGGATATACATTTCCCTCATAGATTTGTATCTCCCCCTTGCTATTATCCCTTTGACCTGGATTGCTCGCCAACCATGTTCGTAATGCGATCCCATAGCTGACTGCCCGACCTGCCTTTACTTGCTTATCTGCGGTGGCGCACGGCCCTCTCCGGGTTGTCGTTCCCCAACCAGACCTTCTTTGTCCAGCCGAGGATCCAAAACCTCAGCCTGACCGAGGGCCAGAGCCGCTCCATCGTCATGTACCTCGATCGGCTGCAAAAGTTCCACGCCCAGAGCGGCCGCCCACTCTCCAAGGTGCCAACCGTCGAGGGCCGTCCTCTGGACTTTTTCCGTCTCCAGGAAGAGATTCGGCGGTGGGGCGGACATGACGAGGTATGCCGCTGTTTGTCGCCGTTGCCGTCGCTGGTCTTGGCCGAAATGGACTCCTCCCCTCCAACAGCAATCCCCTCGGTCGCCTCTGCTCCAGCGGCCCGCTCTGCGGCAACCTTGGCTGCCGCAATGACCTTCTGCCCACCAACCAGTCCCCCCCCCCACCGACAAAATTGTCGGCCTGTCCACCAATGCCACTTTGCACACCGTCTCGCTGACCCCCCCCCTTCGTCATCGTGTGTTGTCGTTGGTCCGCCGCAGGTTACCACACAGAAAAAGTGGACCACTGTCAGCAAGGCCCTCGGCCTGAACGCCAGCACCTCAACCCCGTCCGTGATCAAACTTGCGTACATGCGATGGATCCTGCCCTACGAAGAGTACATTGACGGATACGAGAAGGCCGTGATGGAGAAGCGGAGGGAGAGAATGGAGAAGGGTCTGCCCGACATTCACGACGCCGATCCGTACAGCGCTCGACACGCCCGCAATACCCGCAAGAAAACCATGAGCAGCCATGCCAAAGGTATGCTCGCTCAGCTTCCTCTCACTGCGAGATTGGGTGATCTCATCCGGATGGACCCCCCCCCAAACAGCGGCCTGAGTGTCGTCCCGTTTGCCGCCAGCCCCGAATGAGTTGGAGCCGGTGTGCTGCACAGGACATTCGTTGCAGCCACGGATGCGTTTCTGCCACCCTGCCAACCGTTGATGCCCTGCAATCTTGCATGAGACCGTTGCTTCTGTCGACGGAAACGTGAGGGCTTTCGCCTGGACTGCCGCTGCGCCTGAAAAACTGACACCTCCCTGCACAATTCGCACCCTGTTGCATCACTCGTCCCATCCATGGTCGCCCCTCTCTTTTGGCGGCTGTTTGGTGAACGATCATCCCTCCGAACCATGCATCGCAATCTACCCTTCGCCAGAGACCGTCGTCAGCCCGCCCAGAGAGGCATCGAATAGCGAAGTCAAGCCCGTGCCGGGACAGGAAGTGAGTCGATACTGCACATACGATGCATTCTCAGAGCAAATCTCCGTACGCCAACGCATGCAGAGGGAGCGACATTGCCAAGAGCCGATACCTCTAACATGCGACGATGTGTGGTCCGGCGACGATGTGTGGTCCGGCGCCACCCATTTGCTTTCCTCCAACCGCAAAGCAGCGATGTGAAATCTGCCGCATGGGCGACCGTCCATCAAGCATGCTGCTGTGCGATGAATGCGACCGGGGCTTCCATATGTCCTGTCTGATTCCGCGCGTCAAAACCGTTCCGCAATGCGAGTGGTATTGTCCGAAATGCCTCAGCCAGATCGGCGACGACTACGGCTACGAGGAGGGCAAGCTCAAGACGCTCTCCGAGTTCCGCACCCTTGCCAACACCTTCAAGGCTAACTGGTTCCACAAGCGCCGGAGGGAAAGCAACATCAAACTGCAGCACGACCATCGCGGGCCGCTCTACATCACCGAGGACGAGGTCGAGCGGGAGTTTTGGCGTCTGGTCGAATCGCCCTACGATGAAGTTGTGGTCGAGTATGGCGCAGATCTGCATACGGTGGATCACGGGAGGTACGTGTAGCTGTCGTAAACTTGACTGCAGCGTGCGCTCGTCGATTCAAGGCAGGTCGTGCATGAGCGCTGTGGCTTGTCCTTTGCTCGGCGGAGCCTGGTGCCGACATGGCCGTCGTTGGCATCTGCGCGATCTTTGGGGCCTTCTCGATCACCTTTCCAAATTGCTGCGAGCGCCACTCGGAGCATCCGTCATCCTCGCTGCGGCGTCTCTGACATACTGCATCCCCCCCTGTTCCACGTCCCCAGCGGCTTCCCGACGGTGGATCGCAATCCAGATGATCCATACTCCAGTCACTCATGGAACCTAAACAACATTCCAACACTGCCCGAGTCGCTCCTTCGCAAGGTGCGCACGGACATCTCTGGAATGATGATTCCGTGGATGTATGTTGGCATGGTCTTTTCGACCTTTTGCTGGCACACCGAGGACCACTTTACATACTCGATCAACTACATGCACTGGGGTGAAACCAAGACCTGGTACGGCATTCCAGCGTCAAACGCACTCAAGTTCGAGGACTCGATGCGCAAGGCCTTCCCGGACCTCTTCCGGGCCAACCCAGACCTGCTCTTCCACCTGACGACGCTCGTGAGCCCCAAGGTTCTGAAGCAGGACGGCGTCGCCGTGTACGCGTGCGACCAGCGTGCGGGCGAGTTTGTCGTCACCTTCCCGCGGGCCTACCACGGCGGATTCAATCACGGACTCAACTGCGCCGAGGCCGTCAACTTTGCCCTTCCGGACTGGCTGCCGCATGGATACGAATGCGTGAAGCGGTACATGGAGTTCAAGAAGCCGCCGGTGTTTTCGCACGAGGAGCTGATCGTCAAGCTGGCCGTGGATGCGTCGCCCAAGCTTGCAAGCTGGTAGGCAAACCAGTGTCGACGCGCGCGTATCTGCATTCCACTGCCCTGTCTGCACACCGCTGTGGTATTGGCGCCCTTCATTGCCGCATATTGACCAGTGCGCTGCCTCGCATCCAGGCTTGCACCCCATTTCCGAACCCTAATCAACGCCGAGGCCCAGCAGCGCACACAGTTCTGCAGCCGCAACCCTTCGATTCCCACTGTTGTCGTCAAGGCATCGGAGGTGGAGCCCGATGACAACAACTGCGTGAACTGTTCCCGGCTCTGCTATTTGAGTTGCCTCAAGTGTCCCTGCGATCTGAGAAGATCCGCGTGTCTCACGCACCCAGAGTCGGTAAGATCTATGACCAAGGACGCTGGGGTTGAGCACCATATGAATACGTGAAGCTGGTGCGGGCCTCTCGGGTACGAGCTTGAGAGAAGGGGAATACGAATCCGGATTCTTGCCAATCTGTGTGTCTATCGTGGAGGCCCTCAGCCCCATGCCTGGAAGGAAACGGTGCATGTCTCCAAAACCGACAGACTGAGATCCACGCTCACATCTATAACTCCACACGTACGCATTCCCTTTCAGCTCTGCTCCTGCGACAAGTCAAATGCGTTCCTGCGTGTCCGCCTGAAGACAAGCGAGCTCGAGGCCATCTATGACGAGCTGGTCAATCTGTCGTCGGACTCGAGAGTGTGGCACGAAAGCTACGTCGACCTCCTCAATCTCTCCAGCAAGGGCCACAAGCCCAGAATCGACCACATCAAGTCGCTTCTCGACCCCTCGGCGCCACGCCACATCTACGGGGTTGAAATCAAGAATCTCGAGCACATGGTCGCCCAAGGAGCAGCATGGATCTCCCGCGCGCTGCCGTATTTCGACCACTTGGTCAGGGCCGACTTTCGGCACCCTCCAGCCCAGAAACTGCCGCCCGTTCCGCTAAGCGATCTGGAGAAGATCTACAACGAGGGACTGGCGCTCGCCTATACCTTCCCGGAGCTGGAGCAGCTGACCCGAGTGATGGACGACGTCCGGCGGCAGCAAAGCGAGATCAATGAGCTTCTGAATCGGCCAGCGCTTCCAGACTCCTTCACGGAGGCGCTGAATGGGCTCTACCAGGAATCGCTGGACTCTGGTGTGCTTATCCCCGAAGCGAGCGCCCTGATCCACCGTCTCGACGGGATCCAGCAGTGGCACCGCAACGTCCGTGGGTTCGTTGAAGCACCGTACCAGATCGAAAGTATCGTGCTCCACAACTGGATCAACGAGGCATCGTCGTTACGGCTTCCGGCCAGCTTCGAGCCGCTGCGCTCTCTGCTGCGCATGCGAGACCAAGCAGAGGCATGGAAGCGACAGGCGATTAAGCTGTCAGAGACACCGCCGCTGAAGATCAGCCAAATCGAAAAGATCATCAGGAACGGCGAGTGGCTCCCCATCCACCCCAATCCGCAGTACCAAGAGTTTGAGAAGCAGCTCAAGCGAGCCCAGACATGGTCGCTCAACGCCCTGCGCATCTACGACAAGCTGACCAAGTTTGAAATGGGCAAGCCCACCCGGTCCACCCGACCCACCTGGCGGCCGACGATGGGCGAAGTGTTGGAGCTCCTGCACAGCGCAAAGGAGAGGACCCCGATGGTGCAGTTTGACGAGGTGCCTCTGTTTCTACGGCACACGGACGAGGCCCGACAGTGGATCTCCAAGGCTTGGAGCACTCTGTCGTCGACCGGGCGTGAAAGCGAAGACATGACAGCCAAACTGATCGAGCATCTCCAGAGCGTCAATTCAAACATTGACGATTGTATTCGCAATGCCCAGAGTGGAAACCGAGTTTGCATCTGCCGCGGCCACGACAGCGAGTACATGGTAAGCTAGAGGGTCTATGATATCCGAGTGCGGTGCTCTCCCCCACCCCACCACAGTCCTGTCGGCCACTGCACCAAGGATCGGGCACGCCAGTGTTGGAGCACCGCCCCCCTCATCAATCTGTGTCCACTTCCCCCCTGACTGACACTGCGACTTTCAGATCCAGTGCCGGATCTGCGAGGAATACTACCATCTCAAGTGCCTCCGCATCGTGGACCGAACACCAACCGACCCTCGACAATACGTCTGCATGGTTTGTCGCATGGACACACAGGTGTATCGCCATGCAGCATGGCCGAACCTGAGGACGTTCGAGTCGTTGTTGGTGGATGCAGAGTCCCTAGCCATCGAACCGCCAGGCCAGCGGAAGCTCAGCAACGTTGTCATATCGGCGTCCAAGTGGAGCGATCGGCTCGCCGAGCTCTATAATGCGTACCTGTCCGCGGAGCCATCTGGTCGCCAAGCGCATCTTGAGATCCTCAAGGCGGCTCTTCGATGTACCCTCGGTATGACAGTCACGCTCTACCACCAAGTACTGCCGATCGTCTCAAAGCTGCCGTCCGCGGCGGCGTTGGGCCCGGAATCCGGATTCCACAATCGCGATCGCGACACCTACGATGACATGGATCAGCGCGGGCTTCGAGAGATCCGCGACGGCCGCGACGGCCGCGAAGTCCGTGAATCGCAGGAAATGCGGCCAGCCCGAGATACCCGCGATGGCCACGATGTCCGCGATGGTCGGGAGACTCGCGAGGGCTATGGCCGTTACTACCCGGCCAGCGCGGCCGACACGCCCATAGAGGATCTGCTCGAGCGCAAGCGTCCGCCTCCCGATGATTACGCAGAGAGACATTCGCCCGTGGTGAGCCACTGATAGCATCTGGTCCGCCTGTCTGCCTGTTTGTCTGTCTGCCTGTCTGCCTCTCTGTCTGTTTGGCTCGATTCTTGCCCGTCGACTGACTCTGGGGTGATCTGCCAGGATAAGCGACCAAAGCCCCACGAAGGTGATCGGCCGACTCTCCCGCACTCGTCCCTGCCCCACTACTTCCGCCAGCCGAACTCAGGGCCGCCTAGCGGGCAGATGCGTTCGCCAGTCGCGCCGAAACTCACCCCCGACCCCGAGCCATCGGCCTGGCCAGAATCTCTAGCGAGGCTGCACTTCACGACGATCTCGCCCGCTGTTGAGAGCCAACGACGACACCCACACCAAGTCCGACACTCACCCCATCCGCATGGATACTACGACGCCATCCCGAGTCCCCAGCAACAGCAACAGCACCAACACCAGCACCAGCACCAGCACCAACACCAACACCAGTACCAAACACAGTACCAGCACCAACATCCACACCATCACATGCATGGCTACAGTCCCAGCCCCGGTCCTGGCTACGGTGCGAGTCCCAGCCATCAGCAAAGCCCACGAATGAGCCACCCACCCCGTTTACTCGACCGCAATTCCCAATGGGAGAACGACCCACAGAGCCGGGGTCAGGGGCCACCACCATCTTCAAGCCCTTACTCTCCATACTCGGCGCATCCACCGATCAAGCGAGAGCCATTCGTGTCTTGAGCAGCCGGGACATGCGACACTGCTCAACAACACCCCCCTCCTTCCTCCATCTGACACTCTGTTCCAGTCTGCTGCGCGCTTGCGACGTTCTTCCTGTCGACTGTAATCTTTCCCTCTTTCCCCTTTATTGCGCTCCACCTGCTTTTTCTCGATATCCGTAAGCCTCACCGTGTCCGTGAAACGAACCAGACACTCATGTTGGTGAGATGGAACACTTGCTTCAGCTTTTCTCTCTGAATCCTGAATACACACATGCACGCCCATCGCCAGTCGGCCTTCCGCAGCATCTCGCTGCCCCATATCGCTGCGGGCGCAATGCGATAAGCCCATCCCAGCCGGAGATCATCGGTGCGGAGTCACAGCGGGCTGTTCGTGGGTGCCCCCAGGCAACTGCGGCAAAGAGCCGGATGTTCGAAGGCAACCTCGCACGGCATGGTGTGGGGCATGCGCCCCCGTCCAGCCACGCCTTCACCGCAACCGGACCACCCGCGCCTTCACCGCAACCGGACCACCCGCGCCGCGCCCCCCCGTATCTGGTGGGAACTTCGCACCCACGGCAATATAAATCGGCAGCATCGGCGGCCTCAACCCCATCCCATCACCGACCGCCTGTGCTTCCACATCTCCCCGGTCTTGAGACGAAACACCGATCTCAGTTATCCGCCCGCTCGCCATCATGGACTCCCCCACTCCCGCCGCCGTCGCTGCTGCTCCGTCCACCGCGGCTCCGTCCAAACCCGCCATTGCCGTTCCTGGTCCCGGCGGTCGCATCTATCAGAACTATGACATCAATCTTGAGGGTGCAAGAGAGCAGATCTCGGACATTGGTCTCGCTGTTGTCCCCAACGTCCTCAGCCCGGATGAGTGTGTCTCGCTGCGGGACGACACCTGGAGGGAGCTCAAGCGCATCACTCGCAGCCAGTTCGACTATGAGAACCCTAGCACTTGGCCGCAGTATCGCAGCAAGCTCAAGCCCCTCAGAGACATGCTGATGCACTGCGGCGATATTGGCCACATGCAGTCGCTGTGGGACGCCCGCCAGCACCCCAGTGTCGTCCAGGCGTTCGCCCGTCTGTGGTCCACCACCATGGACGATCTCATTTGTTCGTTCGATGGACTGTCGGCGCATCTGCCGCTTCCCAATGACGACAAGAAGATCGCCGCCGGGGCCTCGGGCACCCGAAAGAAGGGCCTTCACGTCGACCAGGGCCGCACCAAGGATGGCCTCCAGTGCATCCAGGGCCTGATCCCTCTGTACGATGTCCACTATGGCGACTCGTCGCTGCACCTCATCGAGGGCTCGCATCTCCACTACGACGACTACTTCAGGCGCTATCCCTTCCGCAACGACAGCGACTTTGTGTTTGTTAACCACCCCGAGTTCCACCTGAACCGCGGCTGCCGCGAGACCTTTGTCCAGGCCACCGCCGGCTCATTGATATTGTGGGACTCCCGTCTCGTCCACGAGGCCGGCTCGGTCCTGCCCCAGGCGCTGCGGGCGATGCCCAACAACCCTCGCATGGTCTTGTACATCTGCATGATACCGCGCGAGAAGGCCACGGAGGCAGATCTCCGGGGCCGCATCAACGCCTTCAAGGAACTTCAGACAACGTCGCACTACCCCGTTCCGCTCCAGGTTTTTAGCCCCATCCGCGGCTACAAGAACTTGAATCCGGTGCGACGACCGTTCTTGACGCCACTGGGCAGACGGCTCGTTGGATTCGAGAAGTGAGTCGACATCGAACAGGCGCGGGGGCAGAAGGGAGCGATTCGTGGGGGAGACAGGAGGGGGGGGGGACAAATCTCGAAACATTTGCTGGGATAAGTAGGATGAAAGCTTGCAATGGTTTGTGTGTCATCGTGGCTTGGTATGCGGCACAAAGTGGGGTTGTTGAGTGAAAGTGAGAATACGATATTCATTTTGGAAACAAGCAATTGGCTGTTTCGGAGAGGGAGTGGGGTATCATTTTGATCCAGAGAGTGTTCGGCAATCGCATTCCGCAGAGGGGATGGAATTGGGTATGAGGAAGGGTGATATTGGTGATGTTGGTTAGGTTGGTGGTTGCTTGGATCGTCGTGGTGTTCGGGTGAGAGTAAGAGTGAGTATTGGGGGGGGGTGCCCACCAACTCTGCGCTGATTTCGCCCGATGGACCAGACGATGTCTCGCTCGACTCGGCCCTCGGTGTTGAGCTTGAAGGTATTGAGTAATGGTCGGTCCCGGCGATGGCAGGTCGCTTGCCCTCTGCTTTCCTTTTGCGCCGGTACTCTGCTGCTCGCTCGCCGTTGTTCTTGGCAGCGAAAACGGTGGCGATCGAGAGCAGGTCGTCGGAGAGCTCCCTGGCAAAGCCGGCCTTCCCCCGCTCGCCCTCGAGAACCACGAGTTTCGTGCCAGCTTTGCGAAAGACGAACTCCAGGAGTTCTCGTTCAAAGCGACACAGCCGGCCGTGGTAGGTAACCACAACCTCCGAGACAGATCCTGCGTAGACGAGTTCCACAAAGATGTTGAAACCCTGCGCCCCCAGTTGAGGTCGGAATGGACGCACTTTTGAACGGATGCTGGCCAGGGCGAGGAGGATACTCTGCCCCGATTCAAGGTGGGCTCGTCCTCGTCGTTTCGTTTTATCAGCAAAGCCGGTGGAAATAAGACGGTGTCCAGAGTGGGCATGGGCCATATGGTGTCAGCCAGGCACACGGCCATTGACGAGAATGCGGGACTCGATTCCATGTTCGATTCATGCGGCAGTGCACGTGGCAGTGCAAAGAACAACGAGTCCAGCCAGCAAGCCATCGGATCGAGCCAGGCTTGTATGTGTGTGTGTGCCTTCGATGGCCAGTGCTTGGCTTGCCAGTGTTTGGCTTGCTTCGCCACTTCCCCCTCTGTCTCCTGTCCATCGCCATCACCCACTTGCCTCCATCCTGTCTCCGTCAACATGGCCAGCATGAACGAGCCTGCTTCAGCCACAGCATCATCTGCCACTCACCAAAGCCAAACTGAAGCCAGAACAACCTCGTCGATCCCCGATAACACCCAGCACTCACTCGAGCACAACCCAGACATCTTCACCATCATCTGCTGCAACGACAGCTTCCAGCTCGCACTCGACCACAGCACCATCAAGGCCCTGCTTCGAGTGTGCAAACGAGTCCGTCCTCTCCTGAGCTCCAAGGTGCCTTGTTTCCACACCTGGTGCCAGAAGTCAAGACTGTGTCATCCAGATGGACAGCTAAAGTTCGGCCTCACACCAAGCGACCAGATCGCCATCTCGCTGCACTCCGACGATCCAGGCACAGCCGACCGATCCTGGCTTGAAGATCTAGCCGATCAGGGCAACGCCGCAGCCTCGTACTTCCTGGCACGGATCCTCCAAGCTGAACAAGCTTGCAAGCCAAAAATTAGCTGGCCCAACAGAGAAAGATTCAATTCGAAATCTTCCGGCCTCTGGAGAGCGCAGCTCACGCCGGCCATCAAATAGCCCTGTTCCACTTGGCTGAATGCTATCGCAACGGAGTTGGAGTCGATCGAAACTATACCAAAGCTTCCCAGTTGTATCGTAGTCTTGCAGAACGCGGAATACCTCAGGCTCAAGTCGCCCTCGGAAGTTGCTACGAGAGCGGCGAAGGTGTCGAACAAGACTACGACTCAGCTATCGAGTGGTACTCAACGGCTGCTGACCAAGGATATGACAACATTCGCCTCCACATTGCATTCCTTCGTGGCTGTCTCGTTCATCGGCCATGGTGTCGAACAGAACGATGTCGATGCCCTTGACCACTGGCAGGAAGTCAGCACCCAGTCCACCGATCCGATCATCAAACCCATTGCCACGCATATGGTCGGATGGATGCACTACCTCGGCCGGGGTACCCAGCTCGACAAGCAGGAAGGCATCAAGATCATACGAGAGAACGAATCGGACGAGTTCAAGCTCGGGGAAGCGGAGTGCTGGACTGGTGGCTGGACTCCCTCCGAGTCACCTGTCGCCCACAAGTTCTTCGAATTGTGCCAGCTGGGATTGGAACATGACTGGCTCTGCAGTCATCTTATGGCTGTATGTCTGCTCCATGGATTCGGCACCACTCGGGATCGGATAGAGGCAGTTAGCATCATTGAGCAGCTCGCCAACAAAGGTCACAGCGACAGCCAGTACTGTATCGGTAGATGTTACTGGGAAGGCGCGGGGGTGTCGAGGGACTTCAAGAAGGCCTTCGAGTGGTACAGCAAGTCGGCCAACCGAGGCAATTCGTATGGGCAGTGGGAGATAGGCAAGTGCTACTACTGGGGACACGGAGTCACCAAGAACCACAAAAAGGCAGTTGAGTGGTATCGCAAGTCTGCCAAGCATGGCAATCGATACGGACAATACTACCTCGGCATCCGATACCTTTACGGCGAAGGTGTCCCCAGGAACATCGACACCGCCGTCTTCTGGTTCCGCAAGTCTGCCGATCAGGGTCTCGATTGGGCCATAAACAGACTCAGCGAACTCGGCAAGTGGCCCTGATCTCCGAATCCTCCAAGTTCTACTCCCAGTGATCCAAGTCACAATTATGAGTTGATATGCGCCCAAGCAAACTGCACTGCCTTCATCCGTCCCAGCCACCAGAGTCCCACAGTATATTCGACAGTAAATACATCCATGACTTCCACAAAGCAAAACAGTGCTGTTCCATATGAATCGCTGATGTTGATCGACCAACAGAAGCATCCGATGATTCGGCAAACTACACTCTACACTCGACACTCGGCATCGATCCTGGCTCTGCAGCCATTGATGTGGAGATACTCAGTGCCACCCAGATCGCCATCGCAACATGGCACTGTTGAATGCAGGCAGCAAGTCGATCAGCCTCTCCTATACCGAGACGTCCATTGTGGTTGTTTCCGTCGATCTCCACTATTCAGGAGTTCTGAGAGCGTAATTATCCAATTACACCCGCAATCGTCGATATCCACTTTACCGACTGGACATCAGATCCAGAACCTCACCCACAAGGCTAGAGGTGCCGCCGACAAGCCGGTAAAGCATGGAATGAGTCTGGGTCGATACTCGGCCAAGACGGTGGCGAAGGCGTTCAAGACCTTCGTTCGACCCATGCTCGAGTATGGACTGACCCTCGAAGTGCTCACGAAGCAGCAAGCCGTGATACTCAAACGAGCACAGATGCACTGTCTGACCCGACTCTTCAGAGTGGTGCGGAACACATCCTACGGAGCGATGCACCTCGGATGCGGCCTCATCACCCTGCCCAACCGCCCCAGCAGCTGATCGTGCTGAAAGAACAGCGCCAGCCGGACTACCCGATGAAGGAGCTGTTCAGGAACGGCTACTACCAGCTCACAGGACTACCAGTCAAGCTGCAGATTCACATCGATGACGCGCAAGGCTTCGACAGGTCAAAGGAACTGACTTTGGCCCGCATCAGGATGACGACCATGTCGGGACTGTGGGCCGAGCGAGGGCCCAAGAGATCGATACTATCACAACATGATGGTAAGATGGACCCTTGGTGCCTTTCCTGGACACCCAGATGAAGCAGAGCGAGAGGCCAGGGATGACGGCTCTCATCTCCCCCAAGCTGCCCGTTTGGTTGATCACTGCCTCCCTTCCCTTCATCATGTACTGCTAGGACCAACCAGCCCTTGAAAGGTTTGTCTGAAATACAAAATAAAAAACAAGCTTGTCCACTATCAACATCCGACCGAGGCAGCACCACGCCTCTGATCTGGGAGAATACTCTCGTAACTCAACACCAGCTGGGCGAATCGCTCCCAAGCACAATCGATGTCGCCTCTGTCACTCATGAGCTGGCCAGTCACACGCCCGATTGCTGTGCCAGTTGCGTGTTCAACAGCCGCGCAGCCAATACAGCGGGACGTGTGTCCTTCGCGATTCGGCGGATGCGGCGGCTTGTGATGCTCTTGGTGAGCCGCACAACTCCCCAATGGTGCGCGGCGTGGCAGTGCGTTGCTTGCACCACAAACGACGCCATGCAATTCTGTCCCACGAATGCCAGCCAGCTTCTGGGATATTGACCCCATCGCCACCCCTGTTCTTGCCGTCGATTTCGCCCTCTTCCCAACCACCCAGGGGGCAGCCCTCTTTGGCCGGTCTCTGCCCGTCTCCGCCTGCTTCCCCAAGTCCATCGGCTCGTCTCCACCAGCACCAGAACCATGTCCGAGCCAGCCATTCTCTTCTCCTACAACACGAACCAACCCACCTGGCAGATCCAGAGCCCCTGTCTGCCCCTCAACATGCTCTCCGCGGTTATCGGCCAGCGCCTCTCCCAGCACGAGCTGCAGAATCGCCTCGACGTCTTGACGCAAAACCTTACTGCCAAGAACAACGTCTTCCTCTTTGCCATCATGTGCCTCGGCTTTGGATCCTTCCTCGGCGGCATCATCTGGATCATTGCTGCAGGCGCCAACTTTGGATTTGGCCTGCCGCCTCCGTTCATGATCATGTTTCCAGGCATCATAGTGGCAATGATCGCGGGCAGCATCCGGCAGTTGTTTTTCTCTCGAAGTCTTGGGAGGATTGACAGCCAGCTGCCTGGACTGCTGCAGCAATTCAATCAAGTTGATATCCCCAAGGGTCTCCTGTGGGATCAGCACTCGACCAACGAGATTATTGAGACACACTACCAGAACGGCCGCAGGGTCAGTTCCGCCACTTCCAAAAAGACCTGGGTGGTGTCCCTCACCGTCCTGAAGCATCCTGGCGTATGAGATGACAGCTTGTACCAGCCTTTGATTGCCGGGGATGACAGTCCAGGGTCCGTGTCTGAATACAGAGCCGTTTGCCAGGCTGGTGTGAGTCCATACAATACCCTGGGACATTGGCGGGTTGGGGTATACGGAGGGGCTGGAGAGGTGAGGCGACCCTTGGCCAACACAAAAGCAGGCAGTTCCCCTCGGTTTGCCTGCCGAGCTCCTCATCGTTTCCTGCTCGACAATCGCCAGCCATGCTGACCACAACCAGCAACCAGCTCTATTCCTGCCCTGCCCACGGCACCGACCACGACCTGTTCCTTTCATACCAAGCCCAGACCGATGCCGACACTGTCCAGGCTTTGAAGGAGGTGCTCACCTCGGTCGCCCTCCGTCGATATGGCAAACCCCTCTCCGTCTTCCACGATGTCGACTGCCTCAACAATCCCAGCGACCCTCAAGCCGGTTCTATCAGTGCCCTCCCCACCAGCAAGGCCGTCTTCCTCCTCCTCAGCAAAGCCTCGATGGACATGATGAAGGACAAGGCCCTCTCCAGCCAAGAGGACAATGTAGTCCTTGAAATCAGGACCGCCCTCGACCTCAAGGATGCCAAACGCTCTCTCCCTGTCCTTCCCCTCGGTATCGCCACCAAGGAGACCAAAGATGGCATCGATGTCTTCACTCCCTTCCTGCCCTATATGGTGTCCCTCCCCGACGACCCTGCCCTTGCCCCCCTCAAGCAGATCCTCGGCAGAGTGAACCAGATCCAGTCCTTTGGCTTCCGTCCCGACCAGATGCACAAGCGAGTCTACCGCCTCCTCAACCTCGTCCATCCCATCCCACCCAACATGGATCTCATTACGGTCATCCATCGCAAATACTTTTGCGACTCCAAGTTCCGATTCGATCCCGCCCACCTCGACACTCTGCTCAAGCAACTCACCCTGACTGGCCGCGCTGTCATCTCCGGCATGGGTGGCATGGGCAAGTCTGTCCTCGCCATCCAGATCCTGTTCTTCATGATGGGCATTCTGAATGCGAGCAACAAGGACGACCTCCTCGCCATCAAAGCCGAGACCATCGGCATCAAGCCGCAGTACCGCCAGGTCTTCTGGCTCAACTGCTCGACTGAGTCGACCGCCATCGATGGGTTGTGCGAAATGTTTGATGGTGCAGTTGAACCTGACGAGATCAAGGAGTATGCCTCGAGGTTCCTCGCCAACACCCACGGCTATCTCCTGGTGCTCGACAATGTCGACGACATCGGTGTGGTCGACTCTGTGTTTGAGCACTCCAAGTCGGTCGGGTTCAGCGGCGATGTGGTGGTGACGACCCGGCTGGCCTCGCTGCCTCCTGGTGCATTCGTCAGTGCTCTCGAGACCAAGGCACCGAGCTTCCAGCACGATCTGCTCCGTCTCGGCAACTGGGACGACAAAACCACACTCGACTATATCATGTCGTCGTCGCCAATGATTGTCCAGCGACTTGTGTCAGACGAGGCCAAGAAGTCCCTCGACAACATCGTGGCCAAGATCAGTGGATATCCACTCGTCATCCAGACATTCATGACGTTTGCCGAGAACTACGACACTCCCCTGTTGGTGCTCGAGGCCACGTTTGCAGGAGCATTGGAGCTGCAGGATGGCGAGGACGACACGCGGTCGTCGCTCAAGGTGATTGTGGATCTGTCGCTGGACTCGCTGATGAAGCGAGGAGATGAGGGCATCGAGGCAGCCAGGCTGTTCGGTGCCCTCAGTTTGGTTGCGCCGACCAACATCCAGTTTGAGTTGATCAAAGCGATCGCCGTGAAGCTAAGGGCAAGAACCACGGCCACGTTTATCCTTGAAGAAGATGCTGAAGATGCCAACATCCAAGATATATTGGCGGATATACATGATGAGAGTGAAAGGCTTCGTACACTGGAAAACGCGATAGCAAGCATGATTGAAGGCGATATTGATGGTGAGTTGCACGTAGGTCTCGAAGAGCAGTTGATGGTGTCAATGTATGGAACTAACCTTCAATCACTCCACAGTCGCCGATTTGATCAAGATGATGGTCCAGAGCGGTCTTCTTCGAAGCGGAACCGAGGGACAGTACTCGACACACTCACTCACCCAGCAAGTTGCTCGAGAATATGTCCAAGCACACGAGGTGTTGGATGTCGAAATGATCGAGGATGGTACGGGTGAAGTCCTCCTCGAACTTATCGATATAACGGACTCGAAGGCACAGTTATTGAGCGAGCACCTCGATCAGTACGCCCAAAAAGCAGTGCCGCAAGTGTACACCAAAGAACTGCATTACCTGATCGATTCCCATGTTGCTCTATTGGCCCACGAGAAGCCTTTTTACACCAAGGCAATGGAGACGTACAAGAGGGTATTAGAGCGGATTGTGGCCTTCTATGGCACCCGCGAGCACCTCGAAGTGGCCAAGGCGTTGAATAACATGGGTGCAGTGTCAAGATCACAAGGACGTCTAGATGATGCACTTGCTTTCTACCAAGAATCCCTCGACATGAAGGTCAAGGTCTACGGCACTCGCGAGCATCCCGGTGTTGCTCAGACGCTTAACAATCTGGGCTTGGTAGCCAGCGACCAAGGGCGCCTGGACGAGGCACTGACCTTCTACCAAGAATCTCTTGATATTAAGGTCAAGGTCTATGGTACACGCGAGCATCCCGATGTTGCCTCGATCCTCAACAATATGGGCAATTTGGCTTGTGACAAGGGTTACTTGGACGAAGCCCTCACGTTCTTCCAAGAAGGTTTGGATATCACCACCAAGATCTATGGTTCCCGCGAGCACCCCGATGCCGCCCAGGTCCTCAACAATATGGGCTTGGTGGCCGTTGACCAAGGGCGCCTGGACGATGCATTCGCTTTCTTCCAAGAATCTCTTGATATCAAGATCAAAATCTACGGCACTCTCGAACACCCCGATATTGCTCAGACACTCAACAATATGGGTATGGTAGCCAGCGACCAAGGACGCCTGGACGAGGCTCTGGCCTATTACCAAGAATCACTTAATATTAAGGTCAAGGTTTATGGTACCCGCGAGCATCCCGTCGTTGCTACGACACTTGGAAACATGGGGAATGTTGCATTTAAGCACGAGCACCTAGAAGAGGCGCTTGTTTTCTTCCAAGAAGCATTGGCGATTTGGAACAAGACTATTAAGAACACCGAGCATATTCACGTCAAAACGGTGATGTCCAACATCGAGATCATCAAGAACAGAATTCGCGAGCACTCCCAGCTCCGTCAACTCTAACCACGCAGAAGGCGTCAACCACAGCTTGTCTTTGCATGAAATGCCATCATTTCCTTATTTTGAGGCACCGATATGACAACTGGCCAGGTGAATGCAATTGCCGAGCCCCTTGAGGGAGTCGATTGAAGATGAATGCTGATTAGGGCACACTGCCTGGTGTCGGATCGAGGGAGGATGGTCTTGGTCGTGCTCATCATCTGCGGCTGCAGGACGAGAATCGATGAGTGAATGTTGATAATGGCGTTGTCGAGTCATCGGATGTTGCTGTCGATCGATATGAGCGATGGATATGGGACAGCATTATTTGAATATGAGATCTATTGGGTTTCTTGGATGCCAAATACAACACCACTCGGCAAATATCGATTGATTGTAACCACTTTTCTGATCCACTCTTTGGTATCACAGTGTCTGGAATGGGTGTTTGCCGCGCGGTTGCTCGGACTACGGCTCGGTGATGATGATATGGCAGTTGGGAATGATCGATGATCAGGGCCACATGTCGAGTTCGCTGAGTCTGTTTATGGCCCAATCGAGGCCCTGATCGGCAGACTTGCGGAACCAGAAAACGGCGGTGTCGATGTTCCTGGGGACACCTTCGCCGTAAAGGTATCGGATGCCGAGGTAGTATTGTCCGTATCGATTGCCATGCTTGGCAGACTTGCGATACCACTCAACTGCCTTTTTGTGGTTCTTGGTGACTCCGTGTCCCCAGTAGTAGCACTTGCCTATCTCCCACTGCCCATACGAATTGCCTCGGTTGGCCGACTTGCTGTACCACTCGAAGGCCTTCTTGAAGTCCCTCGACACCCCCGCGCCTTCCCAGTAACATCTACCGATACAGTACTGGCTGTCGCTGTGACCTTTGTTGGCGAGCTGCTCAATGATGCTAACTGCCTCTATCCGATCCCGAGTGGTGCCGAATCCATGGAGCAGACATACAGCCATAAGATGACTGCAGAGCCAGTCATGTTCCAATCCCAGCTGGCACAATTCGAAGAACTTGTGGGCGACAGGTGACTCGGAGGGAGTCCAGCCACCAGTCCAGCACTCCGCTTCCCCGAGCTTGAACTCGTCCGATTCGTTCTCTCGTATGATCTTGATGCCTTCCTGCTTGTCGAGCTGGGTACCCCGGCCGAGGTAGTGCATCCATCCGACCATATGCGTGGCAATGGGTTTGATGATCGGATCGGTGGACTGGGTGCTGACTTCCTGCCAGTGGTCAAGGGCATCGACATCGTTCTGTTCGACACCATGGCCGATGAACGAGACAGCCACGAAGGAATGCAATGTGGAGGCGAATGTTGTCATATCCTTGGTCAGCAGCCGTTGAGTACCACTCGATAGCTGAGTCGTAGTCTTGTTCGACACCTTCGCCGCTCTCGTAGCAACTTCCGAGGGCGACTTGAGCCTGAGGTATTCCGCGTTCTGCAAGACTACGATACAACTGGGAAGCTTTGGTATAGTTTCGATCGACTCCAACTCCGTTGCGATAGCATTCAGCCAAGTGGAACAGGGCTATTTGATGGCCGGCGTGAGCTGCGCTCTCCAGAGGCCGGAAGATTTCGAATTGAATCTTTCTCTGTTGGGCCAGCTAATTTTTGGCTTGCAAGCTTGTTCAGCTTGGAGGATCCGTGCCAGGAAGTACGAGGCTGCGGCGTTGCCCTGATCGGCTAGATCTTCAAGCCAGGATCGGTCGGCTGTGCCTGGATCGTCGGAGTGCAGCGAGATGGCGATCTGGTCGCTTGGTGTGAGGCCGAACTTTAGCTGTCCATCTGGATGACACAGTCTTGACTTCTGGCACCAGGTGTGGAAACAAGGCACCTTGGAGCTCAGGAGAGGACGGACTCGTTTGCACACTCGAAGCAGGGCCTTGATGGTGCTGTGGTCGAGTGCGAGCTGGAAGCTGTCGTTGCAGCAGATGATGGTGAAGATGTCTGGGTTGTGCTCGAGTGAGTGCTGGGTGTTATCGGGGATCGACGAGGTTGTTCTGGCTTCAGTTTGGCTTTGGTGAGTGGCAGATGATGCTGTGGCTGAAGCAGGCTCGTTCATGCTGGCCATGTTGACGGAGACAGGATGGAGGCAAGTGGGTGATGGCGATGGACAGGAGACAGAGGGGGAAGTGGCGAAGCAAGCCAAACACTGGCAAGCCAAGCACTGGCCATCGAAGGCACACACACACATACAAGCCTGGCTCGATCCGATGGCTTGCTGGCTGGACTCGTTGTTCTTTGCACTGCCACGTGCACTGCCGCATGAATCGAACATGGAATCGAGTCCCGCATTCTCGTCAATGGCCGTGTGCCTGGCTGACACCATATGGCCCATGCCCACTCTGGCCTAGCCCTGCATCTTAGTGCCCATGATGTCGTCGATCGGCTCGGTGATAATGATTTCTCGCACTTCTGAACAACGAACCACCATCTCCATCGATGCCACCTGTTCATTTCCCCCCCCCCATACTCTAATCCACCTCAGCCCTACCCACGCAACTCATGGATCGCTTTCAGCCGATACCCCGACCGGTAAGCAGCATTCTCGGTGCTCGTGCCTTTCAGCTGCGTTGGTATAGTGTGAATCGAGGAAGGGCGTCCATGTGCATTTGTCTCAGGTCTGCAAAATGTGACACAAAGCCAACAAGGACCTTTAGCTCAGCGGTAGAGCAATCGACTGCAGATCGATAGGTCCCCGGTTCAATCCCGGGAGGGTCCTCGCTGCCCGGTTAGCTCAATGGTAGAGCGTGGGACTTTTAATCCCAAGGCTAGGGGTTCGAGTCCCCTATCGGGCGCCATATCGAATTTGCTATTTTGCTTCTGCCTCCCACATATGAACCATTTTGCCGCTCACTTTCATTTTTGAACTGGCTGCACTCGGATCGTGTCTCCAGTCTCTTTGCCCTGACGTATCTCGTCGACACTCGAGGTCTCCATCCTCCTCTCTGGCGCATTTGTCGTGTATTGTGACTGACCTTCCAGGCTGCGAGGGCTTTGACAACCAGGGACCATCCCAAACCCCGCTCACGACATAAACTTGCGCTTCTTGACAGCCTTGCCATCCTCCTCGGCAGTGCTCTTTTTGGCCTTCTTCTTGCGCTTGGTTGCCGCGATGGCATCTAGCACATCCACCATGGCCTTGTCTTTCTTGTCCTTCTTGCCTGGAGCTCCAGTAGCAGCTGGCGCCGTCTCATCCTCCCCACTGCTGTCCGGGGCATCGTCGATCTCCATGCGCTGAAACGATAAGTCGTCGCGACAGTCAGTCAACTTGGGTCCGAGGACAAGTGACCCGACTAGAAAGCATTGTCGACCGCTTGGTTGTGGGACACTGGAGCCTTACCGCAGAACCGCTGGCTGCTTTGCCCTTCTTCCTAAAGATTTGATCAATTTCATGGGTCACGTTCTGGAGCTGCCCTTCGGTTCCATCCGTGTCCAACCGAAGCTGGAGCCAGAGACATTCGTGGTTAGCCGTCCATTTCCATGTCCATTCCACACGATGTTTCCTCAGCGGCAACCGCTCCGCTCGCCTGCAAAGCTGCGCCATCGCTTACGTCAATGCCGGTGTTGTTATCTGTCTTGCGTTTCCCCTTCTCTTTCTTTGGCTTAGCTGCAGCTGCAGGCTCAGAGGCCGAGTATCCCAGCAGCTCCATTGTGCCCTTGTATCGTCCAGCCTCCTGCTCGGCAACCTGGATGAAAATTGGTCGAGTAATCGACCGCAATCAATGATAGGTCCAATCTGAGACGTCAACGCCAACGATGCTTTCACTCAGGCAAGGGGCAGGTCTGCCGTGGCCCAATATCAAAGTCACTCACCTGAACCTGGGCCACGTTGCTCGCACCGGGGGCTTTCTTCTGGAAGGCTTTGTCCTCGAAAAAGTCCTTCATCAGATCCTTCTTGCGCTCGACCCCCTCCTGCCGCTCAGCCCACTCCTCTTGGTCCTTTTTGTACCGGTCGATTTTGCAGTTCCGGAGGACAAACTTGCCATGGAAGTTGTCGGCAAGGGTCTTTTCGTGAAACAGCAGCTCCTCGGCAATTTTTTTCTGTTGCAGCATCCGGTACATGTGTCAGCAAGTTGGATCATCGATGAGGGAGGACCGCTGTCGTCTCATCGAGTGTCTGTGATTGAGCGTCTTGGGAACATTCAGCTGTAGCCTCGGCTTACCTTGAGGTTGATGTCCGAAACAAGCCAGATCTTGTCGATGATCCGGCTGCCGTACTTGTCCTTGGCGATCTCTCCGTACTTGCCCTCGAGCGCAAAAATGAGCTTGCGCTTGACTTTGATCGACACCATTGCGCCAGCAAAGACCATGTCGAGCACGCGACTGGCTATCGGATCGAACATCCACTTGAAAATCTCGTCGGTCGGCACGGCCAGCAAACTTTGTTGGTTGATGAACGCAAGGGCGGCAAGGGACCGAGCCAGGTCAGGGCGCAATTTCCCACAGTGTGGAGGCGTCGAGCAGCACTTGGGGAATGTGTGGGGTTTACCTATCAATCACAATCTTGTTGTGTTCCTCGGGGAACTCCAGCAGCTTTTGGAGGAATAGGGCACCTTGGATCTGATACTTGCGCGGGGTACTCGGATCGGCAAAGGCCTACAAGTGAACAAGACAGATCGCCGTGATCAGCCTCGCTGACGACACGAGATGAAATCGACGAGTGGAGCCTCCGTGTTGGCAGAGCGACGCGTGACCTGGGCAGGTGTCGGCCAACTTACCGGATATCGGAGCATATGAAGCAAGAGGGGCACAAACTGCTTCCGCTGGTCTGTAGTTTTGCAGTCGAATGCGGAGGTTATCGCCTGAGGCGGTTTGGTGGTGTGATAGAACATGTCAGACGCCCGAAATGCTGTAACAGCAATGCTCCACCCGTGCTGGCTGCACCTCCTAGCAACGCGCGAGTGACATGAGTCCGGCAGTCATTCGCAACATTGGGCCCATAGCCGAATTCCGCAACTGTGCCAAGCATACCTTGATGATTTCCTTGTATCCGCTGTTCTGACTCACACAGCTCTCCAACAGCTTAACGACCACGCCGCTTCGGTTGCCAACTGGTGATATGCACAGACGCGTTAGAGCAGCTGTCTCAGTTCGCGCAAAGCTCGGCCGAGGATACTCGCTTACATATCAGCCGGTCAAAGCTGCCTAGCAGCTCGTCCAATAAACTCTCAAGTTGGGCTGTATTCTTGACGCTGGATATCAGCTGCTGAACGACAAAGTTTGCCAGCGGATCTTTGGATAGCTCCTCAACTGATCCTCGGAAATATGTCGAGTAGAGATGCTGGTAGACCTCCACGCTGGCAACCTGCAACATGTTTGACGGCAGTGAGCACGGGGTAGGAACAAATCGCTAGTTTCGACACTATCACATCAATTTCGATGGAGCAGCTCAGTCACAGAACAATCCATGGCAGTCGAAAGCCAAAGTACCTTCAAAATTTTTTCCATCAGATGCGATCCGATTTGGTGCCGAATGAGGTCCTCGACAAACTGCACCTTGTCCCCACGCGGAGTAGCTGTCGGATATCGCAGATGATGTGACGTCAGAGCAGATGATGTGACGTCAGAGCAGATGATATGATGTCAGAGCAAACGATCGAGACGGCCGTTCACCACAGCGGACCCAGATCGCTGGGCGATATCGGTAGACCATACGCGGCGACCCGTGATGGTTTTTCAGACCCCAACGCTGATTCTTACAGTCTCCGTAGCCGAGCAGTCTGCCGATGAGCTTCTCCGAGACACCGTCAACGGAGATGAGCAGCTGCAATGCCATCATGCACGGGGTATCACAAGGAGAGGGGTTACAAAACATTCCTAGGAGCAAGCCCGTGGCTCCCACCTATCGAGAGATGGCATAGAAACAGTGGTCTGCTTCTGCGCTTTCCCCAACTCCCCGACGATTTGGCTGCTGGAGCATACCTGGAGAACCGGGTTGGCGACTGGATGGACAGCAAGCTCCTGCAGCTCCTTCTCGGGCAAGCTGTCGGCCACATGCTCACTAATATCCTTGAGCTTGTCGTAAAATTCTCGTGGAACGACTCGTTGGCGAGCTTGGTGTTGGGGCTTTAAGAGCAAACCCGCACAGCAAGGTCAGTACGTCAGCACTGCACTCGGCTGAAATATGCCCAAAGACTTGCTCAGCTGTCATGTCGGTGCCGTTGCCCAAGCATACAAATTAGTCAAAGTGTGGCTTACTCGCTCGCTCCAAGCATTATTGTGTCGCTGATTGTATTTCTTGGACTTGTTACTGCGTAGCTCTGCCTCGTTGTCCACCAGTGCCTCGCCCGACAGGAGATTCAGCAGCGCTCGGATCAGGTGGGATCCAAAAGGATCCGTCATCAAAGCCACCCAGTCGCCTTGTAGTTGCTGTCAAGCGCAGTGATTGTCAGTGAGTCAACAACCAGAAAAACACAGATGCACTGGCGGGGAACGATGGCGGCGAGGGAACATGCGGTGTCACTCCCGAAATTGGGCGCATTGTCAAAACAACATACCTCACACAGACCGATAAAGAACTCCTTCATCGTAGGGAGCTCTCCTACGTCTGCGTCTCCAACTGGCTGAACAGTCGACTTGCCGGTGGCCTGGATGATGCAGAGTGTTAACGCAGCCTCGGCCTGGATGTCCGGCAGAGTTGATGGGACACACAATTTCATATTCCCACCTCGCGTTCGACAATGTCAGAGCCAAGGTACATCAAAGTTTGGACAACATGGGAGGCAAACCGATGCCGAAGTAGCAGTGTAAATCTGGATCAAACAACACTGGTCAGGATGGCGTTCTGATGATGATGCACACTGAGGAGCGCTACACGATTCGTCCCTGACTAGGGGCACGTGCACATACTGTCCGTTGAGCCGGTCGGCAAAGAGTCGAATCTGGAAATCGTTCGAGGCCCGCAACAGCTTCTCCAGAATTCGAGATGTATCTGGATCCGTCGCCAGCATCAGCTCCTTGCCCTCGACTTCCTTGTAAATATTTTGGATCATCAACGCTCGGTCTGGGATAGGGGGGAGACGATAGAGAACTTGGTCATTGTTTGCTTCACCAGAGTCGCATGGTAGCTTCATGGATCGGACGAGCAGATTCGCATCCCCACCTTCCTCGCTGTCCTCCATTTCTTCGGACTGGAGCATCTTTTCAACGTGGTTGAAATACTCGGCCACTTCGACGGGCAGGCCACCAAAGATTGCGTATTCTGGCGTGAAGCGACTTCCGCGATTCTTTTTATCACCCTCGGGGCGGCCGTGCTCGGCAGTGTCGTGGCTAATCTCCTGGCGATAGTCCTGACTCTGCTCGTGGTTGAAGGAAGGCGCTTTCATGAAGGGCTTAGCATCGGAGGAGCCGCCCTTCCCTCCATGCCGGTAAGCCGGCTGCTCCTCGTATGCTTGCTCCTTATATTCTTCGTGGTACACTTCTTGCTCCCCAGGCTGCTCGGCATAGGAGCCCGCATGGCCAGTCGAGTAGTTGCCTCTGTCGCTGGTGCGTTCTCGGAAGCGCCCGGGATCGGTGCTTCTGGGTGCCTCATGGCGAGGCATCTGGATCTGCTTCTCCTTCTCCTTGGCTTGCTTTCCACCGCGCTTGCCTCTCCTCTTCTTTGCGACAGCCTCAGCCCCGGCGCTGGCTGCATGTGTCGGCTGCGATGCCTGTTGCTGGGGAGCAGGGCTCGGCTTTGCGGGGGTTGCTGGGATCTTGGCCTCGAGTGCGGCCTGCTTCTTCAGCTTGGCGGCCTTTCCACCTCGCTTTCCTCTCCTCTTTTCTTCAGTCATGGGCGGTAGCTGGCGACTTTGGAATGCTCGGCCCTCGCTGCTGGCGGGGTTGAATGGGCTGGAATGGGCTGGATGGGCTGGATGGGCTCGATGCCCTTGGGGCCGCACCAGCAGAGGCGACAAAAAAACGAGACAATTCAAGCTCCGCAATGAATTAATTGCGGCCGGCCACCGGCAAGCCACAACCCAGCCAGCCGCGGTCTGGTCATCCAGCCGGGACGGATCTTTGGCCAGGGTGAGCACACCATCAATTTTGGTTCAATACCGCTCGCAAGCTATAGCAGCATGCCGATATATCCTCAGGATTCGGGTAGCCATCAATATCTACGCCGTAGAAATCGCGAGAAGGAGCCAGCGACATCACTCTGGTCTCTTGGTCAGATCGCTGCGATCAGCTTGGCACAAGAAAGCAGCCGATCGCAGTTTATTCACATGTGATTGCGTCATCGTTAGGACGGCTGCCGCTGTCGCCACTACGACTTTGATGTGAAGTTCCACACGGAGCATGAGATGCTCGGCATTGGGTAGCGCTATAGCGGCTCGGACGAATGATCTTGCCAGCCGCTAATCGTAGAGATGAACGAGTCCATAGGCCAGAGTCCAGAAGAGGAGATAGCTGAACAGGCTTCCGCTCACTTCTTCCAGCCACACCTGGGTGCGAGAGGTGAAGTAAATCTTGTGATCCCACCCAGCCTTGGTCAGGATAATGAGCGCCGTCGTCACAACCGAGCACACCAGGTAGAAGAGGAATCCGGAGAGTCCTTGCAGGCCCAGGATACCGGCTGCGATGCCAGCAAAGGCGGCAAGCGACGAGCGCACGTAGATCAGGTACTGGGTGTTGTTGCGGATGTTCCTCGGCGAGAAGGCCTCGGAGAGCTTGAATTCCTTTGCCTGCGACGGTGCTGCTTGCATTGTGGCCGGGTCTGTTCGATTAGGGGACACGAGGGTCTGGGCTCGGCGAGGTTGTTCGCTGGCTTTGGTTGGCGACTGCGGTGAGGGCGCTTGTATCTCGGGGCGAAGCCAGGAAGGAGGGGAATCGTCAACGGCGCTGTCCCGGTGCAGAGGAATTGGTGCCCTGGCGTGAAGGGAGCGGATGTCGTGGTGGGTGACGAGATGAACGACGAACACAGATCTCCCTTCCAAATGCGTCGCTCGCGCCTTCTCATGGCCACCTCCGCGAAACCCAGCAACACTCCTGGCCGGCCAGACGGCAGCATTGATTGCAGCATCGATTGCAGCCGAGACAGAGACAGAGACAGCCTGCCGCATGATAGTCCCGCGACAGCCCACAGCGACCGCACATGCCACTGGATGATATTGACGTGATAGCGCATCCGGGACGAACGGGACGCTCTGTTTCCGAGACCGGATGATGACTCTCCGGTCTCATCTCTTGCGGCACGAACTATATTTTCGGGTTCACACTGGCAAGCCTTGGCTCATCACAAAGTGAGCGACTTGTCGCATCGGGTACCGTTGGTATGATGCTTGGCGACTCACTGCCTCCAGTATTGGGCCCACTGCGAGGAAGTGTATGGTTAGATGGGTTCAGCCAAAGAGACTGCCGCTCCGGCTTGAGTCCAGAGGCGGGGCCATCCCATGCCGCAAGACACTTGCCTGATGAATTCTCTCAATGACCTGTGGGAAGAGCGCGCTGACACTCTCCTGAATCAGGCCTTGGAAGTACTGCATGGCCTCGTCTTCGGTCAGATCCAAGCGGAACTTTTCTTGAACCTTGTTGTGATCGCATCGGAGCGCAATGTTGCGACGGTCGGTACAGTTAGGAACGGAAATCATGGCATTCCGCTGCGAACAAGGGCGTTAACAGCCTCTCGCACATTCGGTACCTTCATCACAGCTTTGTCGGGCTCGATGGCAATGTCAGGGATGTTGGCATTGACCATGAGCGAAAACAGGTTCAGGATCAAACTGGCCGACTTGCGGAGACTGTTGAATGCCGTGAAGCAGTAGCTCTGGAACTTTTGATAGTGCGGCGACGTTGCTCCGCCCATGGCCTCAACCATTTCCTTGCAGAGCTTCATCGGCGGCGGGAACGGCTTGGGATCGCGTCCAAGGATGAAGCCAAAGTCGACGTGGAAGAGATTTCCTGCGTTCCAACATGTACATAAGCACGCATCAACCAGAACGGCAGCTACAGGATCCGCCATGTGCCATCCAGCGTGCGTGCAATGCAGTCTTCATACGGGGTACAGAGGGATGAGGACAGGCCCCTTACCAGTTCCAGTCAAGAGCAGATTATCGAGGTGGCGGTCTCCCACTCCAAGTAGATAGGTGATTACACAGTAGCCAGCTATATTACAACACACCGCCAGACATGTCAGTAAACCGACGATTCCCATATTTGCCGTGCTATGTTGCTTACCGCAGCTCTTGATATACGTGTCCATGACTTGGGGAGGGAGGCCCATGGTATTGATGGAACCGCCCGTTGGGTTTTGCTCACGCAGGAAGGTGATCAGGTTGTTGTTGTGCTCGGCAAGCACCGTCGCCAGAGGCAGCGAGGATATAAACTGCACCATGCCTGTTCCACGGAATCGGTAGCAATCAGCGATGAGCCGGGGGGTGCCGTTGCTTCATCAGTGCCAAAAAAAACCAGCGAACTGAATGCCGCGACCGCTTGCACCTCGGCCTCGCTGCTTTCTACATCCTTGCCAGGCACAGATGCCAGCGACGTATACCATGGTCCGATCCAGTGGCCAGCACTTTGTATGGCGTCAGCTTGAGATCCAAGTTCTCTTTGCGCAGCAGCTTGTCCATCAGGGTGATGATCTGGACGACAAGTTGGTCCTGCCTCAGATCATCGCCTGTCTTGAACATAACCTATGCAGGGGCACCAGTCATGAGTCTGACCAAGTTGATCGTCCCGGATACGAGCATGCTACTTACAGGATACTCAGATCCGTCCAGACAGGTAAAGGTCAGCCGGAGCGGAGCCAGGGCACTCTTGAACACCCCGGCCTTTTCTGCTCAGGGAAATCGCGGTTAGTCTGCTGCCGCAGATGATGCCAGTTTGGTGAGGGTTGTATGGCTGGCCGTACCTGGGATGATGCCCGTGATCTCAACACTGGCGTCAAGCGGGAGCGGCATTGGCGGGAAAGACAAGAGTCCATTTTTGGGATCTGCGATGAAATTGATGAGCTTCTCGATCTGACATCAAGGTTATTGGGTGGGATTAGTATTGCCTCAAAGGCACCATCGAGCTTCGCTCTCGGCATCAGATCTGCGAGCTTCCCCGGCCGATCCAATACACACCTTCTTTGTGCGTGCCTCTCGAAGATTTCGGACTTCCCGAGAGAGCTTGTGGAGCACCGCAATCAACTCTCCTTGCCGCTTTAGGACATTGCGTCTGTTGGCGCCATCGGGCATCTTGCAAAAGTCAGAAGCGTTAGCATCGACAACAACAGCCTCGAACGGATATGTGTACTATGGTTACCGAGCCTGTGCTGTGCGCGGGATCATAGAGATAGGGCGTAGCTTCCAGCGACCGCATCTATCCCAAGCACTGGGGATCTGCCGGTTGCTGTAGTGACCGCTGGCGTACCTCGGTCATCGTGGACATGTAGTGAAAGGCAATTTTTCCGTACATCTTGCCGTAGGTCTTACATTCGCACTCGACCATGAGATACCTGTGGCAGTCCGCAGACGCTCAGCAAGCCCGTCTAACGATCCGACTCTCACGGTTCGAAATGCGCTCAGTGTCGGCAACTCGCTGTCTACCAGTGGAAGCTGCTGCCCAGCAGTGGATTCTTGATGGAGCGATCAATCAAAAACTCTGCGAGAGGAGACTCGAGCTTTGCCTTGCGATTCAGCTGCCCGTCGAACTTGAGAGCTTGCACAAGTTGCAATAGATAAACTTGCAACTCCTGTCGTATCGGGTTGGATGCACTGTGTCAAGACGGCCCAAGCCACGCCCTGATCTGGACCAGCAAACCCACCTCATCGTCTGCCTTGTGGAGCTGCATGACCGCATAGTGCCGAACTTTGGTGTCCTCAAATGCGGGCCCAAGAAGCTCAAGGGCGTCTTCGATATCGATGTCGACCCAGCCATGCAGGAGCTCTGTGGCTTGCTTGACCTCGACAGGATCGGACCAAGCAACACATTTGAGAAACTTTGTCAGAGCCTGTCGAGCACCGGTGCAGGCAAAGATATGGATGTGTCAGCGACTATCGGCAACTGTCAGTGATGCAGAATCGCGGACCGAGTCGGGATCACGCTCAGCGAGCAGCCTTACCTTCTTGTCCTTTGTTAGATAGAACCGGAACTTCCACAGCAAATCCTTCTCTTCGGTCGAAAGCGCTTGGGTCGGCGGATACCTGAGCACTCGCTGCGACAAGGATGGCAGGGAGACACATTGCACAAGACAGAGTCCATGTTGTGCTCTCGCGTTAGACGCACGCTCGGACAACATTGCATGTTCTGTTGTCCCGAACCGACCGCGCAGTCGGCTGAATCGGCAACGCTCAGTCCACAGACAGTCGGAGAGTCCCCATATCACTGCATCGCCTCAATGTGTCTGTGTGATGCATGGCCATCATCGAGCTGTACCTGCAGATCGTCTCTAAGCTTCGCATTCGGTTTCAGGTCGCGATCGAGTGGTCCATTGCGATGGCTTCGAACAAGCCGGCGGTGCTTGTCTTCGACGGGATTATCGCGGAACATTTCCGGGTCGTATATACCGGGAGAATCGGTCTCGCCCCTGGGGAAAATGCTGGGCGGAAGGCTGTATTGCTGAATCAAATTCGAGGAGAGGCGCATCAGTTTCTACCGTGCACCACTCTGAGCGGCTGCATGGCTGCCTACCTTTTCGTTGGACACCACCGGAAAGTCAAAGAGTGGAAACTCAACATAGAGATAGTTGTTTTTCGAGCTCATTGTCTCCTTCTGCAATATCAGAGTCGTATCGTTTAGTTTCGAGCCAACTGTGTGAGGGAGGGCTTTCGTTGGCTGTGCAAGCCGAGTCTCCAGGCATACTAACGCTGTTGACTTTCTCGATCTCGCGAAAGGCTAGATGATCGAGCCACTGGGATTTCGGCAGGTCGCCCTGTTCGTACTTTCGCATCAGCTGAGAGAAATAGGCCAGCGAGGTCCACAGAAAAGACAACACGAAATAGAGTGAATCAGTCAAGAGTCGGATACCATGGGACTGAACAGATATGTGGCGACCTTTGGTTTGTTGCCCACCGTTTCGAGACGATCCATGGGTGTCGATTTATCGTCCAGCTTGCATGGTGTCAATGTATTGACCAGACCGTCTCCTTCGACACCGGGGAACAGATAGAGCTTGTGTCTTCCTTTCTTGAGCACGCTATTCGGCGCAGCGACCAACAGTTAGCCACAAGGCCACGCCGGACCAACGGCTCGACCAGACGGCCGTTCCAGAGGCAAGAGATGCAGGTAGCCACCGGCTGCGAGCATGCTCTTGGGAGCAACGATGATGGGCACTTACTGGCTGTCTTCGAATAGAGGAACGGTAGACCCGCCGATGGGTCGTGCTTTCTTTGTCGTATGGATGGCCCAGACGGTAAAGGACAACGCCGAGCTCAGGGGCAAATCCCGATATTTCACTGGGATGACGAGCCACTCGTTCCATCTTGCTCGCCAAGGCATTTGAGGATTTGTGGGTGAGGGACAATTGCAGGCTACAAACCGGGAATTCCGTTCAAGGCCGTCGCCGTCACCATCGCCCAACCGATGCGAGCTGAGGGTCTGCACTCACGATTGGGAGCTCTGGTATCGGGTCCGCATGGGCATGGAGAGCGGCTTGTTGTCGGCAAAGAGCTGCAAGGTGACATAGGTATCGCTGCAGAGAGGCATCGGGTCAGGCCGAGGAGAGCATCATCAGCAGTCGACCAGGCTCGCTGCGAATGTCTGGCACAGTATCCAGACCAGCCAAACGCACGCTGGCGGCATACCTTGGCGACAATTCTGGACACAGCCTCAGGTATGGGTCGCTGATGACCAGCGACGGCTCAGCGCCGGTCAGCGAGCCTTGGAAGAAGCATCTGCAAGCCAGGGCAAGGAAACAGCGGTAGGCTCTCTGGTGAGATTAGAGCCCAGTGATTCCGGGCTTGGGTGCAGGCCGGATGCCCCGAGGCCACCCAGAGGAATGGATTGGTGGGCTGACGAGCAAGCACATCGATATTTGGTGCGGGTAATGGCGACCAGACATACACTTTGACACGGAGGTAGAGCGAGAGATCGCCCACGAGGCAATAGGAAAAGTCCTTGAGCTGGTTGCTGTTGCGTTCCTCCATCTGAGAGGTATTGGACTGGCGAGCGAGCGAGCGAGCGGATGAGCGGGCGGCCAGATGGCCAGACGGACACAGGGGAGATGGAGGCAGAGGCGCCAGAGCAGGGCTGGCCGCCTGGCTGGAATCATGATCGCGGATGACCTGCGTGCTGGCGATGCCCGGCCGATGTATCGACCGATACAGCCCAAGGTGATAGCCGGTAAGGCAGCAATGGAGGCGATCGGGAGTGGCTGATATTGGGCTGATCACATCCACTATCGAAGAGTCCAACAGAGCCACATGCAATTCAGCAGACTAACTCTGAGTGAAGACATCCAGTCGCTCTCCGGTCTTCACAATCGACCTGCACCGCTCAAAGCACCGCGCAAACCGCTGCCTCCTGGGACTGGATGCATAGCCCCTGCATTGAAGCCATAACGCATTTCCGATGGCAATCACCGCCTCGGTCTCCTTGGGCATGGCGTTTGGCCATGGTTGCAATAGGTGTGTGCGTATTGAGGTCCCAGAAAATAGTCCTGGTCTAAACAGGATGTCCCGTTTCAAAATAGGAACACTGTAACAAGCTCCCCGCTGACAGCGATCTTTCATCAGCAGCCCGATGGGAGATCACCGCCCTTGCTCTGCACGGAGAGAGAGGAGCTGTTTGAAACGCCGAATGTTCTTGGTCCTGAAAGAGAGCACAGCTGTTCTATCAGAATACACCCTGGTGCTCGTCACAATGTGCAGTGCGCGACAGCCAGACTTACGCCTGGTGTCTGAGCTCGAGCTCATCGGACTTGATCTTGGCGAGTTCCAGCACATCTCGGGGTATCTCAGCGAGTCGGGCAACATTCAAACTGTTGAGTGCAACCGATTCTGTCAGCCAAGTTGGCGGACTATGTTGTTCCCAGGCGCCACGATCGCCGCCAGCTCGTCACCCAGACCCGCGATCAGCAGGAACGTACCCATAGGATCGCTTTGCGAGGCCCGGTGTAAGCTTGTAAAGAAACACAATCTTCTCGATCTCGACGCTCTCGGGGTGATCTGGCAGCAGAGTTGCAAGCACCGGGCAAGGCAATTGGGATGTTGGTTAGACCCCAACTCGGATGCATGTCTCGCCAGATCGAGTATCAGGCACACGCCGAGACACGCCAGTGCATTGACGGGTACCTCCGTCCGCATCGTTATCTTGGATCTCGATGAAGCCCATGTGGAAGCAAGAGACGACGCTGCCCTGCTCGTCTTCGCGCTGCAGATCGCCAAGGGAAGGGTAGTGCGTGACGAAAAGCACACGCGCATGGCCGGAGAGCAGGAACTCGGCTGTCGCCCAGGCGATTGCAGTTCCATCGTGCGTCGATGTTCCTCGGCCGAGCTCATCGAGGATCACAAGAGACTTGGGGGTAGCCAGCCGCAGAATGTCCGAGGTCTCGGCGAGCTCCTTCATGAACGTGGACTCACCACGGACCAGATTGTCGGCGGCTCCCATCCGACAGAATATGGCATCAAAGAGTCCAATGCGGGCCTCTTCCGCGGGGATGTACGAGCCCTGCAAAGACACAATCGGGCGGGTCAGCAATACAATCTACGATCGATGCTGGCTTGAGTGTAGAGTGAGAATCAACTCACAATCTGGCACATCAGGACGATCAAGGCCACCTGACGGACATAGCACGACTTGCCGCCCATATTTGGACTGAATCGATCCGAGGGTTTCAAAGGGCAGGCAATGAGGTTGGTCAGTCAGGAGCACACACAGCTTGTCGAACAGCATTGGGATAGCGCACAGCATACCCTGTAATCAGCATAAACCGCGATCCGTCCTGGAGTGAAAGCGAGAGACAGGATCAGCGCACTGGTGAGTTTGAGTGCATGTCGACGGGTGGATTGAGGAAAATCCGGGCGAGACTTGCCTCGATCGATATGTCGTTGGCCACAAAGCCATCCACAAGCTGCTCGACGATTGGGTTGCGGCCGTTTTTGACCTGGATTGTCGCTGACTCGGAGGCTATCGCGGGCTTTACGTATCCTGGCTGGGACGCTATCACGGCTGATACACCGTGCAGCGGTAATGCTCGTTAGCAATGGCGCTGGGGTTTAGCGTCGCCGTGCGCTGTCGCTCGAGGTCGCAGTGACATCCACCTAGCGAGAGTAGACAGTCCAGCATGGCCAGATGATTGACTACGGAGCGGAACGTTTTCATGTGCTTCTCTGAGATTTCGCTGGCGATGTATCCAGTGTCAGCAGTGCTCACAGGCCGCATGTCGCCTGGTACAAACTGAGTCATTTACGTCGCTCAAGAAACGACGGATAGATACCGGAGAAATGCCTGGTATAGTTCGTTTGAGGCATTGTGAAGGCGCTCCTTGTTTCTCTCCAGTCGACGTAGTTCCTCTTCAAAACAGACAAACGATCAGCATGGGGTTGATACGAGTGGATGAGGGTTTCCAGTCCAGTCCAGTTCAGTTCAGTTCAGTTCAGTTCAGTTCAGTTCAGTTCAGTCCAGTCCAGCCCAGCCCAGTCCAGTCCAGTCCAGTCCAGTCCAGTCCAGTCCAGTCCAGTCCAGTCCAGTCTGGTTTGACCGACAGAGCCGAGGTTCTCGTCAATAGCAATGTGCATGTCTTGGATCAAGTCAGTCCAATTGAATAGACAAGTCGAACCGGTCTTACCGTTGACAAAGGCGTCGCGGAACCGAGACACTGCCTTGGTTCTGTCGGATTGGATAGACGCCTCGGTATCAGGGTGGTGGTGCGATAGCTGCAGAGTTCGAGCCGGAGCCCATCAAGTCATGCTGCTCGTCGGCGTGGCTCACACTGATATTCTCTCCCAGTTCTTTGGGATCCTTGAGACCACCGAGTTTGGAACTTCGATCAAGTACTAACACGACACAGCGGAGCAAAGCAAGTGTTTCAGGTCCAGAGTCCGAGAACCAATTGTGCATGAATGGGAGCGCAACCGTGGCTCTGTGAGGGCCAGCTTGTCCACAGTGCAGCGGTATGCTCTCATTGAGTCCGACCGGGTGTCGGCACAGCGGATACGATCGCCGAACTTACGTCGTTTCCAGAAACAGATACAAAGTCCATGCTTGGGATTCCAAACTGTTTCCGCAAGTCCACAACGTGTGCTCTCAAACCCGTCGCAATGTCGGTCGCCTCCTGGATCACAAAAATTTCATCGCCGTGGTATATGGAGCAATGTGGATCAGTGGCAACGGGATGCTGCCGAATTCTCCATCAGTAAGCGGTCATCTGCAGCGCACAATCCGTCTACCTGCTTGAGGTCTTGAATACTGCGCATATGCTCATCACATCGCCCGCCGATCGTATCGATGAGGAACTGCGATTTGTCATCGGCTTGAGCTGCCTCAAGACTCATCTTGGAGACCAGAAACATGGCTGGGGCATATCCCTCGGCAACGGCGTCAAATATCTGTCGGAGCAATTCAGACGGTGCGTCTACTGCACCCAATTGCTCGGACTGGTTCTTGATTTGGCCGAGGGCCATCGAGGCTACAGCACCAAACTTTCTAAAGCTATCGAGTGCCGAGTACAGCTCCACTGGACGAGATCGACCGTAATGGATCCGCGACAAGGACTTTTCGAGATCTGGACCGAATCGCAGGATTACTAAGCAGTGACAAACGGTAGCTCAACTTGACAGTGTCTGTACCTGGTATCTGGCAGATGAGTCCTTTCATCTTCTTGATCGCCTCGTCACCGTTGGACGTGGCCAGCAGAATCGCCTCGACAGCCTTGATTCTCAACTCGAGCAAGGCGGCATCCACGAGCGGTCGCGCGAGCCACCTGCGGAAAAGTCGGCTGCCAAACTTTGTTTTAGTTTTGTTGAGTCGGTGGAACAGACTGCCTTCTTCGCGACCATCGAAGCTATTGTTGAAGATCTCAAGGCTCGAGAGGGTGGTGGCCTGAAGCAGCATCTGTCCCAGGGTCGAAAAGTGGCTGAATTCGGCCGTAGCGGAGAAGACATTGGCCAGGTCGAACGGGCGCAAGTACTCGTAAATTGCGTGCATCACGACGACGACATCTTCGGGGAGATCGTGGATCTGCGAGTAGAGCGATGCTGTATCCACGGCTATGAGCAGCTAGCACAGGCAAACCGTGTGCGCAGCGACGTCTGGCGATATGCACTCCTTGGACGACTGCAGCCGGGGTTTCGCTTGTGACCCTGCATACCCTGCGTGTATCCCACAAGACTCACCGAGGGACGAGGCTTTAGCGACATCGCTATCCTCAGAGTCTTCTCGCTGCATCTGAGCCTCATAGAAGCTCAGGAGGGTCGACTTGGCTTTGGGATATGGTAAGAGCTCGCTTTTGAGTCGCTCTATCCGGATCTCGTCGCTGGGCCTAGACATCCGGTCGATTGGTGGGAGCATCATGCGTTTGCCACCAGCACAGGAATCAGATACACAGAAGCGATAGGACAAATCACACATCGGGATGTCAGTGCTGTCTTGGAAAGCACAAGCTGCACCTGAATCTCAAATTAGCCACCAGCTGCTCTGTGATCTGCGTCATGGGTTCGGCTGGGAGCAGAATCTCGCTTGGGCGGATGTGATTCAGACGGTTTTCCAGCTCGGCCCGCATGAATCCGTCCATGAACTGGTCATATATGATCTCTCCAGTCGACACGTTCAAGGCCTGGGGACACCAAAAGGGCCGTCAGTGGTCAAATCGCAGCTCGAAGGATATGTATCGACAAACACAGTCGAGGCCGAACGACGCAGCTGCAACAAGTCACGGTACCACAACTGCAATCGACACTTGGCCATAGACAGCTGACGTTTCTTTCGACTCTCGAAGCGACAAGATATAAGGCGCCGACGAGTCGTCGGGCTCGTCGTCTGAGTCCGAAAACTCATCGATAAATGTTCCCTTCGTGAACACTCGATGTAGCTTGCGTATGAAGGGTGCGTTGCGGTTATCGCCCACGGCTGTGGTTTTGCCCAAGAAGAGCGATATTAGGTCGGGGGGGGGGCTGAACGGCAGCGACAGCGCGCATAACATACCTTTCAACGCCGCGCTTTCCATCTGCTTGACGACACCGACTGTGTGAGCAGACGCGCTGATGGGTCAGAATCGGCATTGACAGCCTTGATCGAGACGCAAGTGCTCTCAGCAAACCATGGAAAGATGGGATCCATCGCACCTTTATAGCCAAGATGCACCAGTCTGTTATAATGTGGGGATTAGTGCACTGCAGCGACAACCCGGGCCCATCGATCGGAGACACAAAGGTCCATACTCGGGCCGGCAACAGACAAAGCCAAAACCACCCGCGCAGGGCCCAAGCGCAACCTACTTTTTGAGATGGACGTTCAATCGGAAAGTCGGCACGGATGCTGTGAACATGCTGTGGTCCATGTGTGCTTGGATGTTGAGTTCTAAGCCGATACAACAGGATTGATGAGCGTACTCCGGCACAGCAGCAACGTTTGCCCATGCTGAGCGAGAGTACCAAATCACCGCCGCGAATTGAGGGCAGCAGTATAGTCGAAGCGAGCGTCGGGTTGCGCGGCTTGCAGACGCATGTCCGTACCTTTGGCTGCAATCTGCGCCGCCGAGTGACAGACATTGTTCGTCAGAGATATTCGACAAAGCAGGACATGCAGCGCTAGGTGCTATTGGCATCCAGGGCCACTTGCCTTGGCATCTTCGTCAAAGAACCGATATCGGTATCCAACTTCCATCATCAAGATGCAGTCTGGGTGGCTCTGCTTGATTTCCAGGAACTGCTGCTCCAGCGGGGTATAGTTGCGAGAGAAAGGTCTCCTTCCAGCAGGAGACTTTTCCGACGCCCGCTCAGATGCCCGCTCAGATGCCTTTCCTCGGCTTCGTTCGAGGGATGACACCATGGCCGGCTTTCCAGTTTGCTCCGGGTCGACCATCTGTGCCTCGCGGAAGATTCGATCTAGTTTATCGGAGGACGGTGATGCCATGGACTCGTCGCCGATCACCAAGTTGATCGAAGAAGACACATCGTCAAGATCGATCGCTGTCTCTTCGGGAGTCGATGTGCCAGTCGTCTCGCCCCGGCCAAAGGCAAACTTGTGCAAGCTCCGTGTGCGTGGCGGCCGTTTGGAGCTCCGATCGGGATGGATTGCCGCTGTCGATGCAGTTGCCGGTGGATCCTTTGGAGCACTGCCGTGCGAGCCATCGCTGAGAGCATCGTCGAGGACTATGGCTTCGCCGGCGCTGAATCCGACACCGACGGGCTCCGCTTCCGTTGACGGTTTGGTCGTTCTTGAGGGTGGTTTCGGGAGAAAGAACGACGATATCGTGGGCTGCTGGAGTGCAGCCCTCTTGCCTCCGCCGGCCGAGGGCGAGGACGGGGTCTCCCGCTGTCGTTTCATTTGCTCCTGACGCTGCCGGCGGAATGGATGGCTTTGGACAGGCAGATGCGGGGCAGATGCGGGGCAGATGTGGGGCAGATGCGAGGCAAAGCCTGGTGGTCACAGCCATCCTGGGCGCTGCGCATCGCGAATTGGAATGGCACTGCTTCGGATGGACAAGGGCTTGGCCAGGGGCACCACGAAGCACCAAGGTTCCCAGCAGCCAACGCAGTCCACCAGCATGCATCATATCCACCGGGATGGTGCCATTTCTTTCATCCAAAGCACTCCCTCAGTTGCTACATATATCCATGATTCCATTCAGACTGTGTCAGTGATATCAAACAGAGCGCGGTATCACTTCTTCCCCTTCATTGTCTTGGGCAAATCGCGAGTCGAAGCCAGCTTCTTGCCGTCCTTGGACAAGCCCTTGTCTGGAGAGGGCTCTCTTTCTCTCGGATTTGGCATTGCCGGCTTCCTGTTCTTGTCATCCTTTTCTCGCTTCTCAAGCCCGACCTGGACCTTGCCCAGTCGCATATTCATCTCGGTGATCTCATGCTCCAGTTTGCCCTCGAGGTAGGCCATCACCAAGGCAATATGAGGCACGGCGGTCTGCCCAATAATTTTTGCTATGTTGGTTGGGTTGAGATTCACCGGCCGTAAATGTTGGGGCTCGGAGGACATCGGGGCCGGCTCCGGAGCAGGCTCTCCAGATGCGATCTCGGTTGCGGGCGCATCTGGGGGCGGCACGACTTCCACCAGCATATCTGCCGGAAACAACTCGTCGCTCCTGGGAGGATGAGGCATCTCTCCGCCGTATGGCTTCAATGGGGGAACAACGATGTATGAATCTATGCAGACAAGGTCGTAGGACAGAGTGAGCCCGACGCCGACTATATACAAAGAGCGAGTATCTCAATTCGGTCGTGAGAATCTGGGCACTTACCTTCAATCGCTTGGAGCTCGGCCTGTCTCGCAAGCTCTTGTTCTCGACACCGCTGCTCCTTTTCGAGTTCCTCTCGCTTGATAGCTTCGACGGCCTCCTGAATAACGATGACAACCCCGATAGTTTCAGAGGAGGCAAGCGCAGCGGATCACAGGCACCAGCAAGCTGCAGTCGTTCGAGGCAATGTCGCTCCAAGAGGAGCCGCATACCAGCTCAGCCTGGAGAGCCAATCGCTTCTTTTCATCCTCTTCGGCGAGGAATTCTTCCCATTTCTCGGCTGCAATTCCATTCGCCAGGGGCTGGAAGTCGAGCTCTCTCTCGGTTTGGCGCCGAGCCGCTGTTCGCATCAATTCTTGCGGTCTATAGAACACCAGCGATATCAACTTGATGTGCTTCAAGTAGCTGGACAGCAAACCAACAGTGTCAGCAGTACACCCGAGGCGAGACATGGCGTACTGGTCTTCTTTGGTCGACACAAGCGGCGTCACAATCAGTCACTCCTACTTGTCGGTAAAGTAGTCGATCAGCCAGACGGCCTCTTGGTTAGAGAGCGGGCCACGCTCCGGCCGTGGCCCGCCCGAGTCTCCATCAAATTCAAACTCGGAAGTCGAGTTCTGGATAGAAAACGATGCGGGGCTCTTTGGAATCGCCACGCTGCTTCGGCGGCGTCGGGGTGACCCGTACATGTCTCTGTCGTTGCGCGAGGGCTGGGTCGATGTTGTTGGGGCCATGAACATGTAGAGAAACGTCGTGAAGAGATCCAGCGCAACCTCGGGCCCAGAGTTCAGCGGGTTGACTCGTATGGTCTCTGGAAATGTAGAGCGATATGTGTGTTCGTCGGAGCAACCGAGCAGGCATTTGTGAGTAGGCACAGACGAGGTTCGGCGAGCGGCGATCTTGCTGCTGTCCACGCCACTCGGAATGTGGGTTTGGCCGCCTGCGACACGCCTACCAACGAATCGGACATGTGTGCTGTAGAGCATGGTGGCCCAGAGGGCAATCTGGTAGGCCGAGAACCCCTTCTCGTAGACATGTGTGTGGCATGCGAAATCAAGTGGTTAAGGACGATTGCCGGATTGGTCATGGCTGGGCGGAGCAACTGGAGATCCGCCTCAGAGTAAATGCAAGTCAAACAGTCGGCGCGGAGCGATCTATCAGCGTGCCTATGGCGCCGGACGGGATGCACGCAAACTGCATGAAAGGATATCGAATGGCCTCCATCATGTAGTGGGTGAGCACCACGTCGCGGAAGATGTCGTCCTCGCGGTGGCGGTCGTATTGGATGGGCCCGTCAGGCGGCGGCAGAGACGGGCGAGCGAGGATCCAGCTGGGAGAAGGAGGCTCTCTCTCCAGATGAAAGGCATTCGAGACAGCGTCGCTGGCAACGGGAGGCAACAGCGAAACGAACGTGGGAACGCGATGTTGGTCAGCCGGCTCGCGCTGTGATCCCAGCAGGCTTTGTGGAGATCTGCAGTGAAGACCGACAGACTTACCAGTAGTCGTCCTGGCGGCTTTCGCGCAGACACGCCATCAATGATTCGGTCGTGTCGAGGTCGAGACAGAGTCCGGCGAACTGACTTGCATAAATGCGGCGCTGCTTCCGCTCATTCTCGAGCTCCTCAGGCGTCTTTGGGTTCTCCTTGCGGCTCCAGTAGTAGTTGAATGCCGTCAAGGAGCTGTGAACCTGGTTGAGCTCGATATTGGAGATGGATGCGAGCTCATCGGTTGTTCCGGCGTTCGGGTTGAGGCGGGACTTTGCCGACTTTTTGCTCTTGCCCTTGGAGCTGATGCTAACGTTGGAGTGACCTCTGGATCCGGGGCGCATGGTGGTGGTGAGATGCGGTGCCAGCGCTGTTGCGGGCGATGCTGGCGCTGCAATGCAAGGCCGAGTCCAAGCGCGGGCTTTTTCACAGCATCGACCGCGATTGCAGCAACGACAGCCTGCCGATACTGATGCCGATATGGCCATGCCCGAGCATCGAGGTGCATCTGCATGGAAATCGGGCTTCTCGCGGTCTGCCGAGGGCCTTCTCGCCCAAGCGAGGCGGCGGCTGTTGGCTCTGCGCGTCCTGGGCGAGCCCGCCTTTGGGCCATCGGCGATCGTGCGGGTTCCTCTGCCATCTGTCTCGACGATCCGCCTTTCGCCATGGTGTCCCTCGGCGTGCAGCACCGGATAGGACAGGAAAGCTATGGCTCGGTCGAGGTGCAGGTCGGCAACAGCAAGCAGTCTATCGATTCGGCCGTCAAAACGCTGATAAAGTCCCAGGGGGTCAGCCCTCTTCTCGAGAATCCCTTGCAATCGGCGGTGGCAACGTTGCTGGGTTTGCTTGAGTCGGAGCGCCAGGAGACCCAGCTCGCTTCCGGTTGGTACCAGGCCGAGATTCGCACGCTTGTCTGATACAGCGAGCGGAGAGCAAATGACGACGGGCTAACAACTCTCATCCAATATAGCCCTTGCGCTGCCACAGGAGCAGCAAGCCGAAAACACCAAGGGGCTCATGCACCTGTACGGGGAGAGCACTGCGGCCTACCATGTACCGAGCGGAGAGGTACCCGATTGTTCCGCTTAGGCACTCGCTTTTCATGGCATCGTCAACCGAGCGTCGATGGGGCGTCGAAGCAGAGCAGTAGTTTTGATGCTTACCGATGCAACCCGGCACCGTCCAGCCCATATTCCCGGTCGCCTTGGCATATCTCGTCAACTCGTCGGACTATTCGATACTGGACACTCTACTCAACCTCGAGCGCACATACGGCCAGGCGATTGAGGCCATGTGGGCCAAGCGCGACGAAGGCATTGCCGAGATCCAAGTCAGGTATGATGTGCCCCGCTGACCTGCACTCGGCAGCCAACCGGCTCAGACAGACAGACCGTCCACCTGGTCGAGGGATATCGGATTGAAGAGCCGTCGCCAGCGCCTACTGTTCCCTGCTGTTGAACTTGTGCTTTGCTACCCACAGACACAGCCGGGAGATTGGAAGCACCGAACATACTCGCAGAGAAATCGGCTTGGCTGAAATGCTCTCCCGTCACAACGAGGTTAGTGGTTGCTTCAGCACCGGCAAGCTGGTTTGCCAATATCGACTCTGTTGGTATCTTCGCCTGTTTATGAGCGTGTCGATGACGCAAGGATATGAGCAGTGGTACGGTATGGTATCTCTACCAATGCACGCCATCGACGAGCGACTGATGGAACCGTCGCCGCCTGGATCATACAGGAACTGGATATCTTCAGAGCCACGATAGCAAGCGAGATTGAGGAGCTGCACAAATCCCAGCGCCAGGAGTATCAGGACTTTGTGGTCAAGGTCTACGAGGAAATGCAGCACCGCCTGAATGACGGAGCCGACAAAGGAAAGAAACTGCAGCAGTCCGAAGCAATAGCAACATTGGCTCCGGAGCCGGGGGCCAAGGCCGATCGGCCGGCCAGCGCCCTCGATCCCTCCGAGGTGATTACAACGGCCATCAAGAAGCTCGAGCGGCATCCGTCGATGGAAATCATGAAACTAGAAGGGGACGAGCAGCGGAGCCAAATGATAGCACAGAAAGCCGCTGTCCAGCCCGGACCTGCAGCCGAGGAAACTGATTCTAGTCCACAAGCACCCATTTCCCCTCCTCCAAAGCCCGAGGTATGCTTCGCTTTCCCAGGCTAGCAGCCGACTTGAGGGCATGGCCGCTTGCAGAGCTGGCACCCGCGCTGCATTGATCTGTCTGAGTTGGCTGATCTTTCATGATGCCCATACGCGTGGAATGGCTATGAACTTGCCTCTCTCGGACGCTGCTCTCCCAGCCTCCAGTCGACCCTCGTTTGGAGAAGAAGATATCGGAACTGTCGGAGATGGGGTTCTCCAAAGAAGAGAGCAGCGCTGCCTTGGAGATCACCGGACAGGACCTGGTAAGATCCCATGCGACTCTGGCCGCGATCACGCCACAGGATCGACATCGATACGCAATCTACCCGGTCATTCTGCAGCGATTGTGTTGGACCGCCGGTTGCTGACACACAACTCACTCCGATCATGCCAACCTTCAGGAGCGATCTATCGTGCTCCTGCTTGAAAATCCAGGCGTTGTTCAGCAGCACCTCGCCCAACGACAGACTCGCACACCGCAGCTGGCCCGGTCGACACCCAACCTACAGCAGTCCGCAGCTGGCCGCCCGAGCACAACAGCCGCACTTTCACGCGAAAGCAAGGACTCCGTATCGACGCCGCCGCTGCCGGCTCGTGGCGGCGTCAAGAAATCCCCCTCGACCTTTCTCGGCCGAGTGTTGTCCAACAGTGGTGGGTCGTCAGTAGGCTCTCCTGTCCAAACACCGCCCGAGTCGCCGTCGCTGGCGCGCAGACCCTTCAATCCTGTCGCCTTCCTCAAGGAGCAGCAACAAAAGCTCCAGCAGTCGTCGGCTGGAGCGGCGGCGACGTCGGGACTCAAGCACGTCTCGAGTATCTTTGGCAAAGCCTTTGAGGCCCTCAATGAGTCGCTGGGACTCGATGACGTTGACGGATCGGAGAAGCAGCGGTGCGTTGTTCACTTTGCTTTGTTTGAGTGCCCAAGGCGAGCTCTGGTGCTGAGGATTTGGGCGATGTGATCGAGGCAGGGTGGCATCGCGCATTGTATCATCTGCTCTGACCTTCATGGCATTGCACAAATCCCCCGGCTGTAGCTCTGCCTCTGTAAACTCGCCTTCCGGCGACACATCCAACGACAGCGGCGAGAGCTTTACCGTCCATTTCGGACAGCGGGTCCGAACTATCTACAACCTCCGGCTGCAGGTGTCCAGGATATCGGCGCAGTTTAGTCGCAAGCTGGAGCCGGAGCAGCAGGTGGCGTGCTTGACGCAGACCACGACGTCCCTGTACTCGGATGACCTGAGTGCGGCTATCGTCCTGCTGACACCACAGCAATTCGCGACCTATGCGTCCGGCAACTCAGCTAACAAGGGTAAGTAGGGCGCGAAGCCCCTGCGGGTATTTTCGATTGCTCAAGGCAGGTTGCAGCAGCAGCAACTGACCAAAGAACCCTTGCTGTCGTAGAACTGATTCGCAAGTGCCAGCGCTCGACCGAGTTTCATTTCAACGAGATCGACATTCAGCTGAAGGAGATCGAGCGAAGGCTTCCCCAGGACGAGAGGGGCCAGCCACTTCTGGAAGAAGGTAAGGAGCGAGGCGGCGCGGGCGACTCGCACATCAGCATGATTACAGCGACATGATGTCAGCACCGGTGCAATCTGTGCGATGTGGGCGGCTCATCCGGGGTCGCACTCCTACGGCTGCTTTCCAAAGGCGACTTTTTCATCACGAAGCACTCCAACCTGCCTCTGATCCATGTGGTCTTTCATCTCATCATTGGCGACGAATGTGAGTGGCTGGTTGATATGTCGAGCATGGCGACCTCGGTGGGCGTGGTTGATTGTTTGCTCGTTTGTAGTCATGGCTGCAGATGCTTGCTGGGGCGCCGGCGCGGCTGACACAATTTGCAACGGCGACCAGCGCTTCGGGGCGAGATGTCTCCTAGGTCACCGATTCTTGAAGGATACCGGAATATCCTGCGAACCTGCCACCGCTGTGAGATCTACAACGTCTCGGTGCCGCTGCTGCTCGTGCCAGACTTTGACTCAGACCCGCCGGCGTGCGTGGCCTCCGAGGCTCTGGTCCAGCGCCGCGGCGAGTACGTGATGAAGGCGACCAAGGGCTCGATGATGGAGCACACTCGATCAACGACGGCTGTGGGAGGCAGCAGCGGCAACGGCACCGCCGGCAGCTCGTTCACCGCCAAGCCACGAACGATCATCTTTTCGGTCCCGCGAGGAATTGGGCCGGTCGTCTATGCGGGTGTGAAAGAGAGGCTGTCGGAGATCTTTAGAACAACCTGATCGCAGCAGCGGACGTCGATCCCAGACCGATGAGAGTCGTCTTGGGAGACCCGGAGGAAGCCGACCGACAAGCATGCATTGTGCGATCTAGATTTGGGGCCGTGGGAATCATTTGCTCCTGTATTGTCCGTGTCCATGCGTGTACTGGATCTCGAATAAACACTCATCACATTCACAGATGTCCATGCTCAGGAATTGCCATCTCACGACCTCATGCCGTTCCAAACCCAGCGCCCCAGACTGGCGATAGAGGCGGTTGCGACGATGAGTCCATGCGAAACCACGGCGGCTGAACGACGCATCACATTCAAGGTCCGTGTTCGCAGCTCGCTTGATCCTTTCTGTTGTTCATGTCCACCATGCGAGCGCGAGCGCCGCAGTCTAGTTGAATCGGATCGGGTGTTCGGCTTCCCGGAAGGGCAGCAGCGAGCCAAAGGGCAGATGCTGCACCACCGGGAACTTCATCAACACCTCGGCAATGTACATCTTGAGGATGCCGCTATTAACTTTGGTCCAGGTGGGCACGCCAGAGATATCGTAAAGCAGTGGCGAATGCTCGTGGAACGGTCCGCGCTTCGTCTGGATTTGGTGAGGTTGTCGATGTTGATGGGATGTGAACGCCGCAGCGACGGACTGGGTAAGCCACTTGCGCAAGAGCCGGGTCCTCAAACTTGCTCATCGCATCGGACTGCTGGGAAGACGTCTCCAGCAATCCGACCAGGCTCTGTTGGAACCCGCCCAGACCTACCTCGTTGATGAACTTGATGCACCCAAAGTATAGATACTCCCTGTAAAAGTGGTCAACGAGCTCGACCTGCATGATGGACTTGGGCCGCAGTCTGGGATGATCTGGCGGGAGAAGGAATAGGCTCCGTGGTCGGTCATGCGATCGTGGTTGATGTTTCATTTGCAGCGAATGGCGCTTCTGCCAGGGTCTCCGATCTCGATATGTTCCTTTCAGGCTTGCGGTTCTCTTACCCTGAAGCTGGCCGCTGCCCCAAAAGTACGGCAGGAACTGGTGATCATCGAGGCCCCACACACCGTGCGAACCCGCGGGCTCGAGCGAGTACGTCGTCTGTATCTTGCGGACCAGATCCAAATACTTGACAAACACACGGGTGACCAGGGCATGGAAGTCGTCGGGTCCAACGACCTGCAGGATGTCGAGACACAGCAGGAATGCCACAAACGAGAGCTCGTGGCCGGATCCATAGTCTAGCCGCACAGAGTGCCCAAACGAGCCCGTAAAGTACGGCGTGAGCTCCTTGAGAACCTCATCCCTGTCGAGGGCAGGCGGGACCAGCGGCAAGAGCAGCGTCGAGACGTTCTGAAGGAGATCGGGTTGGAGAGCGGGCCAGCAACGGCCATGTATCCAGGAAGGGAGAGAGAGGCCTGACCGTCAGTCCAAGCCTAGCCGTCTCGACAGCCGGCTCATCGCACTGCCAGACAGAGCATCGACTCGTACCGACTCCATCTTCTCGTACCAGATCTTGAAGGCTCGGTTTCCGAAGCGTTTTGGGCCCTCCAGCGGCGGGATCTCGTCGACCCAGATGCTCAGCGTCGTAAGCAGGCCAACAAGATCCGACACAGCCTAGGGGCGCAACCCAGAGAGATTCAGCACACCATCCTGCATTGCCGTTTGGTTCTCACTTTGCCCGGTTATGCTGCGTTGCAGCGAGGACGTCTCTGGTCTGTCCGCGGTGGCGGCCCAGACAACAATCGCTGCCGTGCTGGCCAACCTTGGACTCGGCGCACGGATCCGAGATCTTCTTGTTCTTGACATGGACGTTCAGCACCTGCACAAACTCGACGAACCGGGCGCAGGCCTCGGACTTGAGCCAGACGGCCACGTCCTCGGTGGTGTGGATGCGCTTCGTTGGCACCTCGAAGGTGTGGTTGCTGTCGAGGGTCACGGCCAGACGCTGGTTGACGGGCTCGGGCGGCAGAGTGATAGGCACTGCCTGGCGGGGCGTTGTTCCCGGCGGCGGCATCTTGGGCATATAGTCCATGGCTGGAGAGGGATACGTGGTCGTCGACTGGGAGCGAGATGCAGCGATAGATGAATGACACTGGCAAAGGCGAGGCCTTTCGCGGGTTTGAGCAGACAAGGACAAGACAGGGTCCGGCGCCAGAGGGCCAAGCGGCCGAAACGGACATGGGGGCGGCTGGGTTGGAGTGGCATGGCAAACACTGAACATGATCATCGGTGGGTGTGTATTCAAGATCCAGAGCGAGGCAGCATTCGGGACCCAGAGAAAGCGACGGCCCTGGCTCAAAACGGGTACGCTGTTGAACAAAAAGTCGAGCAACGACAAGACAGGTCAAAGCGAGCAGAGCAAGAGCGGAAACAAAGAGCGCATATCATGGCACGGAGAGAGGGGGGATGGGGCGAGAAGTACACGAATGGGAGAAAGGAGATGAAGCAAGATTTTACTGCGGTGATCCAATAAAAAACGGGACACCCGGGATTTTGACCATTCATCGAATATTTTGTTACCCAATGTTATCGCGCGCTGGCCATGACCATTCGCCACACAACCACTCTCCAGAGGAAAGTTTCACTCTCACTCTGCCACACTGCCATCCACCGAGCAGGTCTCTCACACAAGAGGGCAACACACCTCTACAAGTCCAAGCGACTGGATGAGCGAGTGGCACAGTTCAGGGACCAGGTCCGCTCCATCGACCCGCGGCGATTCGTTTTTGTCGATGAGACGGGGATCAGGAAATCCATTTTCCCTCTTTACGGATACTCACCGAAGGGTGCTCCGCTTCGCCAGCGCAATCACATGAAACACAAGTCTGTCTCGGCTGCATTTGCCATCAACCACTCTGGTGTGCTGCATCGCATGTACATCCCCACATCATTCAAGACACACTCGATGGTCGAGTTCTTTGAGCGAGCGACCTTCCCAGACGACTCTGTGATTGTGATGGACAATGTCAGCATGCACAAGACAATGCCTGTCCTGGACTGCATCGAGCGCCGAGGATGGTCAGTGATCTTCACCCCACCTGCCTCGCCCGACTTCAATCCCATCGAGAACTTCTTTGGGGTTGAGTCCCCACCGATTTGGGGTTGAGTTCCTCCAATTTGGGGTTGAGTTCCCTCCAATCAAGCCGCCATTTTCACGCTCAAATCCCTGTCTTGAACCTCTCGGCGATTTTTGAACAGGGTCACTTCCCCAACCAGCCCGCAACGACGGGCTCCTGCTCTCGGGTATAAATGCCACACCTTCGTCCTGCTGCTTTCTTCCCTCATCTCGCCTTGATCTGATCATCGCGCTATTGTACGATAAAAAAAAGTCTCTGCTCTGACCAGTACCACTGGCAGGCATCCAGCATCCTCTGCCCCCATGCCTCCGAAGCGTAAGGGTACCGGTGATGGCCAGCCTCGGCCACCCAGGCCCAAGAAAGCCAAGTCACAGTCGGAGCCTGTCTCTGGTTCGTATTCTGACCCCACGCATGCTTGTTCGTCTGTTGCTCCGTCGCTCACCACCACTGCTTCTGCAGATCCAATGGATGTCGATCCCACCGAGCCTGGTCCCTCATCTGGTCCTGTCAAGCGATGTCGCCAGTGCGATGGCACCGATCACGAACGTTGCAACACCAACAAGTGTCCCAAATACCGGCCCCTCAAGAGCTCCGTCGTCCCTCTCGTGGATGGAAGGTCATCCGCCCCTCAGTTCAGCTGCTTCAAGCAGACGATGGATGGCTGTTGTCTCAATCCCGCTCTCCGCGACAAGATCCAGGCCACCGTCGAGGCCATGACCCAGATCCAGTTCGAGGCATCCAGGCTGCTCAACCTGCACATCCTCCGGTGCATCGAGCAGGATCTTCCCGTCCCCGTCATCTCCAAGTCCACCCCTGCTTTCGTTCGCCAATGCTTCAAGATCGTCCAGGACGGTGCCCTCTCCCCGACCGGGGACAATGAGAAATACAACGAGCATCTGGTCGCTTCCTTTCGCGACTACCAGACCACTCGGCACGCAGACCTGCCTCCGGCCCCTTGTCTGCCTGATGGTGCTCACAGTCAGCTTCTCACACTGGCTGTCAATGCCTATGCCACCAACTGCACCACCCACCTCGACCTGGCATACTGGCGACTCCTTCGCCGCTTCTGTGCTGCCGTCTTCCCTGCCAACAAGCACAAGCACGACGCCATCGAGGCTTGTCTCGAGCTCTTCGAGAAACCAGGGCAGACTCCACCCAAGGCCGATCTCGAGTTCCTCTACCCGGACTTTGGCCACGTCCTGGACGAGTTTCGGTACAGCAACGACCAGGACCGCTTCCGGGCCCTCCATCGCCTCTCACACCATGTGGGAATCCTCGCCCGGGACAAGATGGTCGACAATGTCCACAAGTGGATCGACTGTGACATGCCCGCCCTCCGAGTCACCGAGTTGCAGCGCCAGGCCAAGCTGGACAAGCTCACTGCCAGAGGCATTCCCTCCGACGACAAGAGGTTCACCACGGCCAAGTCTGAGCTCGGCACCACCAAGGCCAAGATCAACAAGCTGGCATCCAGACTCAAGTGGGCCCTCAAGCAGCTCGCTCTGGACACTCCTCCGCCGTGTGCACGATAGTTCCTCTATGCACAGCCAAGGCCAAGTATGTCAAGATTGACACGGTCACTCTTTGGCAACTCCTGGGTCCAAAGAAGCGCCTTGGACTCACCAGGGACAAGCTCAAGGAAGAAGGTGAGGACGGTGTCAACAACCAGGATCGTCTCTGGCGCAGTTGCTTCAAGCTGCGTAGCTCCCTCTTCCAAGAGCGGGTCAGGGACAAGAAGCTGTTCAACTACGAGATCAGCACCGATGGCATTGGATGCACCATCGGTCTCGTCAAGTTTGTGCGTCGAACCGATCGCACCGAGACCATCGAGCCTCCTCCGACTGCCGAGCAGCGCATCCAGGCCCACATCGGCGACCCAGACCCCAGGTCGCACCATTTGGATTGGCATCGATCCTGGAGTCGGCTCCATCTTCACTGCGGTCATCCAAGCACCGGGCCACCAAGACGAGGTGGTCTCATTCTCCAATGGCCACTACCAGCACATGTGTGGCCATACGTCCAATACTGAGTGGCACAACACCATGAAGTATCGACTCAGCATCGAGACCTGGATGTCGACCACCCCCTCGCCCAAGGTGTCGTCCTCGGAGGCTTTCAAGGTCCATCTCACCCATGTCCTGCGACCGGAGCTGCGAGTGCAGCTCGACTTCCACCTTGGCAAGAAGGCTCGTCACCATCGATTCACAGGCCACAAGAGGCACCAAGTGGCCGTCGACAGGATGTGCAAGGCCGTCCTGAAGCACGTCCCGATACGGACCGATGTGGTGATCGCCTTTGGCAATGCAGTCATGGCGTCAAGGCAAGGGCTATGCATCCAGCCCTCGGAGGCAGCGGTTTGCTCGGTACTTTGAGCAATTCGAGCACCACCGACGCCGTCCCAATCACCATCATGGAAGCGCCAAGGTGGCCTCGACGAACGAGTTCAACACCTCGCAAGTGTGCTCCAAGTGCCTGGAGCCAGTTCGGTTGGAAGGACTCGATGCGCCCAGTGTTGCGAATTCCCACTTTGTCAGGAGCTGCAAGAATCCCAGCTGCCGGACAGTGTGGAATCGCGACGTCAATGCGGCGCGCAACATGATCACAGTATGCAGGTCGATTGTGGAGATCGGAGAGCGACCGGTGGTCTTCACTCGGAGGCTGCCAAAGTGATCTGTTTTTATTTCTTGTGGCTTTGCTAGACGCAAGCACAGCACATACTACATGTTCATGGAAACGGCTATATTGTCCCGTTTTTTTCTGAATAAAGTGTACTGCGGTGTGGAAGAGAGAGAGGGAGAGCGAAGAGATCAGCAAACGTTGATCTGCGAAACGGAAGGAAGGACTCGAGCGACAGGCGAAACCAAGATCCAAGGATGGGATAGGATGTAGGGGCGGGATGGGGGTAGCCGAGGCGCAGTAGCACAGAGTGCAGCAAAATGGATGAAGAAAGGACATCTGCAAGTGCAAGGAGGGGGCGAGGCACAAGAAGAAACGAATAGGCAGCGGCGAGCGGACAGAACCGTCTTCAGCCGAAAGAGCGCGAGATAACATGATCCAGCAGAATCGAGATGAATATCGAGTGGGAGAGAGAAAGAAAGAGAGAGAGAGATATCCAGAGCAGTCAAATGGATGAAAACAAACGTAGTGTAGTAATTGTAATTGTAGTAATAGTAGCTATGACGAGAATGGGAAACAAATAACAGAAAGCAGGAGCCAAGCGATTCAAAGGAGCGATGAATGGAAGGAAGAAAAAAAAAAGGCCAGACTGGAGAAACAAGACCGTCCCCCCTTTCCAAAAAAAAAGGTTATGTACAATCGCTTTTGTGGTTCTAGTCGACGGTAGTGAGGGGAGGGGAGTTGACGATGCCAGGGTGTGGAGAGGGTGCGCAAAGGGTTCGCACTCGGTGCGGATAAGGTCAGAGGCGGAAGGAACAACAGACGGCTGGGTGGGAGGGGAGCGAGCCACACAGCCTTCAAGAAAGCCCATGACAGCGGCTCTGCGTGGGCTTCCCAGAGAGGAAACGCAGCGAGCGCACCGCTGGGGGGGGGCGGGAAAGAGATTAGGCCGCGCCGCCGGCAGCTTCAACAACGCTGTTGTTCTGGGCTTTTTCACGATCGGTCCAGCTGGCGTTCTCGCGCGTGTAGAGAACGTTGCTGCAGGGGCGGACGGCAATTGTTGGGGGAGGGAAAGGCTCCTCCTTGCCACGGTTGGGGCCGTTCGAGTAGAAGATCTTGGGGCGGTAGGAGGGGTCTTCCAGCATCACACTACAGAACGAGTCCCGAGCACGGTGTGTGAGCACGCAATGGTTAAAAGCCTGGCCAAATTTGGCACCTGGAGGTGATGACTGCCAGGGACAGGGTCGGTCCACAACCGACGGAGGCGGACGAGCGATGGTCGTCACCGGAAACCGACAGGGCAATCGTCTATCGAGACCCACCTCGAGTTACGGAACTTTTCGATGAGCGCGGCCTTGCCCTGGATGTTGGCATAGTTGAGAATGGCGCGCTTCTCGGAGTTGAAGCGGCTCCACTTTTGACCAACGACTTTCTCGGCAAAGGAAATGATAGCCTCGGTATCGATAAAGTTGATGAAGGCATAGCTGTGCGTTGTTGCAGCACCAGATGTTAGTAGTGTGCGCGCAGGATACAGGATACAGGATGCAGGATGCAGGATACAGGATACAAGCCAAATGATACAGGACACAGAATACAGGATACACTTACCCAACGTTGCACTTGTTTTTAAAGTCCATGCGCAAGTAGAGAAAGTCAAACTTGCCGTTGTGGGTGAGGTTGATGAACTGCAGCAGCATTTCCTGCAAAAATAGCAATCCCAGCAAGCCAGAGTCAGCGACACGCCACCAAGGCACATAAACGAACGTCCCCCCCCCGCCTGCCTCGTGAGGGAAGCAGACACACAGAGGCAGCCAAGTAGGGGCTGTGTCATGGACAATCGTGGATGTAGCAACGCACCTGAGTGTACTTGTTCGGAATGTTGCGGATCATGAACGTTGTCCTTGTATCCAGCCCATTGGCTGCAGAGGGGGGGGGCAACAGCAATGTCAGCAACGATAGCAAGTGCGACTGGCGTCAGAGGAGGAGTGAAAAAAGCTCAAAGAGAGTGTGGCAAATGCGCTCACCCCACCCTCTACGACTTACCGATGTTATAGAGATTGAGTTCGTTCCATTTTGGGGTGCTGGAAACGCTGCCGCCGCCTCTGCCGTTACCACCGCCGCCGCCGCCACCACCGTTGGGTGGACCTCCGCTGCCGTTTTGCGGATTGCCCGGGACCATGAGGGCACCGGGGTTGGGATAAGGAGGCGGCATGGGCATGTTTGGGACATAGCCGTTGACTGCCGAGTGGCCGTGCGAGTGCTTGCGCGAGAGCTGGCCAGCGCTCACGTTTCCATTCTTGTAGGACATTTCACCCATGCCGCCGCCGCCGTGGTTGCCATGACCGCCGTGGTGACCACCATGGCCACCATGGCCACCGTGGCCACCGTGACCACCCTTGCCGATACCCTTGCCATAGCCGGGCTCAATGTACGCGGGTCCGGGGTTGCCGATGCTAGGATCGGCGACAAGTCGATCTGGAGTCATCACATAGCCGTTGCTGTTCAGGCGGTGGAGCCGATATGCACGCGAATCATCGTCGTAGTTGCCAGATTGATGTTGCTGCTGCTGCTGTTGTTGCAGTTGCTGGTGGTGCTGCGACGGATGCATGCCCCCGCGGCCTCCGTTCTGGCGCGGGGGGTTGAAGACAACCGATTCGCTCTGGCCACTCGGGAATCCGCCCGAGGGAACCAACTTGACCTCCTTGGTGTAGAGGCCGTAAGGGAGATCGACGACGGAGGACGAGTGGTGGTGCGACTCTGAGAACGAGAGCGGGCTCGACCGACGACTCGACGAGATCGAGTCCTTGATGTACTGCGATCCGGGAGCCATGGCGGAGGTGTCGAGCGGAAACAGGTCGCCGGGGTTCACGCTGGCACCCATGCCCTCGTGGAGATCCAGGCGCGACTTGGAGTACTGATCGCGCGAGTACATGCTGGACTTGAAGAGGAGGTCTGGATCCGAGGTGCGGGGGCCCTTGTTTTCTGACATATCTGCGTACATACTCATCTGGCCAGCAGCGCCGTAAGCATAAGGTCGCTTTGGCATGCCGACGCCGGGGCCGTCGGACTGGATGGCAAGACCCATGGGCTTTGGGCCGATATCGAGGCCGGGCGGCAGGAACTGCGGCTTGGACGGATATGCGGGCATGCCAACGCCAAAATCGCTTCGTCTGCTGTGGCTGACGTTATACAGCGACACGGAGAGGACGCTCATCTGCAAGAGCAAATGCCCGATGAGTCAGCATCCAGTATCCCCACAACTTGAGCCCACGGATGCCAGCAAGACGGCGCTGCATGTCTTACATTAAACTCGAGGCCCTCGAGCGACTGGAGAGCGTTGTGGGCCGCGCGGGTGTCAAAGTACTCGACCACACAACAGGCTCGGTGGGCTGAGGACATTTGGTGGGTGCCGTAGCCGAGATCGTAGATGTCGCGGACATCGCCAAACCGCCGGAACAGATCCTATCGTACAGAATAGAGCCATGAGCGTGAGGATCGAATAGAGTCAATCGACCGCAGCTGCAGAGCCAGACGCAAGCGCATCGCACACACGCACAAAGCAGCAGCATCAGCAGAAGGCGTACCATCGAGACCTGGCTGTCCAGAGCTTGGGTTGACAGCCCCTGGATCAGCAACACACCCTGGTTGCTGAGCTGCTCGACACGGAGCGGATCCAGGAAGGCAAAGATGGTTGCCACATCGCCATAGTAGACGATTTCGCCGTAGCGCTCGATGATGCGTTCGAGAGCGTGCATCGCCGAGCGAAGGTCAAAGTAGACCACCATCAGGAAGTGATCGATGCGGAAGATGTCGCGGATGTATCCAAATTTCTGATGGACGAAAGTGAAAAGGCAGCAAGGATGAGTTGTGAGGGACAGAGATGGAGATGGGGTCAGCTTCCGGGGAGAAGATAAGCGCGGGTGTGTGGACTCGGTCATACGGCTGTTTACTGCCTACCTGACACAGGTCGACGAGGCGCATCTGGTCCTCGTGGAGTGACAGATCAATCTGCAGAATGCGCGAGGCCACGCGAGTAGATTCGCGGAGAAAGGTTCCGGCCGAGGAGCGCCGTTGGGGGGCAGGTGCCGACTTTGGGAGGACAGGGACATCGTTCCAGTCGGCGAGGCTGAGGCTGCCATAGGAGACGGGCGAGGAAGGCTGGCTCTGGGAAGTGAGCTCGGCACGCTGGGTCTCGCGACGGTCTAGCAGCTCCGGGCCCAGACCAATGTCGAACAAGCCCTTGGAGTCGTGGCGAGTGAGTCGAGACGAATCGGTGTCGGTGGGCGAGGGCCTGCGGTCTGGAGCGCGGGGGGGGGGTTTGGGCGAGATGTTAGAGTCAGATATGCATCACCAGGGCCCGATCGTGCCTCGATCGAAAATCGGATGCAGACACGACAGCAACGCACATACCATTGAGCGAAAGGGCCGACAGGCTCAAATCGTCGACCGTGTCCTTGGAGTTGACCGAGGACCATGGGGAAGTAAACGAGACCGGGGTCTAAAGCCAAAGAATGCAAGACAAAAGACAGACGAGAGGCAGGTTGCCCCACTGGGTCAGAAACACGAGCGATGCAAAGTTGGTTCGGACGCAGCACACCAAGGCGGCAGAGGAGGTGGAGTGAAGTGGGTGCGAACGGGAAGATGCGTACGCTGGGAGCAGTTGGGAATCCAGAGGGCGTATAGGGATCGTCTATACTAAGGGGCTTCAGATCATGTCGATCGAGCAGCGAGCCAGAGGTCTGGAAGGCCCGAGGTCGTGGTGCGGGGAGGGCAGAGGCAGAGGATCAGAAAACACGCCGGGATTCACAAAACACCAAAATGATCGAGACGGGTTGCGGCGGTGGTGGCGGAGGAGTTTGAGCGTTGCTAAGCGTGCTCGCCTGGTACGGGGGTATCGAGCAGAAGCGAATAGGATGGGTGCCATGAAGGCGGGTGCAGGACGGCTGAACCAAGAAGCTGGCCTGGGCAGCAAGAGCCACAGGGCCACCAACCAGGAACCAAACCAAGGCGCGGGAAGGGGCAAGAAGCAGGAACGAAGCTGCGGCCAGGTCGGGGATGCCGCCACAGCAATAATGCCACGATGCTGGTCGCAAGTAATGGGAGATGTGGGTCGTCGGCGATGCCGTGGGGAGCACACGGAAACGAAGCCAGACAGAGACGACCCAGAGCCCGTCGGCCTGCAGGGTCGAAGGTCAACTTGCCTTGTCCTGATAGACGTTCTTTGGCATTGGCTGGTCGTCGGTGCTGAACGGGAACAGATTTTGCTGGCCGAGGGGCTTGAAGGGATTGAAGCTTTGGTCGGGGGACAGGGGATTCCAGGTAGCAGGGGCGTTGGGAGTCATGGCTCGAAGGTTCAGAGGGTGCAGAGACAAAGCGAGCTGGGGGCAACTGGGACAGCAAAACGAGGCGAGCGGTTGACGAAAGGATAGCCGAGTATTCTGCCGGAGAAGGATGGCAACCCATGACGTCCAGGTAAATACAGCAAGTCTGGAATGCGCCCCGAATGAATGCCGAGTCCGCCTCGGATGGGCCCCGGCAACGGGCCCGACAGATGCTGGCGGCGCAGAAACAGCCGCCGAAGCGACGGGCTTGCAGTTCCTCTGGCGAGTGAGCAAGCGCAAGCGGGTGGCAACTTACAGGGCTCTAGGGCGTTGTGGATAAGGGTGCTCTTGATGATGGCACCGGTGTGGGATTTGGCTCTGGGCAGGGAAGCAGAAGCCAAGGCGGATATTGTGCAATCAAATGGAAAGCGCTGGTTTCTCGAGCGGGAGGATTCTTCCAGGTTTGCGTCGAGCTTTTGCTGGCCACTTCCTCGTTCTTCTTTTTTTTTTCTTCTTCTTCTTCTAAAACTGATAATCAACGGTATCCAAAACTATCGGGCAAAGGGGCACGGGTGAGGCGAACCTTTGCGGACGGATTGAATAAATACGAGAGGGGGATAGTAATCAAAAATGGACGATAGAGACCAACCGGTGGGAACAGGGCGAAACGACCGAGGCAACACACGCACACACACGCAAAAAAAGAAGGAAAGAAAGAAAAATAGGAAGGAAGGAGACAAGAGTGGCGGCTCTTCTTTCTATTTCGTTGAAGGTCAAAAACGAGAGCCGCGACTGGGAGGGAGGAGAGCCAAGGAAACTAAGGAATGATACCAAAAGGGCGAGCAATCCAATGGCAGCGACGGCTGAGGACGGGGTTGGCAGGGCGAGCGAGGCGGATGGATGGCAGACTGAGGCGACGGGCCAGAAGGGGCATCAACCGAGGGACAGGGAGGGGGTCGGCCGTGTACTCGGCAGGACCGTTTGGGCGGCAGCGACACCCAGGAAGAAGGGCACGAGAGAGCGGGAGCTCAGACGGGGACGAGCCGGCGGGGTGGTGGTACTGCAACAACAGCAGCACCGGGGATATTCCAAGGGCGGCGACGGGGACGGCCCACGGAGGCAGAAATTAAGGGCTGCGGCGTGCCGGAGGGGGGGGGAGGAGAGAGATTAGAAACCAAAAGAAGGCGAGTTCTCCGTGCAGGCCCGGCGGAACGAAGGAACCAACTTGGATTTGAGACGACGCCGAGCTTGAGCCGGGAAGTGCTTTTGCCGGCTGGCGAAAAATTTTTTTGGCTCGTTGCCCAGCGAAAAAAACGGTGGGAAAGCCACAGGCAGACCAACGCAGAAAGAGCCAGCTGGTGGCCAGCTGGTGGCCAGCCGGCGGGCTGAGCGAGGACGGTGCGAGGACGGTGCGAGGACGGTGCGAGGAGCGCACAAGGCTGGGAGAGAACGCTCTCGCTCTCGCTCTGGCCCACATGGGTCTGTGTGTGTGCTCGTGTTCTGTGTCGGACTGTGGCGCGGCTGCCGCACTGTCGCAGTGCAGCATGGGTGCCCTTGCTGTTGTTGGCGGATGCCACCCGCCCTCCTGGCCCTCGCCGTGCATCCAGCCTCACCCTGCGTCGCTGCGTGTCTGCATCTGCTCATCATGCATCGTGCATCGCCCGGCGTCTCCCTCGCTTTCTGCCTGCCCTCACCCTCTCGCCATTGCGCCTCGCCCGCACCTCGTCTGCTCTCGCCCGTTCTCGCCCTGTGCGCTTGAAAAAAATCCAGTGTAACATGCCTCAGGTGATGCCCACGCGCCGCACAGAGCAGCACGTGATATCGCCAGGGAGCGAATTGCCAGCAGCCCGAGGCGGTCCTTCATGTTCAGGACGAAACGGGACGGCGGTATCCTGGGTGTCTTCCACATCGGCCGCCGCATACTGCTGGTTTGAGGGAAGCGCAGCATCCAGATGCAATGCCTGCGACCATGGCCCCTACGAGGCAATTCCCAAAGACATTCACGGCATCTGTCTCCTTGGACGCGCTGCTTGGCCATGGTGGAATGGGTGTGTATTGGCATCTTGAGAACAGGGACAATCATGGCTCAAAAGACAATGCCCCGCTTCACTTGGGTGCCACTCGCACGTCTGGCGCGCTCAGTCGGCGATTTGGAACTTTTTGAGGTTGTGCATCTCCTCCAGTATTCGCTGCACCTCGTCGTCGTCGTGCTGGGACAGGCTGCTTGGCAGAGCACAGCATCGATCAGAGTGATATTTGCATCGTATTGCCGAGATCGAGGTGGGGGGCAAAAGTTGGCGTGGCTGGATAAGAAAGTGTTCACATTCTTGCTTCCGCCTTCCCATCGTCGCCATCGCGAGATTATGTTTGATCGTGTCCACAGTCAAGACTGCCCAGAGCGAATACTCACGTTGGAATCAGGGCCTTGGCCTCCTCGACGGTCTCGCAGCACAGATTGGCCAGCTGCGCCGCCTCAAACTCATGGTATGGCGGAATCGGAATCAATCTGCCAGCACGAGAAGCGGCAGTGTGTCGATCCAGACGAACAAGAACAGGAACGGGTGAGTCCAAGGCGAGAAACCAGGAGCCCATAGGGCTCATAGGGCTCATAGGGGGCCCAGAACACCAATTAGCTACTACCCGCACACGCATCGTCGCTGCAGCGAGGGAAGAGGAGTCTCAATGCAGTCCCGCGCTCGCCCAGAGGCAATACAGTACCCTCGGATCTCCTTCACCGTCTGCTTGCTCGTGAACTTGCTGAAGCGACTACAGTAGTCCAGCGTCTTTTGCATTATGCTGTGTTCCGGCGGGAGCGATGTGTGCCGAGTAGAGGGAGGTCAGTTGGGCGATGCGGGACAGCAGATATCGATGCTGGCACCACGCTTCTTGCTTCTCGGTTTGCCACCATCGTCGTTGCCATTTCCATTGCCATCGCCATCACGATATTTACTCTGAGACTGCCGCGCTTTCGGTTCCAAAGTTCTCGAGCTTCTTTTGCTTTGCGCCCTCAAGCAAGACACGGACTTCCGAGATCAGCACGCACGGCGCCGAGTTGAACTCTGCCGAGGGGACACGAGCACGACGCAACGGTCAGCAGCCGCCGAAGCTGGAGGTCATACGCCACCAGTCACATCGCACCCGATCCGGCTGCCTCGATTCCATAAGCCGTCTGTTCCTGATTGCCCGATTTCGAGGAGGCGGAGGAACAGTAGGAAGAGGAAGACCAACACGGCCAGTGGCGGGTGGCAGGGAGCGTCGTCCTGAAGCCACCCCTCAGGCTGATTTTACCTTCCCCGAGCTTCAGGAAGGAGGCATCCTCCTCCTCGATCTGTCCCTTTCGTTGTCGTCGCGACATGTGGATTCGAAGCAGATCGCAGGCGGACAGATGGAGCAGAGCTGAGGAGGCAGAGCAACAGATGGCCGGCGAGAAGGGCAGGTCCGTGGTCAGGTGATGTGTGTGTGTGTGGCACGTCGTTGGTGTGTGGCGCCGTCGGCACCAGCACCAGCATCAACACCAGCACCGACATCAGCATCAAACACCAGCTCCAACACCAACACCAGCGCCAGCATCGGCCCCGCCATGTCGATCCCCAACTTCCGTCAGATCTACCACGAGTTCCGCTCGCCCAAGGAGGAAAAGGACATCTCCAATGCCGCGGTCTTCAAGTTCTGCGCCTTTGTGCTGCTGTGTGCTGCCATCACGGCTGCGAGAAAGTCGTCCTTTCCAGCCGTCTGAAGCCCAGGCACACAGACGGGGATCGACTCGATAATGTATGGATCGCCAATAAGAAACGAACGCTGCCGTTATTTGCCTGCCAGTCCGCCGCCGGCGGTCGCATCGATCCGACCCGGTCCCGGTCCCGGTCCCGGTCGCAGGCTTGGTTGGCTGGACTGCCAGCACCTCTCCGAGAGCGAATCTGATTCTGCTGGAAGGCTACAACGAGGCCAATGGAGCCGGATACGCAATAAACCTTGCAAGGCCCTTGCAGGATCTGGCTGGATATGCAAATGCCTCGATGGTATGCCTGGGCGCAACGACCGGGCTGGTGGATGGAGAAACCTGCACGGTGACAAGCAAAGGGACAGCCCCAGCGGTGCGAGTGCTCATCCAGAGCCTGCCGAAGAGGCTGTGGACTGCCGGCGGCTACTCATCGAGTCTGTTGCGCCGGAAACGGCGGCAGGCGTCCAGGGGATGCTGGATGGCGCTGATATCCGGCAATGCAACAGAGACCGGCGTGGGGGATTTCAAGAGCCGATGCGAGGCCTGGTCGCCAGTCTCCCCCTCTGTTGCCCATCAGACCAGCCGGCCCAGCGACGATTTCACCACCGCCATGGCGATGCAAGGAGGCTCGACCGAGGCCTTGTCCGAGAACGAGAGGCTGATCAGGGAGGTCTATGGCATCGAAAAGGTGAGTGTCGGCCATATGCCCAGGGCTGCTCTTTGGTTTGTAGGGATGCAGACCTGGATGTCGATCCTCATCGATCCTCATTGATCCTCGCCGATCCAATCGGCTCACAGCGTCTGGTAGCGCTGCTGAGCGTTGCCAGTCAAGCCATCAATGTACTGTCGAAGGATCAGCCGATGCACGATGCCAAGGAGGTCTTTGAGCGGCAAGTCGGCTCGTTTCTTGAGATTCTGAATGTAAGCAGCGGACACAGCCGAGCATCGGCTCGACACAATCGATCGGTTGTATGGTGGCATGCCCACCCTCCGTTGGCACATCCCCCATGCTAACAGCGTATCATGCACTTGCCCATGCACTTGCCCATGCGCTTGTCCAGGAAATCCAAGCCGGCCTGCGCAAGCATATTCGCATCCTGTCGACCCAGGGCATCCTCAACTCGACCGGCACCACCATTCCGTATCGCGGCACCACCGCCGGCCATGAGAAGGACCTCGAGATCCTCAACGACGGCATCGAGATGATTCTGGAGCGGTTTCGGGCATCCATCCACCGGCTGGGCCAGCTGGACCTGGCACCGCTGCCTTCTGCACAGCGAAGCTGGCCGCTGCATCGTCACCATGGCGGCCTTGGAAGGGAAGGGCAAGAGAGCCTGGACGGCATGGAGGTGGAACAAGCCAGCGAGCAGGAGCAGCTGGGGATTGATTTTTGAATACAGCGCCGATCAAGTTGTCGCCGGACAATGGACAGCAGCCATGTGGACCTCGTGGGCGCCTGGCTCGACACTTGATCGAGTCGCTTGCATACCTGCCCTGGCCGGCTGCTGATCCCATGGCCTGGCGGATGCATGGCCGATGCCTGGTCGGTGCCTTCGTCCCCTGCGGGTCAAGCCAGGCCGAGCCAGGCCGAGCCAGGCCGGAGGGCAGCCGACCCTCTTCGGACAGCCAAGGGCGATGATCACGCCACGCACGATGGACGAAAGCAATGGCGACGAGGGGCAGATGGCGAGCAGGACGGGTGGTATTGCGCGAGGGGCAACAGAGGCCGACCGCCTCGAACGGAGTCGAAAGGCAGCACCGAGGAAATGACTGTATTCGATTCAACTGCCCTATTGGCATGTGCGAGTTGAATTAATGTCTATCACATCCAATAACATCAAATACATCGAATGATATCAAACACATTCAATAACATCAAACACATCGAAGGATATCAAATACATCCACATCCACATCCACATCCACATCCACATCCACATCCACATCCACATCCACATCCACATCCACATCCACATCCACATCCACATCCACATCCACATCCACATCCACATCCAATCCATCCCATCCTACTTGGCGATCCCCCCCGCGTGTCGCAGCAATGGTCACAGGGCCTGACCATCTGCCCCGTCATGCCGGCCAAGCCCGTCGTTGCTTGTGCCGCTCTCTCGTCGCCCCATCGCATACCAGGATCACTCGCATTTTGCCTGCCAGAACGACTCTCATTCGCCCACTGGGATCACTCGTTCGCCCTCGCCCCCCCCCGCTCAGCCTCTGTCGCCCACTCTCACTCTCGCTGGCTTTCCCAGGCTCCCACCAACCAGCATCCGACCCCCCCCCATTCCTTCCCACCAGCCGCAGTCGCCCATCACTTTCGGCTCAGCTTCGCCGTCGCATTTCCCACCGTCCGCATTCGTCGCCAGAGCAATCCACCTCGCCTGTGCCGCTGCGTCCCGCTCGTCGCCATCTCCCCTCCCTCATCTCCGACCCTTGTCTTGCTTCCCGCTCCGTCCGCGTCTGCTTTCGTCCACGCTCGATTCTGCCTCCTGCCCTTTTGTTTACCAACTCAGGCCCCAGTGTTTTCGCTCATCGCTCTGCCTTCCGCCGATCCGGTCCAAGTCTCCATTTCAAATCCGCACCGCACCCGTCCTTCGAAACACTCCTGCTTTCTTCCTCGTCTGTTTGCGTCCGCGTCGCATCACTCGCCTGTCCAAGTTTGTCCTGCTGCTCAAGTTCGGCCGACTCGCCCCGCAACCCCCACAACCACCTGCTCGGTCACCAAGCCAACCTTGCCCCCTCCATTGTCCGCCTGGTCCATATCTGCCCTCTCCTCTCCCATCTCTCTCACCCACATCCTCACCCACTCACCCATACCCCTCCTCGTTACCGACAGCGTCTGAATTGCCACTTTCTGCTCCACCCGAGTACCTTCTCTGCCTTCCCTTGATACGAATCTGACTTTCTGTCCGGACTCTGTTCTGCCTGAGCACCGTTCCCAGGTATGTTGCATGCGTGTCGCTGGCCTCGCTCGGCACCAATCCTGCAGAGCTCCCTCCCCACTACAACGGTCGCGGCATTGTGGATGGACGGGCGGGCGGACGGATGCAAGCCTGTTCAGAGGCGAGCAGGCCCGATGCATCCAACCCACCCAACACTTCGTTGCCATCCAAGCCAACTCACATACCATTGCTTTCCAATGATGCAATCCTGAATGCCACAATGTCCCAATTCGGGCTCTCTGTTCGTGCTGAATGCCATGTCGGTTGAATTGCCTGGGTCTGGCCGTGTCCCGAAAGACTACCGTCCCCTGTTTCCTCGCCCAGCGAAACCCAAGCCTCCACCCAAGCTCTCAAGCTCAAGCTCAAGCTCAAGCTCTCAAGCCCAAGCTCAAGCTCTCAAGCCCAATCCCAAGCAATGCTCTCGTGGGTTTCTTCCGTCTTTGGTTCCCAGCCCGCGGCCTCTGCGCCTGCCTCTGCCCCCAAGACCCCGGATACCCCCAAGGTTCCCGACATCGCGGATGCATCCAGTCAAGGCCAGGTCCTCCGGTCTGCATCGATGGATGAGTCGCCCACCCTCCAGAACCAAGTTCCACCCAAGCTCAAAGTCTCAAACGACGAGTGGATCTTCCTGGCCAAATCCGACGACGAAATCAGCATGAAGTCGCTTCCGGACCAGTTCGACTCGGACTCGGAAACCGAGCTGGCGTCCGGACCCGTCATCGAGACCACCCCGCCGGGCCCGGCCAAGACGCAGTCCGGCGACGAAAAGCAATTCCAGGTCAAGAAGACCCGCCGTGGCCGAAAGCGCAGAGGCCCTGTCTCGCCCACCGATGCCAATGGCCCCGCCCCCGAGTCCGCCGAGGCCGGTGCGTCGCTGCCTGCAACCCCGGCTCGGCATGCTGTCCGGGGCAGCAGCGGCTCTGCCAGCGCAAGCGGCTCCCCGGTCGGCCCTGCTCATCTGGTGCCTTCTGTGGGCTCGGGCGAGTCTGGCCCAGAAAGCGAGCCCGACCAAGACCAGCAGGAGCTGGACCTGTTGGACCTCGTCGACATGGCCCGCTCCCGCGGAACCCAGAAGCAGCGCCGCATGGACGCGCGAGCCGCATGGCTGGCTCAGCAGAAGCGGGTTGTCCGCCCGTCGTAACGACAAGCCGGGTCCTGCCAAGTCAAGCCACGTTTGTCCTGCCCTGACCTGCCCTGCCCTGCCCAGTCTTGTCCTGCCCTGACTTGTCTCCTGCTTGGTTATGGGGCCTGTCTTGGCCTTGACCCGTCCAGCTCTGCATCCTCCCCCGCTCCTGGCCTTGTATCTTGAATCCTTTTTTTTTGACCCGCGCCGGTGTTGTTTCGTGCGTCTTCTTCGTGTACATTGTTCCCGCTGCTTTCAGACCGCCGTTTCTATACCACTTGTGGCATGCTTTGGAGGGTTGTGGACCGCTGCGGCGTGTTCGCTCGTGCCCCTGATCAACGCCATTCCCAAGGAATGCCGACTTTTGCCGCTGCAGCCATACGACCCTCCCTCCTCCCAATTGGTGTCTGCGTGCGATCCCTCTGCCTTTTCCTTCTCTCTTGCCATTTTTTAAAAAACCTTCTCTGACCAAATATCCTGAAAGAAAATAACCCCCCTGCCAGCAACCCAAATACAATAACGAAAATACAACAGTCGCCGGGTATCCACCGCCCCCCACAACTCTGCACCTTGAGCTGCCGAGCAGAAAACATCATCCATCCGTCCATCCGTCCATCCATCCATCCATGTGCCCACGCGCGGTATCCGAAGCCGCAGTGTCATCAGATGCCGCAGCACCGTCGGATACCTGCGGCGATTTCGCCGAAACTTTGCCGCTCGGTCACCCCGCACTGGCGATTTCCGCCTTGGCCTTGTGTGGCGGCTGCCCCACCGCGCCGCAGCGCCGCACCTCGCAAATCCAGCCAATCAGCGGCGGGCGGCAGCGACCGCGCACGGCCACTCTGCACGGCCACAGGCCGCGATTTCCTTCCATGGCCTTCGGCGGCGCTGCCACGCACTCCGTGCGCAGCCGTGGCTCGCTAGGGCTTCCGGGTGTCGCACTAGGGCTTCCACAAATAGCCCTTGCCCTGTATGCTGCTATAAAGGCGTTGGCCCTCTGCCATCGCTTCTCCCGATTCCATCTGCCGAGCAAGTTTTTTTCTCCCTCGCTTCCCAACGGGCGCCTTCCCCTGTTCCTGCTGCCTATCCGCCGCATCTCTCAACCACCACCACCTCCTTCTCCTCCTCCTCCGACAAAAACACACACAGCCATGAGTGACTGGGACAACGTTACCGTCATCCGCAAGCGCGCCGAGACCCCCAAGACCGTCAAGTCCGATGCTGCCCTGAATGCCGCCCGTCGCTCCGGTGCCAGCATCGAAACCGCCAAGAAGGGCAGCGGCTCCAATGCCACTGCCGTCTACGACGCCGGCAAGATGGCCAAGGTCGACAACGAGACCGAGGTGAGTTTCTTGTGTTTCCCGCCGTCGGCGACATCTTTCTGTGGTTGTCCTTTTGCGTGATCTCGTCGGATGAGATCGGGTCAGATTGGACCGATCTGACCTGACCTGACCTGAACTGAACCGACCTGACCCCGGGATGCACGGGACGAACTACGTGTGTGCGATTACATTTCGCAGCATGGCTCTGGCCCGCTCGACCGAGTGCCCTGCCCCCTTCTCGTGCAATTCGCGCCGATCTGACTGTGCTCTGTCCTTCAATTCCCCCCCCCAGGACTTCCACGTCGAGAAGGTGTCCATGTCCGTGTCCAGGGCCATCCAGCAGGGTCGCCAAGCCAAGGGTCTGACCCAGAAGCAGCTTGCCACCATGATCAACGAGAAGCCCACCATCGTCAACGACTACGAGGGCGGCCGAGCACCCAACCCCAACCAGCAGGTCCTTGCCAAGATGGAGCGTGTTCTTGGTCTCAAGCTCCGAGGCAAGAACATTGGCGAGCCGCTCGGATCCAAGTAAAGAACGGTCTTTCCCATCACGGGGCGTCCCTCGACGCCTTGCATATCCGGGGTCTCTCTCCCTTCCCTCCTTGCCCCCCTCCCACCGACGCTCTGCTCTGCTCTGCTCTGGATCTATTATCGCTCCTTTCGTTCTGGCTTCTCTAATCTGGCATATAAAGTCCACTCCACCCACCCATATGTAAATAGCATCGCATCGCTATGCGGGCGCCATCGCTTGCGCTTCTGTCCGATCCCTCTCACCGTCTGGTTGTGTATCCACGCAGCTCTCTTCTCCCTTTCCCCTTCAACCGGTAGTTGCCTTCCCGTTCCCCGACTCTCTTGATGGAAGATTAGTTTCTCTTTTCTCTGTTGCGTCGCACGGGCCTGGCTTATCTGGCGGGCAGTTGAATACAACTTGTTCGGAACGAAACGAGAGAGACCGTCTTTGTGGGCAATCCAAGTGGATATGGTCGATTCGGTCATCTGAACAGCAGTATGGGTTCTCGATATCGAGATGGTCGGGCGGGCCCAGTCTCTTCGCCACCAGCACCAATTGGCGCACTGCGAAGCCAAAAATAGACCTCCTGATCGATATTGCATCATCCCCATCCAGAGCAAAGCCAGCCCCCGCTCGGTTCATTTTTCCCTCTCGACCTCGATCTCGATCTCGATCTTGATTCTCGCTACCCTCAAGCATCTCACTGAATCCGCCCCGTCCCGTCCCGTCCCGTCCCGCCCGGTCTCGTTTCGCCAGCATCGATCGCATGGCTCCTGGACCAGCACCCGCATGGCAGGCACCGCAGCCCACACCATCCATCGGGGCTTGCTCGGCGCTCAAACGCTTCCCCGACCACCGCGAGGCTCTGGCTCTGCTGGTCAAACTCTCCAGACATGTACGCATTCTGGGGACATCCGTCCAGCCATGACATTTGAAACCAGCACACCATCGTGGCCCTGTGGCCCTGTGGCCCTGTGGCCCTGTGGCCCTTTCTCATGTCATCCTCCGCCTCTCACCAACTCTCACTCTCACTCCTGCTCACAACCCAGGTCGAGCCCATCATGAAGAAGCGGAGCTGGACCGTCCCGAAACTCTCGGAAATGCTGCCCAGCAATCCGGCCTTGCTCGGGCTCAACATCAACCGAGGCCGAGAAATCAAGATCCGGCTGCGGCCAGCCCACAACGAGCGGTCGTTTCTCGACTTTAACGACCTGCTGGGCACAATGCTCCATGAGTGAGTGAGCCCGATGTGTTGGGTGACTTGAACGTACGAGTCGAGGATACGCCAGATCCAAGTTCGAATTCGTGGTCGCTGTATCCTGATGCTGTTTCCTGATGCTGTATCCTGATGCTGTATCCTGATGCTGTATCCTGATGCTGTGTGCGATGCCGCCCTATCCTCGTCCTCTCCGCTTTCTCTGCAAGACTCACTCATATCGGTAAGCGCCACAACGGCACCCCTCCCCGGTAGAGCTTCATCTATGCCGTCGCCTCCGATACTCTGCATTTCATTCCCAGGCCCAATCTCACACCCGGGGGAGGCGACTCCCTTGCTCCATCCCCTTCCTCTTCCAGTCCGCGGGCCTCACGATGCCCAGTTCAATGCCATCCTCGACTCCCTGCACGACGAGTACGATCTCCTGCTCGCCTCAGGCTTCCACGGCAACGAGGGCTTCCGGCTCGGCGGACGGGGCGTGCCGTTGTTCCAGGCTCGGTCTGCGGCCCTCGCTGCCGCCGAACAGCGGCTCCATCATGGTCGCTTTCCTCTGACACCACGATCCACACCAGGCACCAATGGCTCGGGTGTCGTCGGAACCGGATCCTCGGGCCATCGATTGGGCGGCAGCAACGAGATGAAGGAACTCGAGACCCTGCTCAGACCAGGAGAGCTGTTTTTGCTCTCTGCGGTCGAGAAGCGCCGGATGAAGCTGCCCGAAGGCGGATGTCGGTGCCTCGGCGGTGGCGACAACAGCAGCAGCAGCAGTAGCAGCAGCGTCGTCGAGATTGATGATGCGGACATGCTGGAGATCATCCGCATTGTTGGTGCCGCTGACCCCGATGAATATTCCCCTGATGTCCGTGTCATTTACGAGGATACCCCCGCTCCAGGGACCCACCAAGCTTCGGATGATCTCCAGGTCATCTCTGTCAACCTTGGAAGTCGGCAGCGACCTTCGGAGACCGGTCCAGGCAGCATCCCTTTCCCTGTGTACGTCATCGATGACGACCATGATCATGACCATGGCCACGACCATAACCATGACCATGATCATGACGACCCCAGAAGCCGGTCTGCCTCAGGACGAACGGGTCGCAGCACAGGACACATCCGACAATGGTCATGTCCGCAGTGCACACTCGATAACTCGCCGTACCTTGCGCTCTGCGAAGCATGCGGGTTCGAGATTGCCCCAAGTGCGGTGGCGGCTCTGTTGGACATGGGAATATCATGAGGCACCGCCATACATCGACCGGGAATTCGTCCGAGGCCGTGGCCGTCATCGCATGCAGCTCTCCATATATCCCTCTGGCCAACCCCATGATGCTTTCCTCGCTGGTTGTCGACCCAGATCGACACAACACGCAGTGTCGACAGAGTTGATGGCTCTGGACTCCTCGCAGTCGCTCTTCTGGGTGATTGTTACAACCCCGTTCGACCCGCTGTGCATCCCCAGGTAGCGGCAACATGAGACAAAGGCTCCATTACCGAAAATTCTGATCCAAGGGCCAAGCCATGCCACCCAGAGCCACGACGATATCCGGAAGCTGGAGTGGGAGAGGGGACGGGAGGCGGGGGGGGGATGGCAGAGAGAGAAAGGGAGAATCGCTCTCGTCCATTGCGAAAGGAACTGTCTGGTCACTCCTGTTGCTGTTGTTGTTGCTGGGGCGGCGACAGCTTGTCGTGAAGCGTATGGCAGAAACAACGGGAGGGAGGGTTCGATACAAAGCACGAGGGGAGGGCAATGGCTGTATTGGCTGGGATCAGTGGACGGGGTTGCGAGCACGGTGCTCCTCGATCTTTCGCTCGAGATCGGGGCGGAAGTGGCGGATCAAGCCTTGGACAGGCCAGGCAGCAGCATCGCCCTGTTTGGGAAAGCGGCAAGTGGGAAGGGTTTCGTTGGAGCAGGAAGGAGAAATCAGTCATCTGCTTCTTGCCCTTCTCAACACCCAGGCTATGGGAAGGTCCGCCCTGTTCCCACAGTCCGACGGACAGCACTTTCGATCGACCGCCGCTTACCAGAGCACAGATAGTGTGTCCTTCGATCTGTCGGGTCAGCTCCTCCATCATATCGATCTCGGCGCTCTTGGCCTGGCCAGCCTCGAAGCGCTTCATCATCTTGGCCAGCCAGGTGGTACCCTCACGGCAGGGTGTGCACTGGCCGCAGCTCTCGTGCTGGTAGAAGGCCGAGAGACGGGAGATGGCCTTGACCATATCGACGCTCTTGTCCATGACAATGACGGCGGCAGTGCCGAGACCAGACTGGTGGTCACGGAGATCGTCAAAGTCCATCAGCACGGTCGCGCAAATGTCCTTGGGAAGGACCGGGACGGACGAACCGCCGGGGATGATGCCCTGGAGGTTGTCCCATCCGCCGCGGATGCCACCGCAGTGCTTCTCGATCAGGTCCTTGAGCGGGATCGACATCTCCTCCTCGACCGTGCAGGGCTTGTTGACGTGGCCAGAGATGCAGAAGAGCTTGGTGCCGGCGTTGCGCTCGCGACCAAACGAGGCGAACCACGAGCCGCCACGGCGGCAGATGGTCGGGGCGACAGCAACGGTCTCGACGTTGGCGACGGTGGTGGGGCAGCCGAACAGGCCGACGTCGGCAGGGAACGGAGGCTTCAGTCTGGGCTTGCCCTGCTTGCCCTCGATCGACTCGATCAGAGAGGTCTCCTCACCGCAAATGTAGGCACCGGCGCCACGGTGGATGTAGACATCAAAGTCGTAGCCACTGCCGCAGGCGTTCTTGCCGATCAGGCCAGCCTTGTAGGCCTCGTTGATGGCAATCTGGAGGTTCGAGGCTTCGTTGTAGAACTCACCGCGGATGTAGATGTACGCGGCGTTAGCGTTCATGGCGCGGCCAGCAACGAGACAGCCCTCGACGAGCTTATGGGGGTCGTGGCGGAGGATCTCGCGATCCTTGCAGGTTCCGGGCTCGCCCTCATCGGCATTGATGACGAGGTAGCGGGGACGGGTATCGACGGGGCCACCGGGGGGCTTGTTCATGAAGCTCCACTTCAGGCCGGAAGGGAAGCCGGCACCACCACGGCCACGGAGGCCAGAGGTCTTGACCTGGTCAATGATCCACTTGTCGCCCTTGAGCAGGATTTCCTTGGTCTTGTGCCAGTCTCCGCGCTTCAGAGCTCCGTTCAGCTTGAAGTCGTGGCGGCCGTACAGGTTGGTGAAGATACGGTCCTCGTCCTTCAGACCGCCGTAGGTGCGCGAAGTGGCAGCAGCAGGGACCACTGTGGCGAGGCCTGCCCGAGGGACACGGACGGCGGCCGAGACGAGGGAGGCCTGCGAGGCAGCCAGGGAAAGGCTTTGTCTGGATAGGAGCATGTTTGGGCTGGGATCAAGATGGGCAAGAGTTAGTGCTCGAGATTGTCACAGGAGATCTGGTCTGTTGGGACGGGTTAGCAGCGGCCTGGCCAGGGCGATCACACGAAAGCGCAAGTGGAGCTGCAGGTGAAATCGATGAGGCTAACAGGGAGGTGATGAGAGGGCGGTCGCTTGGTAGGGGAGGAGCTGAATCGCAGGCGATTGTGGGAATCCGATGGTTGACACAGCCCGGCCGGGGTCGATCGAGCAGACAGGATGAGGCACGGAGTCGGGCCCGACGCTGGACTGGAATGCTTTTTAAAGGCGCATTCCATGGCTGCGCGGAAAAAACAGGCTCGGGTCGAGTCGCTCCGGTCAGGATCGGCTTGGTCGCCTCACGATTGTTGCCTCCAGTCCGCTCCAGATCTCCGTCCTGCGATATCGCGTTGGTCCTCGCAACGCTGTCCTGCGCTTCGAGTCAGCGCTCGACGCTTGTTGACCGGTGCCTGCGATCCGTCCATTCCTGCACAAGCCTGACGATGTTCTATCGGCGCAGGCGGTGTCCAATGCCGAGGCTGTGATTGTCTGCACCCTTGGATTTCTCCGCGTCCACGCCGGACTTGCAGGGATTTGCCGACGCGGGCGGGTAGAGTCTATTCCGTGCAGCTGCCCAAGCAATGATGCAGCACTGTTGCAAGCGTTGAATCGAATCGACTCGTCCGGAGAGTGAGGGTTGTTCCAGGATTGTTTGGGCGTAGATCCGTCGATGCAGCTATGATCGCAGTGGCAGGCTGTCGGATTCCAAGGTCTCGCAGCGGAGCTATGTGCGGAATCCGGCGCAGCTGCAAGATGCATAGCTTCCGGTGCTTATGACCAAGTGCTCGACGCGAGGACGCATGGCGAGAACGCAAGATCGAGGGCGGTTGCCACGAGGGCGTCGCAATGGCAGCCCGGGATGGCCATCCAAGGATCCAAGAGGCAGGCATCACAGGCATGCCCCCGAGCGCCGTCGAGCAAGACCGCAAAATCGCCCCTGGCCGGGCCGCTAGTGCACAGAGCGAGTGTTGCCGCATGGAGGGCCGGCGGCAGAGTCGGCGGCGTGCTTACCCAGATGTCAAACTTCGAGGCGGGCGTCGTCCCAGATGCAAGAGAGCAGGAACCAAGCGGCGCTGGCCTCTGTTTTCGTTTTTTGCGTTTGCGCGGAGGGCAAAAAGGCAAAGGCGCATTCCAGCCCGGGTCGAGTGCGGCTCGAGCCGGCTCCAGCCGGGCGTGTCAGCAGCGCGACACAGAAATCTGTCCCGGGTTGGGTCGGAGTTGGCTTGCGAGCCGCACCGAACCAAGTCCCACGACTCCATTGATATCCACCGACCAACACTGATATCATCGAGTCGATGTCGTTCGAGTCGAGGTCGTTCGAGTTGAGGCTTAGTCTCCAGTGGCACTTGAATTCATACAGGAGCCCAGCGATCGTATCGTCCCGCTCGTTTTCCTTGGCGGTCTCGTTTCCTCGCATATCGATCCGAGCTGGGTGTCCGCCCGCCTGCGTCCACCAACGTCCATATGGGTGGCATTATTCTGCATCTTTCCGTGTCTGTCATCACCCCACATCACCCCACACCCGCTCGGATCCGTTTGTGCACGGCCTTGTCCCCTCACTGTTTTGGCGCGGGCCGCAGCGAACGCTGCCTCCTCTGGTCCTGCCCAGCATGATACATGAACTGCGTGGCCTCCAAGGACGTCGCCACTTTTTGGCGGGAATTGACAGCTCTTGGCAACTCCGTTGCCTCTGTCTTCCCTCCGTTTCGCTCAGCATTTCACTCAGTATTTCGCTCAGCATTTCGTGGCCCGCGGTATCGCACCCGTCGTTCCCGCGCTCTCGATCAGATGCGGCTTACTACATCTGACGGAGTACTCGGAGGCGACGCGGCCTCTCCCATTTGCTGCATGGCCCCCACTGCTGCATCAAAACGATCATCCCGCCGCGGCTCGGGTATAAAATGGCCGCCTGCTTCGATCTAGTCCTCGTCACCACCCGCAATCTAAGCACCTTCGCCTCACCAAGCTTGCCTTGACACTTCTCTTTCCACCTAATCAACCGAATCTCCTCTGCCCAATGCATCTCATCAAGTCTGTGCTTGTTGTCGCCGCCGCAATCTTGTTTGCAGCTGTGCCCGCCGAATCCCGTGAGTAGTGGTCCGGCTTGAGTGGGATATTGGTGCTTCCGTTCGGTACTTCCATTCGGCGCTTCTGTTCGGTGCATCAGATCGCACGATGCTTATGCCGTCTGGCTGGCACTGCTCTGATCTATCGTTGACAAGTCCTTGCTAGCCTGTCACTTCATTGCTGCCCTTGCGCTGATCCACCCGTACTTCTTCCCGATCGGCACCAGAGTGCAGCAACGAGTGCCCCAAAGGCTACCTCGCTGTAAACGGTGTTTGCACCCGATATGGCTGCCGCGACGGATACTACTTTGAAACCGCCACGGCCTGCGACTGTGTGCCGTACTATCTTGCCACCGCTAACGGCTATCCTAACAGCTGTGGCAGCTCGTACTCGTGCACCCGCTGGACCTGCCTTGCCGACAACCTTGACTGTCGCTGCCTGACGGCTGTGTGCTAAAGAGCCGCTGCGATCATTGTACCCAGCATCGATGCGCAATAAAGTGTTATTTCGAAGCGATCTGCCTGCGACAGGAATCGATTGCGCAGACAAAGCCAGTGGGTAGAGGGATGATTCTTGTTCATACACAGCATATGTTTTCAGAGACTGATCGCGGTCTCCAGTGGGAGCGACGAAGCCGGTGATGCGCTGAGAGTAACGATCTCGGCCGGCCATTTGCGATAGCAGTTACCGCCTTGAAATGCCACATTCTACGGACTGGCCGAGCCTGCGCAAGCTTCCAAAGATCCGGCTTATTCAGCCTTGGGCCTCGGGATCGTACGAGTTGGATTTGTGTCTGTGTCGCATCGAATGACAGCATCCGAGTCGAGTTAGCTCGCGAGAGGAGGCTACGACATGCTCTCTGCACATCAAGCCGTCACAGTCGACTTGTGATTCATTTCTATTCATCCATGGGAGGGGGCGACACCGTCATGTCCCAGCACCAAACTTACTTTGGAACAAACTTGAAGTCTTCGGGGGCTGGACCCAGCAGCATCTCGCTGATCTTGACCCAATCCTGTGCGTTCGTGCTGCCCATCAATGTCTCCAAGTCGTCGCGACCGACGAATGGCGGGGGTCGCTGACCAATACGCTGCGGGAGTACCTCCAGGAGCCCGACGGGAACGTAGCGACACAGGAACGACATCCACTCGCACAAGAACCGTCGGGTTTTGTTGACGCCCTGAGTGTCGGAGCCCCAGTGCTCGAGGCCATGGCTGCAAAAGTCGCGGAGAATGTCGAGCCGTTCGCGCGAGGAAATGTCCCAGGTCCGGCGCTCCTTGATCTCGGTCATGAGCCATGGCTTGATCAGAGCACCTCGCCCCAGCAGGACGCCGTCCACCTTGTACTGTTCGATATTGTGGTAGTACTCTTCCTGGTTCATGCAGTCTCCGTTGCCAAAGAACGACATGGAGGATCCGGCGAGCTTGGCGCACTCTCCAATGTACTCCCAGTCGGCAGCCCGGGTATAGCGCTGCTGCTTCGACCGCCCGTGCAGCGTGACGTGATCCACGCCCCAGCTGACCAGCTTGGGCATCAGCTTGTGAGCCGTGGGTTTGTAGTCGACGATACCCATGCGAAGCTTAACAGTCACCGGTTTGGTCATGACGTGCTTCATGCCACGTACATATTCACCGACCTTGGTCGCCCGATCCATGAGCTGGCTGCCGGCGCCCATGCTGCAAACGCTGTCGACGGGACAGCCCATGTTGATGTCCACAAAGTCCACGTCCAGCTCGTTTTCGACAAACTCGGCAATCTTGACGATCTGCTCGACCTGGTTGCCGGTCACTTGGATGCCAAAGATGTCTTCAGAGACGTGCCGGCGAACCAGACTCCACTCGGTGTTTTGTCCTGAAAACAGGTTGCCCGCCAGGGCCATCTCGCCGCAGGTAATATCCGCCCCGAAGCGCTTGCAGATACGGCGGAAGGGGAGGTTGCCGACCGTCGTCAGAGGGGCGACGTAGAGTTTGCCGCGGAAGTCGATCTGCTTTCTCTCCTCCTTGCGTAGCTTGGTCTCCCAAAAGTCAGCCTCAAAGCGGGCGAGCTTGCGGCGGTGTTCTTCCAGGGCGGCATCAAAGATCTTGACTTCTGTGTCGTTGACGCCGAGATCATCGTCCAAATTGTAGCCAGACTCGGTCTTGGGCACAGGATCGGCCGCGAGCCTGGCGGTGGGCTCGGTAGGGTCCGATTGATTTTGAGACGAAGTATCCGAAGCATCAGCACCGCCAGCAGCGACGACGACAGCAGCTTGCTGCTCCTTGACGATCCGCTGGCGCTCGAGAACAACATCAATGAGCGCGCGTTTCTCCTTCTTAGCCTGGATGTTCCACTCGAGGAACTCGTCAGACTTTGGAGTCGGGTAGGTCTTCTCGCGGATGAGGCGCTGGGTCTCCTTCGACACTCGGTTCTTGATGAGATCGCTGAGCTGCGGCACGGATGCAGCCTTGGCCTCGTCGACGACGTCGGTCAGATCAGGCGTCGTGTGGGCCTGCGCGAAGCGGCACTTGATGCCGTAGGGGCACTTTCCAAAGGTGTCAAAGAGATGACAGTTGGGGCCAATGTCCTTCTCCTTGGCGGCATAATATTCCTGGATGTTGTGGGTGAAGCGGCACTTTTCGCCACGCAGACACGGCTTGCCCTGGAACAAGTCTACGCACAGCTCCAGATCGTCCCGGGAATAGGTCATGGGCCGGGTCTTGTTCTGGCCCTTGAGCTTCTTCTTGTGCTTGGGGTTCTGGTACTTGGCCTTGGAAGGCTTGCGATCCGTGCTGGATCCGCGCTCGTCAGCATCGTCGTCGGCAGTAGCTGGGGCTGCAGCATCGTCCTTGGGCTCGCCTGACTCGGGCTGGGGCTCCTCGTCGGCCTTGCGTTTGGCGGGAGCGCTTGGGGTCTCGAGTTCGATACTCTCTTGGAGATACTGTGCTTTGATCCGAACAACGCCTCGCAGCTCGGCGGCAACGGTATCGCTGGCCATTGGTGCTCAGCTGTCGATGGAGGAGGGAGGGGGCGATCGATCTGGGGCAATGTGCAGCAAGTCGGGTCAACCGAATGCAAGTCGCATTTTTTTTTCTTCTTCTGCAACACATGATCTCGCGTGTGTCCGATCAACGAGCGGCGGAACCAGCGACCAGCCCGGCCCTCTCTGTGTGGGTCTGGTGTTGGGCGGATCGGCCCATATCGAGGACCGCCGAAGCGGCCCGCGGCCCCAACCATCCGCAGGAGCCAGGTGCACGACGCAATCGTGCCTGTTGAGGATATGAATGTGTATTGATTTCTCAGAGGGAAGGAAAGAAAGGTCTGTCGGACGACCCCACAACAGACCAAAGATCGCCGTATTGGCCGGTCGCAGCATCGACCCAGCCGCATTGCCCGGAGGCACGAGGCGACCAGGGCGGCCATTTCTTCCGAAGAACCCGACTGGGTGGCCGCCGCCCTCTCGCCTGCTGCCCGTGCTTGGTCGAAAGCAAACTCGTGTTAGCAGTTGATGGTCTTGAAGACGTTGAATCCGTCCAGGGACGTGGTGATCATGGCGCCGGTGATCTGCGGGTGCCAGTGGATCTCCTTGATGGACTTTTGGCCCTGGTGGATGAACAGGAGCTGTGGCGGCACCGTGACCTGCTGGCCCTGGGCTCCCGAGGCAATGGTGACCTCCTCGTGGTCGGCTTCGAGCGCCAGATCCCAGATGGTGACCTGGTCATCGTCTCCGGCGACAGCAAAGACCGAGCTTTCCGAGGGATGCCACTCGATCGAGGTGATGGACTTGGAGTGCCAGTTGAAGGTCGCGGCAGGCTCCGGCTGTGCTCCTGGGCCAAGGCTCAGCCACTTGCGCAGATCCCAGATCGAAAACACACCCGAGTCCGAGCCAGAGGCCAGCAGATGGTCGGCGGTTCTGCAGGTCGAGACGCAGAGTTTCGCGGTCAGCATCCACTCGACTACACTGTCACTTATGCCACTTGTACCACTCCACAGTCCGCAGATCGAACACCTTGGGCGACGATCACCAGCCTGCTCTCTGGTCAAGCCTACCTGTTCCAAGAAATCACATTGACGTCGCTGTCATGTGCCAGGACACTGATCTGGGCCTTCTGTTTCGTTCTCGTGTCCCAGACTTTGATGGTGCCGTCGACCGAGGCCGAAGCAAAGACGCCCTTCTGTGTCGGCGACCACTGGATATCTTCGACCGAGTCTTGGTGGCCCACAAAGGCTTGGCTTTCGGTGACAAAGCTGGTTTCGTTGCTGGTGGTCATGTAGATCTTGTTTGAGCAATCGCCAGTAAGCAGCCTTGCGGATGGGGGTTGGTTGGTCGGAATCGGAGATTTCGCCGCAGGTGTACAACACGCCGTTTCAGGTCGGGGAAGGGGGGATGTTGGTGTCCGCAAGCAGCGAGGTGCCATCCAGAAGTAGCATATACTGTCAGTGGCGTGGCCGGTTGAATGCATCGGATCGGTGCTGGGTTCTCCGTTCCGTGGATATGCCTTGCTTGCTCCTGATCAAGGTGGGCTTACCTTCCAACACCAAGGGTCGACCAATCCATGGCATAGCCCTCCGTCTTGTGGTTGTTGACGGTGTAGATTGGCTTCAGATCCCGCGGCGCGGCCATGCCGGGGGTGTCTATCGAGTCCACGACCTCCGAGAGGTTCCAGATGTGCACCTTGCCAGTCTCGGCCCACGTCGAGACAATCTTGGCCTCGGGATGGGGCATCCGGCGGATCCGGTTGATGCCACCAAAATGGGGCACGGTCTTGGATTCCAGCAACGGATCATCGTCGAGGTCGTCGTTATCGTCATCGTCGTCGTCGTCCATGTCTTTCGGTTTTTGGATCGTATCCGGCCCAAGCACGGAGCATGGCATGGAAAGGCAGTATCGGGGTTGCACAAGCAGCGGGTCAGCTCGTGCTGTGTCTCTGGCGATCGCTTGGATTCCGGACTCGCACTACAGAGGCTGATGGAAGGCTGTGGCGATGGACTCACCGTTGTCGTCGTTCTTTGTTCGATGCAGCTGCGACATCTTCATGACGTAGATCTTGTTGTCCTTGGCTTTCTCCGCCTGCGAGCCGGCAACGATGTAGGCTGTGGCGGGATAGGTCGTGCGGTTCAAGCCCAGCTTGTCTGGCAGGATGTCAAAACTGAGGCACGGCCATTCGGCATTCATGGTGTGCAGCATGTCATAGGCGCTGTTGTCGGCAACGAGGACTTCGTCGGGACCGAGCTGCTGACCGGGCAGATACACCTATGAACCCGTCGCCGGATCGATTCCAAAGCACCATGTCACCACAGAGCATGATATAAATAAAGACGAATGATGCAGCACCAGAACGAGCACGTCAGAAATTGCATGGACAGCGAGGGCCCGAGCCCTTTGCGCCATGTTGACGGCAGCGTATGTGCCCTTCGAGTCGATCTCGATTGGGGATGGCTCCAGGACCGAGTCGCGAAAGGCACACCTACATTCAGCTTCTCCTCCTCCTCTTCCTCGTCTTCCTCCATGGGAATATCGTCGCCCTCGTAGTCTTCGTCGTCGCTATCGGGGGCCATGACGACTTCGCCCTCGTCGTCGTCCTCGATTTCGTCTTCCCAGGCATCCTCAAACTCGCCCATCTCTTCCAGCTGCTCGGCGGTCAGGCGGGCTGGCAGACCCTCGGTGGCCTTGGCGTCCTTTCGCGGCGAGTCTCCCATGGCCACATCCTGGGTCTCGTCGGCCTCGGCAATTCTCTTCTTTTGATTTGGCGGCATCGGTGCGTGTGCTGGGCGGGTGCTTGGAACGCTGACGGGTTGCTGGCTGTCGACCAGAGACCAAGACCAGGCCGGTGCTCGCGTCTGCGAAAAAGAAAAACGAGTGTGGCTTAGCCGGCAACCTCAGCCCGGCCAATCAGCGGCCGGTTACGGCTTCCTGCTGGGCCGACAACAACAACGGCTGCGACGATGGCCGGCACGTTTGCCTGTCGACACAATCCATCGACGAGAGCGGCTCGCCATTCGGCATCGGCACAGACCACTCATCAGAGAAAGCCACTCGTCTGCCGCGGCGATACGATCGACACGTTCGGCCGACACAGTCCAGCCATGCTGCGAATCCTCTGCCTCCACGGATACACCCAGAACGCTTCCGTCCTCCGCAAACGGACAGGCGTCCTGCGCAAGGACCTGAAGAGCCTTGCCGAGCTCGGTGGGTGCCGCCGGGTCTGCGAATCGGCTTGGTGGTGTGGGTTCGACCTGTCTCGTCTCGCTCGACTTGATGCGTAGATGGAAACCGCGGCATTTGGAGCCGCATCGTGCCCTGGCCATGCCGAGCCATCCGGCCCCAAACCCGCCCAGATATCATCCCTGTGGCTCTCCTCCCACCCCACTCATCCTTCGTCTGCATCCTGCCAGTGTACGTCTCTGCTCCGTTCGAGGTTGCCCAAGCTCCTTCGTTCAATCCGCAGGTATTCCGGCCTCCACCCACTGAAGGTGCGTCCGTCGCGCCAGCCGGACATCTCACAACCCCATGCATCCCCTGGCATTGGGATCGACGCCTCCATTGGCACTGAGATCGACGCTTCCATTGGCGCCGGCATTGACATAGAATCGCCAATCCGTCTGCTTCCTACCCCTCAGACGAGAAGCAGTGCACCTGGTGGAGGGCCAATTCTGAGGGTACCTTCTACGAGGGATATGAGGAAACCATCGAGTATTTGAAATCGTATGTTTTCACATGTGATTTCCGAGGCAGCAGTCGGCATCATTGGCTGAGAGCCGGGGCTGAAGACGATTTAGGCGACCTCGACCATCAGCACCGGTATCGTGGGCAGTCTTTGGAGACAGAAGACCACGGCCATGACGGGCCGCAATCGGCAGTGTGTCTGACGCTGAGTAAATCTTGCGCTGCGTGGCAGGTTCTGGCAGGAGCATGGCCCCTTTGACGGCATCTTGGGATTCAGTCAAGGTATGTTTCGGACCGAGCCAAATCCAGGCCACTTCGATGCCCATTCCGTTGCGCTGCTCTCTCACCGAGTGTCGGAGGGAAAGTCCCGATGTGCTGAGCCATGTTGTTCTCCACAGGCGCTGCGCTGGTGCCCTTGATATCGTACGAGCTCCTGCAGGCTGGTCTCGCTCCCCGATTTGTGGTCATATTCTCAGGGTTTCGATCGCGCTCGACGCAGCACCAGCAGATGCTCGTCGAGCACAGCATCTCGATCCCGTCGCTGCATGTCATTGGCAAGAGCGACGCCCTGATTGTCCCGTCGCGATCGGAGGAGCTCTCTCGGGTGTTCCATGACCCCAAGGTCGTCTTTCACGAGGGCGGGTAAGCAAACATAGCATCTGGCGTGTACGAGATCCGGCGAGACTCCTATCGAGAGCGGCAAGACAGCTCGGACCAGGTCGTATCGATATACGAGCACATCTGGAGTGTGCTAGGCCTAGTTCGCCTCGAACTTGCTGCACAGGACACCAGGCAGATCCAGGAGCATCCCGTACTGACTTCCACTCAATGTCCTCGTTGTCGCTCTGAATGCGCAAAGTCACTTTATTCCCACGGATGCCGACCAGAGAGCCATCTACAAGGAATTCATCGGCCAGTTTGCCACCAAGAGTTTGCTGTGAAAGGCCAAGCCTGCCGCAAGAAAGCCAAGATTGTTGTGAACAGGCCACCGGGCCTGTGCCCTCATCCCAGCATCCGCCGCTTGGTTCCTCCCCCGTTGCGAAGCGGTTGGGTGACTGCCGTCGCTCGGATCTTGTAACGATGAGTATCTTACGAATGGATCTCAACAGTGCTCTGGCCATCGTTGCCAGTCGACAGTAGGGTCGTGGCCGGGCTCGGCTGATCCATGCCATTCGGAACCGAGGCAGAGCCCTCTCTGCGCTCGCCGTTATCGTGTCGGGATGACTGCAGTGACCGATGCACCTCCCTGAAAAACCCGATCCAGGTGCGACTGCTTTGGGTGGCGGCAGTGCCGATGTTGTCGTTGGCATCGGCCCCGCTTGCGAGCGTCGTCTCGGAGCCGCTGCCAGAGGATGTGCCGGCCTGGAGTTCGACCACGTCCTGCTTGCAGATGGGGCACAGGCGGGTGTGCTTGGTCAACCAAGGATCAACGCTGAGATATGGAATGGGTGCCGCCAGACCAAGCGATGCCGGATCGGTGATGTCCGGCCACCACACCGGAACAACGATATCAACCGACCGCGATACAGCCATTCCAGACAGCATCGCCACAACGACGATGAATCCAAGCGACCGTTTGGCAGAAACATGGACGAGATAGGGCAGTTAGCAACCTGGTGACACTGTTTATCCGGGCTGGGACACCGTAACCAGGAGTGGCCTGTGATTCAAGACCCTCGCTGTTGTGGAAAGTAGCATCGGGGTGGCAGCCGTTGCCAAAGGGATGCACATGCGTTCATCGCATTCGGTTGGCCTGGACTCACCAAGTATCGTGAAAGTAGTGGCGACACGGCAGCTCACGGACCCGGCTGCCGCACTCAAATTCCTCGATGCATATCGCACAGCACTCTTTGCCGATGCTGAGGCCAAGCTCAAGGAGCCGCTCGTTCTCGGCCAAAGATTCCTCGGAGCGCCGGGCATCCAGGTCTTCGTTGGTGATGACTTTGATGGGCAAATCCACTGTCTTGAGCTTGGGCGGCACGGGGGGCCCCTGCAGCTCGTAGATAATGATGCGGCGGTAGAGCAGGTAGTTTCGGCAGATGGTCACCACCAGGCAGGTGAGAATCGATGCCCATCCGCAGAGGACAAAGACCGTGACCAGGAAGAAGATATCACCCCAGAACCCAGAGTCACCATGGGTGAAGTGGTCGGCGTTGTCGCGGTACCAGGACGGGGCAATGCCGGGCGATGCTGTGACAACCAGGCGGCTCTGATGGCCAAAGAACCCTTGGATGGTGGTGTGGGCTTCCTTGAGCAGCAATCCTTGAAAGTGTGAAATGAAAATGGACCAGATGTGGATCTGGTCTTGCAACTTGGGCTCTGAGCTGGCTGCCATGCGGACGGGGAGGTCGATTCCGGAGAGCGACCGCCGGCCGTCGTTGTAGATGACGGCTCCTGCAAAGCCGGCCTTTTGGATGTTGAGTACCTTGACATCGAACGGACACTTGCCGCGCATCACCAGCGCCAACCACCCGAGCGAGGCTTCCTCGCTGGCCGAGAGGTTATGTGGTTGGGTCCTAATGATGTTGCTGAAGCGAGAGTCTTTGTTGTTTGGCAGCGTGACGGAGAAGGGCTCGCAAGCATCCGTCGATAGTGGATAGATTGGGAAAGCTTGGGTCTCGGTCAAGGGAACCCCAAAGAGCGCAGGGATGCCGACTGTTGTTTTGTATCCCTCCGAGACCTCCAGGACGTCGCTCGTGATGGTGAGGTTGACGGTGGTGTCGAGTAGAACTGGTTTGTAGCTGGCACGGCAGCTGGCGATGCTGAGCCATGACACAATAGCGAGTGTCAGGATGAGAGACATGATTTCGACCCTGGACATGTACTGAGTTCTTGACAAGGAAGTAAGTGATTCTGAATCGAGCTGGACAGCAGGCTGGTTCGGTCAGCGCGGATGCGAATGTGGCTGCTGCTGCGATGGTCAGAGCGCTGGCGATGGGTTTCCAGGTTTGGCTTGGTGCCGCTGAAGCAGGATGTATATCGACAGAGTCGTCTGCAAATCGTAAATGTCGGTGCCAGCCAGCCTGAGACGGATGGGAGATGAAGTGGGAGGCGACCGTCGTTGCCGAGGGTGTATCTGCTCTTGGGGGCTTATCAGCCGCTTGCCCTCGCTGAGGACTCTGAGAGTTTGGCTGATTGCTGTTCGGAGGAAGGAAACGGTTCGGTGGATGTGCTGCCCTCCAGCACCAAACATTTCTGAGCAGACGTTTCCAAATCGAAGCGATATGCCCTCGAGAGGACGCAGGATGCCTGCGAGGGGGGGGGATACTGTGCGATCCGAGACGACGCAAACCTAATGCCTGACAAAGCTGCATGCGTTTGTGTGGCGATTGGAGAGGACCCTCGAGTATGCTGTTTGAGTTGGTGGGGACGCACTACCGCTAAGCAAAGGGATGATGCAGCAAGAAAAGTGATGTCAACTCGATAGTCAGAGAAGCGGGCGTTGAGCACACCGGTTGATTCAACTGTCGATACAGTGCCAATCAGCGATGCAAAGGCAAAACAACACTCGATGGCGGAGGAGGTGGCAATCTGACTGTGGGAACGATGTGGCCAGGGCGAGCTGCGATTGCGGCCGAAGGCGTGATGAGCCCTTGAACACTTTGGTCATTGTCCGAATGGTTTGTTACCCAATGTTATCGCGGGCTGGTCATGACCATTCTGTGATGCGGTGCAATACCATCATTCATAGCCAACGCAAAATAGTCTCGACGAACGAGTTCAACACCTCGCAAGTATGCTCCAAGTGCCTGGGCTGACCACTTTGGCAATCTCCGGATGAAGACTGCGAGTCGCCAGTCAGATCTGTCCAGATCCATCCTGATGTTGATCGGGGTGGGGCACGGTTGCTGCCTGCGCCGGTCTGTGCCCTCTCTCACCCCATCTGCCCGGATTCTCGCTTCCACACTATGAACCTGCACAACCAAGATCGTGAAATTCGGGTCGACGTTGTTCCAGGGTAACTTCACGCTCGCTTTATTGCATGATGTACTCTGCTTGTTCTCGGTCTGCACGCCAGTCGTCACGGCAGCCTCCTTCTCACGATTAATCTTGCATCGGCCATTCTGAAGCCATCGACTCTTCGTCGGCGAGGAAATTGTCACATCCTTGGATGGCGTCGAAGACTCGAAGGGCGTCTCGAAGGATCCTGGCTCCTTTGTGGTGACCACCCTGCGTCTGCTCTGGACATCGAACCGAAACTCCCGCCGTAACCTGAGTAATGCGTCCATGCGCTTGGGAGAAGGTGTTGGTGTTATGAGCACCAATTGAGACTCTTTCAGCCTCAGCGAAGCATATTTCGACAGCAGTACTTCCTGCACGCATGGGACATTGCACACTTCGTTCGCCATATCCTGCCAAAGCCAAAGTTGCGGCCTCGATCGATCCATATGCTCACTCCTCCCTTCATGCCGCACGCGCTTCCGTTCTGGGTATCCGAATCGAAAAACCAAGGTATTGGATACCACACCATTCGTGCCATCTCCATCCAGCGCTCCGAATCCAAGCTCTACTCCGCACGGGAGAGTCTCTGTCTATCGTGCCGGCAGCGCGGGAGCGATGGCAAGTTCGAGTTTCACTTCACGGTCCGTGGCGAAATGCTCTCGCAAGCCGGCTCCCTGTTTGCGACGGTGGTCGGGATGCACAGGTAAGCATTGATCCAGGTCAGCACTGGTCCAGATGTTCGCTGGTCTGCGTCTTCGCGGACACAGGCAAATCCGTCAGTCTGGACCTCCAACCGCACCTGGCTGACACAATTCCCACGCGTCGTTCATGTCGATGGTCCGTGGTGCTTGTCTCCATCCGCCGCACTCCATCCGCCGCAGGGCCTATTCCTCGAGTCGGGTGTATCGCGAACCCAGGCTCCGCAGCTTCGTAATCACCAACGGCAGTCTGAACCTCCTTCCTGGCGAGAACATTTGCGAGATCGTCGAGGGTGTTTGGAATCTCTCGAGCGAGAACGGCAACCTCGGGGTGCTGCACATCACCAACATCCGAGTGGTCTGGCATGCCGTCTCGGACGAGACGCTCAACTGTAGCCTCCCGTATCTTCAGATGGTGAGCGGGTGCCAGGATCGAATGAGCTCTGAGCTGATCCGAGACTTGAAATGCTACCCCACTTTCTCCCACAGCCGTTCTTCTCATTGATATGCTGTCTCCGCTGTCCCGCTGTCCCTGCGTTCCGTCCGTTCCCGAGACCAGAAACGCATAGTGACGCAGGCTTCAAAATACGGGACGGCTCTTGCGATCCATTCGGTCTATGAGCAGCGAACCATGGTTCTCGGGTTCCGCATCGATCCCGCCGAGAAACTCAAGAGAATCGCCGATCTGATTCTGAGACTCTGCGAGATCTATCACGAGATGCCGATATTCGGAGTCTGGTTTGAGGTCGATCCACAGTCCCAGGTCGGTGCGCTCTCTTCCTCTTCCAAATCGCGATTACAGTTGGTGGATATGTGTGGTCCAAGTGCATCCCGGTTATTAGACTCTTGCGATCCGATATTCGCTTCTGGTGGCTTCGAGTCACTCCTGCATCGAAACTACATCGACGCTGGTCCGGCACAACTCTGATCCAGACGCTGACTGAGTGTGTATATGCCGTCTAGGTCACCGAGCCCTCCGTACGCCAGTTCAAGACCCCGCAGGAAGATTTGGCCATTCTCGAGCCATCGCCGGAGATGGGCCACTTTGAGGTCGAGGACCCCACCCCTGGGCACGATGTGTCGCCACCACCGCCATCAGCGCCGTCGATCGTTTGGTCACCGGAGCTGGGCCTGGCAATCGAAATGCCTGCGCCAGAGCAGCCCTCAGTTTCCCAGCTCTGGAAGAATGCGTAGCCCGAGGTTCAAGGCAGCCCAGAGATTGTGCCAGCGGCATCGCAAAGTCACCCCGCGCCGATAGTCAGCGACGGCGTTGTTGTCTGGATTGTAGATTGTAAATGCACCCGTGTACTTGTCACCCGCAACCACCATTTCACAAGACTCAAACCTCCCCGCCAGTTGTCGAAGGGGGGTCAAAGTCCTGCTCTGTCTCCGACACGCTTGGATAGTTTCGGCAACACGGATTTGTACATTGTTCCCGCCCTGCCGATACGAGATATACAGATCTGACGAGCAAATAAGCAGCAGCGCAGCATGGTGTTTTGGTGTGCCATGATGCAAACGGCCCTCTTTGCATCAGCGACAAGGGCAGGACTCGGATCTAGCACTGGATAATCTCGAACGGGCCAAGCGGCTGGTTGTTCTTGAGCCGCAGCCGCTTCTCAGTCCGGGCTCGGTCTTTCAGATTGACTTGGCTGCGGTCCGCCAGGATCTGGGTCCCTTCCTTGCCGTGCATCTCCAGGATCTTGCGCCACGAGGTTCCGTGAATCCTGATCCCATCCTCGAGTGCCTGCACCTCTTGCTGGGTCCACGGGCGCGACTTGCGGCGTCGGACGATCTGTCGGCTTGAAGGGCTGGCTTTGCGATCCTCGCGTGGGCTATTGGTAGCAACCAGTGGGGTGAACTTGGGATGAAGCGGGAAGGGGCTCACGGCATACTTTTCGTCGTCAGAGGGCGGCGCTTCGCTGTCGCTGGGAACCGACATGATCGATGCTCGAGATTAGGAAGCGGAGCCGTTTGCAACGCGACGGAACTGGGTTGTGGCCCTATGTTGCAATCCCACGATACAGCCAGAGGAGTAACAGCGACAATGTGGATGTCTGCCCAAGGGACCGATCGCACCCACCTGATAGGATCGTTGTAGCTGTGGTCTGACTCGTTCTCGGACTGTGAGTCGATCAGCAGCGGCCGGTGAGGGTGATGTTGGCCATGTGGAGACTTTGGCGGGCTGGTGTGCGAGCGTCGGGCCATGGATCTGCGCTGCGGGGTGTGCACCTCCTCCCCGCCAGAGTCCGGTCGTTGCTGCATTGGCTTCTGCCGTTGCGGCTGTGACTGTTGCTGCTGCTGTTGCTGCTGCTGTTGCTGGGGTGATTGCCCTGCTCGCTCACGATCCAAGGCAAAGAACAGAGCCGACTTTTCATAGTACTCGTTGTCCGAATCGTCATACTCGTTGACCTCGACTGGGGCGTTATCGATCCTGGGCGAATCGCGGTGAGCAAATGCTGCTCGTTCGGGCACCGCCGGTGGCTGCGATCTGGCTGTGTGGCTTGATTCTCGCTGCTGCCGTTGGAGGATAGATGTCAATACCGAGGTCGACTCCATGCCAACCAATGGACAGAATGCGGTGAGAGGCTGTACCTGCAGCAGCAAAGGGAGTTCCATCTCGCCGCAAGTCAGGGCCAGAAAGGAGAATATCAGGTCAAAGAACGACACAACGGCAGCGGCTTGATCAACGGTGTATTCTCCGGATAGGATCTAGGCAGGTGGGGGGGGGGCGAAACAGCATGGGTTAGCGGTGGAGTAGTTTGCTGACTTGAACAACATAATGGACATCACGGATGCCGTCATGTATGCCGTCATGGACGCCGTCGTGGATGCCAGTGCGAGCACCAATACTGGCAGCAACATGGGCGTCACATCGGAGCAACCGACGGTGAGGTGGCTGGTTCAAAGCGAATGTTCGCTCTCCATACCAGATCGCGGACGTTGTTGCTGACGGCGTAAAAGTCGCGGGCGGGCATGGTGAGATGAGAGCTGGAGATGTCGTTGAAAGGAAAGATCCGATCGAGCAGGTCCTTGTCGGGCTCGGATTGCTTCAGACGGCGATAAACCTGCCGGACGTCAATGGCGGGTCGTCAGTTGCTGGTGGCTCCGGACGGCGCTGTGCCAAGCGAGGACGACGGCCGCTCCTGTCATTTGACAGTAGGGCATCCGGCTGGCTGTGCGCTATCGAGACGTTTGGCTGACAGGCAGACCCCGCCACCATCATCAGTCCGAGGAAACACCACCGCAGTCCCTGATCCAAGCTCCTGCCATGTCGATCGGTGGTATCGGCTTGAAGGTCGGTGATCCTTGGGCTGATCCGATGGCAGTGGTCTGGATCAGGATGGCCCAGCGCGCAGCCCTACCTGATATTTGAAGTGAGTCAGGAGGGCATAGTATTCCGGATCATCCCGCTCTATGTTCGGGATGTGCTTGTGCGAGACAAAGATATTGTAGGCCTCGGTCCAGACAGCGCCGCTGTTGTCGTGGGGCTTGTCTTCGAGCAGCTCTCTCAAGAGCATCGCCAACTTGAGTATGTGTGCCCGCGAGACCAGCACCGGATCAAAACTCTCAGGTGTGCGGAGACACTGCTCGAATGCGGTGCTGGCTGCAAAGCAGAGACGAGGGACACGGCAGGGCAATGGCAAAATCAGGTCAGGTCAGCAGGATCAGGAAACGGCCAGCAGAAGCCGATGGCCGACTGGATGAGGGTCTGAGATGGATTGGATGTCGATCGATGTCATGGATCGGCAGCAGTGAAGAGAAGCAGGGCGATCGACGATTGCGGGGCAGCATATCCGCGAGCGATGGTGGGAGAGGGGATGCTGGAGTCCATATGGATCGGGCCGGATAGCTCTCTGGACGCACCGAGGATGCTCTGGAGGTTGTCGTTGGCGACGCGCAGGGCCATTTCCTCGTCCCGGAGCCCAAGTTTGCTGGCGAGATAGCCTCGCACGGGCTGGCCAGTTCCGTCGGGAGCATGGAACTTGCGCACCAGCAGCACATCCAGAACGATGAAGAGCTTGAGATCGAGAGACAGCGAGATCGCATCCATGATCAGACTCATTCTCTTGCGGCACTGTCGTCGTGGCGGATGCGGTGCGAGCTGGTGGACGGGGAGGAACCGGGTGAGGCGGCCTGGGAGGGGGGAAGACGGAGAGCAAGGGCACGACGGATTTGGGCGGCAAAGAAAAGGCAGCAAAGCCGGGACGGCTGGCGAGGCCGACCAAAACCCAGACGCTGCCTTGGCCCTCCCGCCGCCCGGGGACATGCATTGCATCGGATCTCATCGCATCGCATTGTATTGCATAGCATCGCATTGTATTGCATAGCATCGCATTGTATTGCATCGCATTAACCCGGCACCGCCCGGGCATCCAGAGCAGCGGTCCATGTCGGGGCCGGGAGGGAAGTGTTCCTGTCCAGTCCCAGGCAACGACGTGACACAGGCCGGCTGCAATGCAACAAAAACCGTCGCATCGGGGCCAGGACAGGACCGCCCGGATCAACCACCGTCAAGCGCATCTCCAATTCACTCACTCCCGCTGCCCGGCTCGCATCGATAGTCGAAACAGCCATGTCCACCTCGTGCGGCATCGACGAGCCCGTTATGGTCAAAGGTCTGAAACCAGCCACGGCTCCTGGGGCGCTTTGGCTATCGCTGGTGGACCGATGCTGTCGATTGGCTCTGTTCATCGTCGCCGCCGATTGCGATGCACTGATTCAACTTCCTGCTCGGACTCGCTGTGTCTTTCGCCCGATCCGCCATGGTCTGCCCCGTCGACAGAAGCGAAGCCCGACTCCAAGATCTGCGCCAAATGCAAGATCGAGAGGGCGGTTGTTCTGGCCAGACGAACGATCTGGTGTCGGTCGGTATCGTATCCGCACGGAACCAGCGGCTCTCCGCCATCCGTTTCGGCAGCGCAATGTACCCTCTAGCTATCGCTTTACTCAGAATCAACTCGTGGGCTGATCCTTCCACCTTGGCAACTGTGGACCTTTCTTTCTTTGGCCTTATCCCATCTCCACTCGGACAGATCTTGCTTCATCAGCGCACTCATCCACCGCTTCCGCATGAATATCCTCAAGGGCAAGCTGGTCCCGAGCGTCATGGGCGGCCTCAAGATCATGATTGCCTTCTCGGGCGGGCCGAGCTCGAGGCAAGTCTCTGCCTGTTGTCTAGGGAGTGGGGAGGGCGATCGCTGTCGTTTTTCTCGCTCTCATTCAGCTCTCGGCACTGGCAATGGCGAAGTGAATCACTAGGATTGTGCGGACTGCCGCCTTGTATGGGCAAAGCTGTGGCAATTTCGCCGGGCTGTTGAGTACTAACTCGCTTGCCGCAATGGGGCCGTCACAACCATAGCACCCTGTTGCATGCGGTCAAGGATTTCCACAAGTCTGGCGATCCACGAAAGCCGATGCGATTCGGCGAGATCGTCGTTTGCCACATTGACGAGTCCGAGGTTATCCCGCTCAGCGAGGCAGAACGAGCGCTGATGGAGGAGGGCTTCGCTGCGATCGAGGACAAGTACTACAAGGTTGCTCGGGTGCCGCTCGAAGACGTCTTTGGCGAGGGCGATCCGGACAGCTGGCTCTCGTTCGCCGAGTCGGCCACGGCGGAAGGTATGTCAGGAGCACCACCATCAGATCACTCTGCGTCCAGTGTGTGTTGTTGTTGGGCACTGCCGCTGCATCACACTATCTTCAAACCTATACAAACCCCGACTCGCAGACCCGACCGAGACCAGCACTGTGTTCTGCAACACACACGCACACCCCGGTCTCATCCGGCTCATGCTCCATTTCTCACTTGCATCTAGATGTCGCCAAGATGCGGATGGTCCTGTCGTCGGGGTCGCTCAGCAACAAGGAGAAGCTCCGGGCTGCCTTCGGAGCCATCACCAAGATGACGTCTCGTGAAGAGCTGCTGCGATATCTGCGACACAAACTGCTTCTGCAATGTGCTCGGCGCGAGCAGTAAGTGCGATCTCTAGGCCCGTCGGTCTGCGCATAAAACTTGTCGCTTCAAGTCTGGCTCTAGTCTCCATGTCTATGGATCAAGCAGCACCGGTGTTTTCGGCTGAAGCGAGGACTGTGCAAGAAAATGCAGAGGCTTTGTTTCGGTTCTAACAGGGGTCATCTTTTGTGGCAACAAACAGGTGCGCTGTTCTTCTGCTTGGCGACAGCAACACCAGGCTGGCCATCAACGTGATTGCGAACACGAGCAAGGGACGGGGATTCGCCCTCCCTGTCGACGGTGCTATCGAAACGAACTGGTACAAAGGTGAGTGGCTCTCGGGCTGAGGCGTGGGTCTGTCCGGTTGCGACAACCATAGCCGTCCACAGTCGTTCACAGCCCACCATCCAACGCCGCTCGTGTGGTCCTATCCGATCTCCTTCATCAGATGTGACAGTCGTTCGCCCTCTGCATGACGTGCAGGCCAAGGAAATCGGCATCTTCAACCATTTCATGGACATTCGGCCTCCACTGTCGGTCTCGCTGACCTCAAAAATGCCCGTCAAGGCCAGCATTGACCGCTGCACCGAAGGTACCGCCATCGCCACAGATCTCCTCCGCTCAGCTCCCCGGGCCTAGGAGGGCGCTGATATGCTGTCGCTATCAGAAATCTAGATCGCTGCAATGTGCTTCGCGCCGCCCGGACTGGATGGTCTGACGGTGATCGCAAAGGCAGCTGACCGCCTGGTATGATGGTGCTCTCCAGAGTTTATCGTGGCGTTGCAAAAGGACTTTCCGTCAACGGCAAGCACTGTCACTCGCACAGCCCACAAGGTGACCACTCGGTTCACCGATCGCGATATCTTGCGCTGCTCCATTTGCGAAGGGTAAGTGGCGCACATGCCCATCTCATGCTGGGATGCTGCTTGCTGGTGCTGTTTGTCGCACCGGCTGTGGAATCGGTTCATCTCAAAGTCAACGATCGTGCATTCGCTCACTTCCTCCTCCTTATTTTCATGCGGCCAATACTCTACCCCCCTCCCTCTTTGGCCTCGGCCCTCCAGTCCCGTCCAGAATGATGCGCACCGCTGGCGCAGCCATCGAACCGTTGCAACTCTTCCGCCCCATCGCGACGACACCAGCGACAGCCCCGACGACCTCATCCGGCAGCTCTGCTACTCCTGTCAGAACCTGGCACGCGACATCAACCGCGACTTTATAGCCCCGACCTTTGTTCGGGACGAGTCCAATCTCGAGCGCCTGCGTGCCCGGATTTCTGACTTTATCCTGAGTGATGACGAGCAAGGCGATCAAGGCGATCAAGGCGATCAAGGCGATCAAGGCGATCAAGGCGATCAAGGTGATCAAGGCGATCAAGGCGAGCAGAGCGAGAAGAGAGCGACGGCCACCGGTCCCGCAGATGACGCGGTGATCAGCACGGCCGTCAGTCAGCCGCAGCAGCCGGCTGTGCGAATAAATGACATCGAGGACAGTCCAACAGGCACGAAGGCCCACCATGGCAAGCGGGCACCCAAGATTCGCAGCTCTCGCCGCTGAGCGAATCGTTAGTAAGCAAGTAGTGTAAGCAAGCGAATGAATATACACCATATTTATGTTTCCTGGCGAAAGAATCGCCTGGGGAGGCCTCTCCAGGGAGTCACTCCGTGAGATGCCATTTCCATTTATGATGAACTATATATTTCCAAAGTGAACAGCAGCAACAAACGAAAACGTAATCGAAGCACAACAGGCGGAGTTCTAGTGTGTATGCGAGGAGAGAGAGGGTGAAGAGTGGAGCCGAGTTTAGACCGGCCGCGAGGCAGAGTGGCGGTCGATCGGGTCCGTGTAAATGAGCGGGTGGGAGATGGGGAGAAAACGAGAAGATGGTTGCGGAAGGGCGGATATATATGGATCAATAGTTTGGAGAGATGAATAAATGGATGAGCGGGAAATGTGCCTGCACGCTGTTGCTTCGTAGTTCAGGTGTTTTGTTGTGTTGTGTTGTGCTTTCAGAGTCTCTATGAACAAACTACAGATGGCTTGCGATGAAATGATTGCGGTAAAGAAACAATATTGGGACGTGAACATGGATAGAGAAGGAGATATAGGAGCGAGAGATAGGAGAGAGAGAGATAGGAGAGAGAGGCAAAGGCAGTAGAGCACAAAGTAACAAAAGAAACCGAGGGGGGGAGGATTGATCCTGCGAATGGCCGCGTGTGCGGCGGTGCTATTGCTTCGGCGGGTAACCTGTGAGGAGCGGGAGCTTTGTCCGACTGCACGACATTGCTGAGAGCGAGAGTTGGTAGTGGCGCAGTACGATCTGGCAGACATGCAAGTCTGCGACGGGGGGGGCGAATAGATTGGGGTCTTGGTCGAGAGTGAGGGGCGGTATTGATGCTGGTACCGGAGGTGCTCGGAGGTTTTGGGATGTTCCCATCCATGACGGATAAGAATGGCGCCGGGCGAAAGGAAGAACATATCGAAGAGACACCGTATTGGGCCAAACTGGGTTTGCTGGAAGGGGCTGATCACGGCGGCAGTCGTTTCGCAACTACCTGCAGCAGGAAGATCGTCATTGACCAGGAGTTGGGACGGAGAGAGCAGACAAATAGAGACGCGCGGGAGAGGGAGACGCTGAGAGGAGAAGTTGAGGTAAGGAGGCGCACTGGTAGATCAAATGTGAGGCTTGTGTCAGACTCCGAAGGGGAGAGCCCCAGGCATTTAGGAGATGATGCAGTGCTTCTCACGATCGCGGGACCGGTTCTCGCGGTCGTTGCGGTCGCCGCGGTCGCTGCGATCGCTGCGTTCGTCACGGGCATATGGACTTGAGAATGGTCCTGGGATCAAGCTGGTGTCGGCACCCTCCTTCATCCAGGTCGACAGCAAGCGCCAGACCGTGATCCAGGCCCAGTCGACTTCGTGGGACCACTTTCCGCCTGAGGATGAGCAAGCCAGGATGAGTAACGTGGGAAGATGGTTGGCGGCAAGCGGAGGGAGGGATGGATGGAGTGATAGATGGAGGGATGGATGAACAACGGGGTTGGTAGTGGTTGACTACAGCAGGAGGATGGACACAGCCTGCATCCCTGTCGTCGCCACCAAAGCGCCTTCCGACTCTGCCTGCTCTGACTTACGGATGATCAGGAACTCACGGACGGTACCGACGAGATTCCGACCCATCGTATCGTACATGTCCGGGGTGACCTTGTAGACTGCGGGCAGAGGGGGGAGGACGGGAACGAAAGGGTCAAATCGATGCAGGCAGATTCTCCGTTGGCTGGGGGAAGCGCTATCATACGATGTGGGGGTCTTTGATCAATCGAGCAACAGCACAGTACGAGGCATGTGCCGCAGTGTGGATCAAACTCCGGTAACTTGCATCGGATACGTACTGTGGAAGTGCCGGTATCCGAGGTGGCGGGCGGCATCCATGCCGAGCTCCATGCGATCGACATCGCGGACAATCTTCATGAGGATGCCGGAGAGGGCGGCACTCTGGCGAAAGACGTCCGGGAACATGTGGCGGTACTCTGGGTTGGAGACGAACAGGTTTTCATAGAAACGCATGGTGAACTGAGTGGCTGGATTGGGCTTGGTGTTGGTGTTGCCGGTGACCTCGGAGCGGATGGATTGGGTATCGGAGTAGGGCTGCACATACGAGCCCATGGCCGGGCAGATGCCCGGATGGGAGTCGACGCTGCCGGCAAACGAGCGAGAAGACACCAGGCGATTGGGGACCTTGTCGGGAATGGTGTTGTAGGTCGCGATTTGGACGACCCGCCCATTTGCGGGGCTGGGATACACCCTGTGGATGGACGTGGCGGAGGAGGTTGGCGGATGGCGAGAGAGATTGGGGCTGGTGTGGGCCACGGGGCAAAATTCGGGCATGGGCTCATGAATAGGGGCCTGATGGATCGAGTCTCCGCAAGACGAGGTCGTGGGAGATGGGTCCCGGTCTTCAGGGAGCGGGGTCAAGATCTCGTTCCAGGTCTGAGAGTGTCGAGCCAGGCGGAAGAGCAGAACAGAGACGATGGTCGGTGAGTAAGGCGGGACAAAGCGCAGAACAACGAGGGCATGGTGGGAGCAAGACACACGGCGAGGCACACGACGAGGCACACGGCGAGGAGTGGCAGTAGCCGGGGGATAGAGTAGATCGAGATGACAATGTGGTAACAAGGCGATTTGTTGGGTTCCATGTCGATCGAAAGAGCAGTAACATCACGCGTGGTGAATACGCATGGTACGGCGGTGGTGAGACTGTTCGCAGGCACTAACCTGACGGATGATGATGCACTCTTCGCGAGTGGGATAGACGTAGTTCCCGCGGGAATTCATGGCGTCGAGCGGCGTGGGATGTGGGTATGGGATGTGCGGACGGGTGGTCGTGGCAGCAGGGTCAAAAGTCAAACGCTATGGCGATGGGCGAGGGCAGACCAGAGCAAATTATAGGCCAGACGGGGTGCCAAGACAGGGCGATTGCGGACGAGGCGATGGACGGTGGGTCGGAGCGACAGGATGACTCTGGTGCTGGGGCGGTGGGTCATCTTTTATGGGGGGGGGCCCATGGAGCGATGAAAATTTCTGACAACGGCCACGGGCGCGGCGGGCAGAGTTGGTGCTCGGCCCGGCGGACAGTCCTTGTGCCGGGGCTTTGTGCGGTACCGCAGTGGCGGCGTCTTTGCTGGGGAGGGGCGACAAGGCGCCTGGCCTGGGCGAGATTGATGTAGATGTAGATACATGAGTGAGATGTGGATTAATGGGTGAGATGTGGATGGGATGTGGATGAGATGTAGATACATGGGTGAGATGTAGATACATGGATTGAATAGATTCATGGATAGAAAGATAAGATAGATGCACACTGAGTGCTGCGCTTAACCATACCAGCAGGCAATGCCGGGTGGGCGGTGTCAATGGCGCTGTGGAGGAATTTGTGGGTGGCGGGCGGGTTGCGTTGCGGGAAAGGCGTTTGGATGCGCCGGGGATGCGGCTTGGAGGCATTGCGATACCGGTTGCCGTTGAATATGGGGCATCGAAAGCAGACGGCGGTGCTTCGGGGTGTTGACCACTCGATGCTAACAACAGCGATTTAACACTCAAGTAACTCTGGCGCTTAACACCACCCACGGCGCTTAACACCTCCCACGGCGCTTAACATTGCCCACAGCGCCTTGCACCCAGGAGGTACAACGGCCCCGAACGCTGCAGCCACTCGTGGCCAGACACCCACCGGCGGCGCACCGCAGCAGGTTTGCTCATCGTCCGTCACGCCCGTTGCCGATCGCACCACGTTCGCCGCTCTCGGGCCAATGTTGTCCGGGATATGCATCAATGCCTGTTGTCGCCGGCGCTGCCCCCCTTCCAGACATCGGGCCACGGCCCGCCCCCCAACCGCATCGTGCGTCCGGACGAGCGATGCCGAATGCATCATCCCGCAGCACCAGCAGCACCAGCAGCACCACCAGCACCACCAGCACCACCAGCAGCTCTGGGCCGCTGTCAGCCCGGGCATTATCGCTGTGCTCCTTTGGTTCTTGCTGCAGATCCGCCTCAATTTCTTGTCACCCGCTGGCGCCCCTGCTCTCGGCCATGCCTGCGATTTCTGGGCTTGTCTGCTGCTGCTGCTGCTGCTGGTCGCCTTGCTCGCGCTGGGCCGTTTTCCCGATGCCGAGTGCAGGCCCCCCGGTCTCCCCCAAGCCCACGCCTGGCTTCGATCACCGTGCCTTGTCGCCAGGACACCCCGCCCAAAGAAGGCCGGCCCTTTCCCGTCTTCGCTGGCCCGTGCATATGCCACCGCAAGCATCCCGCCAGTCGCCCACCAGCTTGCTTGCTCGCTTGCTTGCTCGCTTGCTTGCTTGCTCCCGCCCAGACGCACAGACACCCAGCCGGCGCACAAGGGGCACTGCGTTTCGCCATTCTGCCAGCCTCTCCGTTGCTGCTGACCGAGCATGACTCAGGGTCCGTCATGGCCACGTGTGCCTGCCCCTCACCCCTTTCCGGCAAGCGCCGCGCACAAGCCCTGTGGTGCCAGCACAGCCACAGAACCAATCACGTGACAAGAATGGCATCACATGATGCAGCGCATGCACAGGCACACTCCCGACACAGAATCGCTTCATTTCCCGCCCAGCCTGCGGGCCGCAGCCGCCGTCCATCCGTCCGCCCGCCCTTTGCCCATGAATGCGCTTCTTTCGCCCTCGTCGCAAAAATATCGCACCCGCTCCTCCCTGGCCCGTCGTTCTGGCCCGTCTTTCCGGCCCAACCACTGTCCGTCTCGGCTCCCTTTCGACCGGCACCGCGGTATGTGCTGCCGCTCTGTCGCCGCTGCCCAGTTTGCTAGGGCTCGATCCTGTCTGTTCTTGCAGCGCTGCGTTTACGCTGCCTGTCGCCGCCTTCCCCCTGGCTCCGTTCCGCCTCTGCGCTGGAGTCAGAGTCCATAGCCAAGCAGGGCGCTCGTGCCTGCAGTCCCTGGCTTCGCCGTCGGCAAGCGCTCTCGATGGCTTCTTGATCTCACCCGACTCTGCTCATGGTTCCGTCTTGTCCAGTCCACCTCTCCTTCCTCAGCCCGCCATGAAGCTGTCCCTCTTGTCTCTGGCTCCCAGCTTCGCCACCATCTGGGTCGGCCTCCTGGCTCCCTCCTCCGTTCAAGCCCAGGCCACCAACATCTCTGCAGCCCTCACAGACCTGTGTTCGCAGATGCCCGGCATGCCTGGCTGCACCCTGATGAACCTGTGTGCCCAGAACAGCAACGCCATCGCCAGCCCGTACTGCTCGTCGCAGTCGCTGTTCACCGACATCTGCGTCACTGACGGCATGGGTCGCATGTCTGGCTGCTCCTCCTACAACTCGACCTGTTCCTCCCAGACGTCTTCCTGCGTTTCGCCCTCTGGGATGCCCACCAGCCAGGGTCTGGCCCAGCAGATCTACTCCATCTGCACCTCCATGTCCATGACCAGCTGCCAGGCGTGCCCGACCCTGTCCCAGCCAAAGTCCTCGCCCCCGAGCTACTCGGACTGCGACATGTTCACCACCTACTTCAATCTGTGCAAGGAGATGCCTGGCATGCAGCAGTGCGCCATCTATTCCTCATTCTGTTCCGCCCATCCCGAGTTCACCCTCTGCCAGGTCTCCACCGCCCTTGACCCGCCCACGATGAAGATGTACTTCCACACCGGCATCCTGGACTATGTCCTCTTTGAGTCGTGGGTGCCCAGAACAACTCTGCAGTACATTGGCTACATCGTCGCCACGCTCCTGGTAAGCTTTGTGTACGAGGGCATCGTCGCCTACTCTCAGGTCTTGGAGAGCCAATGGAACCACCAGCTTCTGAAGGCCAAAGGTGAGTCGCTCCCGCCTGCTCGACTGTCCAAGCAAAGCCCTGGTCTGCTTCCTTGACAAGTGTCCTAACGATTTCTGCTGTTTATCGCACACAGGCGCCTTTGATCAAGAGCACTCGGTTTCCGCCAAGGGGCTGTCCGGAATCCAAAAGACCCGCATCACCCTCGTCCGCGGTGGACTGCGCTTCCTCACCACGACCCTCGGTTACTCCATCATGCTCATCACCATGACCTTCAACTACGGCCTGTTCTTTGCTGTCATCTTTGGCCTCGTTTTTGGTACCATGGTCTTTGGGCAGTGGAGCAAGGAGGCCATCACCAACCAGAGAATCCGCTTCTCCCAAGAGGCCAAGACCCAGTTCACGCTCACCTCGCTTCAGCAGGAGGACATCTCGGGCGACGACCATGCCTGCTGCCACTGAGCCCAGACGCCGAAGGATACCTGATCATTCGTGCTACACCTGTCTTACCCCCCTTTCCTTGACCACTCGACCAAAGACTCGATTATGGTGCTGTGATATGAACCCCTTCCATAAGTACCTTTGCCTCACTCCTTTACAACTTCCCAAAGCCATCTCCTCGCTTCCCCCGCTTTCCCACTCTTCCGTGGCCACGTTTCCGTTCTTACCACCGTTTCCCACACCCTTAAGCGCACTCGATGAGTCGCCGAGTGTCTGCCAGCTCGCCAGCGACACAGATGCTGGTTTCGGTGAATGCCGAGTAGCCGAAGGGTGAATAAAACTTTTCGATATGGCTGGATTGGCGGTGGTCCTTGATCCCACGAAATCCTCATATGTGCAACCGATGCAGCTCCTCTCAAAATACATCGCAACAAGTGTGAATCCAAGAGGGAAGTATCGTCTCTGGACTGCGGCTCCCTTTGCCTGTCGTTGGTCCGAAACGTGGCCGATATCTCAACGGCGACCGCTCGGGGAGCACTGTGGCTGCATCTCATCCTGATGCTGCTATGGGCTCTGGCACTCGGGGATGCCCATGGACAGCCGAGCGAGCAGTATCCCTGGTTGAGTGACGGCCGTGTGTGTGTGTGTGGACATATTTGTCCAAAAATGGCAACTGTTCTCGGCCTCGATTCCCGCCTTGCGACGAACCGCCAACCAACACGATTCTTGGGAGTCGTCTCCATCGCCGTCCCATCCGTCTCGTCCTGGATTCTGGATACCCGACTGCACAAACGCCAGCACCCAGAGCTCGACAGCGGCGCATCAATCGTCCGACAGTCCGTAATTACTATTTCAACTCACGCTCGGTCTACTGAGCCTCATCCCCAGCCGCATCCACAATCCTCTCCCCATGGCCAACAACGTCACCTCCAGCCTCGAGTCCATTCTGGGCCTGGTGCCCTGCGTGCTCGACTACATCGACTGCACCGAGGATCTGGCCTTTATCCAAGAGATCAAGGAAAAGTCGAGGCTAGTTGACGAGGCACGAAAGCGAGAGCTCGAGGAAGTCTCGTACCAGGTCAATGGTAGGGCGATCCCGATTTGCCTTGAATGGCCTTCTTTTGCCTTGGATGGCCTCCATTTGCCTTAGATGCTCGCCGAAGGCCCTTCACCGGTTCCTCTGAGCCTCATGGCCCCGGCCATTGGCTTGCTGGTATCGGGAGGATATATATCTGGTCATGGTCGAATCGCCCCACGGTCCGATCTTTGGCTCGAGTCTCTCTCGACGGCTGATGTTGACTCAGTTGCTGACCCGGAGACCCCCTTCCCAACCCAACTCTGGGCCCTTTGCTCGATGCCATCAATTTCACCCAATGTCGGTGTGGTGCGGTGTGGCACCTCGGCAGGTCTCACCCTCAAGCTCAATCTTGCTCAGGAGACCGTCAAACAGCTGAAGGCAACCCACGAGTCGGAGCAGTATATGGGCAAGATCATCGAGCTCGGCCGCAACCAGCTCAACACCGAGAAGACCACCCAGGATATTGAGAAGGCCATAGGATATCCTTTTTGTTACCTTCCTCCCCCTCCCCGCGTCGTCCCTCCACCGTATTGGCTGCCGACTGTGTTCTCGCCCGCTTGCATGGGCCCGGCACTCTGGCTCAGAGCGCAAGCATCGGTCGTTGATATCCTTAACTCTCCGTGTCCGACGGGCCGCTCCTTTCTCGAATACAGATATGGAAGAACAATATCGACTCATGACCGAGGAAATGAATCGTCTGGAGGAGGAAGAACGCACGCTACGGAACCAGCCCCCGCCCGCAGCAGGGTAGGTATCCGGTTTCCTCTGCATCCCCGAGAGACTGTGGTTCGACCAGGGCCGCGGTTCGTTCCTCCCTCCTCAGTTTCCTTTGGGTTTGCGTCGATTGGCATCTCCCAGAGGCCAGGGTGCTCGCTTGTATTGACTTTGCTACTTATTTATGTCCATTCGTCTCCATCCAGACTGAAGCTGAACATCTACCGCAAGCTGGGAGTTGATATGATCGAGGACGCCCGCGGCCATTTCAGCAGCTGCCAAGTGCGGTCGCCCATCCAAAACGATATCCACACCGTCGAATTCGACCCACAGTATTCCCAGTTCTTCTACGCCAACTACATCTGGGAGCTGGCATCAACATAAGCACATTCTTTTTTTTTTGCCTGCTTTTCTTCTCAAAGGCTCACTCCCTCGTTGCTGCCCCATACCTCCACACCTTCCCCTCGCTCACACACTCACATATCTTGACGCTGGGTCGAGCGTGAGAGAGTGAAGAGAGAGTGAATGTGCGGCAACGAAGGGAGGCATCAAAGATGAATGTCGTCCTGGCAGCGTGGCCGCCGCTCACTGACCAGCCCTCTGCACCGTCTGCACCGTCTGCACCGTCTGCACCGTCTGCACCGTCTGCACCGTCTGCACCGTCTGCACCGTCTGCACCGTCTGCACCGTGCTCCCCCTCTCTCCGGTTCTGTCGTCCCGCTGTCGCAATGTGATCTCGCTATCTCCATCCTGTTGACTGGCCTCTTTATCGCTCCTGTTTTTCGCATGGATGTCTCTGGTCGGGGTCTCTGGTCGGGGTCGGGGTCCTCCTCTCTCTTTCTCTGTGCATTCTCTGACCTCAGTCCGAATCCATCGCAGCGACAAATGAAAGCATAGATTTTTGAAAATCATCTTGGCCCTGGGGAATGGCCGCCTGCTCCCCCTACCCATTGGCACGCGGGCAGTGTCGTGATTCATGGGCCCTGTCGGATTCAGGATTTCTCAAAAGAGCACGGATTGTCTCTGCCCCGGGGAGCTGTGTGAAGAGATGTAAAGAGGTTGCTCAAAGTCAGAAGCGGCCGCTGGAGACGGGTGGGCAAAGGCGAACGAGTTGCGCTTCGACCACCAAAACGGAGGTTTCCCACGGCCTGTCCACCAAGATCTGCTCCGTTCCTCGCATTGCTCTAGCACGACTACCACCATTTCTCCAGCGGCTGCAATTGTGTCTCTCCACTGTCGCATTCTTTGATCCCTGCACCATGCCTTTGACCAGGCTTCAAGCTCCCCGACACCACACGGGTCTCCTCTGGGCGGTTGTCATCCTGGGCCTGTGGATCGCCCCAGCCAGTGCGCTTGCTCTCCGCCAAACGACCATCTATCTGCGAGACTTGGTCAACATCTCGATTGTTTTCCCTGGCGGCCACGTTGCCGACAGCACCATGGGTATTCCTTCCTCGTTCGGCCCCAAAGTCAAAACCAGGACCCAAGTATCGATCCAGTCCCTCTGGGATGCGTGTGCACCACTGCCCACTGCCGACCGACTGGACCAGCAAGACTCGACGGGCCAACAAGACAAGTCGCTGGCCGACACTCGTCCCAAAGAGCGGGTGGCCTTGGTGCCGATTGGCCCCTGTGCCTACGACGAGATGGTCCGGAACCTGCAGCAGGCCGGGTTCGCCGGCGCCATCGTCTACGACGCATACGAAAGCAAGCGCATCTTTCGCATGGACAGTGCTGGCGATACCTCCGACATTCGCATCTGGTCGCTGCTCGTCTCCTCCCGCTGGGCCCGTCGGGTCGACATCTTGCACTCACTCAGTTGGATCGATGAGGCCGACAACAGCAACAGCAACAGCAACAGCAACAGCAACAGCAACAGCAACAGCAACAGCAACAGCAACAGCAACAGCAACAGCAACAGCAACAGCAACAGCAACAGCAACAGCAACAGCAACAGCAACAGCAACAGCAACAGCAACAGCAACAGCAACAGCAACAGCAACAGCAACAGCAACAGCAACAGCAACAGCGATTCGCATGCACCGGCCCCTCGACACATCCTCCTCACACTCTCGCCAGGCGTCTCCGAGTCCTGGCTCCAGGCGCAGCTGCCCAACTTTGACGACGTCGCAATGACATCGCTATTTCGGATGCGTATCTATTGCATCTTGATGGTGGTGCTGTGGGGCTTGACGCTGCTTCTCACCGGGGCCGTCTATCTGCGAAACCGCTTGCTGTATGGCGAGTTGTTCATGGCCGACCAGGTCGAGACCGCCCCGCTTCTCCGTCCCGGCGACATCACCAAGTTCCCCTTGAAGATCATCAAAGGTCCCAGCGGCATCGACGGCATCGACGGCATCGACAGAAACATCAATGGCGACAGCAGCCACTGCAGCAGCAGCAGTGGAAGACGCAGCAGTGGTGACAGACTGGACGATCTTCCAGACGGCGATGTACATCGGCCGAGTCATTCGGGAGAGTGCGCCATGCCGGCCTGCGCTATTTGTCTCGAAGAGTTTGAGCGCAACTGTATGGCCATCGAACTGCCGTGCAGCCATCTCTTCCATCAAGAATGGTGAGTCCGAGTGACAAGAGGGCGTGGTGTGAGGAGGCCGGCGAGTGGTGTAATGATATCGGATAGGGAGGGGCCTCATAGCGAAGCCCATTGCCGCCTCAATAGCTGACTGGCCGCTGTCTCTCTGCGCTGCAGCCTGGAGCCCTGGGTCACAAGGCATACCGCCCAGTGTCCGCTCTGTCGAAGGAACCTCTTGATGGTGGTAACCACGGCCTCGTAGGCGATGGCGACGTTCATCTCCCGATCACTGAACGCCCGTTCCATACCCTGTTCAGCCAGCCCCACAACCGACAACAGGCACGGAAAAGAGCTACTCTCGCTGTTTCCAGCACCCCGGGGTTCCCACGAGCCAGTGCGCCTCTCTGTCTTATCATGTGGGACCGAATAACAATACTTATTGAGAAGTGGCCGGGACCCCAGCCGTATTCCGCTGCTCCTCGCAACTGCTGCTAAAGCAGATGACAAAGCTTAGCCCAGCACAACCAAGCGGAAGCAGGGCCGGGAGGGGAGGGACTGCCATCGCGCCATTACGCCTGTTCTGAGGCTTTGAAAGCCTTGTACTCCTCGTGCAGCTTGACTTGAGCATCGTATTCCTTCTGAAGCTTCTTACCCTTGGACTTGGAGATCTCTTCTCCGCCAATGTCGTGAGTGGGAAGACCCTGAGCGGCGGAAGAGATGGACGTCAATGCACCGTTCGTGAGGCGACATTGCACCCATCAGCACTCTCGGTCACATCCTCAGCGACAGCCGAGCACATTGAGCTTCCTGCGTCAACATGCTGTTACCCACCTTCTCGTCCCACTTCGAATACAGCTTCAGACCTTCTTCGTTCTTGAACATCTGCTCGGGGGGAGTCTGGCCCTTGGCCAGCTTCTCCAGCTTCTTTGCATGGGCCTGCTGAAGACGGGCCTCCTTCTCTCTTTGCTTCTGCTGCTCACGCTCGAGCTTCTCCTGTCGCTGCTTCAGCAACAGTTCCTTGTCCACAAGCTTGACCAGGGCGCCCTTGCCGTCTTCACGATCATCGAGCGCCACGCCCAGCTCGACGAGATCAATATCACGCAGCTTGTCGCAGAGCGCAAGCAGCTCGCGATGATCTGTTGACACGGTGTGGGGGGGGGAATAGCCATAGACGTAGGGAGTGTGCACAACGTAAGCACAACGAAGAGCCAAGAACAGCATTGCACCTGCGTGTGTATTCTCAGCACCCGTCGTTGGGCCATCTGGTAACTGCCGTGATCCACTTACCAGCCTTCTTCTGGGACAACTCGCGAATACCGTCACGGAAGCTCGAGAGGGCGCGCAGGTACGGCATGATGGCCTCGTCGGACTGAAGGGGTTGTAAAGGCACATGGGTTGATGAGCATGGTTTGGTCGTGGGCAATAATCCAAGTCGCGCTCGTCGATATACGTCTCGGTGTACATACGCTAGCCGCGGCGGATGCTGCCGAGTTGCCAATGTCGGCGTTGCCGTCACGAACGATGCCAAAGATTCTGCCGAGGCGAGTGATGTATTTGGCAACCTTGGCCAGGAGATCGGTGTTTGGGGTGTCCTTCTTCTCGGCAATGTACTTGTTGGTCACGGTGATGAGGTCACGGATCTCTTGCATGGCTGTGGGAGTGTCAAAGTTGTCGCAGAGGGCGTTGTGGATCTTGACCTGCGAGACCTCGAGGCTGAAAACAGGAGTACGGCATATTAGTGAGGAAGGCTGAGGGAGGGAGGGCGAGCGGTCCACGAATCGAGCTGTTGGTCATGAAACTAAATGCCATCGTTCTCAGTAGCCGACTGCGGCGTCTAACCTGGCAAGGAGTTTCTTCTCGAGATCGTGGAAGTTGTGGTTGCCGGTGAAGACTTCGGGGGTGCTCTTGGCGTCCTGGATCAGCGCCTTGACGTTGTCGAAGAAGTTCTGTTGCAGCAAACGCAGAGGGGTCAGGTGAGGGAGAGTGAGGAAGAGTGAGGGAGAGTGAGGGGATTTCTGCAGCGTATGGCGCGGATCACGGCCATGTCATTCGTCTGAATCGCACAATGTGTTTGGATACCAGTCTGTCCCTCGACACGCGGGTTTACAACGCTTGCTCCTTGTGCGCTCCCGTTCTTACGTTGATCACGGATTCGTAAGCGCGAGCTTCTTGCATCGAGCTCTCTTTGAAGTCCAGGACAGAGTTCCACTGGTGCAGCAGGAATAGGAATCGAATCTGCGTCGCAGAGTGCTTAGCAAGGGCTTCCTGAATCTTGACAAAGTTCTTCAGACTCTTTGACATCTTCTGGCCCTCAATATGGAGATGGCCCGCATGGATGAAGTAGTTCACCCACTGGTGGCAGTTGTAATGACCCTGGAAGAGATGCAAATATCGGTTAGTCGGCGAGCTGAGCTTGAGCTCCTCAAACTGCGCTGCCGCCAAAGCGTATACCGCTGTGCGGAGGGCAGTCGGAGGTCTTGTCAGTAGACACTGAGGGTCCTCAAGCCACCACTACGTCGACACGGGCTGGTCTCTCGCCCGTTGAAACACATCAGCGACAACAGAACCGCAACGCATCAAGACGTGCTGCCCTTCCACACATTCTTGACAGTGCCTGTGCGAGCTTTAACGAACAGCAGTATCCGCTACTTGCGATACACTGTCAGAGAGTCTCGCATTGGGGGGTGGGACCGAAGGGCCATCGTTGCAGCCAAAATGTTGCCACTGAGGCGACAATTTCATGAACCTTCCTGGTCTCCCTCCCCCAATATACTCTTGGATGTCGGGTACAGCAAGGACAGTGGGCGGATGCACTGCCTTGTCGATCGCCAGCGCAGCACCGAAGCAGAGCTGCCCGGACCATCCGTGCACCTTGAGTGCCATGTATGGCTGCCAGAGACAGTATGACCATCGCTGGACCACAGAGCCGCTCCCTGTGCAAGCCGCAGGTCCGTTTGCCTCAAGCGGATGCCAGCGCTAGTGCCAGTGCCGGTGTCGGTGTCGGTGCCTACCTCTGACTGGGCTATTTCATTGTCATGGTGCGGGAAGGCCAGATCGCTTCCGCCGCTGTGGATGTCGAGTTTCTCGCCCAGGATCTCGCCAGCCATGGCCGAGCACTCGATGTGCCATCCGGGCCGGCCCTCTCCCCAAGGAGAGGGCCAGGCGGGCTCTCCTGGCTTGGATGCCTTCCAGAGAGCAAAGTCCGACGGGTTTCGCTTGCCTTGCGGATGGCTGGTGGAGAGGTCACCCTCGCCCTCTTGCAGCAGCTTAACGTTGCCAGCAGACCAGGGTTCGAGCTTAGCATAGTTGTGGTCTGGATGCTTATCGAACTTTGCCGTGTCAAAATAGACGGATCCCTCGGATTGATAAGCAAAGCCATTGGAAATGATACGCTCGACAAACGACACAATCTCGGGAACGTATTCGCTGACACGCACGAGGACATCGGGGCGACGGATCTGCAGCGATCACGAGTGACGATGACGATGGCGATGCCATTGGAATCAACAACAAGCAGGTGCATGGTGCGGTATGCGGCAGTAAATATGCAAAAAGGGACTTTCAATCGCAGCGGCCATGCTGAATCATTCGGATGTCGTCGCGTCAAAGTCCAAGGCAAGCTAGCATACGCAATCAATGGAAAACAGTCTGACTTGAAGCAGAAACTGGCATCGGTATCGAACTTACATTCAGGGCATCCATATCCTTGAAGTACTCGTTTTCCCAGAAAGCAGCATAGTCGCGGAAGATGGCGGGATCGGTCACGGTCGAGCCCTTGATTGAATCAAGATAGAGAGAATAGACATCTCTGCTGGAGTCGAGCAGCGCATGGGCATGCTCTTGCCCTGAAGTGCCGCTAGCGATTTGCCGCTTGGCGAGCTCGATGGCTTCGTTGGAAGCAGCCTGTATGTGGAGGGTGGATACCAATGAGAGACGATCCATAGGAGCGATGGCCACGTCTGGGTTGACACAGCGCACGCGGGAACGAGTGTCGCCGGGCATTGCCTACCGCCGCCTTGAAGTACATCTGGAATTTGGGCTCGTCGGCTGGGTTTGGACCGCCACCGGTCTCGATCTTGGTGGCAAAAGCATCCCACTGCGACGCAGCGTTGGGATCGAACTTGGCAAGGCGCTTCTCCACAAAGAAATTCCATGCCTTGGAGACATCTTCGAGAAGCTCAGGAGTCAGGGCAGAGGCAGCAGACTTGGCTTGATCAAAGAGGTACTTGTAGCGGGCGTGCAGGATGATCTTGGACAGGGGGATATCATCGCGACTGGGTTAATGCTGTGGTATATGCATGAGCCGCTCGCAAGCGAGACCAGAGGAGATGCGTGCGACGGTCGGGTGGATCTAGATGGGGTTCAAAGCAAAAGGTGCTGTAGCATGGCAGGCGTAGCAATCCGGCGGATGCTCTGGGCAGCACACGAGCCGCTCGGGGGGGCTCATCGCTACCTTGTCGTCGATGTCGGTGATGTTCATGACATAGTTGATATCGTACCCAAAGTAATCTTCCATGATTCTGCGGAGAATGTCAAAGGTGATGTAGGCTCTGCGGTCGAAATGGTCGTTTGGTTGAGCACGGTGACCACAGTTTGTCGTTACAATAGTATTCGGAAGCACGTATGAACCGAGACAGCATTCGGGATCGAGTGTTGGATGATAGCGGGAATAAATGAGACGCGATGATAAAGCGGAAAGAGAGGGGTGAAGATTACGCAGCACATTCGGAAGTGCGTTAATGTGATGGAGGCTTGACGGGAGCTCCTCCAGGACACGCCAGATCATCGGATCCGATTGATGCGACAGGCAAACTGGGAGAAGGACGTTTCAGAAATGCCTCTGCCGACGTGCCCTACCTGGCATGACCCATGTGCGAGTCTGAGTAGACCGTGGGACCGCAGCAGTACCAAGATACCAGCTTGGATCTGGCCGGGATAAATTCCTCCTTGCCCCGGGTGAGCGAGTTGAGGACCCTGAGGTTGGCCTGGGAGGGCTCGGGCTTGTGCCACTTGGGCTGCTTGATCTGGGAGGCCGACGAAGACATGGGTGCAAGAGCGATCCAGACGGAAATGCAGAGAGGTGCAGGTGCAGAAATGCGCAAGACAGAAGGGCGTGCAGCCGGCAGAAACAGGAGGGACGGCCGAGCGATGCGTCGACGTGCAAATCCGATCATGCACCGGGGGGGGCAGGACGCAGATGAGGGAAGATGGGCGTTGGCGAATCGGCCAAGGACAGCGATTTTTCCACAACGAAGGCGATGAGTCCGTGCGCAGCCACGGTCACGGGACGAGGGCGGTGTCTCTGCGGGGCTTGTGTGAGCCACAGATACACAGGCGCAGCGAGGACGAGACGTGCGGCGAGAGATGCAGCGAGACACACACACACAAGGCAATCGCGCAACTGGTGTGACGCTGCGATGGTGGGACAGTGCGACGACGGTGCGTCGATGGTCAAACCGCGTGGCAGGCAGCACTCCGGCCGCTGGTTCGGCACTCAGCATCCGCATCAACAATCGGCCGGTTGATCGTCAACAGCGGAGCCAGATGGACTGGCAAGGCTGGAGACCGATCAGGGCTTGACCAGCAGAACGAGGCCAGAGCACGAGGAGGTGGTCGACTTGTGGGATGACGTGCATATCTGCAGCCAGATACAAAGATATAAGAGTGTCAAACATGCCCATGTGTTCCCACCGAGTGAACTGTTCGCTCATCGAACAGTGGATTTGCAAGCAGCTTGCTGGGCGAGGCAACAGCACAGCATCGAGGACAGCCGAGAGGAAGCAAGGGCACTCATTCAATGCAATTTGGCAATCAGCCAGGCCAAAGACGCTCTCCCCTGGCTGCCCAGACGACAAAAGGTGCTCCCTCACACTTTCCCCTCGTCGTTGTCTCGTTCGCCCTTTCGGCTCTCACCCCGCCTCTCCGCCATGCTCAGGGCCATCTCCTGTTGTTTTGGAGGGTTCACAGACCCGGTCGACGACCGAGATGTCTCCCAGCAGACCCCTATCTACCTCTACCAGCAGACCCACCCACCAGCAGCCCAACAGAGCCAGCCTCCTGTCTCCGAGCAGACCCAGGATGTCGTCGCCCAATCTGCTGACACTCAACCCCAGACCCAGACCCCTGTTTCCCAGCAGCCAAAGTTCCCTCCTCCGCCCGATCCGTTTGGCCCTTGGCTCCATCCCGTCGAGTGTCTCATCAACATGGCCCGCGATGAACCCGATGCCCTTCTGATCAACACTTACGAGAACGGTGCCTCGGAGCGACTCAGCTATCTCCGTGTGTGGAAGCAAGCCTACTCCATCGCCCAGGCTCTCAAGGCTCTCCCTGGCTGGAACGACGACGGCCACGAGGCCGTCGGCACCTTCTGTGAGGCCGAATCCAGCTGGATGATCTATTCGTTTGCTGTGTGGATGCTTGGCAAGTGAGTATCTCTGGTCTGTTGCAGCGATGTGATGTTGGGATGTGGAGCTATGAACATCGATTCAAGCAAGGGACATGTTCAACCCTTGTTCCGTGCCATGTCAAGGGTCGAGTCTCACCTGTCCTTTGAACTCCATCCAGGAAAACACTCAACTTTGCCCTCAACCTGCCTCCTGCCGTTCGCAAGGCCCTGTGCGAGAGGTTTGTGCTGGTTGCTATCGTTAGGATGAGCAGGCTGGTTCCTGCGTCCTGGGTTGAGCCAGCTTCTCTTCTGAGCTGGTCGACTGAGATCCTGACACTCACATCACCACCAACCGACAGACATGCGATCAAGTACATCCTCCACCACTACACCAAGCCCGGCCGCACCGAAGGCGTGACTCTGATCGATGCCGCCACCTTCCCTGTGTTGGACGACGTTCCGTCTCCATGTCTCGAAGTCTGTGAGCCGCTCGATGAGTTTGTTGCCTTTCAGTGCACCTCCGGAACAACTGGTATGTGAGTGGATGTGGCTGCTGACAAGCCAAAGTCCAGCCACAAAGGTCGAGCATGGGCAGTCAAACTCGGGATGGTGGCTGCATAGTTACGGTAGATAGCGAATTACCTGTTAGAAATGTATTTGACCTCTGTGTCTCAATCCTCGATGCTGCTCCCCTGATCAACCCAAAAGGCATTCCGAAGACGTAAGTGACCCATGGCATTGCATCCATACTCCTCACTCGGATCGAATGAAGGATCTCACACTCAGTGCCTTCTTGTGGTTCTTCAGATTCAAATTCCCTCACATTGGCGCAATCGCTGGTCGAGGTGCGCTGGGACTCGAGTATATAAGAACCGGGCTGTGCCAGGTAAACCGCAGGATTCTGAACAACAACAAATTTGACCCATCCATCTATAGATTGAGAACTAACGCGGAATTACCATCAGGCACCTGCTTTTACCGCAACTCTCACTATAATGCTCTGCACCCTGAGCCTCAAAGGATCCTTTTGGTTTCCAGAGCCCACACCCAACACCGTCGACAAAGTCAAGAGTATCATCGGAATGCTGAACGATGGCTTGTGGTATATGTATTTGGTAAGTTGGAATCATCAGCGACAAAGTACATTCGTTCCAGTGCGGACGTGTGGTACTCATTTGATGTTCTCCTCACAGACGCCCTCGTTCATGAAGATGATCATCAACGTTGCTCAGAGTCAGAATTCGAATGTCAAGTGGAATACGGTGAGAAAAATCGGCTTAGGTTCGGAGTTCGTCCCATCAAGCGTCGTCGCACAAGTCAAGAAGGCATTCCCCAAGGCTGGAATCCAGATCCTTTATGGATCGAGCGAGGTATAATTCGATTTGAGCAGCCTGCTAATGAGCTGCCCCTGAATTGTTTCTGATGAGAGCTTCATCTACAGGTTGGCCTTATTGGTGCCCTCTCGGTTTGCTTCCTCCCAGCCACCAGCCAAATCGTTCCAGACAAGTTGGTCTACAAGCTGGCCAAGCCTGGAGTGCGCTGTCTCCTCTTCGACGAGGAGGGCAACATTGTCGACCAAAAAGTCTCCAAGAGCGGTGTGCTCGTCTTTGCCGTCAACAATGACGACCCTGTCAAGAACCATCCCAACTTTGTCAACGCCGATCCAAACAACAAGCTCGCACCCTTCGGTTTCCTCGAGGATGGCTCACCTCGAATCTGCACCATGGACTGGGTCGAGATGGTCTACGAGAACCAGTTCACTGTCATTGGAAGGTAAGGTCAATGGCTGGGCGTTGCATCTCATTGATGGCGAGTGCACATCTGGTACCCTGAGGACACATCCAACTACTGTATCCCGGATACTCACGCCATCCACTCCCTCACTCCACACCATCACCCTCCAGATTCGATCAGAAGATCAAGGTCAACGGCGTCTATGTCGACCTCAACGCCCTCGAGGAGTTGGTTCTCGAGCACATGCCTGATACCATCAAAGACTGCACCTTTGTCCAGACCTCCGAGAAGGAGATCGTGATGCTCTACGTTCGTCGGAGCGGATCCAACACCGATATTGTTCCAAGCGAGATGATTCGTATCGTCGAGGACTTTTTTACCCTCAAGAACGTCGCCAAGTTCCCGATCCACAACGTCTTCCAACTGCACCAGTTCCCCCTCAACGACTCGGGCAAGCGTGATCTCAAGAAGCTCAGGCGTTTCGCCGAGCATGCCAAGTACTTCGGTAGGTCAGTCGAGTACCCTCCACTGACACTCGTCAACACTCCCCTGTCCCGCGCTGCCGCCAAGATCTCCACACTTGGCAGCCAGATCATCGACAACCCCGCCCTCGACGGCCGCAACTACTACATCGGCGGCGTCGGCTTTGACTCGCTGAGTGTCGTCCGTCTGGCCCTCGCCATCAAGGATGAGCTGGATGTCGAGATATCACCGATGATATTGCTGTCGAACGGAATGACGCCGCTCGATGTCGCCCAGCTGGTTGTCGACATCCTCGACGACAGACCGATGATTCCCCCGACTGTTGATCTGGCTGCCGAGGCCGCCAAGCTCGACGATGCGAGTGTGACGGCCGAGGGTCTTCCTCCGTTTGTCTATCCCAAGGACCCTCGCGGCATCGTCCTGACCGGTGCCACTGGCTTCCTCGGTGCCTTCTTGGTCTTTGAGCTGGCCCACAAGTTCCCTCGGGCCAAGATCTACTGCCTGGTCCGAGCCAAGGACGATCAGGAGGCTGTCGAGCGCATCATCAGCACGGCTCAGAAGCTGGTTCTCGATCCGAGCCAGAGAGCCTTCCTTGACCACAACCTCAAATCTCGACTCGTTGGACTGTGCGGCAACCTGTCGCAGGACAAGTGGGGACTCTCGGACGAGCGATGGAAGGAGATCGGCGAGGAGACCGACATGATTGTCCACAACGGCGCCGAGGTTCACTGGCTGTTTGACTATGACAGACTCAAGGGACCCAATGTCCTCGGCACTGCGACGGCCCTGAGACTGGCCACAACCCACCACCTCAAGGTGGTGCACTACATCTCGACCATCGGCACGATCCCGATGGCCAAGAAGTCAGACAAGCCGCTCGAGGAGAAGATCTACTCGGCCTGGAACATCTCTGGCGGGTATGGCCAGACCAAGTGGGTCTCTGAGCAGCTGGTCAACAAGGCACGATCCAGGGGAGTGCCGGTGACGATCATTCGCCCAGCCGTCATTGCTGGTGACAGCAAATACGGAGGTGAGTCGAGTGTGGTGTGGTGTGATGTGATGTGGTGTAGATGTCTCATTCGCTCACATGGACTGGCCATGAATCGATGGTCTCGATTGTCAAGTGCCACTCACCCACCAATTGACACCAACTGACACCTTCACACCCTCCATCGCTCCAGTGTCCAACGCGGATGACTACATCTGGCGATATGTCAAGGGATGCATCCAGCTCGGCCTTGCTCCTTCATATGCCACTCCCGTCACCCTGACCATGGATCCCGTCGACCATGTTGCCAAGGTGGTTGCCGAGATTGCCGGCTCGGTGGAGTCCCTGTCCAAGTTTGTGTTCCACATCAGCGACTCGGAGCACAGGTGAGGACTGTGTGATGTGGTGTGATGTGGATATGGTGTGCGATGTGGTATGGATGGTGGATTCCGACTCTGATTACTCACTCACTCACTCACTCACTCAACCACTCACCGCAGTGTCCTCACTGAGACCAAGCTGTTCGAGATTGTCAACTCCTTTGGCTGGCCCGTCCTCTTTGAAACTCGTGAAAAGTTCAAGTACATCCTTTCCACCAACCCCTTGTACAACCAAAATGCCCTGTCCCCCCTCATGCACATGATGATGGACATGTCCTTCAAGATCGACAACGCCAACACCCGCTCGATCTACCCAACGCCCTGTCCCTCGACTGTGCTGATTGCCAAGAAGTGTCTCAGCTACTTGAACCATGCTCACTTCCTTCCCAACCCCATCACGCCATCGAGCGAGCTGAAGGACGACGAGTATCCCGAAGTCAGCATCTTCACTCGCACCGGCCGCAACTGATCAGCGGACGGTGATTCAGCAATAGATTGATCAGGTTGTTTCGTCCCTCGTGCGTTCTGCTTGAGTCTCTTCTTTCATTTCCTTTCTTTTCATCTATAAACGGCGGATCACTCAATTGATCCGATCCCTTCGCTTCCAACATCCCGCAGCTTGTGGATGTTCATTCCTTTAGTGATCATGGACGTCCTTGGTCTTTGGTCGAGTCATGTTTGGTCGAGTCATGTTGGGCCTTCTGATGTGAACACGGTTGATTTTTCTTTGCGACCCGCTGTGGCAGGCTCTGAGCCATCTCGACAGACAAGGACCCAGTCTCAACCAGTGTTTCATATCCCGATTCCACTCTCCCGGCTCCATCGACACAAAGGAGGCTGTGTCTGCTGAGACTATCGGGAGCAGGAGTGCGTCCTCATCAACATCGATGACTTCGGAGCTGCCCTCCTGGGATCTATAAGAGTGACTGATTACCGGAATGGTGTATTTTACGGTTCGTTTGTCCAGGGTTGAAGCAAAATTGTTGTTTCCGTCGGCAACATAGATGTTTGGCGAGTGAGCATCATATCGAGGGCCGCGATTCATGATGGAGCGTCCACTGCCTGCATCCAGATTCTGTATCCATTGCTTTGTCTTGCCAAGCATATGGACTAAAAACCAGGCCCACTTTTCTTGATACACGATCAAATGATCTACTGCCTCAAAACATCGTGCGTTGGGCATGGCCTTCGCCTTGAGGCTGCCAGGATGCCTGGTGGATGGCTGATTGAGAGCGGCCAGCCATCCATGTCTCCGATTCTCCACTGGCCCTCCCAATCATGCTCGGGCAGATCCTGGTCCCTTGCCCCCGTTTTTTTACAGTTGGCCATTCGAGGGCTGACTGGCTTGCTGTACATACGGCACATCCCAGCAGCGGTCAGTGCATGCTGAAGCACGACAAATCTTCCGAGAGAGCAAGCGGACCCATTGATCCAGTGGAATCTACTCGTATCTGCATCAGTGCCAGCGGCCACTCGCATCTGCCCTCCCTCTTGCATCCGCTGGGTGAGGGATTGCTGCTTTCAGCCCTTAGACCACCCTCACACGCCCTCTCGGTCCCCTCATTGCTCACTATCTCATTCCGTCGACTGAGAATCGTTGCTGGGCATCATCGTACCCATTGGCTCTCTGGAGTCTTCGCGCACCATTTTGACCTGAAACCGGCTGTCTTCCATCCAGATCCTGCCACATCGAAGAGGCGACCTCAAGGAGCGCATTTTATGCCTCCAATAGAGTGGCCATGCACCCGTTTCCGCTTGAGCGCACATCGCTGACTTCAAAGAATGGACAGGCCGAGGAGAGAAGCGAGCCAAAGGATGAGCCGCGGCGGCAGCAACACCATTCGCCAGCTATCACACCGGATTTGGAACAGGAGCCAGCACCAGCAGCAGTACCAGCACCAATACCAGGGCCAGCATCGACATCGTCATCATCATCGTCGAGGCCTGCATCGACGCTGTCATCGGAGCCACCATCGCAGCAGTCTTCGCCCGCGTCGGCATCGCCGCGGACTTCTGATGCCTTGGAACCCAGGCATCCGGAAGATGCATCGACGGCATTCCGGGGGCTCGGCCATCTTCCGGCCTTGACGAACGCCCCAAAGCCTCCGCAGGACATGCTTAACGAGCCCAGAACCTCGCTGGCCCTCTCCAACATGGCTACGGCCACCTCCTCGCCTCGCTCCTCACGGACCTCGCCGCCCGTGGTGTTGAGACGACCACAAAAGCCTGATCTTCAAAACCAATTGACGCCTGCATCGGCAGATTACTCGACCGCAATGCGGCTGCAGTCAAAACGGCGCTCCTTCCATGAGCCGATGGACGTGGCTCTCCCCATCTACCACCGCGAGCCCTCGAGCGAGCATCTCCCTCCAAGCGGCGCCGTCGCGTTGGATGCCATCATCGGACGCAGAGAATCGGTCCGCCGAAAGAGTCTGGCGGTCAGTCTCATGGACCAGGACACCAGCAAGCTGTGGAAAGCACAAGGTGGGCTACGGAGGTCGAGAGCAATCCCCAAGGGACAGACGGTGGATGTGGCGAGGGCCATCATACCGACGTATCGGCGCTTGGGGGAGTGTCACATTGCGAGTGGGTAGTGTTCGTTGATGGGCTACCAGAGCCGGACGGTCTGTGGGCTTCGAGCCCATGTGGTATCGGTGTTGAAACATGAGGGGTGCCTGTGTGCACCGCTGTCAAAGTATGGGTGGTGAGAGCTTGACTACCAAGCAACGACAGGCCAAGCGACTTGGCGCTGCCGGAATGCAGATCACATAGCTGCGTGCCTAATGCGAATACTTTTGCATCGCTAATTGCAAGCAGAGGTCAAGACAGAAGAATCTCACATGCGAATGCGGCGCAAGTCCAGCATATTTGCTGCCTCCGAGGCTCAAGGAGGCTTCAAGAGCATTCTCACCCGAGTGAACGATACCTACGACCTGAACCAACTCACACCAACCACGGGGTTTATCACCATGCTTAATTCGTCCCGCAACTCTTGTGCGCGATCTTCTGCGGCAGTCCGAAGTATATCGGGCGATATTGGAGCAACATCCGCAACGGAGCTGGCCGTCGTGAAGCGTTTGGCGCCGCGGGACAACATGGAGAGCTTTTCGCCCGAGTCCCTGCCACCATCGGCACCGATAGCAGCCGGACGTGGGCCGCTCATTTCGATCCCCGATCCGGAGGAGGAGCTTCTGCAAAAGCACCCAGAGAAACTGGGCGATGAGATCAAGTCGGCACGCACACTGGGCATCAGCGTCGTCCACAAGCGCTCGCAGCTGACGACAGAGGCCCTCGAGGAGCATAACAAGAGCCTATCCAGTTTATCGAGCCTGATACAGCAGAAGCTCACCGACCACCACAATTCGCAGGAGAACCTGCCCCAGGAAGACCGGGTCCGAGCTAGCTCTCGTTCCTACCACAATCTCATCGAGGAACTGCGACGTGGTATCATTTCTCCACTACAGACCTCGGACGAGCATTTGAACAAGAGCCACAAAAGTCTTGCAGATGTAGTCGACCGGAGGAGTGATGAGACGCCAGAACTGAATCAGCATATGGAAAGAATGGCGAAAGCAAAAAAGATCGAAAACTGGATTGAAACAACGCACGATGCTGAAGACTGGCAGGCCGGAAGTGCGCCGGCTCTGGTGATAGAAGGCGTCTCTGATCGAGCACAGAGCCTCCCAGAGCCACCGAAACCGCCAGCGCAACTGTCCGCATGGTCAAATCTGTTGGTTGGATCGCCCACGACCCCGTTAATGCGCTCACGAGAGCCATCCATCAACCTCAATTCGTTACAGAGCTTTGGTTTGGACGACAAGCCACGTCTCAGTGTCAACGGTAAGCCCGCCAGCCAAAGATGTACAAGCGCAGATGTGCAGATGCGAAAAGTTGAAGAGCGGCTGCAAGCCTGATAGAGTTATCGTCCTTGGTCCGCACTGACTCATATATGCATCTATCTCGACGCAGCAAACTTGGGCCAGTCTCCGGACGCACAGTCTCAGGATGTGTTTTCTCCACACGACACAAGCTTTCGGACCTTCGACTATCCAGGCCATCCCAACATCCCGACCATCGAGATCGCTGGCGATGTCGAAGCAGAGATGTCCGATGCTGATCAACCCGACGGCGGTCGCGAGCGCGAGATCAACGTTCTGGATTCTCTCGCCGAGCATGGCGTTGTGTTCCAGTCACTCAGTCCTGGCCTCACCAACCGTGGCAGATCCAGCAGTGTCATATCGTCCATGTCGATCAAGGCCGGAAGCAGCCGCGTCAGTACCCATAAAAACCTGGAGATCCCGAGCGCACCTGTCTATCTGGACATCATTAGTCGCATGAAAGCCACGCAGTCACACGAGCACGGCGAAACGGAGAGCAAGCTCAAAGACATTGGAAGCGTGGTGAAGGTTCTGACTGAGCTGAAGAAGGCCGGTGAGAACCTCGAACTCGCGGTAAGAGTCTTTCCTCATGAGCCCTCGATGGCAACAGAGTCCCGCAAATTGACTGACGATCCTTCTTGAATGCAATCCCAATCGCTGGTCGGTGCTTTACAACATGGCTCGGATCCTGGTCCAAATTACCAGAAACAAACAGGTACTGGGGTACTGGGTGTTGGCGCGGCTGAGCCAAACGAAGGGGTATGGGTATGGGTATGGGTATGGGTATGGGTATGAGGGGCTCGCACTGCTCCTCGAGCTGCCAGACGAGGCGTGGTACTTGCTGTTGCTGACATGTCACTTCTGTTCTCCTCAACCCCCCCCCAGACACATCCACCTTGCAGATGATCCTCAAACTCAAAAAATGGGCCAAAGAAAAAGTCAACGCCAAGGAGAAAGAGCGACCGCGCAAGGAGTATCTTGCCGCAGTCGAGGCCCAGTCAGCCGTCGACGTCCCCCAAAACATCCACCTGAACCTCATCAAGGAGACGGTCCCGCTCATCGAGGGATTCGTGAAAACATACCGTCTGCAGCTTGGTGAGCGGCATGAGTACACGGTTGGATGTACGGAGCATCTCAAGAAGCTCCAGGACAAACTGGCAAGCGGCAGCTTTACCACGGACGACCTGATGAACGAGGAGGAGGAGACTATGGCAGCCAATGCGCTGGTCTTGAACATGCAGCACAAGATTCTAGCACGGAGCCACGCCAACCTCGGCAGCCATGGCAGTGTTGCAGACCACACAAATATTGGCAGCCGCGGGACTCTGGCAAGCAAGGCCGGTCTGGGAAGCAAGAATAACCTCGGCAGCAAAGGCAACATTTCGAGCCACACGAGCCTGGCCAGCAGTAGCGATATCATCGTTGCCAGCGCAATCTACCGGCGAAAGAGCAGTCGCAACATTGAGCTGCTTCAAAAGTCCCAATCCAGGACCAACAAAGTTGCTCCCATCAGTGAGTCTGGCGAGACACACGAGCGGAGAGGCGAAACCATCGTCCGGATGGGGTCGGGCACCGGATCCAGCAGGAGAGCACCTGTTACCCGAAGATCCACTCTAGGGGTCATACAAGGAGACGAGCAATTCAGCTACGCCACGACCGGGGACTGAGATTTGCAGTGGAGCCGACCTAAAGCACCCAGGTCTGTGCGAGCCAGGAGAAACATGTATCATACGGCCTGTTGGGGGGGGCCGAACGAGTCGCTTTGTCAGGAACACTCGATGTACGAAATACACTTGGCCCCGATCGAAGGGAGACGTGTCCGATGCCCGCCCTTGTGCAGCAGACAATTGCAGGGGTTGCATCACTGCTTTCGCAACCTAGAAGCCCAGAGGCATAAGTGGCTGGGGCTGAGCCCGGTCGCTGGGCACACCATGGCTAGCATTTCCAAAGTCAGACGCTGTCGATATATTGTGTGCCGCACCAAAGGATCGTGCCGCACCAAAGGATCGTGCCGCAGCAACGAAGCCCAACGAGATGCCAATCGCCATGTTGCAGACACAATGGTTGTCTCGACATTCTCATCAATGAGGATTGAGCTCCTATATTGCTTTGGGTCTGACGCGCTCTTGGTGCGGCCATACGCTTTCCGCATATCACGCAGGCGAGCACAAGCGAGACACTTGAGCCCCGTTCCATACCCTCTGGGTGTGTACCTAGGCGCTCTTCAAAATCTCAACGCGGGCGCGCAGTCGGATGGCATCGGCGTTCAAATGGTACAGGGCATCGTAGAGGGCAGCCTTGAAGCTTGCAGGACCGGCAACACGTCCAGACTCAACAGCAAGCTCGGCAGCAACACCCATGGCGACGATACCAGCAACCGTGGCGACAACATGGTCCTTCTCGACCGCGGCAAAGCTGGCCACGAGGGTCGTCGTTGAGCAGCCCGTGCCGGTCAGGGTTCCGAGCCACTCGTTTCCGTTGGAGGCGGCCACAGTCTGAGCGCCATTAGAGATGTAATCGGTCTTGCCCGAGATGGCAAAGACGTTGCTAAAGCGCTTGGCCAGGCTCTCGACAACAAACTCCGGCTGCGAGAGCGTTCCAACACTCTCGACACCCCGCATCTCGACGCCACCGCAGCCGGCAATGATGCCAACCTCGCCGGCGTTGCCCTTGACAATGTCGATCTTGTTTTCGGTCAGGAGCTTAAGGGTGGTTTCGGTGCGGTAGGATGTCGCGCCAGCACCGACTGGATCCAGGACGATCGGGATTCCCTTTTCGTTGGCCTGGAGCCGCGACGTTGCGTTTGGTTATGTGTTGGAAGCAAATTGCGGTTGTAAGCATCGAACACAGAGCCATATCGATATGCGTCGTGCAGACAGGGAGGGTGCCTGTAAGCACCGGGTATCATTCAAGGGCCATACCTGCTTGGCAGAGATGTGCATCGATTGGACCTTGGGGTCGTCGAGCGTGCCAATGTTGATAACAAGGGCATTGGAGATGCCTGTGATTTTGGCAGCCTCGTTGTGACTGGACCGAGGGGACAGCGCAGAGAACGTCAAGCGATGTCGGGCCCGATCAACCCGGCGGGTCGCATGTGCATGCGTTCGTGCGCACAAGCGTTCGCAGGCAGTGTCATCTTACGCATGGGCCATGACAGGAAGACCGCCAATGTGCAGAATGACATTGGCGGTGTCGTTCATGACAACTGTCGGGCGAAGGAATGAGAATATGATGGTCAGGAAGCATGACTTGTGCAGAGTGCTCGTGCGAAGACATTGACTCTGTGCCTTTGACATGCGCCTTTGACATCGCACATGGTCCGTTCGGTCAGATCGTCTACAGCCATGAGAAGCGGGGCACATTCGCCGCAGAGAATATGCAAAGACATCGACAAGCGGACTTCCAAGCTCGCGGAAACACTCTCCAGATCGACTCAAGTGCCCTTATAAGAGCCGTCTCGGACCCTGGCGATGGATCTCGGGAAACCCGACATGGTGGTATACATATTCAACCGCGTCCCTGCCAGAGGCGCAGACCTTACCGTAGTTGGTGATGTTGTGCACGAGAGGCTTTCGCTCACGCAGCTGAATGAATGCGTTGGCAATCTTGTCGACGAGCGCCTGTTCGGCATCGGGGCGCTTCCAGACGAGCGATCGCTCAACGGCGGCATGGGCCGTGCCCGAGACGATCGGACGGATCTTGGCCGCCAGTACCTGCGAAGCGGCCTTTGGGTCTTCCTTGGCGATGATGGCCGAGACGATGGCGACGCCAGAGAGTCGCTTGGCGGGCTTGTGGCCGCTCTTCTCGACGGCCGATTCCAACAGAACCTGCTCGACATTGTCGGCATTGAGGCCACCAATGGTCACGACAGGAATGTCGGTGTAGCGGACCGACTCAAGGATCGCCTTGACACCGACAGGGCCAAGGAACTGGTGGTCGTCGGCGTGCTTCTTGGTGCCGGTCGGAAAGACAGCCGAGGTGCCGATGTAGTCGGCCCCCTTCTGGATGGCATCCCAGGCCTGCTGCGGGTTCTCGACAGTCACGCCGAGGACCTTGGTCGAACCAAGGAGGCCACGGGCAATGTCCACCGGCATGTCGCTTTGGCCGATGTGAACACCGTCGGCGTCGACCGCCAGGGCAACGTCGATGCGGTCGTTGATGAAAAGCGGCACACCTGCAGCTCGGGTGATCGCAAGGACCTGCTGGGCGGTCTCGACGAATTCTTTGGTAGAGACATTCTTCTCGCGGAGCTGGACGAGGGTAGCGCCTCCCTCGATGGCAGCCTTGACGGACGAGGCAAGCGTGGTGCCAGCGGGAAGCAAAGAGCGATCCGTGACGAGATAGAGGGTGTAGTCAACTTGGGGTTTGGTCATGACGAGCAGATGAGCAGCAGGAGGATAGATCTGGTTTTGGGCCTGGGTCGATGAGCCGCAGACAAAGGTTGCGTCAGCGAGAAAGCCGCCACGAGCTTCGGCCACTGGGGGCAGAAACTGCATGCATCAGAAGGCGCGACAAGTACCAAATGAGATGCCGAGGGCAGACCGAGCGTCAGCGGTGGATCTGGCGAGTAGATGATGGGGGAAAGCCGGACGGTAAGCAACGAACGACCCGGCAAAACGGTCAGCGAACTGGGTCAGCAGGCTTGACGAAACGGCCAACCGTGGCGAGGAGAGAGCGAGGAGATAGCGAGAGGCTACGAGAAGCCGCGACGAGCGACCGAGAGCAACCGAGAGCGACCGAGAGCGCAGCAGAGCCGTCGCACCGCCACCGCCACACAGGCCGCATCGCCGCGATCGGATCGCCGGATGGCCAAAGCGCTTTCCTCGCCCGCCGTCGTCGCTCTTGCCGTCTGCTGTTGATCTGCCCACCCGCCGCCGTCAATCGACCCTCGATCCCAGCCCAGCTCAGCCGCGTCTTCGTTGCGGGTCGTCGACTACTTGAAGCCGCTCATCCAGAGACTCATCTCCTCCGGCTCATCTTTGAATCAGCCAGCACGCCAGCCACACAGCCATCCTTGATCATCCGTCTGCGCGATGGCCTCCCTCCTCGTCACCATCCTCGATTGGGTCGTATTCCTGTGGGATCAGTACTGGATCTGGGCCAAGTACCTATGGTGCCTCCTTCAGTGGGTAAGTATTTACTCCAGGCCTCGGGCCACTCGCTTGGGATTCCTGTTCTGCTCTGTGACTTACCAAACTTCCATATTGGCTGGCTGACGCTCCCGAACCCAACCGCGCCAGTATGCTTTTGAGAGCTTTCCGAACGAAACAGACGCCTGGGCAAAGTTCCGCCAGTCCGTTACCGTCATCGGTAAGAGTGCCACCGTCAATTTGCTCTCGCTCGTCGGCACTCACCGCCGATCGATGCGGAATGCCCCGCTTCGCCAAAGCGCGGTCACTTGTCAATTGGCGCTCTAACAATATTGTCGTCCGCTGATACCGCGCCGCCGCGTCTCTGCAGGCGATGATATCGCCTGGGGATATGGAGACTCGGTCGGGATTGGACAGATCCCAGGTACGAACACGTCGCCTCAGCAGCCAAAGCATGCGCATGAACGGCACTAATGCTGCAACTCTACCGCGCCGCTGTCGCTACAAACCCGACGAACGAATCAGGTATCGCAACGTATCTGGCAAAGCTCCTCTCGAAAGAGAGCAGTCTGAGGCAGTCGTGGCGGTTTCACAACCGGGGATATTGTGGTTCAACGACTCGCGATTGGTAAGTCACCTTGAAAGACAAGCACGCTGCGAACTCCGAGATGGCATATACTAATGGCGTTCATCTCTCGGTGCCCAGGCTGCCGCAGTCTGAACGGGTGGGTGTCGTTATGAAGCATGGGTGTTGGCTTGGACGCTGACCTAAGATCGTCGCGCCGACAGGCAATGATCGATTGGCTGGAGGCGGTGATGTGGGGCTCGTACACTGACGCCTTGCGATCCACAGAAACCTGGTGTCAAGTCCCTCCAGCTGTTCGATAAAACTTTTGCCTCCAAAAAGATCGAGGAATCAGCCGCCGTTATCATTGCCCTGGGCCTCAACGACGCCAGGTGGATTCCCTCATCGTTGCCGGTTGGGCATATTTGGGGCTTGCGCTTGATGTAGATTGTCAGCCTGTTGCCCAGACCGCTGTTCAGCTTTGCTCATGAGCACCAATATCATAGACCGCGAAGCGGGGAAGCACCGATCTCGCCAGAAGAGACCCTGGAGAACTTGATCGCCATTGTCCGAGTGCTCCGAAACAAGGGCATGGATGTCTACGTGTCCACGTTCCCAACGATGGGAGACTTGAAGCTCGATGGGAAGGAAGTTGCAGAGCAAAACGCCCGCAGAAACGAGCTCGTTCAGGAGTGGCTCAAAAAGTAAGATTGCTCTCGGCACAGCAGCGGAACAAACGACAGTGTCGATATGAAAGTATATGCCAACTTACCCTTTCTGACTGTCTTGATGGGTGGATCAACCAGCAACCAGACCGAAGGTGTCTTTGTCGGACCACGCCTTGACTCGTCCAACTATGAGTATCGACATCCCTCGTTGTTCTATAGAGATAGATACTTCTCGCTCAAGGTAGGCTGGTTAGACTGGCGTGCTAACCCGCGGTGATACGTTGAAGGGATGGTTGAATGCAATTCGGGCGGTTGGTGTGGGCGGCCAACATCATGTAGGGGGACAGCGGACTTATCGGTGCGCACCAGCCAGCCAGCACCGAAGTCCATGATATATAATGAGTATGTGCGCGGGTTATGATACTGAAACACGGTGTTGAATCGAAACTTTGCAGGGCTATGAGAAGTTTTCCAAGGATCTGGTCGAGATCATGCTCAGCCACTTGGTCAAGCGTGAGTTTGCTCTCTTCCGGAAGCATCTGAAGATGTGAGGGGCAATCTGGCGAGCCAATGTCCCCGCAGCCCGTCCTGGTGACTGCCTCTCCATCAGTGAAGCCGCCCCCAGCTCAAGGGAATGCAATAAAGATTCAGATAGACACTTTATGAAGACCATCTGCTCACTGAAATTAAGACAGCGGCGTTTATAGAGCACGAGAGAGAGGGCGAGGAAGGACATGTATGATAGGCTCGGGATGATAATGCTGGAAGCGATAGAATCCGAACGACAGAGGGAGCATCGCTGAAATGAGCGAGCGTTTAGTTCTTGATCGGGACACACTTGTAGGGCTTGTCACCGCACTGCTTGGGATCGCCAAGACCGAGGGACTGAGCGAGGATCTGGAAGACCTCGGTGTTGTCAACAACACGACCGCAAAGGTCGGCGATGGGGCCGTTGCAGTAGAGATCGACGGCCTGGAGGGTGTGGACCGAGGTGACTTCGCCTCCAGAGTTGCGGCCGTTGAAGTTGAGACCCTCGGGTTCGTCGGGGTCGACGCTGTTGACGGCGACGTTGGGATACTGCTTCTGGAAGAGACCGGTCAGGGCCTTGTTGCTGACGGCGGGGTTGCGGCCAAGAGGGTTGCCCTTGACATTGTTCTTGCGGATCTGGAAGTTATCGCGGCTCTGGGGGCCATCGACCTTGCCGCCAGCGAGCTTGTACTGACCCTGCCAGTTGGTGGGGTTGCCGTTGGCGTCGATGACAATGTCCATCCAGCCAGCAAAGTCGTACTCGCCGATGGCCATGCGCTTCTGGATCTGGAGCGAGTAGTCGGACGACTGGACGCCGGTCTGGCCGTCGAGGATGCTGCTGTCCGAGGTGGGCTGGTTGTTGAAGAACTTGGTGTCGACGGTGCCCCACACATCGTAGCCCTGGGCATGGTCGGCGGTGAGCAGGATGGCGGTCTGGCCGGGGTAGTGGGCGGCATCGTGGTCAACGACCTTCTTGACGGTGCGGTCGAGCTCGAGGAGATCGGCCAGACCACGGTCATAGTCCATCGGGTGCATCATCTTGTCGATCGAGGCAGCCTCGGCCATCAGGAACCAACCCTCGGAGCAGCGGGCGTCCATCAGGTTGATGGCCTTCATGACCATGTCGTCAAAGTTGGGCTGTTTGAGGGCGCTGCCGGTCAGGAAGGGAGAGTTCTTCTTGGTATCGAGGTTCTCGGTCCAGAGGTTGCGGTCGATCCAGGTCTCCATGTGGCCGTTGGTGAAGACGCCGAGGAGGGGGCCGTTGCCCTGGTAGGAGGAGAGCTGGTCCTTGTCCGAGACAAAGGTGTAGCCGGCGTTGGTGTAGTCGGCATAGTAGCCGGTGGTGGCATTGCAGGGGCTGGCGCCCTTGCACCAGGCGTTGCCGCCGCCGCCGAGGAAGACATCGGGGCGGACGGGAGGGGCAGACCAGGGGTACTTTGTGCTGTTGGCGCCGTTGAGGGCCTGGCCGGCAATGACGAGCGAGTCGGAGCGACGGCGGGTGTGCGAGAAGACAGCAGCGGGGGTGGCATCCCACAGGGCAGAGGTGGTGACGACACCGACGCAGACGTTGGGGCGGAGACGACGGAGCATCTCGGCGAGGGTCTCGACCTTGGGGTCGTCGAGGGTGTCGGCCGAGGTATCGGCATAGACGTTGAGGGCGTTGACCCAACCCTTCTGGCCGGTGTGGTAGGCGGCAGCCGAGTTGGCCGAGTCGGTGATGATGGAGTCGATGCCGTTGGGGGAGACCTTGCCGACGCTGCCGAGGTTCTCGAGGTTGAGGAAGCCGGCACCCTTGGCGAACTGATATGCGCAATATGCGATGCGTGGTGTGTGATGTGTGGTATAATGTGTGGTATAATGTGTGGTATAATGTGTGGTATAATGTGTGGTATAATGTGTGGTATAATGTGTGGTATAATGTGTGGTATAATGTGTGGTATAATGTGTGAAATGACCCAAGGCGGCGACAGAGTTAGAATGTGGAACCTGATTTCGTGGTCACCTTGGGCCACGATCATGGCCTTGGTCTGAAACTCCACAACAACAGCCACAACTACAACACTGATAGTCTTGACTCTTGCTATCGGCTGAACAGGCCGCTCCCACTCCCACTCCCACTCCACCGATGCCGCCAGACTGCTACGCAATCCAGATTCACACAACGTACCTTGCCGAACTTGGTGGGACGCGAGATGAAGCGCGCGGCGCTGATCATCGCGGGAGCCATACCGTCACCAATGAACATGACGGTGTTCTTGGCGAGGGGCTTGCAGTAGTTGCGAGTGGACCAGCTGGCCGAGACACGCTCCTTGCCAACGGCAATGGTGACCTGATGGTTCAGTGGAGAGTGGGCGAGGAGCGAGGCGAGGAACCAGATGGGGAACCAGATGGGGAACCAGATGGGGAACCAGGGAAGAGCGAGATGCCGAGTCAGCATTGGGCAACAGGCCGCCGTTGGCTGGCGATCTATGACACAGGCATGCCTGCGAGTACTGAGTGCTGGCAAGCACCGGCAGGCACTGGCAAGCATCGACAGACCCATCCAGCGACGCACGCACACGCGAGCACAAGACCTACGTTAAAGTCACCAGTGGTCGGCAGAGCAATGTCACGCAGAGCCAGACGGGTCACACCGACGGGGGTGGTCTTGGGAGGGTTGGCAAAGTACTCCGAGGCGTCCTTCGAGTAGGTGAAGTTCCAGGTCTGGGTGGTCCAGCTGGTTCCAAAGAACTGGTCCATGGGAACGCCGTTGATCTCGGCGATGATGCCATCAACAGAGGGGGAGGCGGCGTTGCCGTCGTTGTGCAGCTCGATCGAGATGTCAAAGTGCTGGCCAGTGACAAACTCGGCGCCATCGACAGGGACAACGGCCAGGTTGGAGCCCTGAGGGAGAGCGCGGTAGCGGGAGAACTGACCGGGGGTGGGGTTGGAAGGCTGGTACTGGGCAGCGACAGCGCTGACGGCCAGCGAGCCGACCAGCGAGACAGCAAGAAGCTTCATGACCATGGTGAAAGCGAGACAGAGTCTAGAGTCAGAGAGCCAGGTAGCAGAAGGGAGTCACTGTCGAGGCAGGGGACTGTCGGGCAGAGCTGGATCCTTGGCGGCTGGAGGGAGAGGATTCGACCATGTTATATATCAGCGGAGGCGGGGGGGATGGGCCTCGACTTGGGGGGAAGTGATGCACATGCAAGGGGAGGGGCGTCTCGGATGGCCACTCGCGAGGAGGCTTGGGAGGAGCGTGCAAAGACAGGGTTTTGCTCCTTCTTTCTGTTCTTGGGCCGGGCGAAGTTCGATCCTCAAGCTTGTGGATTCAGAGGCTGGATGCACGCGCCGCCGGTGTTTTGGCGAGCCAGAGACAAGCCGAGCCGAGCTGTGTACAGAGGCAGGAGAGGCCTTGTGATGCAGCACGGGCATCGGGCTAAAGTACACAGCCAGATCGAGAGGGCCTGCGCGTTGAACAGAGGCGCATGGTGCGGATCATTGGGAGTGGGGATGATGTATTGTGACAGGTTGGGTGTTGCAGCTGGAGTGGATGGAGTGGATGTAGTGGATGTAGTGGACGGAATGGATGCTGCGGATGCTGCGGATGTTGTGGATGTTGTGGATGTTGTGGATGTTGTGGATGTTGTGCTGGTCGGTTGGGCTGTTGGATAGTGTGTGTTGTTGGTTGGCTCTGCCACTGGAATCGCCGGTGACTGTGGCAAGAGGCAAAATTGTCAGCCATGGGAGTGCTGTGTCGGTGGGAGATGGGCTCTGTGAACAAGAAGCGCTCCGTGGGCCATCCAAGGCCGCTTGATCTTGCGACTCGTCCCCTCCCCCCACAAGGACACCCCGGGGGTGGCGGGTGGAGCGCTGTGCTTGGTCGGGAAAGGCGATGACCGCGCGGCACTCGGGGCCGTGATTGAGGAGCAGAACGGAGCCGCATCTCCACGGGATGCGCTGCTTGCCTACGGCGCATGCTTATCCTCGGTGCAGACGGCTCGCTGGACATGCTGGTCGCTGATGTCGCCGAGTTCGTCGGCAAGCAGAGAGTGGATCGGGCCCCGCGTGCGAATGGGAAGGGTACCTCGATGTATATACATGCCAAACCTGGGCTTGTTGGGTCGCTCATGGGCCGCTCAACATCAGCCCACATGCCGACAGCTCAACAGAGGAACCCCAAGCAGGCCAATCCACGATCGAGCTTCTCCCTGACAGTCGAGGGCGTGCGATCGGCTGTCGTTGTCCTGTCGGCCTGTGTGGGCGGGATCGGTTGTGGTGACGACGGAGCGAACACCCCGATTGGCTACAGCCGAGTGCACACGCTCAGCAACAAGAGCCCGCGTGCTTCCGCTCCAACGCACGCCGACGGTCTGTCACAAAGCGACTGAACAGGAACGCAAAACCTAGCTGTATATACAACGTGACGCCTTGTGCGGGTTGCGCCGATGGCCAGCACGCAGGCCGCTTCGCCCTGGCATCCTGCTCCAGCAGTCAAGGTGCCCGGCCTCGTTCTGAAGCTGGACTCACCACAGCAATCGATATGGTCGTCTGGCCAACGCTGCCCCCGGTGCCGCGCGGTCATCGCCTTTCCCGACCAAGCACAGCGCTCCACCCGCCACCCCCGGGGTGTCCTTGTGGGGGGAGGGGACGAGTCGCAAGATCAAGCGGCCTTGGATGGCCCACGGAGCGCTTCTTGTTCACAGAGCCCATCTCCCACCGACACAGCACTCCCATGGCTGACAATTTTGCCTCTTGCCACAGTCACCGGCGATTCCAGTGGCAGAGCCAACCAACAACACACACTATCCAACAGCCCAACCGACCAGCACAACATCCACAACATCCACAACATCCACAACATCCACAACATCCGCAGCATCCGCAGCATCCATTCCGTCCACTACATCCACTACATCCACTCCATCCACTCCAGCTGCAACACCCAACCTGTCACAATACATCATCCCCACTCCCAATGATCCGCACCATGCGCCTCTGTTCAACGCGCAGGCCCTCTCGATCTGGCTGTGTACTTTAGCCCGATGCCCGTGCTGCATCACAAGGCCTCTCCTGCCTCTGTACACAGCTCGGCTCGGCTTGTCTCTGGCTCGCCAAAACACCGGCGGCGCGTGCATCCAGCCTCTGAATCCACAAGCTTGAGGATCGAACTTCGCCCGGCCCAAGAACAGAAAGAAGGAGCAAAACCCTGTCTTTGCACGCTCCTCCCAAGCCTCCTCGCGAGTGGCCATCCGAGACGCCCCTCCCCTTGCATGTGCATCACTTCCCCCCAAGTCGAGGCCCATCCCCCCCGCCTCCGCTGATATATAACATGGTCGGATCCTCTCCCTCCAGCCGCCAAGGATCCAGCTCTGCCCGACAGTCCCCTGCCTCGACAGTGACTCCCTTCTGCTACCTGGCTCTCTGACTCTAGACTCTGTCTCGCTTTCACCATGGTCATGAAGCTTCTTGCTGTCTCGCTGGTCGGCTCGCTGGCCGTCAGCGCTGTCGCTGCCCAGTACCAGCCTTCCAACCCCACCCCCGGTCAGTTCTCCCGCTACCGCGCTCTCCCTCAGGGCTCCAACCTGGCCGTTGTCCCTGTCGATGGCGCCGAGTTTGTCACTGGCCAGCACTTTGACATCTCGATCGAGCTGCACAACGACGGCAACGCCGCCTCCCCCTCTGTTGATGGCATCATCGCCGAGATCAACGGCGTTCCCATGGACCAGTTCTTTGGAACCAGCTGGACCACCCAGACCTGGAACTTCACCTACTCGAAGGACGCCTCGGAGTACTTTGCCAACCCTCCCAAGACCACCCCCGTCGGTGTGACCCGTCTGGCTCTGCGTGACATTGCTCTGCCGACCACTGGTGACTTTAACGTAGGTCTTGTGCTCGCGTGTGCGTGCGTCGCTGGATGGGTCTGTCGATGCTTGCCAGTGCCTGCCGGTGCTTGCCAGCACTCAGTACTCGCAGGCATGCCTGTGTCATAGATCGCCAGCCAACGGCGGCCTGTTGCCCAATGCTGACTCGGCATCTCGCTCTTCCCTGGTTCCCCATCTGGTTCCCCATCTGGTTCCCCATCTGGTTCCCCATCTGGTTCCCCATCTGGTTCCCCATCTGGTTCCCCATCTGGTTCCTCGCCTCGCTCCTCGCCCACTCTCCACTGAACCATCAGGTCACCATTGCCGTTGGCAAGGAGCGTGTCTCGGCCAGCTGGTCCACTCGCAACTACTGCAAGCCCCTCGCCAAGAACACCGTCATGTTCATTGGTGACGGTATGGCTCCCGCGATGATCAGCGCCGCGCGCTTCATCTCGCGTCCCACCAAGTTCGGCAAGGTACGTTGTGTGAATCTGGATTGCGTAGCAGTCTGGCGGCATCGGTGGAGTGGGAGTGGGAGTGGGAGCGGCCTGTTCAGCCGATAGCAAGAGTCAAGACTATCAGTGTTGTAGTTGTGGCTGTTGTTGTGGAGTTTCAGACCAAGGCCATGATCGTGGCCCAAGGTGACCACGAAATCAGGTTCCACATTCTAACTCTGTCGCCGCCTTGGGTCATTTCACACATTATACCACACATTATACCACACATTATACCACACATTATACCACACATTATACCACACATTATACCACACATTATACCACACATTATACCACACATTATACCACACATCACACACCACGCATCGCATATTGCGCATATCAGTTCGCCAAGGGTGCCGGCTTCCTCAACCTCGAGAACCTCGGCAGCGTCGGCAAGGTCTCCCCCAACGGCATCGACTCCATCATCACCGACTCGGCCAACTCGGCTGCCGCCTACCACACCGGCCAGAAGGGTTGGGTCAACGCCCTCAACGTCTATGCCGATACCTCGGCCGACACCCTCGACGACCCCAAGGTCGAGACCCTCGCCGAGATGCTCCGTCGTCTCCGCCCCAACGTCTGCGTCGGTGTCGTCACCACCTCTGCCCTGTGGGATGCCACCCCCGCTGCTGTCTTCTCGCACACCCGCCGTCGCTCCGACTCGCTCGTCATTGCCGGCCAGGCCCTCAACGGCGCCAACAGCACAAAGTACCCCTGGTCTGCCCCTCCCGTCCGCCCCGATGTCTTCCTCGGCGGCGGCGGCAACGCCTGGTGCAAGGGCGCCAGCCCCTGCAATGCCACCACCGGCTACTATGCCGACTACACCAACGCCGGCTACACCTTTGTCTCGGACAAGGACCAGCTCTCCTCCTACCAGGGCAACGGCCCCCTCCTCGGCGTCTTCACCAACGGCCACATGGAGACCTGGATCGACCGCAACCTCTGGACCGAGAACCTCGATACCAAGAAGAACTCTCCCTTCCTGACCGGCAGCGCCCTCAAACAGCCCAACTTTGACGACATGGTCATGAAGGCCATCAACCTGATGGACGCCCGCTGCTCCGAGGGTTGGTTCCTGATGGCCGAGGCTGCCTCGATCGACAAGATGATGCACCCGATGGACTATGACCGTGGTCTGGCCGATCTCCTCGAGCTCGACCGCACCGTCAAGAAGGTCGTTGACCACGATGCCGCCCACTACCCCGGCCAGACCGCCATCCTGCTCACCGCCGACCATGCCCAGGGCTACGATGTGTGGGGCACCGTCGACACCAAGTTCTTCAACAACCAGCCCACCTCGGACAGCAGCATCCTCGACGGCCAGACCGGCGTCCAGTCGTCCGACTACTCGCTCCAGATCCAGAAGCGCATGGCCATCGGCGAGTACGACTTTGCTGGCTGGATGGACATTGTCATCGACGCCAACGGCAACCCCACCAACTGGCAGGGTCAGTACAAGCTCGCTGGCGGCAAGGTCGATGGCCCCCAGAGCCGCGATAACTTCCAGATCCGCAAGAACAATGTCAAGGGCAACCCTCTTGGCCGCAACCCCGCCGTCAGCAACAAGGCCCTGACCGGTCTCTTCCAGAAGCAGTATCCCAACGTCGCCGTCAACAGCGTCGACCCCGACGAACCCGAGGGTCTCAACTTCAACGGCCGCAACTCTGGAGGCGAAGTCACCTCGGTCCACACCCTCCAGGCCGTCGATCTCTACTGCAACGCGCCGATTGCTCGCCTCTGTCGTCGCGCCGTTGACAACACCGAGGTCTTCCAGATCCTCGCTCAGTCTCTTGGTCTGGGTGATCCCAAGCAGTGCTACTAAGCTCTGCCTCTCCGCTCTGCTCTTTCCTGTGTCCACTATTCATGCCCCCCCCCATGACGCTTAATCATATAGTTGTCGTTAACTGCAATCCCCGTGTCCTCTGAGCCTCCTAGGCCTCAATGTGGGCTCTATAGTGATTTTCGCCAGCAGCTCATGGGACCCACTTTCTGTTTGCGTTCATGTTTCTGTATGGACCGCGCTGCTCCCCAGCCAAATATAGACACGCCTTCATGACTCTTTCCCGTTCTTTGTGTGTCCTAAAAATATATATCTCTGTTGACTTACGCCCCTCCTGCTCGGCACTCTGCCGCTCGCCTGCCTTCGCTCTCCGTCGTGCCCTTCCAGCTCGGCTCGGTTCACTGCTCTTCCCGCTCCCCTGGCAGCCATGACGTCCCTCGATTCGCCTCCGATGCACATCGATGGGCTCCCCAATGAAGTGCTCGTGCATATCTTCTCGTTTCTCGCCTTTCGCGAGCAGTTCCCGCTCCTCGCCCGGGTGTGCAAGCGCTGGACCTGCGCAGTGTATCTCACTCATGTATGGCCCTGAATCGCTCGCTGCTTGCTCGGCAAGTCCACCGAAGTTGGCTGATCGGCTTCCGTTTCCCACGCTAACGCCACCAAAACACACTCACTCCACCGCATGCAGACACTCGTTGTCCCAGCGACTCCGCATGTAAAAGCCCAGAACATCAACGTTCTTCTTGCCCGGTATCCCCTCGTGAAGAGGCTGTTTCTGATCCCAAGCCCGAGAACCCTCTCGGAGCATGATCCGGACCTGCTTCACCAGATCGCAGCCCAATTCAAGGGCCATCCCAGTTTGATGGAGCTCTACTGTGGTAGCGACTACCTTGTGCCGAGTGCCCTGACACTCTGTCCCAGCCTCGCGATCCTTCGGCTCCCCCACATTCATCGTGGATATGACTCTGATGACTTTGACGGAGACGACGATTATGACGACCACGACGTCAATGCGACTGCCGGTCACAATGATGAACTCAGCGGCCAGATGAATGACTCCGCCATCGATCTTACCTCGATCACCGAGTCTCCCGCGATAGCTTCCGATGCTCCTTTTAGCCAGCTCACCCGCCACAATCACTGGTCGAGCGCCCACAACGAAGCCAAGATCAACGGCCGACGGAACCTTGGCATGATTCTCAAGTACGCCAAGTCTCTGCGTTCGATTGATATCGAGTCTCCGATCTTCTGGCGCCGCGATGCCCACCCCGGCGTCATTGATAACAATCAAATGCTGCGCAACACTAGTGTCCGGGATTCCCCATCAACTCTGGAGCACCTCCGTATCTCGTCCATGGTCAATTGGTCCTTGTCGAATTTTATCCGATGGCTTAGCCGGACGACTCCTGTGCTCCCTCAATTGCGCACCTTCATCTTTGATGCCGACTACACCGAAATCCCATCCGGTTTGTGAATCCGCTGCGCATGCAGTGATATGTATTTGTTGGTGGCGTTGGTGATTTGCTGACCAACGTGATGGTTCGGAAGGGGTGTTGGGTGAAGTAATGCATCGACGACGGCATCCACAGATTCGGGCTCTGCCCGTGTCTTGAGCGAGGATACACATCCCGATAGCATTACTCCCAGAGGCGATGCACTTCACACTGCTTACATCCAGCTTCGTTTCCAGGCTTCATTTCGTCGTTGTCCGCGGGCTGTCCTTGCTTGTCGTCGCTGAAGATCAAGTACGCCACTCTGTCAAAGTCGGCTGTCCACGACATCACGGCCCATCTCCGTCAGCTGGAACACCTTTCGATTGGCAAAACGGACGTGTGTTTCCCAAACCCATTCCAACTGCAGCAAGCCAGCGCCAGCAACCAGGATCCAGACGGTCCAGTTGGATATGGTCATCTGATCGAGTATTTGACCAGCTCCCTTCCACAGCTTCGGTCCTTGCACTTCAATCAGTGCCAGTTGACCTCTGTGCCGCTCTCTGATTTCCATGGGTCGACCGAGCCACTCACTTCGAGCTCGGCCCGAGGCTGCCCAGACAACGGATCCCATCCCCTTCAGTCGCTCAAGATATTTGATCATGGCATCGACCGTCCGACCTCGTTCGTGGTGCTGGAGACGTTGTTGCGATTCAAGCGACTGTCATCGATCCGAATCGATGTCCCCAGCGATCTCTTGCATGGCCAGAGAGCCGAATATCTCCGGACCCTGATCTCGGCCCGTAGCCAGCTTCGTCAGATCGAGTTTCGGTGCTCGTCACAGCGCTTCGAACACACACAACCTGTCGACACGACATTCGATCTGGAAGGCATCCAAGTCGCTCACGAGGGTCCTGTGCGGCCGGCGCTGGAGGCGTTGTCAATCTGGTCTTCGCCTGGGTTTCCCTCGATGCTCCTGAACGACCTCAGCGCTGCCACGTTGACGCGATTGCATCTGAATTATCTCCCTGCGCTCTCGACGATGATGACGATGAAACCGCTCTCATTCCCGTGCCTGCGCGAGCTCGAAATCAAGGCTATCACGCTCCTGGCGCACTCGATCTGCCTCAGTTTGCTGGAGTACTTGGTCCAGGATGCGCCCAAACTCACGTCCCTGAAGCTCGAGGCGCTGCATCGAGAGCCCACGCCTCTGGACCACACCGTTGTGTCCAGTCTCGGTGCTCGGTGCCCAGGCCTGCAAGATCTCAAGCTGTTCCACTTTACTATCGACATTGCCGTCATCAAGCAACTGCAGACAATGTGGTCCAGTCTTCACACCCTCGAGATCACCGGGCTCAACGCCGTCCCAACCATTACTCTGGCCTGGGAGCGAGAGTTCATGACCTTTCTCTTCAACCATCGCGGTCTGCGGCATCTCCGACTGTCGGCTGGAGTGATTCTGATTCCAGGCCTCAACTTGGCATGTGGTGGGGCCGCTGCTGAGCCAAGAGGCGATGTCGTGAGCCCGCTACCATCGGACCTGTCGGTCTTTCGAAGATACTCACACCTGGTGCGGGAGAAGGCGTGGTGGCTCGAGGAATGCGTCATCCGTGGTCGATAGCCAAACAAGCGCAAGCCGACTGATGGACATTGGTTTATGGCGGTGTCGGCGGCGTCGGCGGCCTGACCGGTGCACCACCTCGAGGACGGACAAGCATCGTTGGAAAGCGGCAGCCACCCAGCTGTGGTTGTGGTAGTGAATGCACTTCCCTGCTCGGGTTTCATGGGCTCGCCGAGAGGCGAAGGCTAGACGCAGCACATTTGAACAAGGATACGCCCTTCGTAAAACGAAACGGAACACTCGGCTATGGGCCAGGAGTGTCGCCTGTTCCTCGGTCCAGAATATACATCCATCTGGCATACAGTGTGGAATCGCGCCGTCGATGCGGGGTCTTGACTTGGGGGCTGCCGAGGGATCGATTTCATCACATATGGCTCGGTCTAGCAAAGCCATCACAAGCTACATGTTCAGTTCAAACAGGGCAATGTCCAATTTACTCCTGCCCAAAGTGCAAGATCTGTTGCTACGGAGTCGTGCCTTCCCCTCGACCGACGGATCTGGTACTCTGTTCATCAAACCTGACGAGCCCAGAGCCACAGTGCACTTCTGGATGAGCGGTACTCCTGAATAAACGGAGCTCTTGGATGAACTTTGCTCCTGGATGAGTAGAGGAGCAGCCCGACTACAATCCACGCATCTTTTCGTAGCACCGCCGAGTCGCCACTCTGATTTGCGGATGCTCACAGCGCAAAACGACCAGAAATGTGTGTTTCGGGATCCAGAGCGCATTAGGCACTAGTTTCAAAAAAAAACGGGACGTCCCCGCTTCGTATTATGTAATGCTGTACACTTTATTCAGAAAAAAACGGGACAATATAGCCGTTTCCATGAACAGGTAGTATGTGCTGTGCTTGCGTCAAGCAAAGCCACAAGAAATAAAACAGATCACTTTGGCAGCCTCCGAGTGAAGACCGCCGGTCGCCCTCCGGTCTCCACAATCGACTTGCATACTGTGATCATGTTGCGCGCCGCATTGACGTCGCGATTCCACACTGTCTGGCAGCTGGGATTCTTGCAGCTCCTGACAAAGTGGGAATTCGCAACACTGGGCGCATCGAGTCCTTCCAACCGAACTGGCTCCAGGCACTTGGAGCACACTTGCGAGGTGTTGAACTCGTTCGTCGAGGCCACCTTGACGCTTCCATGAGGGTGATTGGGACGGCGTCGGTGGTGCTCGAATTGCTCAAAGTACCGAGCAAACCGCTGCCTCCGAGGGCTGGATGCATAGCCCTTGCCCTGTCGCCATGACGCATTGCCAAAGGCGATCACCACATCAGTCCGTATCGGGGCGTGCTTCAGGACGGCCTTGCACATCCTGTCGACGGCCACTTGGCGCCTCTTGTGGCCCGTGAAGCGATGGTGACGGGCCTTCTTGCCAAGATGGAAGTCGAGCTGTACTCGCGGCTCCGGTCGCAGGACATGGGTGAGATGGACCTTGAAAGCCTCCGAGGACGACACCTTGGGCGAGGGGGTGGACGACATCCAGGTCTCGATGCTGAGTCGATACTTCATGATATTGTGCCACTTGGTGTTGGACGTATGGCCACACATGTGCTGGTAGTCGCCATTCGAGAATGAGACCACCTCGTCTTGGTGGCCCGGTGCTTGGATGACCGCCGTGAAGATGGAGCCGACTCCAGGATCGATGCCAATCCAAGTGGTACGGTTGGGGTCTGGGTCACCGATGTGGGCCTGGATACGCTGCTCGGCAGTCGGAGGAGGCTCGATGGTCTCGGTGTGATCGGTTCGACGCACAAACTTGACGAGGCCGATGGTGCATCCAATGCCATCGGTGCTGATCTCGTAGTTGAACAGCTTCTTGTCCCTGACCCGCTCTTGGAAGAGGGAACTACGCAGCTTGAAGCAACTGCGCCAGAGACGATCCTGGTTGTTGATGCCGTCATCACCTTCTCCCTTGAGCTTGTCCCGGGTGAGTCTAAGACGATGTTCGGTGTCAAGGAGATCCCAGAGAGTGGCCGTGTCAATCTTGATGTACTTGGCCTTCGCAGTGCACAGAGGGACCATCGTGCACACGGCCGGAGGAGTGTCGAGAGCGAGCTGCTTGAGTGCCCAGTTGATCCTGGCGGCCAGCTTGTTGATCTTGGACTTGGTGGTGCCGAGCTCAGACTTGGCCGTGGTGAACCTCTTGTCGTCGGAGGGAATGCCTTGGGTAGTGAGCTCGTCCAGCTTGGCCTGGCGCTGCAGCTCGGTGACTCGGAGGGCGGGCATGTCACAGTCGATCCACTTGTGGACATTGTCGACCATCTTGTCTCGGGCGAGGATTCCCACATGGTGTGAGAGGCGATGGAGGGCCCGGAGGCGGTCCTGGTCGTTGCTGTACCGAAACTCGTCCAGGATGTGGCCAAAGTCTGGATAGAGGAACTCGAGATCGGCCTTGGGTGGAGTCTGCCCTGGTTTCTCGAAGAGCTCGAGACAGGCCTCGATGGCTTCGTGCTTATGCTTGTTGGCTGGGAAGACGGCAGCGCAGAAGCGGCGAAGGAGTCGCCAGTAGGCCAGATTGAGGTGTGTCGTGCAGTTGGTGGCATAGGCATTGACAGCCAGTGTGAGAAGCTGACTGTGAGCACCATCAGGCAGACGAGGGGCCGGAGGCAGGTCTGTGTGCCGAGTGGTCTGGTAGTCGCGAAAGGAAGCGACCAGATGCTCGTTGTATTTCTCATTGTCCCCGGTCGGCGAGAGGGCATCGGCCTCGACAATCGTGAAGCATTGGCGGATGAAAGCAGGGGTGGACTTGGAGATGACGGGGACGGGAATATCCTGCTCGATGCACCGGAGGATGTGCAGGTTGAGCAGCCTGGATGCCTCGAACTGGATCTGGGTCATGGCCTCGACGGTGGCCTGGATCTTGTCGCGGAGAGCGGGATTGAGACAACAGCCATCCATCGTCTGCTTGAAGCAGCTGAACTGAGGGGCGGATGACCTTCCATCCACGAGTGGGACGACAGAACTCTTGAGGGGGTGATATTCGGGACATTTGCTGGTGTTGCTTCGCTCGTGGTCGGTACCGTCGCACTGGCGACATCGCTTGACAGGACCAGATGAGGGACCAGGCTCGGTGGGATCGACATCCATTGGATCTGCAGAAGCAGTGGTGGTGAGCGACGGAGCAACAGACGACCAAGCATGCGTGGGGTCAGAAGACGAACCAGAGACAGGCTCCGACTGTGACTTGGCTTTCTTGGGCCTGGGTGGCCGAGGCTGGCCATCACCGGTACCCTTACGCTTCGGAGGCATGGGGGCAGAGGATGCTGGATGCCTGCCAGTGGTACTGGTCAGAGCAGAGACTTTTTTATCGTGCAATAGCGCGAATGATCAGATCAAGGCGAGATGAGGGAAGAAAGCAGCAGGACGAAGGTGTGGCATTTATACCCGAGAGCAGGAGCCCGTCGTTGCGGGCTGGTTGGGGAAGTGACCCTGTTCAAAAATCGCCGAGAGGTTCAAGCCAGGGATGTGAACGCGAAAACGGCGGCTTGATTGGAGGGAACTCAACCCCAGAAGCGCATCGCACATTCAATCAGCCGTGGGAAGACATCTGGAAGCACCCTCCGAACGGCAGACTCAAACAATATGACCATCCCGGCCTTGAACCCTCGGACGCATTCAGCGCTCCTGCCTTCCTGTACTGGTGCTTCACAATCCCAAAGAAGTTCTCGATGGGATTGAAGTCGAGTGAGGCAGGTGGGGTGAAGATCACTGACCATCCTCGGTGATCGATGCAGTCCAGGACAGCCATTGTCTTGTGCATGCTGACATTGTCCATCACAACCACAGAGTCGTCTGGGAAGCTCGCTCGCTCAAAGAACTCGACCATCGAGTGTGTCTTGAATGATGTGGGGATGTACATGCGATGCAGCACACCAGAGTGGTTGATGGCAAATGCAGCCGAGACAGACTTGTGTTTCATGTGATTGCGCTGACGGAGTGGGACGCCCTTCGGTGAGTATCCGTAAAGAGGGAAAATGGATCTCCTGATCCCCGTCTCATCGACAAAAACGAGCCGTCGTGGGTCGATGGAGCGGGCCTGGTCCCTGAACTGTGCCACTCGCTCATCCAGTCGCTTGGACTTGTAGAGGTGTGTTGCCCTCTTGTGTGAGAGACCTGCTCGGTGGATGGCAGTGTGGCAGAGTGAGAGCGACACTTTCCTCTGGAGGATGGACTCGAGCTTGCACCGCAGCACAGGACCAGTCTGGAACGGGTCCTGTTCAATCAGGGTGCGAATGACTGGACATGCCTGCTCGAAGAAAGTGGATCTGCGAGCTGGGACCCGGGATGGGCCATCCAGCTTGCATCCTCGGTGCCATCGATGGATGGTGCTCTTGGATACACTGAATATGGAGGCGACCTTACGCAGGCTATGGATGAGGGCGTAGCATCGCAATGCGGCGGTGCGAAAGTCGGATGTGTGGCGAATGGTCATGGCCAGCGCGCGATAACATTGGGTAACAAAATATTCGATGAATGGTCAAAATCCCGGGTGTCCCGTTTTATATTGGATCGCCTGTAAATACAGGGTTGTCCTGGCTCCTTTTGTTTTCTTTCGCACGGAACGCCTGGGCTCCGCACCACCGGCATTCGATTGTGCATTATCAAGCGTACGGCAAGCCGAGCCCGAGAGCGCGCTGGGCAAAGTCGACCGACGCAGCCTCGACCGATACAGCGTCCGGCGAAAGTCGCACTTGAGCAGAGACGGCGAGCGGATAAATAGTTCTTGGCATGGGGCGCCGAGGAAATGGGCGTGACGATCAAGCGGGGCCCCGGCCGAGGCTATGGCCAGACAGGAGCGTGTATGCCAAAGAGATTGTTGGCAGCAGCATCCCGGGCGACGCATAGCAGAGGGCGGCAGGTCGGGGCAGAAGCGAGGACGGCAATCAAGGCAGCAGCCCCTGCTTCCTGAGGTAGTCTCCAAAATCGGCATAGAGTTGTAGTTTCTCTTCGTCGGAGAGGCTTGTGATGGCCAGATGGAGTACCTCGCCGACGGTGGTCCCGCCCGTGCCGATGAACGATTGATAGTACATGTACGAGAATAGGCCCATCAGGAACTGGCAGTCCATGCGGTCGGTGATGCCGCCGTGGCCGGGTATGGAGTCACCAAAGTCCTTGATCTTGAAGGCGCGCTTGAATCCCGAAGCGAAGAAACCTCCGAACGGAGCAATGAGCGAGGCAAAGCAGGCCATGACCACGGCGTGAAACTGGACGGGCGCAACCTTGACAAAGGTCAGCTGGTTGAGGATCGGAACGGGCTCGAGCAGCGAGTGCAGGGTGGCGGGCAGTAGGATTTCCCTTGGCACAAAGACTGGGTTGGGCGTGCAGTCGATGGTCGAGAGCGAGGTGGTGTGCAGATCGCGCACCGGGCAGATCATATACGGGTACTGCGACAGGAAGCCCGCAACGACAAAGCCAAAGACGAGGGTGCTGAAGAGGGCGCCGACAAAGCCCTCCCAGGTCTTCTTGGGACTGAGCCGGATGAGGGGCGTCCGTCCAAAGAAGAATCCAAAGATGTAGGCCATGATGTCGTTGCAGATCACGAGCGACACTGGCAGGACAAACCAGAACAGGCCCTCGAAGATGTTGTTGATGATAAAGTGCGACTGGCAGATGACGAGCAGCAGCGTCATGTGCGTCCAGCCGAACTGGCTGAACTGCGCCTTGTAATGGCCCTTCTTCAGGTTGATGACGAAAAAGATAAAGCCCACGCAGTAGAGGGCAAAGGAAATGAAGCGGTGGTGGGTGGCGAGCGGCACGAACTGCAGAAAATCAATGTAGAGCCGCTGCTTGCAAAAGTGGATGATGCTCTCGCCGTAGAGGAAGTAGTTGGTGCTGCCGAGGAAATACCAATGCATCGAGCGGAACCACGAGACCTTCTTTTCCCGCGGCAGCCGCACGTAGCCGATCGAGATGACTTCGAGATAGACGAGCGTCTGGATGACAATGATCAGCAGGACGACCCAGATGTGGCCCGCAGCCAGGACTCCGGCAAAGCCGCCGATCATGATCAAGGTCCACAAGGCCCGGACCCACCAGTTCCGCCATTTCTTTCCGGTCGGCTGGTCGACGAGCAGGGTTTCGCCTTGCGGTGCTGGGTCTGCGGCGGCATCGCCAGAAACGGGGCCGGACGGGGCCGGCGTCGATGCGGACGAGGGGCTTTCCTGGGACGGCGACGTGGAAGCCGCCTGGGCGGCGGGCTGCTTGCTGGCCATGACGTGCGGATATGCTTGGGCGACGCGATAGCAGACGACGGGGCGGATGCGAGTTGGGTGCCGGCCGGATACGATGTGGTGCGATGCGGATGCAGATGCGGATGCGGATGCAGATGCGGATGCGGGTGCAGATGCGAGATGGAGGCAAGAGGGCGCTGGGCGGACGGGATGGATCGGCGGCCAAGGTTGATCGGCGGTCAGATGTGCTTTGGCCGACCGGAGCCAATCGCCGCCGAAATAAATCAAACCAGGAAGAAAAAAGTCACGTGGGCGCTTGCTCCGACAGAACCAAGACCAAGACGATCGGCACCAAGACCAAGACCAAGACCAAGACCAAGACCAAGACCAAGACCAAGACCAAGACCAAGACCAAGACCAAGACCAAGACCAAGACCACGACCACGACCAAGACCACGACCACGACCAAGACGATCGAGCAGGAGATATCTCCGCCGGGACAGGCAGCACCCGCACAGACAGCAGCGCAATGGCCGACGTTACTGCAAACGGCATCGCCGCCACCACCACCAGCGACAGCAGCGCCCCTGCTCCCCGCGAGAAAAGATCGGGATCGAAGCGCAACCGCTCCCAGAGCCCCCAACCCGAGCCCAGAGAGGGCCAGTGCAGCTTCTGGGTCAAGGTCGGCAAGCACCTGCGCCGCATCTGTCCTTGTATTGCAGCCGTGCTTGCATCGCTGATATGCCCAGACGGCCGTATCTCCCTTTCCCTCCCGTCTGGCTGCCCATTCTGACACCCACGGCTTGCGCTGCATCAGAAAAAGAGAAGATACTGCAATCTCGGAGTCCGGCCTGGAGACCGATGGTGCGGCGAGCATGCTCCCCAAGACAAAACCAAGAAAGTCCATCGAGTGCCGTGCCCATATGACGGCAAGCAGTAAGTGCTGTCTGTTGCTGACGAGGCAGCTTGCACTCTCCGTCCTCACTAGCAGCGATATCCGTCAAGATGTCGCATTCCCGAATGTCGATAGCGATGACAAAACGGAGCACGATGCTTGGCTGTCAACTCAAACATCCCCTGGGCCATACCAGCACCATCCTCAACTCTCAGCTCGAGGCGCATATGAAACGTTGCAACTCGAGGCCCAAGCCACGGCCGTCCTGCTTCCGCGAGAATTACAACGTTGGACTGGGCCTCCCAGAAGCAAACGACAGCGACAAGACGGCCCGCGATCTGATGATGGAGATGTCCAAGGAAGAATTTGCCAAGCTCGTCGAGTTTGTCAACTCGGTGTATGACAAGGTCGTTGGCACCGACTTTCCGACTGTCATTCTGGACCACAAGGCCATGGATGCCCGAAGGTGCGTTTGTCGTGGCCATGGGAGTAGTTCGGATGCAAGGGATGGATGGATGGGCCAGAATGGATTCCAGAATGGTGGACAGCAATGTCCAAACCGTCGATCCTTCTAGCCGAGAATGCAGGCGGCATGTGTCTCAGCAGGCTTGATCAATGCCACAATGGTTCTGTCACTGCGAACACCATGGCAAGTTCCCCCCCCCATTCTGGTGGCAACATCAATGGAACTAATGCCGCTGACAACACACTCTCTACAGAAAGGAAACGCATGACGGCAAGCATGCCATTCAGCAAGCCTCCTTGATCGGACACATGGATCGCCTGGGGTTCTTGGAGCCCGAGACTGTCTTTGTCGAGTTCGGCTGCGGAAAAGGTTCGCCCCCCCCCATCTTCTGCAATCCTCCAGGTGCACGATCGAACTGGCCGCCGTCGGACTGACTCTGTACTCCTTCCTCGTATGGGCTTTGAAGGCGAGCTGTCCAACTATGTCCACATGGCCGTTGGCGATCCGTCCTACTATGTCTTGATCGACCGCAAGAACTTTCGCATGAAGGTATGTGTGGAGTGAGCGCACGAGGCGCCCTGGCGTGTCAGTCTTGGTTATTGAGGATGTCCGCGCAACAATATGCGTCCAATCTGATCTCGGACGATCTGATCTCGCACGATCTGATCTCGCACGATCTGATCTCGCACGATACACTCATCCATCGGTTTACTTTGGCGCCTGTGGCTATCAATCCGCCCGTTCTCGCCATGGCCGCATCCCAGTTCGATCGAGTGCTGAAAACAATGGTGTCGTCGTGGGAGCGCTATGCGATCGACATCAAGGATCTGGACCTGTCCAGGATCGAGCTGCTCAAGAATCACCGTGTTGTCGGCATCTCCAAGCACCTCTGCGGATCGGCCACGGACATTACTTTGCGCTGTCTGACGCACTACCTGAGCGACGACTCGTCCGCGTATCGTATCGTTCCTGCTTCTGTCCGGATTCTGTCGGCTGCTGGCGTTGCGGCAATACTCGGCCAGTATTCATCGCATGCAAGCGACATGGGTACATGTGGTAGCTTCAGCATCGTTCGCACAGCGCCTGCCACATGTTATTTAGACCCGACGTGACGTATCGTCATACTTTTGCTTGCTTCTGATCCTTCGTGCTCAAACATTGCCCTTCCTGCAATCGCCTTGATCAATCCTCTCTGCTTCCTCAGCAAGCTCGAAGGCGTCACCATTGCGCTGTGCTGCCACCAGATCTGCAAGTATCCCATGTACTGCAACCACAGCTTCCTCAGCGAGCACGGCATCACCGAAGATGTCTTTGGAAAGATGTGTGTCATGAGCACGTGGGCTGTCTGTGGCCAGCGACCAGCCGACGACGAAGCCGGCGACGATAGCAAAGGCAGCAATGAGGGCCTTTCGCATCAACAGGCATCTCGGGATACTCCCTCGGCCGAGAACCGAGACACGAGTGACAACGCCGACGAGGACCCGGACGAGGACGATGAGGGAGAAGGAATGAATGAGCGGCACCATCTCGAGGGCATCCCGCTTGCGGATTTCCAAGTCGAAGGGTAAGCGTGCACGGCGCGGTGGTGTTCGTGGATAGATGGCCCCGACACTTTTGCAGCCACATGCCGTCTCCACCGAGCGCTTCGTGGCCACAAGTGAGCAGCACTCGCTCATATCACATCCGTTTGCCCGTGCTGAGGACTACCCTCCTTCTCACATATGATGTGCCCATCACCTTCTCTACCTTCAAAACAACAACTGTGCGCTATCGGTATCGACAGCACCCACTGGTCAGGGCTTTCATTCGAGGACCGTGAGCGCCTCGGCTATCGATGCAAGCGCATCTTTGACGTCGGCCGCAAGCGATACCTGGAAGCCAATGGCTTCACCGTTCAGCTGCAATACTATGTCGAGTCCAAGACATCGCTCGAGAACCTGGGCCTGTTTGCGACGTATAACCCCGCCAAGTGAGAGTCGGAAGTGTCACACGACTCCGGCAGTGACACGGCTCCGGCAAGTGGCAGGGTCTTCTGGCGCCCCTACTCTGTCGCTATGGATATGCGGCGATGTCATCAATCGGAGGCCATTTACTTGTCACCATCGTTGGCAACGGCGGCTGACGACAACAGTGGCAGTGCGCTGGCACAATGAAGCCTCCCATTGACCGACACCACTCGCCCATTGCTGCATGTTCCCAGTCGCAAAATATGAGCGTCCCAGTTGCTTTCGAAGAAGTGTATTCACACGTGCATGATATGGCTATGCCGGGTCCAGGGTCCAGGGTCCAGGGTCCAGGGTCCAGGCTTGGGCTGAAAGGGAATGAGAATAGATAGAACAAAAAACAACGAGGGGAGGGGACGGAAGACGGTCACGACCGCACATACTCAAATGGCGGGAGGGAGAGGGGGAGCAGAGGCACAAAGCCAATCGCCGCATGACGGTTGCTCAAGCCTCTCCAGCGACCATCTTTCGGATGTCTTCGAGCGGATCGGCACCGATCGGCATCAGGTTGAACTTTTCGTTGAGGACCTTGACGATCGACGGGCGCAGGAACGCCGGGACGGTCGGACCCACGCGGATGTTTCGGATACCCAGCGATAGGAGCGAGAGCAACACGACGACGGCCTTTTGCTCGAACCACGAGAGCACAATCGACAGCGGGAGATCGTTGACGCCGCAGTTGAGAGCGCCCGCCAGCGCCAGGGCAATCTGGACGGCCGAGTACGAGTCGTTGCACTGGCCCAGGTCGAGGAGGCGCGGGATACCGCTGTCGCCGACATTGCTGTACTGCAGATGGTTGATCCGATACTTGCCGCAGCCGACGGTCAGAACTACAGAGGTGTCTGGCAGGGCGGCCGCGAGGTCGGTATAGTACGAGCGCTCACCCTCGTAGCCGTCGCATCCGCCGATAACATAGAAGCGGGTGATCAAGCCTGCCTTGACGGCATCGAGCACGGTTCCGGCGGCGCCAATGACCACCTCGCTGCCCCAGCCGACGTTGTAGCTCTCGGTCGCAGCCGTAAAGACGTTCTCGGGATAGCTGAACTTTGTCTCGGCGCCGAATCCCCCGAGCTTGGCTGCCATCTCAATGACGACCGAGTAGTCCGAACCGACAATGTGGGGGATCTTGGGCCAGCCCACGGGTCCGGCTGTGAAGATGCGGTCTCGGTACTCGTCTTTGGGCTGGGTGAGGCAGTTGCTGGTCATCAAGATCGGGCCAGGAAAGTGGCCAAACTCGATCGACTGTCGCTGCCAGGCAACACCAAAGTGGCCGGCAAGGTGGGGCGACTCTCGTAGCTTTGGATATCCGTGGGCCGGCAGCATCTCTCCGTGGGTAAAGACGTTGACGTGCACGCCGGTGCGGAGCTTGTAGTCGGCACACTGGGCAAGCAGGTCTCCGAGGATCTTGAGATCATGGCCGGAGACGAGGATGGCCTTGCCGGGAACGGGCTTGGCTTGGGCCACGGCAGGGCTCTGTGCGCCAAAGGTGTTGTTGGACTGGTGAAGCAGCTCCAGGGCGGTGATGTTGACCTGGCCACATCTCATGAGCATCTCCAGCACCTTGTCCATTTTGGCCGCCTGCGGCGACAGCAAAAACGCAAATGCTTCGTGGACATAGGCGTAGATCTCGGGGCGCTCGTTCTCGTACTGCAGCGAGTGATCGGTGTAGGCACAGAGACCCTTGAGACCATACACGAGCATTTCCTGGAGACCAACGAGGGCGTCGTTCTTGTTGGCACGGAAGCGACTGAGCACGCCGACCTTCTTGCCCTCGGCAACGAGGTCCTCGATGTCCAGGAGGGCATCCTGGCTCTGCTTCTTGACATTGGGCAGGGCAAGAACCTCGGCCGTGGCGCCGTACTTTTGGCACAGCTGTTCATATGTATGCTTGAGCTGCTCGGTACAGGTCGACGCGGTGCTGATGAACTCGGAGATCTTGGCCTCGTCAAAGTTGACGTTGGTCAGGGTCGAGAAGGTGGCAAGCAGGGTGAAGCGGTTGATCTTGGCGCTCTCGCGCTCCTCCGGAGCAGCACCGGGCAGTGTGCGGATGCGGTGCGCATACCAACTCAGTTTCTTGATGCACTCGATCAGCAGGTCTTGGAGGGCAGCGACGGTCGGGGTCTTGCCGCAGACGCCGATGGTGGTGCATCCTTTGCCTTGATTGGTCTGTCCGCACTGGAAGCAAAACATGGCACCCGAGCCCATGACGTCGGCAATGGGCTTGCCCTGGTCAACGCCGTCCTTGGCGATCAAGTCCTTGAGCTGGTTGTCCTCGTCCATGGAGCGGGAATACGCCTCGACTTGCCAGCGTGCGGCGTCTTTAAAGTCGCTGACGAGCGCATAGGCCTCCTCCGATGTCGACTCGTGGGCCTTCTGGAGGGCCGACACAATGGCGGACTCGTGGTAGACTAGTACGGTCGCCGATACAAGCAGCAAGAGGTATATCGGGTCAGAATGACCAAAGCCGATCAAGAGGCAGGCACATGCATATTGTCCGGCTGGTGACGGTGGTCGGTCGCACTGACGATGCGCACCAACATTCATTCGGAGTGTAACTCTGCATCCGCAGCACAGCGTCATATGGGAGGGGCGATAGTGTTTGGAGCTGTGAAGGATGTCGCAAAGAGCGATCAACAAGCAAGGGCCCAACGATACCCACCGGGAATGAGACCTCCGAGTCCACAGTAGAGATAGTATCCGTCGTTGTCGAGCACCTCCGACACCCTGGTCGGGAACTCCAGGATCTTGTCAGCCGGAGTGATGAACTTTGCTTGGTCGTGGGAGCATGCGGGAATGATCTCGACCAAGCCTCGGTCAACAAAGTCCTGGAGCTCGTCCTTGAAGAGATAGTCCTTTTGGGCATGGCGCATGCCATAGTACAGGCGGATACGAGATACTCCACAAGATGGATCCTGGTCAAGGAGGTGGGCACGGTGCTGAAGGATTCCTCGGAACACGGCAACACCAGTACCGAGAGCGACAGCGAGGATGGGTGTCTTTGGATCGGCTGGGAGACGAAGCAGGCCTTTCACAATCCTGGCCTCGACCACGTCGACATTGGGCTGGAGGTCCTTGAGGTATCCCGTCGCGACGCCCTGGAAGACAACGCTTGGATCCGTGGCGGACGACCATGTATCGCTCAGGAAGCAAATCTGGATCTGGTTGGGTGAGACCGAGGGTGCGGAGCAGATCGAGTAGAATCTAGAAACCAGTGATTGTGAAAGATACCGGGTTGGCGATGGAAGCCCGTGGTACTGTCGCAGAAACAAATGCCGCGCGGACAGCGCATGCATGGCACCCAGCGTCCAACAGAGGGTGTGGAGGCCGGAAGCCATGCCCACCGAGCGACCCTCCTTGTCTCATGCAGCGTAGCCATCAACGGCAGTGGAAGCATCCAATACTGCGCCAGTGGAAGCAGGCGTGAGCTGAACTCGGGACAGAGGCGTGCCTTACCTGGGCTGAAGCAAGGGGATGTTGCCCAGGAGATCCTCGAGGGTAATTCGAACACTCGGCCAGCGCTCGAGCGCATCGACCAGAGAGAAGGGCTGGCGCCCGGGGCCGCCGCCAGTCAATCGGGAGTACTCGCTGCTGGCGGTCATGTCCTCGGCAAAGTGTTCAATCTTCTCGGCTTCACCGGCGTCCTCAGCGAGGGCGGCGATACCCTCGAGGAACGAGCGCGAAGGTGGGGATGAGATGTCGAGATGCTGCGACAGCAGGCGATGGACCGACAGGAGGTTGGGAAGCCTCATGTCCTCGCCGATGGCATCGGTAGGGTCCAGCTCGACCTGAGCATTGGTGTCGAGACCCATGCGCTTGGCCAGGCGCTCGACTAGATGCGGGGAGTTGTGGCACTTGATCTGGATATGGTCCGTCAGGCCATAGCTCTGACCCTGGGGCAGATCAAAGGTCATGAGGTACACGGGACGCTCATAAGCAGCAGGGGTCAGGAGCTCTCTGCCGCTGACAGGGAGCTTGACGTAGCCATCTTGCAAGCGCTCGGCGATTCGGAAGACTTGAGTGGAAGGCTTGATGCTGTAGTGGCGGGGCAGCGACATTTTGGTATTGGAGCCGGTAAGCTTGACCCAGAGAGCTAGCGCGTGGGTGATATGCCAGTAGAGTGTGCAAGTCAGGAACAGGAGTAACGACAGCAACAACGGCACGCAGGGAGGGAGCAATATGAAAACAAGATCCGTTCGCAGCGGGCCTGAGACCGCCGAGACTTACTCTTCATCCAGGGACGGAAGTTGGACTCGTGGCCGTGCTCCGAGTACTCATCGCTGAAGACAGCGGGGGTGACCTCGAAGGCTCCAAGATCGAGCATCCGATCGCGGATGCGCTTGGCAGCGAGACAGAAGTTGCCCTTGGTGGTCTTGTTGCCCAGACCGAAGACGGTGAAGCGGGTTTGCTTGAGCTTGAGGGCATGGTTGGCGGGTATCGATGGAGGAAGGACAGAGTTGGTGAAGGGTGTTGGCGGGCGTGGTGCCTTGATGCGCAACGTGGGAAGACGAAAGCCCGTCGAACAACTCACCATGGAAGCCGGGTGGGACTCGTTGTTCAGCCAGGACCAAAACTTGGCAATGTTGTCGGGGAACTCGCCGTTGTAGAAAGTGGAGGTGAGGATGACGACGAGCTCCTCGTTTGGAAGGTCGGCTGGGTTGTATTCATTGCCGGTGCAGAGGCGGGCGTCGAAGGAGCGAGCCTTGGCAAAGGCATAGACGATCTTGGCGAACGCCTGGGTGGTTCCTGCAGCATTGAGGAGCAGGCGCGAGCAGAATGAGTCGGCTGAGACGGCTGAGACGGCGCGCGAATATGCGGCACGATGGGGAGCAGAGATACATACCGGTCTGCGAGCCGTAGAGAATAAGAAGCTTGGGGTTGGCCATGGCGGAGGCGCGTTACAATCAGCGTTACGGAGAAGGGCGATCAAGGCAAGACCAAAGGACAGGCTCGCCCGGCGGATCAATGGAGGAAGAAGGGCGGTGTAGAAGACCCGGAAGCTGGACGGTGGCCAAGAGAAGCGAGACAAACATGGGCTGTTATACCCTAGAGTGAGTCACGACAGCCGACGGACCCGACCGAGCCACCGCCGGTGGCGTCGTCTGCGCAAATTGTGCGGGCAAGGCGGAAGTAGTCATCAATGCGGGGCTTGTCGTGTGGGGGTTGTTGTGTGGGGGTCGGGGCTGGGCAGACATGCACTGGGGAGTATGCAAGACGGAGACGGGTGTGCGAGTTGCGCGGTGTGGATGTGGATGTGGATGTGGATGTGGATGTGGATGTGGATGTGGATGTGGATGTGGATGTGGATGTGGATGTGGATGTGGATGTGGATGTGGATGTGGATGTGGGTGTGGGTGTGGATGTGGTCCATGGTCTGAATGCACACGGCGAGCCCAGTCGAACAGCCGGGATGCATTGCTCTGTCCCGCCCTGGGCCGAATGGTCTTCGCGCCTTGGATCGACGCAGCCGGGGTCATGCCTTGTTGCTGTTTGGAGTCATTCGCAGGGCGGGCAGACTCCACCCTGTCTGTCCGTCTGTCTGCCCCAAGGCCACCCCGGTCCTCGGGGGAGAGGTTTGCTCTCGCAAACAAGAGAGCACTGAGAGTGTTGCTGAGAGCGTTGCCGGGAGCGTTGCCGAGAGCATTGCCCGACTCCCAGGACACAGGCCTGCGGATGGACTCCCTCTTGCTCAAGATGAGTCCGAGGTCAACCCGGGGCGACACAGGCCGGCCTTGTTGTGCGCGACCTGGAGCCCGGCAATGCCGCATATCGAGACTGCGGTGTGTCCTTCGTTCGGATGTTCGCAGCCACATGTCTGGCTGGCGCACCAAGACGCCACGCCATTTGGTCGTCGATCTCCTCAGCCATCGATATCCTCCAACCAACGAGGGAGAAATGGGAGGCAGCAACACGATACATACGCCTCAAGTTCTGGAACACATACACCACATTGTATGTGTGGCAAAAGGTCATGATGAAATGCGATGTATTTTGGTATTGAGCATGGCGGCCCATCGTGCACGGTTCTGTTGCGACAAAGCCCTTGGCGGACCCAACTCTTCCCCTCAGATCGGAGTCCTGGACACCTCTCAGGAGGGAGCACCCGCGATGGCTTGGTAGATCATGATGCCGTTGAGGACGGTGATGAGGGCGATTGATACGAACGAAAAAATGAAAATGAACCACGAGTTGGCAAAGCTTTTGCTGCCAGTCAAGTCTGTCCAGCAGCAGAGTCATAACAGAATCTGTTAGTAACGGCGTCCCCATGAACTTAACCCAATCACTGCTGCTCGCCAGCGACACCAGCCCAGTCCTCATTCCCACATGTTGCGTCGATTGAATCGGGCATGGTGACACTTGCCTTTCTCGGTTCTGAAATGCACCGACATGACCTTCTTGGACGACGAAAACCAGAGCAGTGGCCACAGCGCAAACGGCAGGCAGCCCGACAGCACGACTTGGGAAAGTACCAGTAAGCCATTGAGACCGGCGTCGCCCTTGACGATAACCACGATGACGGCCGGGATAATGGTGACGGTTCGGGTTGCCAGGCGACGAACCCAGAGCGGCCACTGGAGCTTCAGAAAGCCCTCCATGACGATCTGCCCCGCCAGCGTGCCAGTGATCGAAGACGACTGCCCGGAACATAGAAGCGCCAGAGCAAAGACCGTTGCTGCCCACGGGGCAATCAAACTTTTGAGCAGCTCGTACGCCGAAGGTATGTCGCTGATCTGCTGGTTGGTGTTGTAGAACAGCGCGGCCGAGACGATCAAGATGGCCGAGTTGACGTAGAGGGCAAAGGTCAGGGCAATAAACGAGTCGATGAACGCAAACGACAGGGCTTTCTGAACCTTGTTGGCAAAGCCGGGCGGGTTGATATATCCGTCGGCCAGCTTGGCTTCGAGGGGATCTGATGATCGGATCCGCCCGTCCACAGATTTGATGGGCACTTCGGGTGCCATGTCTTCTTGGTTTCGGCCGCTCACCGTCACCCGGGTTTCTTCCTGGGTACCCGACATGTTCTCGGTGCTGCATTCCTGCATGCGAGCGGGCTGCTGAACATCAACGGACTGCTGGAGATCCACGGACTGTTGGGGATCCACGGACAATGCACCGTCGACCGGGTCGGCCTCCTGTCGCGGAGAGCGATACTGAACCAGTCTCGAATGGATAAACAGGTTGTGAGGCATGATCGTGGCTCCGAGGATGCCCATGCCGACGTACAGAGTTGCCGGGTCGGTGAAGATGCTGGAGTCGAGAGGAAGGTAGCCCTTCAGCACATCCAGAGCGCTGGCCGAGCTGCGATTGAGCAGCATTCCGTAGCACACACCGACAGCCAGCACCATCGCAATGATGATGAACTCAAAGATGCGCAGGTATTTTGCCTGGAAGGTCGCCAGGACTACCAGCACATCAAGGGTCGTGAGCAGGATGCCCCAGACGAGAGGGATGCCCAGGAGAAGGTTCAGCGAAATGGCGGCGCCGATGACCTCAGCCAAGTCTGTGGCGATGACACCGAGCTCGGCAGTGACGTAAAGGACATAGTTGAGCCAGGGGTGGAAGTGCTTGCGACATAGCTGGCCCAGGTCGCGGCCGGTCACAACCCCGATCTTGGCGGCGAGGCCCTGGAATAGAACAGCGAACACATTCGAGAAGAGGATGACAAACAGCAGCTTGTACTGATAGGAAGATCCGCCTGAAGCGTAGGAGACGAGCGGTGGATAAGAACGGCATTGAGTGGGTCGTCGTACGGTTTCAGGTCATAGAGCAGGGCCAAGACATATCCGCAGGAAGGAGCAGCGTTCGCAGCTGGTGGGATTGGGGGGGGATGGGGCAGCGGCGGTCGTGTAGCCAACGCCAACGCACCTTGGAGATCAGTGGCCCAGTTTCCTGGATCTACAGATACGGAAGCCAGAGATCGAGTCAGAGTCGGTACGGGTTGTGAGGCATCGACAGCGCCATCTCTGCAGCCAGAGTAGCGGGGGGCTTCAGCCTGCTCAGCCGACACTTGCCCATGTATCCAACAGCAACGATATACCCTGGACCCATGAAGGACAACAGAGTCCTGACCCAGGAGGCCCAATCAAGACAGACTCGGTTGTGTCGTGGGCCGCGCTGGCTGGATGCCAGAGTGCATCCAGGAAGAACCTCGGGCTCGGCTGGAGCCAACACAGAGGGCATGGATGCGAGCGGAGCAGGAAGCAGCAGGATCGGGGTGGAAGCGCTTTGGGTTGAGAGAAGAGCAGCCAGGAGAGTGGCTTTGCTGTCGAGCACAGAAGGAAAGCAGCGACTCGGTCTGCACCCGGGTGACTCAGGTCGAGAAGGAATGATCGAGTTCGCGAACAGGCGGGTGGGGCTGGACACCCAAACGCAAAAATGCCGCGGGGTGCCTTATTTATATCCGTGCGCATGCCTTTGCCGCGATTGGGCGTGATTCCCGGCCCTGGGCTTGTCAATGGCCGATGGCTCCGTTGGCGCGGCGCACGAATGAGCCGCGGCCTGCCGGCTGCGGGGCTTGGTGGGCCAACCCGCACCATTGGAACACGGTCGTTGCCGCAGCGATTGGCTCGCGCATTCCGGAATCAAGTCCCCGGCAGCCCGGATGTTGCTGTCGCTATCAATGTCGCTATCAATGTCGCTATCAATGTCGCTATCAATGTCGCTATCAATGTCGCTATCAATTTCAATATCACTGCTTTGAATTGGGATGCGCCATCTTTTTATTCAATAAAAGAACCAAAAACCAAAGCAATACAAACAAATTACTGAAGCCACCTGGTCGATCTCTTTTTTCCTTCTCTCTCTTGTCACTGAGAGTGGAGGAAGCAGCGAACCAGAGGACGACAGCCTTTCTTACGCGCTAGGACGCTTCTATCAGTCAGCGTTATCTTGGAGGAGGAACGGGAATGAGAAAAGGGGAGTGGGGCGTGGGCGTTGAAAGTCGGGCATGGGATACAAAATCACATATTGGACAAATAGACAGGAGGGGGAGAAGGGAAGAAAACAAAGGCAGGCACACAAACCATACATAAGCGCATAGAAGCTCTTGATGGAGGAGGAGGAAGGGACGGGAAACTCAAGTTAAACGAGAGAACGCTGAGAAAGGACGGGAATACCGAATATATCACAGAGATTTGGACAGCGCTGAAAACACACGAGTCGCAAACGCTGTGTTTAGAATAGGGCTATAAGCTGAGTTTAGATTGTCTTGACGCCACCCTTCGATCTAACGACACAGACACTGCGAGTGGCGGGCTTGGTGGGAGTGGCAGTGGAGGTGAAGGTAGGAGCGTTCGACGAGGTAGCAGGAGGAGTGCACTTGGTGCAAGGGGTTGTAGCAGGAATCGAAGTCAGGGATTCAGTGCAGGGGGTGGAGGGAACATTAGGGGTGGTCGTGGGGGTGAAGGTCGGGGCGTTGGGCGAGGTGGCCGGGCACGAAGGGCCGCTGCAAGGAGCCGAGGTGGTGGGAGTAAAGGTGACGGTGACGTAGGACTGGGTGCAGATGATGGGGCTGCTAGTGGGAGTGAAGGTCGGGGCGTTGGAGGAAGTGGCAGGAGGGGCGGTGCACCGGGTGCAGGGGGTGTTGGAAGGAGTGGAAACGGGGACCGAGGTCAGAGACTTGGTGCATGGGGTGGTAGTGGGAACGGCGGGAGTGCTAGTAATGGTGTAGGTAGGGGCATTGGACGAGGTCGAGGGAGGAATGGGGCACTTGCTGGGGCGGACCGTGGTGGTGACCGGGGTCGGGGTGGACGTGTAGGTAGGGGCATTGGAAGAGGTGATCGACGGAGTACTCTTTGTGCAAGGAGTAGAAGTGGGAACGGTAGGGGTGCTCGTAGGAGTGTAGGTGGGGGCGTTGGATGAAGTAATGGGAACAGTGCTCTTTGTGCAAGGAGTAGAGGTGGGAACGGTAGGGGTGCTCGTAGGAGTGTAGGTAGGGGCATTGGACGAGGTCGAGGGGCAATTGCCGTTGCAGGAAGCGGTAGTGGTCGAGCTCGAGGGAGGAATGGGGCACTTGCTGGGGCGGACCGTGGTGGTGACCGGGGTCGGGGTGGACGTGTAGGTGGGGGCATTGGAAGAGGTGATCGATGGAGTGGCCGAAGGAGTGGTGGTAGCAGTCTTTGTGCAAGGGGTCGAGGTGGGAACGGGCTTGGTGGGAATGCATCCAGAGAAGGGAGCCAGATTGATCTGGATCGATCCGTTCAGGCAGTCCGCAAAGACGTTGCCGTTGATCTGGCCAGAGGGACCGTCGATGTGAGCCTTGGGAGCCAGGATGGTGCCATGGAACGAAACGTCGCCGATATGGACCCAGGTGGCCTCGTAAAAGTTCCAGATGATGTGGTTGCCGTTGGGAGCAAGGGATTCGATGTTGATGTTGGCAACGCCTGTGGTGGTGCCGTTGACGTTGAGGATCAGGGTGCCGTTGAAGGAGCTCTGAGAGTAGAAGAGGCCATCACACTGTGCGAGAAGGTTGCCGTCGATGGAGACGACCTCGGTGTCGAGGCCGCCGTGGAGGGTCAGCACACAGTCCTGGACACGAGCGGGGCCAGAGGCCCAAGTGCCGGTGGCGGGGAGGCTGGCAAGGTTGGACGAGAGGGTGTTGAGGTACTGGAAGGCTGAAGTGAAGTCCACAGGCAGCTGGTTCGGGGCAACTTGGTAGGGCTTGCATGGGTCAGTCTTGGGATAGAAGGAGGTGTAGTCGCTGGCGGGTTGGTCGGACTGGACGAGGATCAGATCGCCATAGGCAACTCGCACAGGGAAGCTGGGGATGCGAGACACGGGGCAGAGAGTAATGCGTGAGAATCGAGTCGGTCGCGAGGTAAGCTCACGAAAGGGCTGTGTCAGGCAGCAGCAGCGCGGGTGCACTGGGTACGCCGACAGTACCTCTTCATATCACCACCAACGGTGAGGGCATAGCGCAGGCCGGGGTACATGTTGTGGGCGCTCAAGGTAGAAACGATGGCGGGACAGCTCGTGGGCAAGCTACCAAAGTTGTGGAAGAGCTGGGCACCAAAGTCAGCAATGACATCAATGTCGCCGCCGATGGCACCTCGACCCTGGACATCTGAGCCGCGATCGCGAGCAAACAGGAAGGAGCAGTTAGCACCAATCGACGCGCCAAATTGTCTGCGAAGTGTGTGGGAAAGAGCGCGCGGCGGGGCAAAAGTACTGCAGTGACCGATCGAGGGCGCCTCGCCGACTCACCGGAGGTCGAGTTGAGGTAGTCCCTGGCGAGGAAGAGGTTGTACTCGCCCAAGGGCAGGGTGTAGCTCTGTCCATTGTAGGTGATCTGCGGACCCCAGACGGTGGTGTCCTTGCTGCTGCAAGCCAGCTCGGTCGCAGAGGCTGATGCCAAGAGGGCACCGAGGAGGGCAAACTTCTTGACAAGCATGGAAAGCGGTGGGGAGGATGGAGGAGCGACGGAAGGGGAGGAGAGAGGGGGGTTTGGATCGTCTGCGCGGCGTCTTGGACCTGCGAAGATGACGAGAAGGGAGGGCCGCAGCGGCCATTTATGCGGAAACCGGCTATATCGCGCACCCACAACGAGGACGTCGAGCAAGGCCGACACAGCAGCTCACCCGCGCATGCACCCACAAAGCCACGAGCCCACCGACCAACAAGCTCCCCCTCCTTTCCGATACCACGAGTACCCGAGGCAAGCGGCGCTCCCACAGCAACGCTCACCCACCCACAGCAACAAATGCACCCATCCACCCACCCACCAACAGCGACAGTTCGTTTGTGGGTGGGAGTCGGTTGCGTCCTATGAACAGGCGCAACGGCGCTTCCGACCAGCAACCGACAGCCCACAGCCGCAAACCCAGTGCGCCGGGCCAGGTGCTTGCCAGACTCGGGGTTTGCGAGGTGCGAGTGCTTTGGGGGACAGACGGACGAGTGTCCCTCGCAGGCAAGGCGGGCTGTGGCGTCAGGGCTGTGTCCATGTTCCCCCTTGCCGGCCAAACAAGGGTGCCGCCAGACAAGCGGCGGCGCGGCACCGCGAGGCGGGCAACCAAGTTGTGGCGGCCGACGGCGGTTGAGTCATCCATGATGCGGGCCGCAAGGCCGGGGCTGTGCCGCGCGGCTGTGGGGCGGAGCGGGGGGTGACCTGCCCATGCACCAATCGCAGCGGCGCCCCGTGGTAACATGGCTGCGTGCCATGGCCGACCCTCGCTGGGCAAAGCGCATCAAAGCGTATCAAAGCGCACCAAAGCGCACCAAAGTGAGCAACATCATGCCACGGCATGCCTGTCATCCTGCAAAGAGCATACTTGGTGAGCAGTCCGTCGACGCCGTGCTCGCTACTGCTGTTGCTGATGTTGCTGATGTTGCTGATGTTGCTGATGTTGCTGATGTTGCTGATGGTGCTGCTGCTTGCCGATTGTAGACGGCTGTCCAATTCCCACACCGGGCTCGACTCGTTCAGATCCGGGATCTCAGTGCTGCACCGATGCTGCACCGATGCTGTACCGATGCTGTACCAATGTTGGCGAGTCCCTCATGGATGCACGCTCTGGCCGCTCTCCCTGCTGATCGCTTTGGTCGCTCCGCGCACACCACTCGCCGCCGATGCCCAGCGAAGCTCGGGTCCGGCTATGCCCAATCGCGTCTGTTGATGGTCAGCTGTGAGGGAGCCAGGCCAGACCGCTGGCTGTGGAGTAGCAAGGCTGTGTTCGCCCGTCTGGTCCAGCAGCACGATCGCCTGCAACAGCCCGGATCGACGCAAATTTGCCCAAACACGCATGTTGGCTGTGCGTACCCCGAGGCCCGCCAGCGACGAGCAGAAGGACAGGCAGACAAAATTGTCGCAGAGAACAGATGGACTCTTTGGGCAGGCGATCAGACACTCGGATAACCAGCAGAGTCGCTTGGGCGGATCAGGTACCGTGGGCTGGCGCAGAGTGTATGGACAAGCGTGTGCTGAGCCACAAGAGAGCCCGAGCCAAGGCCAAATTTGCAGACAGCCCCTTGTGCGCCCGACAATGGCTGCGACAAGGCGAGACACGGTGAGACACTGCGAGACATGCTGAGACACTGCGAGACATGCTGAGACACGGCGAGACATGCTGAGACATGCGTAGACACACTGACAGTGCCGTGCTTGCTCAGATCGACTCCACGCAGCAGCTATCGATCAGCAAGATGCGATCAGCAGGACTGCCGCTCAAGCTGGCCGGCGATTGCACCGAGTCTCAATCTCAGGAGCAACCGATGATGTATTGGGCCATGTTCGCTGATAGCATGTCAAGATGCCAGAGCCAGGGCGGCCAGGACTTGATGGTCTGCTCAGGCACTTGACAAATCAGTCCCGCTCAGCCTCACTCGGTTTCACTCGGTCTCACTTGGTTTCACTCGGTCTCACTCGGCCTTGGCCTTGGCCGATGGCGTGCGCTTCTTGAGCAGTCGCCCGAGTCCCCAGGCACCCAGTCGGTAGATCCCGAAAGTTACGGCAGCACCGGTCAGTCCGAGGATGGCCATGGCCGCCATGACGGCGTTGGTGTTGTCGGGGAAGCTGTAGGCAGTGGTATCGCCGATGGCCAGGATCTCCTCAACAATGCTAGCGCCCTTCTTGACGCCGCCCATGACCTGGAATGTCTTTTGGAAGTGTTTGGAGCGGCTTGAGAAGGATGGGTCGCGCAGGATGGTGTGGAGCTTGTCCTGGATCAACTGGATCGTGGCAGCCTTGTCGGATGAGCTCATGATGTTCTTGTCGATCATGAGGCCGAGGCCAAGACGAACCGTTTGAGCCACATTGTAAGTTTGGTCGCCTGTGATGGATGAAGCGGAGTGTTAGCGACGGCGTCGTATGCAGTTGGTCCCGCACCATCTGTTCAGATCGCCTCCGTGCCAATGCTGGCATACCCACCAAAGAATGGCATTTCAAGCATCGGCGTGCCCGTCCAGAGACCCTCGGAGACGCTGTTCCAGCCGCCGTGGGTGAAAAAGATCTGGACTGCGGGGTGGTCAAGCACGGCAAGCTGCGGCACGAAGCTCTCGATCCGGACATGTTCGGGCCACTCCTGGTCGCCGAGCAGTTCCCTCAGGTTGTTCTGGAACACCTTCTTGAGCGACCACAAGGTCTGGAACTCGGTTGTAGCACTGAATGCCTCGTAGAATGCCAGCAGCGTCTCGTTTGAGGGCTGGGCGACAGTGCCGGTCGAGACGTAGACGACAGGGCGGCTGGCGTTGTCGAGCCAGTGCTTCAGGTCGGGCTGAACATCCAGGCTCTGTGCCTCAGGAACCCAGATACCGGCCATGCGTGCGCTCGGGACAGCGAGCTGTGCGGGATGGAATCCCCATGTGTTGCTGATGAGGTTGACAACGGGCTGAGCCGGCTTTTTGACCGCAGGTATATGCTGGGCCATTTCTGCTTTGACGGTGTGGTAGAGCTTGCGGCGCTCGCTGCGTCGCAGGTTCTGCAGGCCGACAGAAGCGACCTTGCTGAGTACATTTACGACGGCAGTGAGCACCGAGAACGTTGGATTCAACTCTCCATCAAAGGAAGTGATATAGAGGCTGTTGACAAAAATGCTGGCCGGATCGTAGTAGTTCTGGCTGACGGCAGTGTACACTGTATTCAGAAAAAAAACGGGACAATATAGCCGTTTCCATGAACATGTAGTATGTGCTGTGCTTGCGTCAAGCAAAGCCACAAGAAATAAAAAACAGATCACTTTGGCAGCCTCCGAGTGAAGACCACCGGTCGCTCTCCGGTCTCCACAATCGACCTGCACACCGTGATCATGTTGCGCGCCGCATTGACGTCGCGATTCCACACTGTCCGGCAGCTGGGATTCTTGCAGCTCCTGACAAAGTGGGAATTCGCAACACTGGGCGCATCGAGTCCTTCCAACCGAACTGGCTCCAGGCACTTGGAGCACACTTGCGAGGTGTTGAACTCGTTCGTCGAGACTACCTTGACGCTTCCATGATGGTGATTGGGACGGCGTCGGTGGTGCTCGAATTGCTCAAAGTACCGAGCAAACCGCTGCCTCCGAGGGCTGGATGCATAGCCCTTGCCCTGTCGCCATGACGCATTGCCAAAGGCGATCACCACATCTGTCCGTATCGGGGCGTGCTTCAGGACGGCCTTGCACATCCTGTCGACGGCCACTTGGCGCCTCTTGTGGTCCGTGAAGCGATGGTGACGGGCCTTCTTGCCAAGGTGGAAGTCGAGCTGTACTCGCGGCTCCGGTCGCAGGACATGGGTGAGATGGACCTTGAAAGCCTCCGAGGACGACACCTTGGGCGAGGGGGTGGACGACATCCAGGTCTCGATGCTGAGTCGATACTTCATGGTGTTGTGCCACTTGGTGTTGGACGTATGGCCACACATGTGCTGGTAGTGGCCATTGGAGAATGAGACCACCTCGTCTTGGTGGCTCGGTGCTTGGATGACCGCCGTGAAGATGGAGCCGACTCCAGGATCGATGCCAATCCAAGTGGTACGGTTGGGGTCTGGGTCACCGATGTGCTCCTGGATACGCTGCTCGGCAGTCGGAGGAGGCTCGATGGTCTCGGTGTGATCAGTTCGACGCACAAACTTGACGAGGCCGATGGTGCATCCAATTCCATCGGTGCTGATCTCGTAGTTGAACAGCTTCTTGTCCCTGACCCGCTCTTGGAAGAGGGAACTACGCAGCTTGAAGCAACTGCGCCAGAGACGATCCTGGTTGTTGATGCCGTCATCACCTTCATCCTTGAGCTTGTCCCTGGTGAGTCCAAGACGATGATCGGTGTCAAGGAGTTCCCAGAGAGTGACCGTGTCAATCTTGACATACTTGGCCGTGGCAGTGCACAGAGGGACCATCGTGCACACGGCCGGAGGAGTGTCCAGAGCGAGCTGCTTGAGTGCCCAGTTGATCCTGGCGGCCAGCTTGTTGATCTTGGACTTGGTGGTGCCGAGCTCCGACTTGGCCGTGGTGAACCTCTTGTCGTCGGAGGGAATGCCTTGGGTAGTGAGCTCGTCCAGCTTGGCCTGGCGCTGCAGCTCGGTGACTCGGAGGGCGGGCATGTCACAGTCGATCCACTTGTGGACATTGTCGACCATCTTGTCTCGGGCGAGGATTCTCACATGGTGTGAGAGGCGATGGAGGGCCCGGAAGCGGTCCTGGTCGTTGCTGTACCGAAACTCGTCCAGGACGTGGCCAAAGTCTGGATAGAGGAACTCGAGATCGGCCTTGGGTGGAGTCTGCCCTGGTTTCTCGAAGAGCTCGAGACAGGCCTCGATGGCTTCGTGCTTGTGCTTGTTGGCAGGGAAGACAGCAGCACAAAAGCGACGAAGAAGTCTCCAGTAGGCCAGGTCGAGGTGGGTGGTGCAGTTGGTAGCATAGGCGTTGACAGCCAGTGTGAGAAGCTGACTGTGAGCACCATCAGGCAGACGAGGGGCCGGAGGCAGGTCTGCGTGCCGAGTGGTCTGGTAGTCGCGAAAGGAAGCGACCAGATGCTCGTTGTATTTCTCATTGTCCCCGGTCGGGGAGAGGGCACCGTCCTGGACGATCTTGAAGCATTGACGGATGAATGCAGGGGTGGCCCTGGAGATGACAGGGACGGGAAGATCCTGCTCGATGCACCGGAGGATGTGCAGGTTGAGCAGCCTGGATGCCTCGAACTGGATCTGGGTCATGGCCTCGACGGTGGCCTGGATCTTGTCGCGGAGAGCGGGATTGAGACAACAGCCATCCATCGTCTGCTTGAAGCAGCTGAACTGAGGGGCGGATGACCTTCCATCCACGAGTGGGACGACAGAACTCTTGAGGGGCCGGTATTTGGGACATTTGCTGGTGTTGCTTCGCTGATGATCGGTGCCATCGCACTGGCGACATCGCTTGCCGGTACTCGAGGAAGTAGATGGACCAGGCTCGGTGGGATCGACATCCATTGGATCTGCAGAAGCAGTGGTGGTGAGCAACGGAGCAACAGAGAAACAAGCATGCGTGGGGTCAGAAGACGAACCAGAGACAGGCTCCGACTGTGACTTGGCTTTCTTGGGCCTGGGTGGCCGAGGCTGGCCATCACCGGTACCCTTACGCTTCGGAGGCATGGGGGCAGAGGATGCTGGATGCCTGCCAGTGGTACTGGTCAGAGCAGAGACTTTTTTATCGTGCAATAGCGCGAATGATCAGATCAAGGCGAGATGAGGGAAGAAAGCAGCAGGACGAAGGTGTGGCATTTATACCCGAGAGCAGGAGCCCGTCTGCGCGGGCTGGTTGGGGAAGTGACCCTGTTCAAAAATCGCCGAGAGGTTCAAGCCAGGGATGTGAACGCGAAAATGGCGGAGTTGACGTGATTCACACCCAGAAGCGCATCGCTCGCTCAATCAGCCGTGGGAAGACATCTGGAAGCACCCTCCGCACGGCAGACTCAAACAGGGTCACCATCCCGATCTTGAACCCCTCGGACGCATTCAGCGCTGCTGCCTTCCTGTACTGATGCTTCACAATCCCAAAGAAGTTCTCGATGGGATTGAAGTCGGGTGAAGCAGGTGGGGTGAAAATCACTGACCATCCTCGGCGCTCGATGCAGCACACCAGAGTGGTTGATGGCAAATGCAGCCGAGACAGACTTGTGTTTCATGTGATTGCGCTGGCGAAGCGGAGCACCCTTCGGTGAGTATCCGTAGAGAGGGAAAATGGATCTCCTGATCCCTGTCTCGTCGACAAAAACGAATCGCCGCGGGTCGATGGAGCGGACCTGGTCCCTGAACTGTGCCACTCGCTCATCCAGTCGCTTGGACTTGTAGAGGTGTGTTGCCCTCTTGTGTGAGAGACCTGCTCGGTGGATGGCAGTGTGGCAGAGTGAGAGTGATACTTTCCTCTGGAGGATGGACTCGAGCTTGCATCGCAACACAGGACCAGTCTGGAACGGGTCCTGTTCAATCAGGGTGCGAATGACTGGACATGCCTGCTCGAAGAAAGTGGATCTGCGAGCTGGGACCCGGGATGGGTCATCCAGCTTGCATCCTCGGTGCCATCGATGGATGGTGCTCTTGGATACACTGAATATGGAGGCGACCTTACGCAGGCTATGGATGAGGGCGTAGCATCGCAATGCGGCGGTGCGAAAGTCGGATGTGTGGCGAATGGTCATGGCCAGCACGCGATAACATTGGGTAACAAAATATTCGATGAATGGTCAAAATCCCGGGTGTCCCGTTTTTTATTGGATTGCCTGTAATGCATGACGCAGGGAACGCCGATGAGCTCGCTGAGCACATCGGCTGCCTGGGAACAGACAAAAGACCAGAAGCTCGTCAGGATCGATTCGTTGCAACCCAGCCACCCGCCTGCAACCTAGCTCACACATGGGCATTCAATGATGATGATCGCGCCGGTAGCACTCACAAGGCCGACAAAACCATCGCCGATGATGAGATCGACTGGGCCAGACTCTGCAAGCGCCAATCCTTGCTCCAGAATGGCGGTCTGGAGCCCAAAGTCTCGACCAACATGCGGACCGCTTTGACGGTGTTGAGGACGTTCGAGATCATGTCCGACGACTGGGAGATGAGATTGGAGATCATGGCCATGTTGTCGCTGAACGAGGGAGGCTCTTGGAAGGTGTGGAAGCGAATCGTCGAGTTCTGAGCATACTCAGGGACGTTGTAGCGAGTGGTCGTGACAACGGTAACATGGTGGCCACGGCTGGCCAGCTCGAAGGCGAGATTGACCAAGGGATTGGCATGGCCGGGGGAGTGAGGATCACGACGCTCTTTGGTCCGAAACCCAGACCAGGGTTGTGAAGGCGGTCCGCTCGGACGGCGACGAGCAGCCCAACGAGAACGGCCAGTGCAGCCGACAGCCAGCGAGAGTCGATCTTGAAGCGCATGTGCAGGAAGACGAGCAGGGATGTGCGTCTTGAAGAGGGGCGATTGTTGAGGTGCCAAGGTTTTTTGGACGAAAAAATGGGTTGCTGGGGTTGGCTGCGGGAGGATCTGCCCACGACCGCCACCGAACCCACGACGGTCTGGCTGCGTGGTTGGCTGGGCCTTGGGCAGCAGCATCAACGAGATCCCCAGCGGCTTCGACCCCGAATCAACGCAAGGGTGCGAGCGGGGTGATGTTGTTGGGCTGCGGGGTGATGTTGTTGGGTTGTGGGTGGCTGGCCGCATTGGAGCAACACATCGGCCCGAGGGCACCGGCAATGCGCGGATCCCGCCGCTCTCGCCTGATCTCGATTTTTCGGGAATCTCGAGAGCCGGCCGAGGCAGGAAACCTCACACCTCCTCCCAGCACCCCTTCCTCGCTGAGAGGGACCGGTCCCAGACCCACCCGACCGGCTCGCTAACCGAGCCATGCCAGAGGCGACTCTCGCAGTGCCCTCTCCCCCCGAGGCGCGAATCCCAAGAGACAGCCACTCGCCATCTGTCTCCCCCTCCCCCAAGACTGGAAGCGCTGATGGCGAGCCCTCAACAGGCGTGCAAGGAACAAGGCCTGAGCACCTCTGATGAACAGAGAGACTTCAAGACTCGCCGCGCCGAATGAAGATTGGGCCGGGAGGCAAACCTGGCCCAAGAGGACGCCCCTCCCGCAGATGCCGACCAACCTCCAACCGAAGCCATCGACCTCAAAGGCCTGATCGAAGCCTGTACCCAGGACCAGTCCACCTCGCCCGCCTACCTCGGCCACTCCTCCAAGCCTTGGAGAGAGAAGGTCCGAACTGGGCCGGGCTCGAGGCGCGCTGTCTACCCGAGATCTCAACTACCGCGCCGCAGAGATCTTGGAATCTCGCGAATCTCCCCGCGGCCGGGCCAAGACCCCAAGGGGCCTCCTCAGGGTAGCACAGCAATCAGCTAGCTCCATTGATGAGCTCAAGTCCCCGCTCAACACCGTGGTTGAGGAGATGTTCCCCAGGCTCCGGAAGACAATCATCCCTGAGCTCCGGCACACTGTGAAGTGCCAAGTGTTCAAGATGACAGCCACCTCGGCCTATCTGTTTGCCAAACAAGTCCCCGAGATCCAGCTCCGGTGCCCCAGCATCTTCGACCGTGGCCCTCAAGACATTCATCAAGGAAGGACTTGGGTTCTCGAGCTCGACCGAATTCATCTTCAAGGCGGCGCGAGTGCAGCGGGGGGGGGAGACCGAGAGAGTCAGAAAAAAAGCTGCTGCTCCCCCTCCCCGAACAACACGGTTGCACCAGCCTAACACTTGGAGCCATGCAAACAAAGAAAGCCCGAGAAAGCATCCACTGGTTCGATGGCTCAGATAAAGCTCTGGAGTGATTCTCTAGCATCGAGCCGTCTGGTAAGACCGTCTGAACCACAATGACAAAATAGCCTCGTTGGAACTGAGATGCTATCGCATCCGGTCCAGCCTGATGGATGCATCCCTTGACTCCCAGTTCTATCAGGACACACGCTGGAGCCAATTAGTGCTGCTGAAAGAGCAGCGTTATCCAGACTACCCGATGAAGAAGCTGTTCAGGGACGGTCACTACGAGATCCCCAGGCCATCTATCAAGATGCCGATCCACGTTGAAGATGCACAAAGCTTCTACCGAACGAAGGAACTGACTCTGACCCACACTGTGAGGGCGACCATGCCAAGAATATGGGCCGAGCGAGGGCCCAAGAGAGATCGATACTACCACACCATGATGGTACGATAGATATTGGGTATCTTTCCTAGGCGCCTGTATGGCCACTATCGACTGTGTCACCTGCACGACGGATCAAGGAGAGTTCGTTGCGATGTGTTGAAGCCACACCCAGAGCTGCGTCGGAAGAGGCGGTTCGCGGCAACGGACGGTAGACGAACTCAAGCTGCGGCACCCCGAGTGGCAAGAAAGCGGCCACGAAAAGGTCGGTCCGATCGATAAGCTCCTGGACCTGACGAACGTAGTTGGCTACTACGAGCTGGATGGCATGAGAAGATTCAACTGGCAAGACCCAGATATCCATACCCTGTGGCGAACTCTCCGAAGAGTGTTCAAGACGCTGATCATCGCCAAGCGGGCAAACCCCCCCAGGCGATAGGCGACACGGCTGAAGCAGAGCGAGAGATGAAGGATTATGGCTCTCATCGGACGCAGACTGCCCATTAGGCCAATTAGGACTCGATTTTTCAATTTTTCTTTTTCCCAATGTACTGCTAGCGCCGACAAGGCCTTGATAGCTTTTAAGTGAAACAGACCCCTCACTTGGCTTCCACTTCCACCAGAACACATACTGAAGCCAAGTGAGGGGTCTGTTTCACTTAAAAGCTATCAAGGCCTTGTCGGCGCTAGCAGTACATTGGGAAAAAGAAAAATTGAAAAATCGAGTCCTAATTGGCCTAATGGGCAGTTTGCGTTCGATGAGAGCTATATGCCCTCGTCTCTCGCTCTGCTTCGACCATGCCGCCTATCGCCTGGGGGGTTTCCACCCCGCCTTGGCGATGACCAGCGTCTTGAACACTCTTCGGAGTGTTCGCCACAGGAGATGGACATCCGGGTCTTGCCAGTCGAACATTCTCATGCCATCCAGCTCGTAGTAACCCACTACGTTCGTCAGGTCCAGGAGCTTATCGATCGGACCGACCTTTTCGTGGCCGCTTTCTTGCCACTCGGGGTGCCGCAGCTTGAGCTCGTCCACTATCCGTCGCCACGAGCCGCCTCTTCCGACGCAGCTCTGGGTGTGGGTCCGGCACATCGCGACGAACTCTCCTCGGCTCTTCGTGCAGGAGACACACAGCCGATAGTGGCCATACGGGTGTCCGGGGAAGGCACCGAGGGTCCATCTTACCATCATGTTGTGATAGTATCGATCTCTCTTGGGCCCTCGTTCGGCCCACAGTCCCGACATGGTCTTCGTCACGGTGCGGGCCGAGGTCAGTTCCTTTGACCTGTCGAAGCCTTGCGCGTCATCGATGTGGATCTGCAGCTTGACTGGTGGCCCTGGGAGCTGGTAGTAGCCATTCCTGAACAGCTCCTTCATCGGGTAGTCCGGCTGGCACTGCTCTTTCAGCACGATCAGCTGCCGCCAGTACTCGTCGAGGTAGAACTGGGAGCCGAGGGATGCATCCATCAGGCTGGGCTGGGTGCGGGAATATCAGCACCAGCGAGACCATCTTGTCGTTGTGGTCCAGACGGTCTTCCCAGACGGCTCGGTTCTGGAGGGCCAGCTGTTTGAGGCGGTTGGGCAGGGTGATGAGTCCGCATCCGAGATGCATCGCTCCATAGCATGAGTTTCTTATGATCCAGCACAGCGACACCAACAATACACTTACACGTCTGAGTATCACGGCTGGCTGTTTCGTGAGCACTTCGAGGGTCAGTCCATAGTCGAGCATAGGCCGGACGAAGGTCTTGAACGCCTTCGCCACCGACTTGGCCGAGTATCGGCCCGGGACGCTTTCTGCCACCGTGTTGATTGTGCTCTTGATGGCTTCCCATGCTTGGTTCATGGCAAGCTGTGCGTACGCCTGGCTGATGGGTATCTCGGTGCCATCGTGGATGGGCTGGAGAAGCCTCTCCATCTCGTTTAAGACTAGGCCGCTGACTCGCTCAATGGCGCTCTTGTATGTTTCCCACACCTCCGGGTTCTCGAGGAGTCTGAGGTTCCAATGTCAGTTGTCGGCTTTTGGGTACACACTCCTCGTGAGCTTCACAGTGGTCCAAATCAGGCGGTGGTCGGATATGAGGTATTGTCCCTCCATGCCCACCGCCCAGGATGTCTGTCCGACGACCTCAACCACCCGTCCGCCCGCTGACGGGGGAGAGAGTGGAAAACACCGCCCCGCTGACCCATGCCCGCCTCGATGTCTCTATATATTCCACCAACCCTGGTCGTCCTCTCCGCCTGCTCGTCCCGTCGTTTGTCTCGCCCCATACCTCTGCCGTCTCAGCAATGCTCACCATCGGTACCATTGCCGAGGATGCCATGTCCTTCGCCCAAAGCCACAGCACCCAGCTGGCAATCGCTGCCTCGGTGCTTGTTGTCTCGGGCATCTACCTCGTCCGGGAGCCACCTGGCACCCAGCGAAACCAGATCCCTGGACCCAAGGGCTGGCCCATCGTCGGCGAGTTCTTCACCGTGAGCAAGTATGAGTCCCATTTCCGAAGCCGACCTGCAGCGCCCCGGCGTCATCGTTCCCGTTGCTCTGGGTCGGATCCTGGTATCTCTTATCCAGCGCCACTCACACCCACCTCGGTCCTCGGCTCGCCGCAGACACATCTCCGAGCAGACTCTCCATATGTTCTATTACAATCTCGTGGAACAACATGGCCCTGTTACCCAGGCATCCATCATGGGTCTCCGCGATATCTCTGTGTCCGAAGTCGACGAATTCAAGGAAATCCTCAAGGGCGGCGACCAGTGCGCTTTTGCGCGGCCTCCTCGATTCCACAACACTCACAGGTTCGCATTTGCCGGGGGTCGAGGCGTAGCTGCTCGCCGTGCTCGAGGAGACTTTGGATGCCCAAAGAACCCTCCCCAATATCGCTACTGTCCGTCGTATGGTCCGTCGTATGGTCCGATGCAGGTCGAGCCCTTTGCCGCCTTCGATCAACTGGAACTCACCCATGAGCATACTCCGCGTTTGCTCGCCATCGCCAGGGGAATCGCTTCCTATTCCTTGTTTTTGATTTACGAAGCGGATCTCTGGAAGCGGCACCGAAAGGCCATTCAGCCATGCTTTGGTCCCGCGCAACTGAGAGCGACGGCCGAAGGCGCAAACCAAGTCGCCGATGTGCTTCCCAGAAGCTCGGGACATCGTCCCGGGTCAATCTGCACCTTGTCGCCAACGCGGCAGTGCTCGATATCCTGTGAGTCGACGCATCTTGCTTAATCCTGCCGCAACGCAGAGACGGTGCAGTGATAGTGGCTTGTCGGTGCCTGACCCCCATTGCTGGCTTGGTTCGCCTGCGAGATAGCGGCTATGTCATCTACTCCAAGGACCTCGGAATGACCCGTCGGCTGGATGACAAGGCTGCCCTTGAGGAAGCCTTCAAGCCCTACAGCCACATCGTCGAGCTCATCGTCAAGCGATTCATGTACCCCGAGTGGCTGTGGGATGTCATGGGCATCGGCGTCAAGGCCTGCGAGGCGGATGTCAAGTTCGTCAAAGATATCGCCAGAGACACGCTCCGGGAACGTCGCAGCTCGTCAATTCTGCACGAGCATCAAGATTTGCTCGACCGCCTCACATCGATGGGTCTGGAAGGAGATGCTGTAAGGATGTGTGGAGCAGCGGGATCTGTGCTGTGACCGGTCGGCTCGGTGATAATCACTTCCAGTGTCGCAGCTATAGCCACTGACTGGATCCGACCGTCACTCAACAGAAATTCACCGAGGAGGAAATCCTGGACGAAATATACGGTTTCTTCCTTGCAGGACACGAGTGAGTATAGTGCCGGCCCTGTGGGTTATCATTTGCAAGGCGCTGCCAAGTTGACATCACACTTTCGACAATATCACACTTTCGATGACATCCTGACCACAATCACTCGGCCTCGATCCCTCGACCAGGACCACGGCCAACATGATCACCTTTATACTGGTCGAGCTTATGAAGAATCGCCATGTCTACGAGCGCGTGCAGAAGGAGATCGACACTATTCTTGGACCCGACGGGGAACCAAGCTATGATCAGCTCTCGCAGTTCACGTAAGCCGATAGCAGGCGGATGCCCAGCAACCAGAAAGGCTCGCTGACGACGTACGGTCTATTTGCCAACAGGTATCTCGACATGGCCGTCAAAGAGACGCAGAGACTCCACCCACCAGCGCCGCTTATCCCGCAATCCAATAAAAAACGGGACACCCGGGATTTTGACCATTCATCGAATATTTTGTTACCCAATGTTATCGCGTGCTGGCCATGACCATTCGCCACACATCCGACTTTCGCACCGCCGCATTGCGATGCTACGCCCTCATCCATAGCCTGCGTAAGGTCGCCTCCATATTCAGTGTATCCAAGAGCACCATCCATCGATGGCACCGAGGATGCAAGCTGGATGACCCATCCCGGGTCCCAGCTCGCAGATCCACTTTCTTCGAGCAGGCATGTCCAGTCATTCGCACCCTGATTGAACAGGACCCGTTCCAGACTGGTCCTGTGTTGCGATGCAAGCTCGAGTCCATCCTCCAGAGGAAAGTATCACTCTCACTCTGCCACACTGCCATCCACCGAGCAGGTCTCTCACACAAGAGGGCAACACACCTCTACAAGTCCAAGCGACTGGATGAGCGAGTGGCACAGTTCAGGGACCAGGTCCGCTCCATCGACCCGCGGCGATTCGTTTTTGTCGACGAGACAGGGATCAGGAGATCCATTTTCCCTCTCTACGGATACTCACCGAAGGGTGCTCCGCTTCGCCAGCGCAATCACATGAAACACAAGTCTGTCTCGGCTGCATTTGCCATCAACCACTCTGGTGTGCTGCATCGAGCGCCGAGGATGGTCAGTGATTTTCACCCCACCTGCTTCACCCGACTTCAATCCCATCGAGAACTTCTTTGGGATTGTGAAGCATCAGTACAGGAAGGCAGCAGCGCTGAATGCGTCCGAGGGGTTCAAGATCGGGATGGTGACCCTGTTTGAGTCTGCCGTGCGGAGGGTGCTTCCAGATGTCTTCCCACGGCTGATTGAGCGAGCGATGCGCTTCTGGGTGTGAATCACGTCAACTCCGCCATTTTCGCGTTCACATCCCTGGCTTGAACCTCTCGGCGATTTTTGAACAGGGTCACCCCCCCAACCAGCCCGCACAGACGGGCTCCTGCTCTCGGGTATAAATGCCACACCTTCGTCCTGCTGCTTTCTTCCCTCATCTCGCCTTGATCTGATCATCGCGCTATTGTACGATAAAAAAAGTCTCTGCTCTGACCAGTACCACTGGCAGGCATCCAGCATCCTCTGTTCCCATGCCTCCGAAGCGCAAGGGTACCGGTGATGGCCAGCCTCGGCCACCCAGGCCCAAGAAAGCCAAGTCACAGTCGGAGCCTGTCTCTGGTTCGTCTTCTGACCCCACGCATGCTTGGTCGTCTGTTGCTCCGTCGCTCACCACCACTGCTTCTGCAGATCCAATGGATGTCGATCCCACCGAGCCTGGTCCCTCATCTGGTCCTGTCAAGCGATGTCGCCAGTGCGACGGTACCGACCACGAGCGAAGCAACACCAGCAAATGTCCCAAATACCGGCCCCTCAAGAGTTCTGTCGTCCCACTCGTGGATGGAAGGTCATCCGCCCCTCAGTTCAGCTGCTTCAAGCAGACGATGGATGGCTGTTGTCTCAATCCCGCTCTCCGCGACAAGATCCAGGCCACCGTCGAGGCCATGACCCAGATCCAGTTCGAGGCATCCAGGCTGCTCAACCTGCACATCCTCCGGTGCATCGAGCAGGATATTCCCGTCCCCGTCATCTCCAAGTCCACCCCTGCTTTCATCCGCCAATGCTTCAGGATCGTCCAGGCCGATGCCCTCTCGCCGACCGGGGACAATGAGAAATACAACGAGCATCTGGTCGCTTCCTTTCGCGACTACCAGACCACTCGGCACACAGACCTGCCTCCGGCCCCTCGTCTGCCTGATGGTGCTCACAGTCAGCTTCTCACACTGGCTGTCAATGCCTATGCCACCAACTGCACCACCCACCTCAACCTGGCCTACTGGCGACTCCTTCGCCGCTTCTGCGCTGCCGTCTTCCCAGCCAACAAGCATAAGCACGACGCCATCGAGGCCTGTCTCGAGCTCTTCGAGAAACCAGGGCAGACTCCACCCAAGGCCGATCTCGAGTTCCTCTATCCAGACTTTGGCCACGTCCTGGACGAGTTTCGGTACAGCAACGACCAGGACCGCTTCCGGGCCCTCCATCGCCTCTCACACCATGTGAGAATCCTCGCCCGAGACAAGATGGTCGACAATGTCCACAAGTGGATCGACTGTGACATGCCCGCCCTCCGAGTCACCGAGCTGCAGCGCCAGGCCAAGCTGGACGAGCTCACTACCCAAGGCATTCCCTCCGACGACAAGAGGTTCACCACGGCCAAGTCGGAGCTCGGCACCACCAAGTCCAAGATCAACAAGCTGGCCGCCAGGATCAACTGGGCACTCAAGCAGCTCGCTCTGGACACTCCTCCGGCCGTGTGCACGATGGTCCCTCTGTGCACTGCCACGGCCAAGTATGTCAAGATTGACACGGTCACTCTCTGGCAACTCCTTGACACCGAACATCGTCTTAGACTCACCAGGGACAAGCTCAAGGAAGAAGGTGAGGACGGCATCAACAACCAGGATCGTCTCTGGCGCAGTTGCTTCAAGCTGCGTAGTTCCCTCTTCCAAGAGCGGGTCAGGGACAAGAAGCTGTTCAACTACGAGATCAGCACCGATGGAATTGGATGCACCATCGGCCTCGTCAAGTTTGTGCGTCGAACTGATCACACCGAGACCATCGAGCCTCCTCCGACTGCCGAGCAGCGCATCCAGGAGCACATTGGCAACCCAGACCCCAACCGCACCACTTGGATTGGCATCGATCCTGGAGTCGGCTCCATCTTCACGGCGGTCATCCAAGCACCGGGCCACCAAGACGAGGTGGTCTCATTCTCGAATGGCCACTACCAGCACATGTGTGGCCATACGTCCAACACCAAGTGGCACAATACCATGAAGTATCGACTCAGCATCGAGACCTGGATGTCGACCACTCCCTCGCCCAAGGTGTCGTCCTCGGAGGCTTTCAAGGTCCATCTCACCCATGTCCTGCGACCGGAGCCGCGAGTACAGCTCGACTTCCACCTTGGCAAGAAGGCCCGTCACCATCGCTTCACAGGCCACAAGAGGCGCCAAGTGGCCGTCGACAGGATGTGCAAGGCCGTCCTGAAGCACGCCCCGATACGGACCGATGTGGTGATCGCCTTTGGCAATGCGTCATGGCGTCAAGGCAAGGGCTATGCATCCAGCCCTCGGAGGCAGCGGTTTGCTCGGTACTTTGAGCAATTCGAGCACCACCGACGCCGTCCCAATCACCCTCATGGAAGCGTCAAGGTGGCCTCGACGAACGAGTTCAACACCTCGCAAGTGTGCTCCAAGTGCCTGGAGCCAGTTCGGTTGGAAGGACTCGATGCGCCCAGTGTTGCGAATTCCCACTTTGTCAGGAGCTGCAAGAATCCCAGCTGCCGGACAGTGTGGAATCGCGACGTCAATGCGGCGCGCAACATGATCACGGTGTGCAGGTCGATTGTGGAGACCGGAGAGCGACCGGTGGTCTTCACTCGGAGGCTGCCAAAGTGATCTGTTTTTTATTTCTTGTGGCTTTGCTTGACGCAAGCACAGCACATACTACATGTTCATGGAAACGGCTATATTGTCCCGTTTTTTTTCTGAATAAAGTGTATCCCGCGTGTGGCCAGCCGCGACACACACATTCGGGGCTATCCTGTGGCGAAGGGGGTAAGTGCAGCGGATCGCTCGAACCGTCGTTCGCCTTTTGATGTGATGCGCTCTCGATATACAGAGCCAGAGTCTTTTTATCGCCCTCTTGTCGGCCCTTTGAGCGAGGGATCCTGAACGGATATGGGTCATATGCTGTTGCCGATATGTGCATCAACCCTTCGCTCGCCTCTCCGCGACCGGGGGCTTCGAGGACTCACCCGTGATTTGATCATCTGTCACTTGAACCGCAAGACCAACGTCGTCTTGGTTGTCTCGCACCTGCACCGCAACCCCAAGTACTGGAAGGATCCCAATACCTTCAACCCCGATCGCTGGAGCGAGCCGATAGTGCCTGGCAGCTTCTTGCCATTTGGCGATGGTCCGATGAACTGCATCGGCCAGAAAATGGCCAACATCGAAACCAAGGTGAGAGAAAGCAGAGCAGCGACGTTGGTACAAATATCTGTCCAAGCCGACGTATGCGCTGGCCGGGCATGATCGATCATCAGAGATATTTGCTAAGGACATTCATGTGCCCACTTTGCACCTCTCGCTGGTTGACCCACTGTTGACACACTTTCGCTTCTACTGCTTCCTTTGGCTACAACAAGGTGTTCCTTATCCGAACGCTCCAGCGGTATAACCTCAAGCTGCTCGACCCTAGCCAGCTCCGCATTATCTTCTCGGCCACCCAGGGCTACAAGGACGGCGTCGATGTCTTGGTCGAGAGACGAGTCCAGTAGTTGAAGATGCCAAACCCCTCTGGGACCATTTCAATGTCCAGTCCGTCGCTAGCCCGCCAGCTGTGACTCGGGTGGTTCCACCTTCGGCCTACCTTCCGCTTCCTTCTCCTACTCTTCTTCTTCTCTTTTGATTCTTCAAGCCGGCACTGTCTTTTGTAGTCCATTGCTCTTGCGCTTAGCGGCCTCACAAAATTCTCTCGGCTTCAACACACAAAAGCGACCGATTTGATCGAACTCGATGGTCTCAGTTCTTCAAATACATGTGCGATTTTGACAATTCAATCAGCGTACTTGATTGCCGCGTCGCCGCAACGCAGAGATGGGTGTGATGGATGTGATGGATGTGACGACAATATGCAAGGCCGGAAAGCGGCATCGGAGCATCGCTTGGATCTCGGAGTCGAGATGTCCTGATTTTCTTTTGGCGCGTGGGCGGATATGACGATGGCTTTATTGTTTGAAACTGATTGAGCCAAACACCTTGCTCGCATATTCGAGCGTCGGGTGGCGCTTGGGAGCTGCAGCGAATGGCCACGCCAGAAGACCATAAGCATCCTCGCAAGGGCAGTAGCGTTGTGAGGTGCGGGATCCCCGATTGCTTGCGAAGTGCGTGGCCGGTACAAAAGCCCATGCACAAGTTGAGCGACGGTCGCTTCTTTTCATTCGCGGATGCAAGCGCACAATCAGCGACTGGGATCGGCGTCGCCGTCAGCATCGTCGAACTGGTTTTCGTGATCGAGCTTGCCCTTCTTGCGGGGTTGGACATCGAAGACCGCCTCGATATGGCGCATGGCAGCCTGGTTAGTGGGTGAAGACGAACAGCTTAGCCATAGGATACATCCACCCGGACGGTGGCATTGCTCGATCGGTTTGGTCTCGAGGCGGACGCAAAGGCGATGCACATTCGGGCGAGAGGGTGACCAGGTTCGTGGTTATCGGTGTGCGCTTACCTCGCCCACCTCGCTGAGCTCGATATCATCACTCGGACCATAGATCCAGCCGTCCCCGTCTGTGCAGCGACAAAGTTAGTCCACGATCGACACCGCCTCGGCCGGTCAGCACGATCGATCTCACCTTCGCCCTCATCCTCATCTCCGTCCTCTTCGGCGTTCTTGTCAGGATGAAGTGACGCACACTCAGAGAGCGCAAGATAGATGCTATCAACTGGCACGGGAGACAGTGTCAGTCAAGAGCCGCCGGGGGGGGTGACAGTGAGGTCAGTAATATCCGCAGAGTGCCACAGGAGCCCTTCGAGGCAAGTAATTTGAAACGGAAACAATGGCGGCCTGGGCGGCACGGAGTTTGGCTTACGTGCAGTAGCATCGTCGGGAATCAGTCTCAGCTCGAAGCACGGCATATCGTGCATGTCTTCGTACTCGTCATCGTCGCCGGCTTCCTCGCCAGCCTCTTCGTCAGCATCATCGTCATTGGCGTTGTTGCCGTGGCTGGGCTCGACCTGCATCGCTTGGGCAGAGGCGGCGGTGTCGAGATCGGCAGACTCTTCGACTTCTTTGAACGGAAGGATGGTGGGAATGCGATAGCCGGCGGCATCGACGACCTCGGCGCCATCGAGCTGGCAGTAGATGCACGGCGACGAATCCACTCGATCGCCGGAGCGGGAGAGTGCATGCACCAGGATCGAGGGATAGTCAATGGCGATCGAGGTGGAGCTCTCGGGGTCGTGCCAGATCAGCTCGCTGTGGATCCGGGAGCAGAACAGAGTGTGTGCAGGGTCAGCTTCGACTATGCTATCAAGGACATTTCGCATATCATGGGGCTCCTGTGCGGAGCAGAAGCAGGGTCGGTGGAACAAGTGTGTGAACGTACGATTCGACGACATAGAGATCGCCCTTCTTGGAAGTGTCGAGCGAGAGCGCTGGAGGGTCGGGGTTGAAGGCGAGACGGACGTTCTTGTGGTGGAAGCGGATGATGGGCTGCGGAACAGAAGGATCAAAGTCCCGCTTGAGCGGGTTCGATGACGAGAAGAGCTCGGGCAGGCCTTGGTAGATCTGGATGGGCATGGTGCAGAGGGCTGGATGGAAGGAGAGGATGGCTGGGTGGTGGATTGGGGCTGGCCAGGTCATTGACCGGACTGTTCGCCAGATCATTCGCCAGATCATTCGCCAGATCATTGGCCCGCAGATCGTGCGCAGCCCAGCCGCATGGTGGCCGGCCACGCGCCAGCCGGCCACGCGCCAGCCGGCCACCTCCCGGCTCTTGGCGGCTGGCGACAGTCTGGCCACTTTCGCCCTTTCTTGCCCACCGACCACATCCCATCTGGCCAGCCTGCAGCTTGCCCGGCCCAGCAATGAACCACCCGATGGCCTTCCACGCCCAGCATGACCATGCCACTGGCCTGGCCCTGCACCATTCCACAGCCCAGTCGCTGCCGATCATCTCGTCGGCCACCGGCTCGCTGCAGGACATCCTGCCGGCTCCGGCGGCCGCTGGCGACCCCGAGTTCCCGCTCCTGCCCAACGGCGACATCCAGCTGCATTTCAGCTCCGTGCCGCCCAACTGCAACCACTCGCAGTGGCAATGGAGGGTCACCAAGACAAACACCCGCAAATCGGGCACCTATGTTAAGAACGCAAAGTGCCTCGGCGTCATGGTCTGCAGCGACTGTGGCGCTCTGCGCAAGATCGTCAACCATACCAACAACGGCTCGTCCGACAGCACAAAGTAAGTCTCGGCCGGCCCTTTGAGATCGAGCCGCCATCACCCTTTGCCGCCCACCGAGCGTCCCACCGAGCGTCGCCCACCAGCATTCCCCTGTTCTATGCTCCGGCCAACAGATGCATTTGGCTTGCATTCGGCACCAGCACGGATCCCGCGTCTCGCTTCTCATATCTGCCTTTGTTTTGTCGCATGGCAATTCCAGAAAATGCACGACCCACGGATGCAGCGGCGTCCTGACCATCAAAGAGTGTCCCGCACGGCAAATCCACCGGGTCGAGGCCGACGGATCCTACAACTATATCCACAGCGGCCAGCACAACCACGATCCGCCTCCGAACGTGCGTTATCAGCGCACCCTCAACCCCATGCGCCCGGCCAAGCCCCTGATGCTTTCCATCATACGCCCTGAGCCGCTGGGGCTGTCTTCGGTGCCGATGCTACAGAAGAAGAGGATCCTAATCGGCACCACAGGCTCCGTGGCATCCGTCAAGTTGCCCATGCTGATCAACGAGCTGCGGAAAATCTTTGGCGTGAGTTGCAGTGCGAACAGGGCCTGTTGGCGGCTGCCGTGCTGCGACCAGCTCCAGTGTTCGAGCAGCGCCTGGACTGCATCTCGCTCTGCTTGGAAGCCTCAGCGATTGCACGGTTGCAGTGCCATGACGCTGACTCTTTCCAAATTTGCTGGCCCCCAGGACTTTGTTGAAATCCGGGTCGTGGCCACCACTCCGTCGCTCCATTTCTTCAAAAAAGAAGACATCTCTGTCCCTGTGGTGACCGATGTGGATGAATGGAATGTATGTCGCCATCGCCCCGCCTTGCCCTGCCGCCGCAGCTGATTTCCTGTCTCTGATTCTGTTTACTCGTTACTCTCTTTGCCACTCCCACACTGGAGCAGGCGTGGAGTCAGATGGGCGACCCCGTGTTGCACATTGAACTTCGGAACTGGGCCGACATCATGGTTGTGGCCCCGCTGGATGCCAACACCCTTGCCAAACTGGCGGCTGGAATATGCGACAATCTGCTGGTGAGTGGGCCGGCTCATTTTCGAACAGCCAAGCGCGTCTTGACAGGCCGCAACCCCTGTTTGCCGGTTGGTCGTGCTCTGGAGACCCATCGTCGACCGGCGCGGACAGCTTCTGAGCTACTTTGTCGTTGGAGTTTGGCGGCCGTTTGAACGCACTACACCGCTGACGATCCACTGTCCTTCCATCGTAGACATGCACTTTGCGAGCCTGGGATCCCAGTCGACCGGTGGTGGTTTGTCCGGCTATGAACACCCACATGTGGACTCATCCGTTCACTCAAAAGCATCTGGATGTTCTCGCAGCCGAAGCAAGCTACATCATTATTCCACCGATTACCAAGACTCTGGCGTGTGGCGATACAGGTGAGAGTCGCTTCGCTCGCCAGTTTGGATGTCGCATTCGTTGCGGCTTACGTCGTTTAGGCCGCTGCCGTTGCTGCTTGATTGTGTCGCGAGGCCGCGCGTTCCTCGTCACTTGCTGATCTGCCTGGGTCGAAACGTGCTGTTCTAGGCATCGGTGCGATGGAAAACGTCGACAGAGTCGCCCAGAGAATCTACGAGATCTTGGAAGGCTGAGGGACCCCCCCCCGGAGAACCGTCAATCCGAGTCCCGCAGCATCGTACAGCCTCGCCAGGATTTGGGACGAGCGCCGAGCTCGTCGTTTCGGGCATCCAATGCGGGCGCCATCCTGATCTGTATCATGCCCATATACATCGCTCGCGCGACGAAATAGCACATTCTCCTGTTTTCGGTGGAATTCAAGCGCCTCCATCATCCACGGCCGTTTGCTGTGTGGCTGCTTTGTGGGTGTCAAACGCCGCCCCGCCACGTGAGTGGCTGCGCATGATCGCCCTGCGCCACGCCGCCGAGGTACAAAAACCCGACACCGCCGTTCGTCTCCTTCTCCTCCAAGTTACAACGGTTGCTCTATCTTGGGCGGATTGATGGCATGATGCTGTTTCGACGATCCGCCCATAAATATGCCACCAAGATGAACACCGAGTCTCGCAGATCGCTCATGCGACGTGCCCTATTCGCAGAGTGTTTTGAAGGACTCGAACAGATCTTGATCATGGGGAAAGCGGCGATCCACCTTGCCCCACGCGATCTGCCATGAGCACCATGTGGGGGGGGGTGTTGGGCAATCGGAGGCCGAGGAAGGGAAGGGAATATGAGCGGGACGGTCCTCCAGCCGCATCAGCCCGCCTCGCCCGGAGCTTTGCGGCTCTGCTTGGCCACACCAGCACTCATCGTTCCTGTGGAGCAACACCCGCTGTCGAACCAGCCCGCTGCCATGTTGCGTCGCTCGCCACCTCCCGCAGAAGCCGCCACCGGTGCGTATTTCTATTTCTCCATCTTGGCCTTGGACGCACTTGCCGTTGCTCTTCGTGCAAGCCCCTCCCGCGTCCTCGATCGCTATGGAGTATTCGCCATATATCAGCGATGATGAACCCGGCATCGGAGCCGAGGAATACCTTGATAGAGACTATGAGGCTGAATTCCTGTCCATGTCCGGCGAGACCCCGCTCCCGTATGCTGCCTCCGAGACCAGCGAGCCTGCAACGTCGGCCTTGGGCAGAGCCGGTGGCCTCGTCCAGGTGCTCTGCAACCCGGGCTTCGAAAGTACTGTTCGAGAGGGCATCCTCGGCCGTCTTGACCTGGTCTCCCTCTCCCGACTCTCCCGACTCTCGAAGGCTCTGCACTTGCTCTTTGAGGCCACCGACAGGTCGCCCTGGATTCCGGCTCTGTGTCGCTCGATGGCCCTCGCGCCCGGCTGTCTCCGCGGCCTCGGGCTTCCAGTCTCCACCGAGGTGGAGATACTCAAGGGCCTCGTTTGCTTCTTGAGTCGGCAGCGGGACCAGGACGGCTATCCGTATCCGCCCTCCCTGGCCGCACACCAGACCGAGCTCAAGATGTGGGATGCTCTATGCTTGAACAACGCCATGCGGCTCCGAGTCCAGAGAATTTGCAAGGAGAAGAACGCCATGCCGAGCCGATTCGCAAGTGCGTCCTTGAACCTTCCCAGTCTTGCCTCGCTCGAGGCTCGACCAAAAACTACATTCTCGTTCCTCGACAGCGCCCGCCTGCTCGACGATATAGGCCCCGAAAGACCCGTCACCCTGCTTATCGTCCGTCCCAAGCGCCACCCGCTCTTTATCCAGTCGCAGCTGCTCCGCCTGCTGCCCTTTGAGCGATTCCTCCTCGAGAACGATCTAGTCCAGAGCATTTCGTTGGGCAACTGCACGTTCTCGTCCATTGTCGGATGGCCACGACGCATGAGTCGGGTCCTAACCCTCAGCGCCATCACAAACGACTCGCAGGGCCATGTGTGGGACTGGGGCGACTTTCCCTCCATGCCGGCTCTCGAGGTCCTCAAGCTTCCAGAGTGTGTCGAGTCGTTCGTTGGATTTCCGGCATCCATGAGACAACTCAAGCGCCTCCACACCGATCACTGCGCTCGAGTGACATCCCTTATGGGGCTGCCTGCAAGCTTCTGGTGCCTGGAAACCTTCAATATTCCCCCCAACGTCACGAATCTCTTTGGATTTCCGCCTAACGTTCCTCTACTCACGAGCCTGCTGATGCGACACGTCAAACAGCTCACCAATCTGCAAGGTCTTCCGATAATGATGGGATCTCTCGAGAAGATCACGCTGCCATCCTCTCTGACAAGCATGGGCGGGTTTCCCGGAATCACAAACTGGATCCAGTGCCTGGACATGTCCGTGTGCACCGAGATGCACGACATGAGCGGCTGGCCGCGAACCTTCAGCGGGCGGATCTCCAAATTGATATTCCCCCCAGGGCTCAAGAATCTGCACGGGTTCCCGCCCGTTGTGAGCAACATCGAGTGCTTTGGGTTCCTCAAGTGCACCAAAATCAAGTCATTCCGGAACTTCCCAAAACAGCTCTCGGACCTGAAGAGATTGGAGCTTCCGCCGTCCATAACGCCGAAATTGCTAAACTGCATTTCGTTCTCGGGGCTTCCTGAGCTGGAAACGATCGCAGTCGACGCGAAAACGGCGACGAATGAATACGTCCAGGGAGTCATCGATGCGGTGCGCCAGTTCCATCCTGGACTCATCGTCATCTACCAGGAGTAGCTACTGTCCGTTTGGCCCTTCGCGCGGTGGTCAGTGCAGTCAGTGCAGTCAGTGCAGTCAGTGCAGTCAGTGCAGTCAGTGAAATCAGTGAGATCAATGAGATCAGTGCAGTCAGTGAGTACATTAGCTCCTTCAGTAATTCGTCCATTAGTTCATGCAGAGTTGGTGCAGTCGCTCCTCGGTGTTGTTCACCACATTAGTAGCCTGCGGGGAAAGTCGCAGGAGCGTCATTCAAGACCTTGACGAGTCTGACTGCACAGCAGCTTGAAAAATGTGTGGACAGCGCCGGTATTGCTTTGATATGGAAGTGCATTTCATGTTCTCGATATTGCGCCCCAAAGCCAAGAGATCCTATGCTGGCCCAGGCTGCGATGCCCCTCGCTCAATTGATATGCGCGATTGGGTCCTGCAGCGACACCCGGTCGTCCGGCAGCATCCGGCATCGTTTCGCCGGCGGTGCGACTGATGCACAGCGTCGTACCTCGTTCTTGCTTCCCGCGGGCCACATACAATCTTGGAGGTGATCATGCCGCGCTCATGATTCAGAGTCCCGGCCGACGATTCTGCCAGGAGCCGCCGTCCGCCCACCATCCCACAGGATCGGAGAAAAAGCCCCCCCCCAGCGAGCACGACTTCCTGCCCTCAGTCATTCGCTGAATTAAGGCCTGTCCTTGGTCTTGTCGCGCGATCCGGGACAATCTCGCATCTATCTGACCCATTTTGACCAACTCCAAAGCAATTTCATCTTTGCACTGTATTTGCCTACTCTCCCTTTCGTCAATTTCCTTTGCCCTCATTGAGAACCTCTGAATACTGGGTGCACATAGGCGCTTGTTCTAGCCACGCGGCCATATTATCTTGAAGCCATACCAACCCACTGACTTGCCTGCTGCGCGACGGTCTGCCTGACCAGAACCAAAGCCAGTATAGCCCGAGCCGACTCCCACATGAAGGTTGAGCCATACAAAGAGCTGAAGGACTCGGCCGATATACCCAGTCCGCTCGGGTCAATGACCTTTGAGCTGTCTGCCGCCGACCTCAGCACCATCTTCAATCCCTCCAAGAACCCAGAGCATCTGCAGACCCTCGGCGGCATTGAAGCGGTGGTCTCGGCCCTCAAGATCGATGTGAGCCAGGGTATTACTTCCAGCACTGTCGACGAGCGGAAGCGCGTGTTTGGAGAAAACACCCTTCCTCCCGTTGTCTCCAAGTCCCTCGGCCAGCTGATGCTTGCGGCGCTGTCAGAGAAGATCATGGTGAGTCGGCACACGATCGATTGTGTCTGGCATTCCTGTGTATTGGGTGGGAAGACCATACATCGGATATCATGCATTATTTGCCGCGCGCTGTCGCGTATTTCGACTCGGGGATGATCCAGCCGTGTCCTGGGCTGATGCAATCAAATTGAAAAGACGTCTACAGAGCGTCTCGAGGGCATAGCACTCACCTCCTGATGCGCCTCTTCACCCACAGATCATCTTGTCCATCTCTGCAGTCGTGTCGCTTGGCGTTGGCCTGTACGAGGACTTTTCGCCCAGCAACACCGAGGGTATGACCCACTGGATCGAGGGGTTCGCAATCCTTGTTGCTGTCGTGATTGTCGTCATGGCCGCGAGCATCAACGACTACCAGAAGGAGAAGCAGTTCCGGAAGCTCAATGCCCAAAAGGACGACAAGGTCGTCAAGGTAATATGGACAGCCGTCTGGTTGAGAGGGCTCGTCCAGAGATGGCTCGCCACTGCTCTCGAATGCTGCGATATAAAGTGTCGGAGCCTCAGTCTGACATTCGGTTTATTCACCTCCACTCGCAGGCCATCCGCGGAGGAGAGACCAAGCTCATTTCGGTTTACAGGTATCCCACTGCAAATACATAGATTTAAGTCCGTCCTTTCCGTGGCGCATCGACTTGGCTTCGTAGACAACTCGCTCAGATCTTTGACGTCGATCCATCTTTGGGCCCGCGGGGGATGATTTTTCGTCTTTGGCGCAGCATACTGGTTGGAGAAATCCTGGTCCTCGAACCCGGCGATGTGATCGTCGCCGACGGTTTGGTTTTGAGCGGTCTGCTCAAGTCAGACGAATCGTCGGCCACGGGCGAAAGTGACGCCATCAAAAAGTCGCCGCAGGGCGACTGTCTACTTCTCAGCGGCAGCAAAATCCTCGAAGGCACCGGCCGCTATATCGTCACGGGTGTTGGAACCAACTCGTTTTTCGGAAGGATCATGATGGGTACGACAAGGGCAGATGCTGAGGAAGCCCAGGCTATGATGCACGATCGCAGGAATCTCCGCGACTTGCCGTTGCGCTCCGAATGCATACCGCGCATATGAGTAACTTGGAACTCTCCTTACTCTGTGATCTGCTGCACTTCCCTGCGACTCTTTGTGCCGCTGTGGAACTATCGACTCCGGCGCCGCGATCAGCAATGCGAACCGAGACTGAGGAGACCCCGCTTCAGATAAAGCTTGACGGCGTTACCGAGAACATTGCCAAACTTGGATCTGCAACAGCACTTCTGATGCTCCTCTGTCTGCTCATCAAATACTTCATCACCGTCACGTCAACAACCGGGTTTGGCTCTGCCCCAGGGCAGCAAAACGCCACTATGACAGCAACTGCAATCATCAACATCCTGATCTCGTCCATCACAATCGTCGTCGTGGCCGTGCCGGAGGGTCTGCCGCTGGCCGTAACTCTGGCACTCGCCTATGCCACAACCAAGATGCTCAAGGACCGAAACCTTGTTCGAACCATTTCGGCGTGCGAGACCATGGGGAACGCAACGACGGTGTGCTCCGACAAAACAGGCACTCTCACTCAAAACAAAATGACTGTTGTCCGAGGCGTTATCGGATGTAACCTGCATTTTGGCAAGGCCGATATCAAGGACATTCCCAGCCGGGTTGGCCAGGTGGAAGGCGTTGGCTTTCGTGGGCTGGATGGTGCTCGCCTGCTTCGGCTGGTCATCGAAAACGCCGCTCTAAACTCGTCTGCGTTTGAGGGCTACAACGAAAAAACGGGCGAGAAGGGCTTTGTGGGCTCCAAGACCGAGACCGCACTGCTCGACTGGATTGTCAAGATGGGCTCGGACTATTCGCAGCTCAGAGCAGATCCCGCCAACCGAATCGTGCACGTCTACCCGTTCTCGTCCGAGCGCAAGTCCATGACGACGCTGATCATGGCGCAGGACGGTGATCACGTTGTGTACCGAGTCTTTGTCAAGGGTGCCTCGGAGATTGTGCTCAAGTACTGCAGCCGTATTGCCATCCTGAGTCAACTGGACGACGTGGAGCCCCCACGGATCGAGCCTCTGGACGAGAACCACATCCACGACATGGAGCGCCTGATCAAAAGCTATGCACAGCTCTCGCTGCGAACCATCTGCATGGCTTACCGCGAGTGGTCCAAGCCAGAGTTTGATTCCTGGATCAGCGGATCGATTCGTGAACGGATCCGAGAGGCCCGCCATGAGGAATGGAAGCAAAAGATTGATCGACAGATCGAAGAAAACGGCGGTGTGATCATCCCCATCGACGACGGCACTATCGACCTTGAGTTCCAAGACACGCCTCTGACAGACGAAGAGGTTCTGGCCCATCCCCTCGCTCTGGCTGAGCTGGGCGGATGCGATTTGATATGCACCTCTATCGTTGGAATCGAGGACCCGCTCCGCCCTGGTGTCAAGGAGGCTGTTCGAGACTGCCAGCGCGCTGGGGTGTTTGTTCGCATGGTATGACTTTTCAGCGACTCTGCTTTTGCACCTTCGTCAAGTGGAATCACATTGCCCCCCCTCGAGCACGGGCAGACGGTTGGTGCTCGCTTGATTTACATCGCTCTTGCATCTCTACATCATCGATCGTCTGTGTTGCAGGTCACCGGCGATAACATCATCACCGCCAAGGCGATTGCAAGCCAGTGTGGCATCTACTGTCGCGGCGGGGTGATCATGGAGGGGGCGCAGTTTCGCAACCTGAGTCTGGAAGAGATGGACGCCATCCTGCCGCGACTCCAGGTGCTCGCTCGCTCAAGCCCGACCGACAAGCAGCTGCTGGTCGGTAGGCTCAAGCACCTTGGCGAGACCGTCGCAGTCACGGGCGACGGCACGAATGATGGTCCGGCCCTGAAGATGGCCGACATTGGCTTCTCCATGGGCATCGCCGGCACCGAAGTGGCCAAGGAGGCTTCGTCTATCATTCTGATGGACGACAACTTTGCGTCCATCGTCAAGGCTCTCGAGTGGGGTCGCTGCGTCAACGACGCCGTCAAAAAGTTCATCATGTTCCAGCTGACGGTCAACATCACTGCAGTCGTGGTGTCGTTCATAAGTAGTTTGATGGATGCAAACGAGGGCTCGGCTTTGACAGCCGTGCAGCTGCTCTGGGTATGTCATTGCGCCGCGCCGACGCACCCAATGGCGAGCAAAACCAACAAGCAAAGACTTCTCCCCGCCCCAAGAGCACTGTGAGAAATCAAGCCTGCTTGAGCCTGCGCTTGGGCATCTGAGCAGCCACTGTGGTGAGGCTTCGTCGCTAACATACTATACCATATTCTCGGCAACCACGCACACAGGTCAACTTGATCATGGACAGCCTTGCTGCCCTGGTCTATGCCACGGAAACACCAAGCCGCGACTTGCTCGATCGCAATCCGGACAGCAAAGCGGCATCGCTGATCAACATCAGCATGTGCAAGATGATTCTGTTGCAGTCGGGCTTCCAGATCGCTGTCAATCTTTCCATTTTGCTCGCGGGGCCCACGCTCTTCACTCTGCCAGAGCTTCGCAATGCTGGCGGGATCCTCAACTCCTCGGTCTTGGTCACGGACCCACTTTATCCCATCATCAGCGCCGAGAAAGTCGTTCTCAAGACCATTCTCTTCAACACCTTTGTGTTCTTGCAGATCTTCAACCTGATCAAGTAAGAGAGAGAAGGGGGGGGGTCTGCGGGCCGGAGTTGGCATATTGGACAGCGTTGATCTCGCTGTCAGTGGGTGCAGTGGCGCACATGAGGAAATCCGTCTCGACGTTTGGGCAGCACGCACTCACTGTCGCAATACTCTGTTGCTCTCTGGTCTCCATCCATCTGTTCCCCATCCGTCTCCTCACTCTGTTGGCCACACAAAATTTGCTCTCGCCTCCCCTAGTTGCTGCCGCATTGACAACCAGCTCAACGTCTTCCGAAACTTCTTCCGAAACCCGATCGCAATCGGCATCGTCATCTTCATTGCCATTGGCCAGGCTCTCATTGTCCAGTTCGGTGCCGTGGCCTTCCAGACAACGCCTTTGAGCGGGGTGCAATGGGCGGCCTGCATCGTCATCGGATTCATCTCGATTCCGCTGGGAGCCATCATCCGCCTCATTCCCAACGGAATCTTCATCTGCTTCCGGTCCCAGGAAGCTTCCCCAAAAGTGCTTCCGCTGGGCCTCTCGGGGTATCAGCTGGAGCGAACGTCCGTCGCACGATCGAACCTCAGTCTCGTGGAGACACACCCACACCTCTCGCGCACAAGCACAACGACATACAATGCTATTCGCGGCCACAAGCGAACCTGAGCCGTTCTCGGGCTGCCGCTCGGTGGTATCGTTGGGGGGCCCTATTGTCCGTGCAAATCCCCCTCCAACGAGAGCACAGATCCTTCGGCCTCGCCTCGCTCTTTCTCTCTCAACACTAGATCTTGTGGACACAGCGCTTTGCACAGCAATTCAATAGACGACGTTTTCCGAGAACCAATAGTGGGCTGTCGGGACAGCATCTTGCTTCGGCATCAGCCGACACTCTCATTCTGGCTACTGACTCTGTGTGCAATTCCTGGGGAGGAAGGAAAGGGGGGGGGCATCAACCCCCACTTGGTCATTCACCATTTTTCAAGATAGTAACCGCAAAGTTATTTCTGTTCTTTGTATTCCAGACGTGCATGACGTGCCGCGCGATACCGTGACGTCGCGAATCGGCTGCTCATGACGAGCAATTGAGCGATCATGGAAGCCGGGCTGCCTCCTGCGTCGATCGTCGGGGTGACGGGTCTCCGATGGGCGGAGACTGGATCAGGGCTCGAACGGTTTCAATCACGCGATTGGCATCCTGTTGAGGCGTGACATGAGACGACATGAAATACACAACGTTGCCGAGGGGACGGGCGTAGACGTTGTGCTCGGTCCGAAGCGATTCCACGATAGCTTGGGCAGAGCAAGAGCCGTATCCTGCGAGTGCATCAGAGCCCAGGACATGGTACATTAGCCGTAGACAAGAGGCACGGATGCCGATATTATTGGTCAAGACCGAAGCCATGCCGGGCTCCATTCGTCAGTCGAATTAACTGTGCACCAGAGCACTCACCCCTCCCTCCCGCACACACTTACCCTTTCCATCCTCGGCAGCGAGTTCCACCGCCAGAACGGTACCGAGTGAAACAACGCCGTCGACGTTTGGAAGTCGCGATATGGCCAGACATTCCTGGGGTGGACACAACCGGGCCGCAAAGTGACGATTGATTTGCATGGCGATTTCGAGTGTTTCACCCAATATCATGGGAGGGGACAACAGACGTCCGCATGTTGACGGGTGTATGAAGCCGAGTCGTGGCGTTAGACGCATCATCGAACCAACACACACCGGATTCGATACTCTGTCGGCCGAGCAGACTTTGCCTCGATCGCGCACTCGATATGCAGCGCAGCTCAGGATCGCATACGCAGCAATCGCTGGCCGACGTACCTTCTCACTCCAGGTGTCGCGGATGGCTCCACGTTTGTAGAGGTCTTCGAGAAGATCCAGCGAGCGCGTCCCGAGCTCGCATCCAACGGGATAGGCCGTGTAGCTATGGCCATGAAGGAGAGCTTCGAGCTTCTCGTCACCAAGGAAGCTCAGGTAAACTTCCTCGGACGTCAGATTGACGCACAGCGGAGTCACACCGCCGGTCAGGCTCTTGGCATAGACGGCAATGTCAGGCTGAGTCTGGAGCAGCTCGCGGGCAGCCGAGGGATAGCCGAGGCGATACAGGCCCGTAAACACCTCATCAAACACAACGGGCACAGCAGCATGCCTATGGGTCTTTGGCAGCGCGCGCACCGACTCGACCAAGACACGCTGGAACAGAGGATCGATCCACTGCATGCCACCGGCGCCGAGGAGCACGGGCTCCAGGGTGAGGGCACCGAACTGGTGGCCGGACTCGATAGCGCTGGCGAGGCGCGCGGAGATGTGTTCTCGATACAGCCGAGCCAGAGCCGAACCATCGCGCAGAGTCGAGAAGACGTTGTCTCGGGTTGGAAGGACGAGATCGGCGGCGATTTCGGGCGTGCCTGCATTCTTGATGCACTCAGGAAGCCGCACGAGATACTCGCCGTTCTTGAGAACGACCGTGGGAGGGTCAAACCAGAAGCCGCGACCCTTGTACCTTGAATTCCGAATGAAACCGGTGGGTCGTGTGCGAGTTGACGATGCCGTTAGTTGGTTGGGTGTGTCAGCAAGGTGCGTTCGAGCGAACCAATAAATGGTGCGACAGGCGAGACACGACGCTATGCACGCCGTCAACGTCTATCGGCAACTCAGCTATCCGCGTTGGCACAAGCAGAAGCCGTAATCACGACCGAGCGCGGGCGACATGCACGGCGATCGCAGCCATCCGGGGTGTCGGAGAGCACCGGCTCGAATCGGTCTGTTGATGCGCACACTTACCAGTTGACCTTGTCGTTGAAGACGCTCTGGTCCGCGGCATCCATAGCGCCAATGGTGTCGCCGTGATATGCACCCTTGATGCCAATGACCTCGAGAGCTTTGTTGGTGGGCGCCGCAGCAGGGTCCTCTCCCAGCAGCTTGGCTTGGCGCTTCTCAAAGGTCTTGAAGGCCATCTTGAGGGCAACCTCCATGCCGGTGCTGCCGTTGTCGGTGTAAAAGACGCGTGTGGCCCACGAGTCGCCAAGCTGTTTCAGCAGCTTTTCGGCCAGCTCCAGCGCCGGGCGATGGACAACCTCTGGGAAGATGAGGTGGCCGTATCGACCGGCAGCATGGGCGGCAGCCAAAGCCAATTTGGGGTTGCCGTGGCCGAGAGCCTGCGTCCACCAACTGGCACAGGCATCAAAGAGCTGCACAGATGCTGCCGAGGGTGTGCCTGCGACAGAAACAGCCGACGAGGGCTGCTTGAGCGTCGTGTAGTAGTCGCCATAGGCCGAGTCGATGACGGTGGTCTCTCGAACGAGGCCATGCTGGGTGAAAGGCCACCAAATGGACCGCTTGCCGCGCTCCGCCATGCCCTCCAATTCCTGGATGCGCTTGTCGTGCTCGTCGATCAGCCGCGAGACCATGGGCCCCAATCGCTGAGCGGCCGTTTCGTAATAAACCATCATGTTGGTGGCATCGTGCAGATGCTCCTTTTCCTTCTCTGGCGGGATTGCGAGCAGATCGACAGGAGCATCGACATTGCGAGCGATGATGTCGTGGTTCTTGTACTGTTTGTTGTCGAACATGAGAACGGACGAGACGGTGTATCCACGCATCACAAGGGCTTCGTATGAAGAAAGGGTTGTTGAGATCCCGCCGAGCGCCGAGTCGCCGATCAGGACAATGGGCAGTCGCAGCGGACGATAGACATCGGACTGCAAGTTGCCAGAGGTCGACGGACTGTTGACGCCTGTTGGGCACAATACATTACAGGGCGATGGTCAGAGGAGCCGCCATGAATAGGCGATCGGCCGTCAGAAAGGGTCGATCAATAGCAGGCCGATGGACCCGCGAGACGATTCGGCAAGTCCACAGATGGAATATGCGCCCTTCCCCCGTGTTCTGCTGCAAGCCCTCACCGCCGGCTGTTTCTACGATGACGAACGGTGACCTGGATGCCGTTTGGGCCGATACATCATTCAGGAACTTCTGGACCGACTCAAGCAGCTGCGAATCCGAGATGGGCTTGTTTTCCTATGCAGAGAGGAGCCAGAGTGAGCGATCGCGGTCGATGCACGCTATGTGCTTGGATGGCAGCGGCCTCAATGGGTTTCATCGAGACGGTGCCGTGCTGGGCATGGCATACCCAGATAGCGGTCAAATGGGGACTGGCTGGTTCGTTGTAGGTGTATAGAGTGGCGGTTTCTGCGCCGGAGCAGAACATCTTGACATGTCTATCACGTACGACCGCGTCAGTTGCCGATCGGTACCGCCATCGTCACAGATAGCATGCTGTGATTTGGGAGAAGCCCAGTACACCAAAGATCATTGATTGCCGGAGCTCCCAAGCCGTGTGGGACTCGATATCCGCACACCAGGGCACACCAGGGCACACCAGGGCGGACTGGGATGCAACCGCAACCAACCTGGCGTCCGAGTCCCGCGGGAATCCGGTCTGGATCGGCTTTAGATAGAAGGCCTGGCGATTCAGAGCCAGGGCTGACTTGGTCAGCGCCGTTGAGCAAATGGTCTTGCCGACATCGGTGTTGGCAGCGAAGATCTGGTAGACCGGGAGGTTTCTCGAGATGGAGTTGATCCAGCGCGCCGACTCGGGATGCGGCATGGCTCTGGCGACAGTGAAAGGAAAGTGGATGGGGGAGAGTGAGGATCGGTGCAGCGGGATATAGCAAGCCCACAGGTCGACGCCCTCCCCCCAAAAAATCCGATATCGGATCTGCTGCACAGCGGGTCTCACCGTGGGTTGTTGTCGGGGTGCGATGGAGGCTGGGGGAAGGCAACGGCACCAGATCCCCAGCCCCAAGGGAGCCTGGCATCACTGCGCACGCAACACGGACACGTGGTTTGGCGCGAGCAGCAAGGGCCGCGCGGCGATTGGCTGCACGGCGGTGCGCAGCAGTGGACCCGAGCGCCGTTCCGTGTCATTCGGTGTCATGGCGGCTCAACAGGCCGGGTGCAGATGTGGCAAGCGAGGATGGGATGTGAAGGATGGGATGCGAAAGATGGGATGCGAAGGACGGGATGTGAAGGATGGGATGATAGTGGTGTTGCCGTCCACGAAGACCAGCAGGGGAATCCGCTGCCGACTCGCATCCGTGTTCGATGGCTGCGAGCCAGCAGCGGCGCATTCAAAAGTCAAAAGTCGAAAGACAAAGTCAAAAGTCAAAAGACAAAGACAAAGTCGAAAGCGCTCTGTTCGGGATCCAATCCGCATGGTTGATTTGCTCGCCGAGTGCGACACGATGGGACGGCTCACTCGTGCTCATGCTCACCCACTTGCCTTATCTCCTGCAATCACGCCGCCACCATGACCACATTCGCTTCTGCAATTCACTGTTGCGATTCGCTATTGCCTTTGATACGATGTTCACACGATCGCCGTCCCCCTCGTCCTCATCTCCATCGCGGCATCCACAATTACATTCTCAATCACTCTTCCCCACAGCCGCCTCGCCCGCTCTCGCTCGCCCCAGGCATCCCAGTCCCACAGAACGCCCCATCGCGCAGCCCCTCTGTTCCGTCTTCCGGCCGCCACGTCCCGTTGCCTCGCGGGTCGCTCCTTCCGCGCATATATCTGCCGCCCAATCTGCCCACCCGCCCGTGGTGTTCCTGTTCGACCATCGCCCTGAGACTCCCCCCGAGGCTTTCCGATCTGCCTCTTCCCATTATCCGCGCTCCACTCATCCCATCCCATCCCTTCCCGATCCCATCCCATCTTGATCCAAACCTCGCCTCAGCCATGTCTCGCTTCGCCGTTATCAAGACCCGTCCTTCGTGGCTTCTTGCCCGGACCTTCTCGACCACCCTGAGCACCCGGCTCGCGACCATTGGCCAGACTGCGGCAACCCCAGACAACGGCGCCGCCCACTACGCTGAATCCCCGCTCCGAAACGACTGGACCAAGACCGAGATTAAGCAGATCTACGACTCGCCGATCATGGATCTGCTGTACCATGGCGTACGTACCCTGCAGCAGCGCCGTTGCCAGTGCACCATCATTGTTACCTCGACTCGCCCCCGACTCGTGTCGCTGGCTGCTCTCAGCGATCTCGGCGATGCTGTTGGCCGATTGATTGCATATGCCTGCAATGTGTTTGCTCTCGACCTGGTGAGCCATACCGTCTTCCAAGCGACTAACGTGGTTTTCCGCCGTTATGTTGACTGTCGGTCACCTCACATGGCGCTGTCGATGCTTCCAACGACACCGTGACTGCTGCCGATCACTGCGACTGTGTATCCATTCTCCATAATGCTTACGTATCCAGCAAAACGTGCACCGAAAACACCATGGTGCTCGCGAGGTCCAGCAGTGCACGCTCTTGAGCATCAAGACCGGCGGCTGCTCCGAGGATTGCTCGTACTGGTAATCCCTCGCCACAGCATGCACACCCTTGGTGCTAGCGCTTCGGCACTTGATCATCGCCCTCAGATTCTCCGTACTGACGTTTCTTGTTCATATAGCCCCCAGTCGTCCAAGCACGACACAGCGGTCAAGGCCAGCAAGCTCATGACCGAGGACAGTGTTCTGCAGGCTGCCCGCAGAGCCAAGGAGGCCGGCAGCAGCCGTTTCTGCATGGTATGTTGCAGGTCTTGTTCCTGCGCTCCGCTGTCCGCATCCGATGGTTTGGCTACGCTACTCCGATAGTGTGTTGGTAGACAGCCCTTTCCAAGAGCGGTCGCTCAGGAGTTACTATAGCCCGCTTCCTTGAATCGTGGTTCCATGCTGATGCTCCGAGTCTCGTGCTTCTCTCCATCTGTTCCTTACACACATACCTCGTCGCCAATAAAAACCACCGTGCGTTTCTCCAGGGTGCCGCCTGGAGAGATCTCAATGGCCGCAAGACCAACTTCAACACCATCCTGAACTACGTCACCGAGATCCGTGGCATGGGCATGGAAGTGTGCTGCACGCTTGGCATGCTCAACGAGGAGCAGGCAAAGGCCCTCAAGAACGCCGGCCTCACCGCCTACAACCACAACCTCGACACCAGCCGCGAATATTATCCCAAGGTAGGTTCGCCCTCCTCCCGTTGCTCAAGCCTCGTCAGGCAGCGCCCCGGTGACTGGCTGGTGACTCATTCCAAACCCGCTGTGTTGGTCCGTGACCGTGCTGTGTTGGCGTGTCATGTTCCCTCCCCCACCAGATCATCACCACCCGCACCTACGACGAGCGCCTGGACACCATCGCCAACGTCCGGGATGCCGGCATCTCTGTCTGCTCCGGTGGCATCATTGGTCTGGGCGAGACCCCCGAGGACCGCGTCGGTATGCTCTGGCAGCTGGCGACCATGCCCGAGCACCCCGAGAGTGTGCCAGTGAACGCCCTGCTTGCTGTCGAGGGCACTCCTCTGGAGAAGCAGGAGGTGAGTGTCCTGCTTGAGAGCTTTTGACGGGTCCTCTCCTGTGTTCTTGAGTATCTCCAGCACTCAACCGACTCTATCGCACTGCTGCATTTGCTGCTGTTCGCCCGCGTCGACTCCCGGTCGTTCATGGCCGGAGCTTCTGTAGCGACAGCCGGGTTGCAGACGCCACAACTAACGCTCAATCCACCATCCATGTCGATTGTTTGATATTCAGCCCGTCAGCATCTGGGAGATGATCCGCATGATCGCGACCGCACGCATCATCATGCCTAAGGCCATGGTAGGTTCCTGATCACGCCACGGGAAAGGAAAGTGGCCGCACCGGTCGAGGGAGGTGCCCCCTGTTGCTATACGCAGAAACAAGCGCACATGTGACTGACGGACATAACCGCTGCCAATGACCAGGTTCGGCTATCCGCTGGTCGCGTTCGCTTCAGCCACGCCGAGCAGGCTCTCTGCTTCATGGCTGGTGCCAACTCCATTTTCACCGGAGACAAGCTGCTGACGACTCCCAACAACACCTTCACGGATGACGAGCTCATGTTCCAGACCTTGGGTGAGTGACGGCGTATCTAACACAAGCTGCTTGAAATCGCCGAGGAGACGATCAACATTGCTAATCTTCTGACTCGTGCAATCTGTGTTGCACAGGCCTGATTCCCAAGAAAGTCAACCTCCAGCAAGGCTCTGATAAGGCCGAGAAGCCGGTGTATGCCTCCAAATGCTCCTCGGGCTGCTCGCACTGAGCGTCCATCGCGACAATCGATCCAAATGCCTGTCCAGACTGCAGTAGGCAGCAGTCGGCTGTGATCCCCTTTACTCAGGGGGGGGGAATGAGACACTGGCCCACATGATCCTAACTCAGGCTCAGAGAGGAATGCTCCTGCTGGCCTCTGCCAAACACAATACACCCACGATCTTCTGGATTTGAGGCGGCAGTCGGCATCGCTGTCGATTCAGAGAGCCGGGCACCCGCCGATGCTGCCAAAGCTGCGTGTTGGGATCGGCTCTGCACCACACCCGCCGCACGGTATGCGTTGTGGCAGGTATCACCACAAGTGGTATCATCATGAGGACGAGCCGCTTGGCCGAATATCAGCCAGGCAGCAGCCAGGGTCATGATGGTATCAAGCTCCCTGCTCTGGCTGCATTGTGGCTATGCTGTGGCTCGCCGCATCGCACCGCCACCAATCGGTGTCACCCAGCCGTCCAATCCCGACGCGCCGCTCCGATCTGCTGCTCGAATCGGTCGGCTTCACCACATCGAGTCCCACGGATGGTCTCGCACATCGGCCTACATAACCCCAGCCGCTGCTGGTCGAGCCGCATCAGCCCAGCCCATTCCAGTTCTGTTCGGTCCTCCTCTAGCACCCGTCTTGCCTATCAGTCAGCCAGCCAGTCCGGCAACTCGCACCTGCCAAACACAATCCAGCCACAGATGCTCATCAAGTTTGTCGTCGACCCAGCGAGCGTTCCTCAAGCCGAGCACCCTGCCGATTCCCTTCGCGAGGATGATCACTTTCTCTACAAACGCAAGGGCCCCAGTGGTTCCAGCGGCGCTGGCAGCTCGGTCGTCATCGTTGGTGACCCTTCGTCACCAAGCTCAAGTTGGTCCTCGCAAGATGTCATCAACTGTAGGTACAAGACCGGTGTCGTTGCTGTTGTTGTCCGTGAATGGGCCCTTGCACTGACCGGCTGGTGTGCGAATGGATTGCACCGAGGGTTGTGTTTTGTCCTGGCCGGCAGGCCTCGGTTCCTCCATTGTGCCGATCCCGGCCACATTCTCTCCATCTCATCGCCCACTCTGCCATCCTCGCTCCGATGAACGGACTGAAATCGAATCAAATCCTATGAAATCAACTGGAATGAAATACAGTCGGATGGATCTGCCTCGGTTTATTTGGACTATCTGTTCTGATAGGTTTTCTGTTTTATTGCCGGCGCACAATTACCGATCCTTGCAGTACTGGAGTCGGAAGGTGGCTCGAGGCCCGCCGCACCGCAGCCAAGGCCCGTGTGGCAGCCGAGACGGCCAGAGCTGCCAAGATTGCTGGAAAGCGCCGGGCTGTTCCCGCCCCGGAGGGCCTCGTTGTCGAACAACCAGTGATGATCGCCGTCGACCCGCTCGAGCCCTCGACAAGCACGGCCCCGGCCAAGATCGTGCTGATTCCGGCCACGACCGACTCGCCGTCGATACAAGCCACCAATCCATCAAAAACTGCCCAGCCCGACGCCGGCCAGCATTGGCTTTCATAGCCACATTGAGCCTCACAATGTCTCGCCGTCTCATTTCGCCCCCCACCATAACACCTCTTATTGTGTGCCCACGGCCATGTCTCTCGTTTCTATTGCTCTTCTCGCTATGTATAGTAATGTATATATATTTCCACGGATACTCTGCGGACAGTCCGTCCATATTATCCATGCCCCCATCATTTACTCGCAATCATTGCCCGCCCCAGGCTTCATGCGCTTGGCTGGCTCGCTGTCCGGATTGGTCTGCATTGGCGGTCGCTGCTTGCGCTTCACGAGGCTTTGGATATCGTTGGAACGGGACTCTACAACGGAGGTGCTCGCTATTGAGGATGTTGCACTTCCGTCGGGAATGCTGCTGGTTACGACAGTATTTGGCGCCGTTTTGCTCTTCTTCTTGATCAAACCCTGAAGACTGGTGATTGTCGTTGCTGGGGCTGTGCTTGAGTTGACCGCAGTTTCATCCAAACCCTTTGCTTTGGGGACGTTCTCGATGCGAATATGGGAGCATGTGGTGCCCGGGGTCTCGCGGAACAGTTTGATCAGGCGGTCGCTGGATTGAACTGCATTCTGTTGGCTACTGTAGCATCCACTCCCAAGCTCCTTGGTGATGGCTTCGAATGCCTTGTGATCGCACAGGTTTGAGTCGGTGCATCCCTCTCTGGAGCGATCCATACCGCAACTCGGCTCGTCGGCGTTGTGGGCGGCTTGCATGCGCACCACAAAATAGCAAGTGGTCTGGTTCGACGACTCGCCTGAGCACTCGAGCATGTTGACCAGGGACTTGACCGTCAGCGTTGGCTTTCCGGATGGTTTGGCTGCAGTGCTCAGGGAATCGGCGATGATGCGGCCTTTCGGGTCGTCCGGGAACCGGGGAACCAGCACTGCCGCGGACCCGTGTGCTGGCCAAGGCAGCCCCCAGTTCCATTTGAGAACACATCCGGGGGCTTCAAAGAAGCGGCGGGCGAGCGCCTCGCCCTCGCCGGGGACGAGCCAGAATGCCTCGGATATCGGCTGCGGATCCATTTTGGCCATGGCTTGGTCCAGAGTCGACTTCCACCACCGAACGAGGCCGGCGCCGGGATTACTGGCGCGGTACTTTCCAGGGTTGAGCTTGGAGTCTGGGAACAGGTACTCAGGCATCGAGCGAGCGAATGTGTGGACCCAAATCTCCGGAGCCTGCGACTTGTAGCGATCGTAGAGGTGCTGGATGTAGCCAAACAGCGTCGACCGGGATATCGAATAGAAATCCTGACCCGCCGAGGCCTCAGAGCGAGCAAGGCTGTGGTCGAAGAATCCGGTCGAGTCGATCTTCTCGATATAGGCATGCACAGACCGAGCCGAGTCGGACCCGGTCTCGCAGACAACAAACTCGGAGACCTTCATGCCAAAGACAATCAGCGGAGACGAACCGACCTTGGAGATGAGCACCAGCCGATCCAGCTGCTGCGACGTGGATGGTTCCTCAAATAGCTGCGCTGGCGGATCCAGTCTTGCCGCGATGCAGTCTACACGCAGGGTGTGGCTGCCCAGAACATATTTCTGAATGGAGGTGCTGACGAACTGGCTCAGATCGCCTGTATAGTCGACGGTCATGGCTGCGTGGCTGCGTGGCCGCGTTGCTGGTCCAGATGCTCAGCGGGATCGATCTCGAGTAGGGTCTTTCCACCTGCCAGATGTCCCAGTGGATTCGACTTGGACGACAGATGCTTCCAGAGCGATGCGAGCAACGCTGGTTCGGATGGCAAGCGGTGTCGCGAGCCATGAAACGGGGCGGGATGTCATTTGCCCAATTTCGGAAATCACGTGCTGAAATCCAGCCCGGGTTTCTGATCAGCCACCAAGGGTGTGCCTGTGCAGAATCGCGATGCCGATGCGGCGCGCAACATGATTGCTGCGTGCATGGCGGTCATGGAGACTGGAGAGAGATCGTGAAGATCGGAGAGCGATTACGAAGATCAGAGAGCGGCCCGCGGACTTCGCTTGGAAGTGATCCGCTATGGCGTTGTTGGACAGGCAATCACATACTCCGCTGGCAAAAATGCAAATCGAACAGTGTCCCGATTGTTCTGCATATCATGTACAAGAGCACCGCCGTCGACCAGCGCAGCAAATCTGACTCCCTTGTGCATCGTTGATACTTCCGCCACACATATATGCACGGACACCTCTGCTCCGTATTGCCGAGGTCGGATGGGCAACCAGAGCATCATGGTACATGTGATTTGCTGCAACAGCTCCTGCAGCCGCCGCAGAGATTGTGCAATCAACCTCGTCAGCGGTGACGAGCCCGCCAGTGCTGAGCGACCGCCTCGTGCATGCTCGCGGCCAACACCCGCAATGCTGCGGGAAGCGAGCTGCTGGTTTCAGTGGATGTGATTGGGCCTGAATCGGCTCGCTGGATCCGACGTTGGCAGGACATTACATCACCCCAAGCCACTCACCCTTACGGAAAAAAAGCACACCGATGGGTCAACTGCCTGGCGGTACTCGCAGCACCCAGCGGCCTTGGTCGCTTTCATTCCCCAGCCAGAGCGCTCGTCTGTCGAGCAAATCCCTTTCCTTGCGCTCTGTGCGCTTCGGATAACCGCTTGCATTCGGAGCCCCGACGACGCTCTCGACTCAGTGCGTTTGCGCGTGGCCACCAGTTTCGTGCATCTTTGGATATCGGCTCAAAATGCCCGACAGCATCCGGGCCATGCACCAGGGCCCCAAAGATGCCAGCAATGGACCCAATACCGATGCCGGAAAGGACAAATCTGGCAAGGCCAGCAACGTCGACCCTCACCCCAAGCCCGGCGACACAGACAAGCGGCGAATCTTTGTGAACATGCAGCTGCCTCCTCCGTACGGCGACGAAAAAACGGGCCAGCCCATGAAGATATTCCCGCGCAATAAGGTCCGAACATCGAAATACACCATGTTTTCGTTCCTGCCCAAGAATCTGTTTGAGCAGTTCCGCAGCGTCGCCAACTTTTATTTCATCAGCCTCGTCATTCTGCAAATGTTTGGACCCTTCATGAACGTCTCGCCCGTCTTGACTGCGGCGCCGATTGCCTTCATCATCGCCGTCACGGCAGTAAAGGTGATGGTCTTGAGAACTTCGCCGCGTTGAGTCCGCCGTCTTGCGCGTGGGAGTCCATGTCGATCGAGCCAGCGTCGCCGCTGTTGGAGCGATGGAACAACTACCCACCACCACAGACTTTCTCTGACTGACCCCGCCGCCATGTTCAATAGGACGGCCTTGAAGATGTCAAACGCCACCGAGCCGACAACAGCGTCAACAAGGCCAAGACATACAAGCTTCACAACTGGGCCAACCACAACATTCACAAGAAATACCAGCACACTGTCCACCGCAGCGCGCGCCAGGAGAGTCACTATCCGCCCTTTATCGCCAGGAACGAGGACAGCGACAATCCGAATGCGCTTCCTCCCGACTTCAAGCCGGGCCAAGACCAGCACTGCTGGAGGCTTTGTCACTGGGAAGACATCAACGGTGAGATTCGTTGTCTTTGCGGAGTATCTCACACTGCTGCCGACACACGCGATGCAATCCATCCATGTAGCCAGACGGTTTTTGCCGGAAGTGGAGCACTGCGTCGAAGCCATCAGGCACTCATGCGGTGTGTTGATTTGCGGCCACTGACGCTCCCGTCGTGCCTTGAATCGCAAACGGACTTGATCCATGCGGCTTGGCAACGCCAGTCGGTGATTTTATATTCCTGCGCAACAACGACTCTATTCCGGCCGACCTGGTCATTCTCGCCACCAGCGAAGACAACGGCATCTGCTATGTCGAGACAAAGAACCTGGACGGCGAAACCAACCTCAAGGTGCGATTTGCCCTGCCCGACTTCAATTCGATCCGAGCCCCGAGCGACTGCACAAAGCTCAAGTGCTTTTTCGATACCGAGCCACCGTCGCCGAATCTGTACCAGCTCAACGGCGCAGCGACGCTGAATCCGGCGGTCAAATCGATCCGCGAGAGCACGGCCTCGAGACGCGGACGGTGGTCCAAAATCGCCCCTCCGGCTTCTACCGAGGGGTCGGCCGACAGCGTCGACAATGCAGAGGGCTCAAAGAGCAAAGTCATCCCCATCACTATCAACTCGACGATGCTCCGTGGCTGTGTCCTCCGCAATACTCAGTGGCTCGTCGGCATGGTGGTCTTCACCGGAGCCGAGTCCAAGATAATGATGAATTCAGGCGACACACCATCGAAGCGGAGCCGCATTGACATCCAGATGAACGTTCAGGTCAGTGCCACACCATCGCCGAGTAGCAGACAGTGAGGTGTGCGCGCTGGCGTGACTTGGTGGAATATTTACCGACATGAGCGGCTGCAGATTCGGGCCTTGGCTAGGTAGGAACGCGCAGAATGCAAAGGGAAGCTAGCACCCTCACACATATTCCGATCCTCCCCCGGCTCCGGCCGACACTGTCATTGACTCTCTGTAGGTTCTGCTCAATTTCCTGGTCTTGGTGGCCATGTGCACCATATGCGGCATCATTCAAGGTGTCTATGCCGGGTCCTTCATTTTCGAGGATGCGCCCTTTGCCCCCGAGGGAGGAAAAGACACTCTATCGAGCTCGCCAGCCTTCTCGGCCTTCTTGACTTTCTTCAACTGCATGATCATGTTCCAGAATATCATTCCAATCGCTCTCTACATCAGTATTGACATTGCCAAGAGCGTGCAGGTACGGCTTGCGAATGTGTAGAGTCGGTCGCTTTCGATTTCGAGAAGCATTTGCATCTGACCGCCGAGAAATCACACCCAAGAAATCACAACCGAGACAGTGAACTCTGCGCCGTCGCATCCCTCTGACTCTTCAACGACTTTCTATTACCACTCTTGCCTGCCAACGTCGATTGCTCTACGCCCCATCTGCCATTCCAAAGTCACTCTTTATCAATTTTGACGAAGACATGTATGACCCCGAGTCCGACAAGTCGGTCGTGCCGCAGTGCTGGAACCTATGCGATGACCTTGGTAGGTGGCCTGCGTACTTTGTTGACACCCGCGCATTGTGCATTTGTGGCATCGCTGTGGGTTTGCGGGAGACATATTCGCAACATTCGTCATTACTTGCGCACTGACACGAGCGGAAATGAACTCTGCGACTACCTGGCACGCTCTGCGACGACCCGACTCGCTCTGTGATCGCACGACACAGGACAAATCGAATATATCTTCTCGGACAAGACCGGCACGTTGACATGCAACGTCATGGAGTTTCGCAAGTGCAGCATCAACGGTCTCAGCTACGGATGCGTCTTTACGGATGCTATGGAGGGCGCCGCCGCGCAGCACGAGTCACCGGCCGCGATCGCCGCAATGAAGAAGGAGCAGGAAGAAGTGAGGAAGCGGACCGAGGAGAACATGAGGCGCAAGATGGAGGCAATGTTCGACACCAAGTACATCTCGCCCAAGCTCAGTTTCGTGGACGAAGACATCTTTGCCGACTTGGAGGAAAACGACGTTCAGGCCGTCAAGATCCGCGAGTTCTTTACGCTCCTTGCGGTGTGCCACACCGTCCTAGCCGAGAAGCTGCGCGACGGAGGGATCAAGTACAACGCACAGTCACCCGACGAGGCGGCGCTGGTTTCGGCCGCAAAGGACATGGGATTCACGTTCCTGAACAGAGTCGAGAACCAAGTCGAGGTCAATTTGCTGGGCGAGTCCCGCATCTACACTGTCCTCCACATCCTCGAGTTCAACTCGGATCGCAAGAGAATGTCGGTGATTGTGCAGCGGCCCGAGGGCGAGCTCGTGCTGCTGTGCAAGGGCGCCGACAGCATCATCTACGAGCGACTGTCGTCCGCGGTCGATCCAGAGCTTAAAGAAATCACATCGGTGCATCTGGAACAGTTTGCCAGCGACGGACTCAGAACCCTCTGTCTCGCATACCGGATCATACCCGAGCACATCTATCGCCCGTGGGCGGCGCGGTTTGCGCAAGCACAGGCCCTGATCGTCAACCGTGACCAAGAGGTGGACTTGATCAGCGCCGAAATCGAAAAGGACATGGTTCTCATGGGAGCGACAGCGATCGAGGACCGACTGCAAGATGGAGTCCCGGACTGCATAGCTACCCTAGCTATGGCTGGCATCAAAATCTGGGTTCTGACGGTAAGCGAGGACGACCCAGATCAAATGTCTCCTCATGTTCCGTTGCAGCACCGCGGTGGCGGGTGTGGGTGTAAATGCGGTGGCGATGACTCGAAGGACGATGAACCAAGGCTGTATCCGCGAAACTCGGTGTCTCTAGAGACAGCAGGATGCTTTGGCGCGGTGGTGGTATGTGTTTTTCCACCCACGAATTCCTCATAACCATGGATGCCTACAATCCTGTTTTCCCTCCCTCGATAACACATCAGGGCGACAAGATGGAGACTGCGATCAACATTGGATTCTCGTGCAACCTTCTCAAAAAATCAATGACCCTTATCGCCATCCGGGCGCACACGATGGAAAGCACGTACAACCAGCTGCTCGAGGCTCTGCAGACCTTCTGGGCCCCCGATGGGTCGATCATCCAGGGCGAGTCACATGCCCTCGTCATCGACGGCGAGTCTCTGCGATATGCCCTGAGTCCCCAATGTCGCTCGTATTTGCTGGAGCTAGGTTGCCGCTGCTGTGCGGTCGTTTGCTGCCGCGTCAGTCCTCTCCAGAAAGCCAAGGTGGTTTCGCTCGTGCGAACAGGACTGGTACGTGTCCTTGTCCACGTCCCCGATGATAGAGCGAGGTTCACTATAGCTGCATGGGTGCTCGCGATAGAGTCGCGGGATTTCCGAGCCTAAACCCAAACCCAAACCCAAGTCCAAGTCCGTGCACTGACATGCTTCGACGTGAATATCGACAGGGGGCCATGTGTCTTGCCATCGGAGACGGCGCAAACGACGTCAGCATGATCCAGGAGGCCGATATCGGCATCGGCATCAGTGGCAAGGAAGGATTACAGGCAGTCATGGCGAGCGACTATGCAATCGCCCAGTTTCGGTTTCTGTCGCGGCTGCTACTGGTGCATGGCGGGTGGGCATACGTCCGAACCTCTGAGATGGCCTTTCAGTACTTTTACAAGAACGTCGTCTGGCTTTTCATCTTGTTTTGGTACCAGTTTGACTGCGGGTAAGTCTATGGGGGCGGCATCCTATCTCCGAGATGCGGCGCCTGGAACGACTTGGAAGTGCCTCTGGGCTGCAGGATTCGGAAACACCTCACGACTTGAGTGCCACGGGTGCTCTGCCTGCTGGCAGCCACCCACCCACTAACCGTCGTCTGTCCCGCTAACCATGGCTGTGGAGCTAATATTGTTCATCTGGCTATCTATCGGCGTCGATCGCCTTTGGACACAGATTCACTGCCGACTACATCACAAACTTTACTGTCGGCATGTTCTTCAACACGTTCTTCACGGTGCTGCCAAACATGTTCCTCGGGATCTTTGACCAAGACGTCAACGATGCTCTGGCAATGCAGGTGCCACAACTCTACGGGAAGGGAATCCGTCAGTCGCTCTACACCATGGAGCGTTTCTGGAGCTACATATTCGATGGCGCCTACCAGTCGATTGTGTGCTACTATTTTGTTGTTCTACTGTACTTTGACGCCACAAACAACTCCGAGGGCTACGTCGGCGACCATGACTCGATGGGGAGCATCATGGGTGTGGCTGCGGTGATCATCACCAACATCTACATCGGCCTCAGCACTTTCGGTTGGACCTTTGTCACCTTTCTCGGCTTGCTGGGCTCACTCGGGATATTCTTGGTGTACGCGCTCATGGACACCACGAACCCCGACAGCACGTCATTTGGGCAGCTGCAGTACTTGTGGTGCCAGCTCAACTTCTATGCCATCCTGGTTCTGATGGTCACAACGGCGTTGCTGCCCCGGATCACATTCAAGTTCATTCAGCAGCTATTCTGGCCTTCGGATACCGACATCGTGCAGGAAATCCAGGCGTATCTATGGAAACGCGGCGACGTCGTTGATTTGGACATCGAAGCTCGGTATGCTGACGGCGCAGAGGTCGACGATGTTGTGTCAGATGAGCAGCTTGCCAAGATCACGGAGAGCTCGGCAGGGCTTTTGGAGACGCTAGCACGGAAGACTGCCAAAGAAAAGGCCGTCAAGGACAAGGCCGTCGAGGAGCCGCAGCCAGCGGGTGGAGAAGCATACAGAGAAGGAAGCGAGCCGTCGATGCGCAAGGAGGTCTCGTCGGCCACAGGAATTCAAAGTCGAGCAGCAAGCGATGGCGTGATGTCACGCAGGACGTCCTCGCTGGTCAAAGACTCGACGAGCATCCAGAAAGACCTGGCGGCTCTGGCCAAAGAGCCCTCGAGCATGATCAAGGAGTCGTCTGGCATCATGCGGGATCCATCGGGCGTCATCAAAGAGACATCCGGTGCCATCAAAGTGCCGTTCGGTGCGCCGGAAGCCCTGGCCGCTTTGGACGATTCCGTCGCGCCCAAAGAAGCGGCTCTTGGACCAGAGGCCGCACGCATATCCAAGCTCTCTGCTGAAATGCCCCAGCCGATTACAAATACGGCCATCGGAGAGTCTATCAGCTCGCCGAGCGCCAAGCATAAGGGGCCGGCACCGCTCACTTTGCTTCAGACCAAAAGATCGCAGTTTGTCAAATCCGACTCGACGCCGTCGAACCTTACGCCATTTGGACAGAGTCAACCCAGCGCCACGACGCCGACACCGCTGAGAACCCCCGATGGGTTTGCATCCACCCTGGAGCTGAGTTCGCCAATGGTGAACAAGAGCGTGATGGGCATCAACATCCAGACGGACTCGCTCGCTCGGTCCGTCTCGATCTCGAACAAGTCGCCGCGGAACCGAGCCGATCTGGCCGGAACACCGCGGGCGACCGGTGCGTCCAAAAAGAAACTCGCTATCTCGACCATGTCCATCAACAAGCTCGACAAGCAAATGAAGGCATCCTCCATCGTGTTCATGGGCACCGACGGGCTGACGGAGACGCCCCATACGGGCTTTTGCTTCTCGCACGAGGGAGGCATGACCAGCGTCATCACGCCGATCAGCGGGACCAAGTAAGTGACTCGGCTCACAACAGCGATAGATGCCTCTGGGGCGTGCGATGCGGGCTTTTCTTTTTGGGGTGGACGCTGTCCTGTGGCTGAGTTTGGAGTGGTGACTGACGAACTTGGTGCCGATGCTGCCGGTTGAACGAACCAGACCCAGCTTTGGCAATAGCGAAATGGCCACACCAATGCCCTCGAGCGGATTTCGGCCGCCGCTGCCGCCCTATATCGCAAGCTCAGCGACAACACCGATGATTGCCAGCCCCCTCAAGCAAAACTCGTTTGGGGCAGTTGGATACCGGGAGGCCCGGATCTCGGACTACTCCGGACGAAGCTCGGAGGTGGCCCAGGAGTCGGATGCGGGGGTTGACTTGGCGTCGTCCTACAAGCGATCGAATCTTCGCAGCTCGGTGCATACCGAGATGATCGTCGAAGCTCCGGCGCTCCACGAAATCGACTCGGAGAGCGATCTGACACCGGAGCAGGCCATCCGGCCTGAGAAAGTGGCTGGAGACGCGAGCGAGCAGCCAGCGACTCAGGAACAGAAATGATGGGGGAGGGAGGTGCTGATAGGACAGGCACAATGCCGGCCGAGCGGCCGCCGGAGCGAAAGTAGCCAACACGCGATATGGATTCAGCTGAGACGCCGCAGTGGTGGTTGTGGTGGTTGTGCTGGTGGTGCTGGTGGTGCTGGTGGTGCTGGTACTTCGCTCCCACCCAGGAGTTCCCACGGGCCGATGGCGACTTGGGTGCGGCATTGGTGCGAATCCGACACGTGTCCGACACCGCCACAGCGGTCTGTGCAGACACACTGTGCAGGGTGGCGCGCACCACGCCCTGACACAGCACTGACACAGCACTGACACAGTGCCGACACAGTGCTGACACAGCGCACCGCCGCACGCGCGTCGCGTTACTGCTGCGCACGGCCCCGATTCGGCGCTGCACGCGCACGCAGATCCGAATCTTCCAATCGCCTTGGCCTTGGCCGCCTGGCGCCGATTCGCCTCCTGCGCCGAACCGATCCTTGCGGGCGAGTCGGTGGGTGGCTCTTGGTCTGCCGATCGAGTCCGCGGGCTTGCTCTTTCCTCCTCTGCATCAACAGCAATCCCATCTCGCCCAGGAAGATCTTGTCTCGCCCTGGAAGATCCTGCTTCGCCCTGGAAGATCCCGCAAAGTCCGTCTGTGCATCCCCAGCCACACCCAAAGCCAAGCCCCCAACAGCCCAAGCCAAACTCCCAACAGCCCAAGTTCTTCTCTGATCGCCACTGCCCAGCTTCTCCCATGAGCCAGCCAAGACATCATCGATCGAATCCATCCGAGCAGGCCCCGCTGCTGCCTGCCGTCCAGGAGAAGCGCGAGCCCACTCCGTTGCCGTGGATGGGCGTCATTGTGGTCTCCATCGTCCTCTTCTGCAACAGGTGCGTCGCCGAATCTGTCGCCAGAGCCCATCCGTGCATCTGCTGTATCCCGTAGCCTGGACGCTCTGCCAAAGCTCATCCCCACCAATCGTGTGTCTCCAGCTTCGTCACCACAGTGCTCTTGCCCTTTGTCACATTCATGGTCGAGGACTTTGGCGTGGCCAAGCGGGAAGAAGATATCGGACGGTTGAGGTGGGCATTCCAGTCCGAGGGGTCCCTTTGCAAGCCCTGGGGATTTCCAATGCCATTCGCTTGCCGTAACCTTATCCGCCACATCCTCCGAGTGCTAACACAGTCCTCTTGCAGTGGCTATATTGTCGCTTCTTACATGCTCGGCCAGCTGTTCTGCTCCTACCCGTGGGGCCGGCTGTCGGATACATGGGTAAAGTACCGGCGCTGCTCGTCTGCGGCCAAACGCCGTGGCCTGCCTGCCTCGCTCGATATTCGATGAATGTCGACCTGCTGCCATGTCCTGCTGCTCGTGTCCTGCTTCTTCCACTATCGGCCGATTCTGGACGAGCTGACTTATCTGCTGCGTGCATCCCTCTCCGCCGCCACTGTCTCGTGCTATTCAGGGTCGTCGTCCCGTCCTGCTGATGGGCCTGTTCGGCGCCAGTATCACCTGTCTTGCCTTTGGCTTTTCGCCCAACTACCATGCGGCCCTGGTCTTGCGCATGTTCTGCGGCGCCATCAACGGTGTCGTCGGCGTCACCAAAAGCTATCTCAGGTACCTGACTCGGCCGCATGCATCCTTGGCTCGGCCACATGCGTCCACGGCCGGGCGACGGTGCTCCACAGCCAGCACCGCCGCTCTCTCACCTAATGTTTGCGACAAGTCACAGTGGATGTCTGGCTTGCCTGCCAGCATCTTTGTCTGACAACCTCTGCTTGGTTCTAACTTCTGCCTCATCTCTCTGGCTTACCATCATCGATCGGCGTCTTACACTCGTCCAACCGCCCGCTCCCTTCAGCGAGATCACGGACGAAACCAACCAGTCCAAGGGCTTTGCGCTTCTCGGACTCAATCGTGCTTTTGGACTCATTGTTGGCCCTGCAGTCGGTGGGTGTTTCAGAGCCCATCTCGCATGACTGTGTGTCGACCTCATTCTCAGCAGCGACGGCTTTTGGATTTTGGTCACGGACGGCCGAGCGCAAAGCGATTAGCTCACGAGCATTGTGTCGGGCAACAACCGCTGACCATCTCCCCCCCCATACGCCTTGCCTGCCAGGTGGGCTGCTGTGTCTCCCAGCTAAAAAATATCCCCAGTACTTCCCACCTGGATCCTTCTTTGACAGATATCCGTACTCGCTCCCGTGCATCGTCGGTTTCGTGATTGCCATGTCGGGCTTTTGCGCGGCCTGGTTCGTTATCAAGGAGACGCTGCCCCCTCGGACTGCTCTGCTGAGCATCGACGACCGCTCCGAGTCGGATGAACTCAGCGATGCCGAGGCTAACCAGCTACTGGAGGGCCCAAATGTCCAGCATCTCCCCGAGTCCCTTGCGGTCGAAGGCCCCGCCCTCCATCGGGTTGAAAGTACAGCCAGCGATACCGACTCGATGTTCCGCCAGCTCATATCTGATCCCAACGCCAGGCGCTCGTCCGAGACTCAGTCACCTTGGGAGCGACTGAATCCCTTCAACCAGATCCGCCGGCTCTCCTACCGCCAGGGCTCTGGTCTAGACAGCTCGCGGCTGCATCGCCTGCACTCGACGTCCTCGGCTGGATACGGCGACCGTGACGAAAGCATCATCGATGTCCCCGTACCGCCCTCGACCTCAATCTTTGCAGTTTGGCGATACAAGATCCGCCAGGCCTGGCGTAGCTTTGTCTACTCGACCTTTGCACCGCGGTCGCTCTTCAGCCGCCCGTCATACGATCAACCCGACTCGGTCATGACGCTCATGCAGGACCGGCGCGTGTTCATCAGCATTGCCCTGTATGCCCTCATCTCGGGATTCTACATCCAGTGGGACGAAGCGCTGCCTATGTATCTGCGGCTGCCCTACGCCAAAGGCGGAGTCAACTTTGACACTACCCAGATCGGCTTTGTCTTTTCCTTTGGCGGTCTGACGCTGATCGTCTATCAGCTCTGGCTTTACGCTCCAATCGAGCGGCGGCTCGGTGCGCTGCTCACCTTCAGGACCGGCATCTTGATGACCATTCCGGCCTTCCTGATCCTGCCGTCGGTGTCTTGGCTCTATGTGACGGCTGGAGTCGATCAAGCCATCGGAAGCGACGAAGATGGCACAAAGCCCATACAGTGGTCGCTGTGGACGATGCTCTTTATCCTCCAAGGACTGCGGACCATGTTTGGGTTCCAAGGTAAGACTGCTGTGCCTCGAGCTCGTCAGGCGCGCTTGAGGCCCTTCCAACATTGCCACGGCTGCAACCACGGTCGCTCTGGGCAAGGACCCGAGTTGCTTGAAGTATATACCCGGATGCCTGGAGACTCCTGTGGCGCTGTGATCGACTCTGTCATTGCGAGACACGCATTTGCACCCTTGATTCTAATGCGACTGTCGCCATTCTACAACGACCTGTCGGCTCTGCACCGCGGCCCTCTGTTGTCCTTGAAATGCTCTGATGTCAACCATGCAGCCATGACAAGCACATTCATCATGGTCGCCAATAGCACCACCGCTCGCTCCAGAGGCTCCATCAACGGACTTGCCCAGACCTTTGCAGCCATGGCTAGGTAGGTGCACAGTCGCGGCCTTGTGTCTCGATCTCGCCGACAACAGGGTCGCTGATATGCGGGCGGCCCCTGCTGATCCACCCTCGCCCCTGATTTGGTTTGATTTGGTTTGATTTGGTTTGATTTGGTTTGATTTGGTAACCTGTGCTCTCGCTCGACAGAATGGTTGGTCCCATCATCGGTGGCACGCTCTTCAGCTGGTCTCTGGACTCGAGTCGGGTCTTCCCCTTCGACTACCACTTTGAGTTTTACTTCATTGCCCTGTCAGCGGTGAGTACCGGCCAGATCCGCTCATGCAGAGCTTGGATGGCGCCTATGTTGTGCTGTTGTGCTGTTGTGCTGTTGTGCTGTTGTGCTGTTGTGCTGTTGTGCTGTTGTGCTGTTGTGCTGCCCAAACCCCTCCGCGTTCCAAGACGCTGACCACTATGTCGTTTCGACGGACAGATCTTCACCTACGTCGTCTCTCTTTACATTGACGATGAAATCAACCACCGTCGATTGGAACTGATCTGAATTACTGAGTGTCGATGCTAGCCTCGGCTCAACAGTCCTTCCTCTCTCGTTTGACCAATGGCCGACGCGGCGCAGCACTTATGCATGTCGTCTCCTGGCCAAGCATTTGACTGGCTTTCTTTCCGGGCCCCTCTTCCCCCCGTTGTCTTGGTCCGTGGCATCTGTTTATGGAGGCCGTGTCGAGCTGGGCCACACGGGGAGTCTCCGAACAGCCTCTCTTGGCAGAGGAAGGGAGAGGAGGGTGAGGAAAGAATACGAACCGTAATATGATGGGATATACCGTGGGTTTGAGCTGGTTGGCATATTTATTCTCTCACTCTTCCCTCTTCAATCACGACTCATGCAGCCTCTTCTGCCCGTACACTTCATGAATATATCTCAGGGGCGAAGGCACTTGCCTTTCCACCCGCTCTTCATCAGCCGAACCGAGTCGGTTCGTTCCTTGATGCGAGATCTGTGCTGCGGTAACCACTTTGTAGAGGTAGGTGCAATATGTGCATCATATCATATATTGACGCTCCAGTTTCGTGTTGGCAGAAGGAGCTGGGGACGTGGTGCATGAACTCGATTAGCTTGGTGGAGTGGAATAAGGAAGGAGTCCATTCGGGATCAAGTGCAAACCCAAAAAGAAGTTTGGAAAACGAGGAGGGAGGGAGGAAGGGAGAACTAGTTACAACTCAGTGGGTAAAGTTGGTGGTGACAAGAAAGTAAAGATGGACAGAATGCTCGATAGCCGTCGATAGAATCGATAAAATGCTTGATAGCTGTCGACAGGATCGATGGGATGGATCAATCGGACGGATCAATCGGATGGATCAATAGGACGGATCAATCGGATGGACCGATGGGACGGATCAATCGGATGGATCAATCATCAAGACCCAGTCTCGATGGAGAGAGGAGTGCGGTTCAAGGTGTGCGAGTGACGACGACGGCGCAGGGTGCGTGGTGGACGAGGTGGTCGCTGACGGAACCCATGAAAGCCCTGTGAACGAGAAAGACATCCAATGACAGGTCAGTACACCATCTGGCAATGACCTTGGAGTCAAATTGCCACCACCAGGCCAGGGGCGGCGCGGATCTGCGATGGCGAGAGCATTCGACTATTTGGCTGCCTGGCTAAATAACCGCCTGGCTGAGTGACTGACCTCTTCAAAGCACCCATGCCGCGCGAGCCCATGATGATCATGTCGGCCTTGATCTCCTCCAGCTTGACGATGATTTCGTCGCGCGGATCGCCGCGCAAGGCGATGGCGCGGCAGGAGATATTACGCTTCAGGAGTTGGCCACCGAACTGCTTCAGCAGCGAGTGGGACTCGAGCTTGTTCTGTCATCCAATGATGGGGGGGGGAGAGGAGAAGCAAAGGAGGAGGGATGGGGAGGGAACTATGTCAGATAACGATGCGAGTCGCGTAGACACCAGCCTCCGGACTCCAACGCATATCTCCGTCAATGCTACAAAGGGGGTTTGGAGGGTGAACTGGTACACGGGCACACTTACGGCCTCCTCGATTTCGTCAATGCGATCGGAAAAGTCCATGTACGAGAATGCCGTCGGGCGGCTGGCTCCGGGGAAGGGGCGGACGTTCAGAAGGACAACCTGGTCACGGGCAACGTCAACGACGTTCTCAAGGGCCCAGTCAAAGGCATATGCGCTGTGATCTAGAGCACGGCGACAAAGAAGTCCGTGTTAGTCACAGACAGGAAAGGAGGCGGGGAAGGGAAGGAGAAGCCGGTGATGTACTGGCAGTAACGGTGCTGAGAACCACGAGCGTGAACAAGGGCGACAGCAGTTACTCACTCGAGTTGTCGATGGCGATGGCAATAATTCGCTTGGGCTGCTGCTCGAGGTTGGGTTTGACAATCTCTTCATGGACAGATTCGGGAAGCGTCGCGACAGGAGCAGGAGCAGGAGCAGGAACAGGAGCAGGAGCAGGAGCGGCCGGAGCAGCAGAGCTCTCGAGAGCAACCTGAGCAGGGGCGGCAGCGTCGTCGGAAATCATGGTGGCGGGAGCAGGAAGAGCGACTTGGAAGGAGTTGCGGGATCGATGCGATCTGCAGGAGAAGGTGCTGGAGATGGTGAGGCAAGCAAAGGTAACAGTGCTGGGAGCAATGTGCGCTGGATGGTGGAACCTGGCTGATATTTATATCGGCAGATGACCCAGCGTGAATCACCTCCAACTCACCAACAGTCAGCGCGGGAGACACGCCGGGAAGAGGCCCGGCGAGAACAGCCGAGAAGAGCTGCCCATGTCGCTCACGAGGCAGCCAGCAGACAGCGCTGAGATCCTGACATGTGCTGCATCGGCCTGCATCGGCCTGCAGCATTGGAGGCCGATGCAACCGCAACCGCAACTGCCTCCGCCGCCGCCGCCCCTCCGCTTCCGAGGTTTGGATTACGATCGAGCAGGGTCAGGGCCCGTCGACAAGTGGACAGATACTGAGTTGTATTCGGCTCGCAACAGCGGATCGCAACAACAGATCACAACTCACATCAACGGATCGCAACAACGGATCGCAACAACGGATCATGGGCTCGCATTCGCAGCCCATCGGGACGAGGCTGCTGTGACGGTTACTCTTGAGGCCCCAAGCTCAGGAGCGGCGAGTCCCGGTGCCGCATCCGCACTTTACTTGTACGGGACGGTCAGATCCATGCCGTTGTTCAGCGGAACGATCTGGTTGGGGTTGATCTGGATGTGGCTCTTGTAGTAGTGTGCCTTGATGTGGACCATATCGATCGACTTGTCGATGACGGGATAGGTCTGGTAGATCTGGCGTGCCCAGCGCACGATGTTGGGGTAGGACTTTTCAATGAGCTTGAGGTTGCACTTGAAGTGGCCGTGGTATACGGGATCGAAGCGGATGATGGTCACAAAGAGACGCAGATCCACAAGAGTGAAGCGGCCACCTGGCGGATCGCAGCACGGCAACAATCCGATGGGAGAGGACAGTTAGCGGCACGGAGTGGTGATGCCGGCGAGCAATGACTCTCGGCTGGCTGCGGTAGAGTGACAACAATTGCTCGCTGCCGATGCAGCCGTCATGTACCAACGAGGAACTCTTGGCTGCTGAGGATGGCTTCGACCTTGTCGAGAGACTCAAACAGATTCTTGCAGTGGTTCTCGTAGACAGCCTGGGCGGTGGCAAATCCGGTCTGCAGAATACACAGTCCGACGCAGTGTCAGCCCCCGGATCCTATCAAGGCCTCATCAGCCAGTCGGCAGAGGAGCCGTACGACTCATGCTGGCCACACCCACAGACCTTGTAGACGCCGTTGTTGATGTTGTCATAGATGAACTGGTTCATCTCGTCAATCTCGGCACGGAGGGACTCGGGATAGAGGTCGTCGACCGAGGGATTGACTCGCAAGGCGCCAAACTCCGAGTTCAAGAACTTGATGATCTCAATGCTCTCGTTGCTGACGATGGTCTTGGTCGCCTTGTCCAGAAAGATGGGGACGGTATAGCGGCCCTGATAGTCGGGCAGGACGGTGTGGTAAATCTGGCGCAGGTTCTCGGCGTTGAAGATGGGATCCAGATCCGAGCCGGGGAAGTTGGAGAAGAACCAGCCGTCCTTGGGCATAACGGGATCAACCGTGGTGATGGTGATGGAGTCCGTGAGACCCAGGAGGAGGATGGTCATGTAGACGGACGAAGCCCAGGGGCAGGCTGTGTCGAGACGCAGCGGGTCAGCCTGCTGGCGGCAAGATCACAGCAATATCAACAGCGATAGCAACAGCAACAGCAACAGCAACGACCGGCCGGCTCGCCAGCCTCACCCTTGGAGATGTAGACATGGTAGCGATCTTTTTCGACGGGATACTGCTGCGAGTCCCTCTGGACAGCGCTTCGGAAGCTGGAGACCTGTCGTCGGAACTCGCCGTCGTTGCTGGCCCACTTGTACTGGAGAGACCCAAAGGGCGAGCCAGATAGATCCAAGGAGCAAGGCCAAACATGAACAAGATCCGACAGGAGCGAAGCCAAAGCATCAGATAAGCGGTTCTTTGCTTGTCGCAGATGAGACACCATGGAGCCAGCCGCAACCCAGGACCGCTTACCAGGGCGGCATCGGCCTTGGCAGCAGTTGCAGAGGTGCTCATGGTCGCAGCAAATACTCGAGAGGGGAAATGTCGGATGGTGGGGCGGTGGAGGGCAGAGAGCAGCGGACGCATCGCAAGTGCGGATTGCATCGAGGATGGGTGCCGCGTGAATATAAATTTGGCTTGTGATGACAAATACATCCAGGGCCGTCTGCGGCTTTCCTCCTCCTCGGGCGCTGCTGCTGACATTCTGCGCTGACGCATGCACGCCCGACAAGTGGGTCCAGCAGACCGACGGGCTATTTCGATGCCCGGCCGGCCGCATCGACATGGATCGACACAGATCGACATGCATTGACATGGATCGATGCGGGTCGATGCGGATCAACGTGGCCTGCATGATATACGCATTGCCTCCCGTGATATCACATTCTATCGCATTATATCGCATTATATCGCACGGCATCGCACGGCATCGCATGGCATTGCAGGACTCCTCGGTCCGTTCGCGCGAATGCTAATCCAACCACCGCTCGGCGGTATGATTGTCCCAGGCCGCACCCGCTCTATGTACCTGCCCCGCGACACAGCCGCGACTGAGCATTGCTGCTGCCGTCCACGTGCCCGGGCCGCGTCCTTGTCCCGCCTGCCTTCTCGCCTGCCTTTCTTCTCTCTCTCCTGATCTTTCCCCACCGCCTCGGTCTCATCTGCCGCTCGCCTCCATCCATCCATCCAACCGTCTGTCGCCCCTGCGCTGCCCCGCCTGCCCGCGATGGAGATTCCCCAGCGGGCTTCGTTTGCCCACGTCGACCATATCATGGTCGCCGACTTTGACATCGACAAGGGCGCATCGCTGACTCATCAGTATCCCACCAAGACCGGAACGCATGAAAAGTAGAGCATCGCCCTTCTCACGACGTGCTGTTTGAGACTTCGAGGGCTGCCGACCGTCGTATACTCGAGCAAACGGCCACCTTGCAACTACAGCTACAACTGTGACAGCGTGCTGCCGCCACAGAGATACATGTGTGAACGGTTCGATAAAGCCGATACCTTCGGCTGGCTCGGCTCTCACACCTCACGCTCACCCCTGTCGCTTTCTTCCCGGCTCTTGCCCCCCCCCTACCAGCATCCTGGCTGAACTGATGCTGCCCGATGGGGCTCATCTTCGAGATGAAGACTGGACCATGTTTTTCATCAACCAGCCAACGCCATCCGATAGCGTATGTTTTCCCGGCCGTGGCTCGCTCGGCATCGGCACCATGAATCTCGCTCTGATCGTCAGGCTCTTTCCTCCCCCAGGACCAGAAATATCGACCCCTGGTCGCCAAGAACTCGAGTCTGTGAGTGCCGCAGATATCTATCTTGTCGGAAACACTCGTGGGCGGCTCGTTCAAGCATCGCGGATACCCAACAACCCTTCGATCCAATCCTCTCATTACTTGCCGCCTCTGCGTCGTGCCTGCCCCTGGCACCCATCTTCTGTTCTGGCGCTGACTGACTGTCTGTCTGTCTGTCTGGGCTTTGCTTTGGCTATGCTCACCTCGCATGCCTTTCTGGATGTAGGAGCGTCCGTCCGACGATTGGAGTTCACGCCTACCGCTGGAACCCTGCCAACCGAGGTATCGATGCCGGCACCCATTCATCCTCAGCCTATCGCGTTTGCTCACTTCCGTCAGACGACCCAGTCCCGTCTCGAGTATTGATCTTGGTCTCTTTTGCGCTTCGCCGATTCTGACCATGTGTCCCTCTCGCTTGCGTCCCGCTACAGAGTGGGTCCCGATTACGCCGTCGGGCCTTACTGTCGTAAGACTCGAGCACAAGCGTCTCGGCTTGTGGGTCGAAGGATGCTCGCAAAAGCTCGCGGAAATGTAAGCAGGCGGCTGCGGCGATGTATGGGTGCTCTCCAGACCCTGCCATGATTCACTCAAACACACACCGAAAGCGCTGACGCATTTCATCCGACAATTGCAATCGATGGGCGTTCAGCACCGACGTTTACACCGAATACCAGCTTGTCGAGCCCCTATGTGTGTGCGTCTTTTCAGAAAAGACAATCTACGGTCAGTAGCAAATCTATCATTACTATTTGCGGTGTGAGGTTGGATCCTCTCTGCTCCTGCGACTCTTGCTGCAATCGTTGAATGTACATGCTACCACACGCTGCCGCCGTTGCTTCGATGCTGACTCCAACGGGAAAACTCCCCATCGCCGTCATCGTCACCGTCACAATCACCACCGCCTTCGTTCCGACAGGCTTCCGTTTTGAGAATGAGGACGACGAAATCCTGATGCTCAATCACATCGACGAGCACATCTCGACCACAGGGCGGTATGCGCCAGAAGAAGGTATGCCTCGTCTAATTCATCGATCCAGCCCCATCCACCAGCCGCAATCAGCTTGACCAACATCGATGGTTCTTCCGTCCCAGATCTGCCCCCTCCCCCACCCTCGGGCAAGCAAGGCAAGCCCCTGATGTATGTCCTGAACCTCGTTCGAACAAAGCATATTGCCGGCGCACGACGAGGCGCTCAAATCAAGGCTATGGCTGTGGCTTCGCGCCATCAGTGGGTGCATGTGTTCAAGGTATGCGCATCCCTAATGCAAGACGGTATTCCTTTGCCGAACCTGCCCATCCAGATGCTGGCTCGCTCTGAACCGGCATTGTTGCGTGTAATTCACACTTTTCCGACGCCTCCGCCTGCTGCTCCAGCCTCTCCTTATCATGGCTCTTGAAGCCTTCTTCAACAGCCCGACCGAGGACATCATCGCCGAGCTCTTCACCTCAATCAACAACATGGACCTGTCCCCAATGCCCCGTCTGAGTCTGATCGAGCGCATGATCATCCGTAACTCCGAGGACCGCACTCTGTTTGAGGAAAAGTTCAACGAGGCCGAAGAGCGTACGCGCACGCTCTCGCTGCCCCGAAGCCAACGGAGCGACCGAGCCGACAAGAAGCCTGAGGGTGGCGACTTCATCCTCAACCGCATGAAGAGCATCAAAAAAAAGAACCCCGGCAGCCACTCGCTTCAGGCCAACATCGGAACAATCGAGCGCACCAAGCAGAAGAGCAAGTTCAACAAAGATCTGCTGTATTTCGAGGCCCGGGTGGACTTTCACGGAGTCCGAGTGCCCATCAGAGTCCCTTTGGCGGCCCTGCCAGAGGAGATTGGCGACGTAAGCAGCCGATTCGCCTCTGTGCACCGAGCGTCCGATACCCGCAGTGCTAACTTCCAAACGTGCTTCCCTCACACTTTGGTTCATCCGCAGTTCTCAACCGCCAAGTTTGTCTCAACGCTCCTGGCATCTGGGATCATGATACCGCCTGTCAACGACCAGACCCAGTACCAAAACGGCGTCCCTTACTACTGGCACCCTCACTTGGACTGCGGAAGCGCCACACACGGACTGATTGTGCTGCTCAATGCCCTCTTGACCGAGAAGCGCGTGCTGTTCATGGGCTACCAAAGACCCGCCGGCGATGTCGCCAACTACGTTCTCGCTGCGTGTGCGCTCATCAGCGGAGGCGGCTCGCTTCTGAAGGGTATTTCTGGACGCTGCTTCCCCTATATTGGACTGGCCGGACTGGACACGCTTTTGTCGGTGTAAGTATCGGTCATCCAATGGCGCTACAACGCCGGCAATGTGTCCGAGATCGCAACGGTTGGCTGTCCCGCGATCTAATTGAGCATATCACCGCTGTCCAGGCCCGGTTACATTGCCGGCGTCACCAACCCAATGTTTGAGGAGCAGACGGGCTGGTGGGATGTGCTCTGCGACATCAACACCGGTAAAATCAAGGTGTCGCCCAAGCTGGAGATCCTGAGCGGCGAGCGCGAGCCCCCCACGCTCCCCAAGGATGTGGAGTGGTTCAAGGCCGGTGCCTGGGAAGGAGACGCGGATTTCATCAAAGAGGTATGTCTAATTGCCATCCATGAGGTCCGTTCTTGGCTGCCATCAAATCTTGCGTCCGAGGCAGCCTTGGCTGCGGACTACTCTCTAATCCCGGTACTCCCCTCCATACGCCGCCCAGATTTCCAACCTGATTCAGTCCCACATGGGCGAGATGTACATCCGGCAGCGCTTCTACGACCGCATTCGCCGCATCCTCGATGTCGCCGCCACCGTCGAGCGTGATTTATCCGAGGACGGCACCACCGAGATTGGCCTCAACAAACGCGATCTGCGCGGCAGTACAGCCACCGAGGGTCTCAGCGTCGGCTTTGGCACCTACTTTGTCGACGACTACGCCAAGAAACGCGAGGTGATGATGCTCAAAAACACAATCGAAGGCTGGAGGAAGACCACAAGCTATCAGAGGTTCAAGAAGGTGGGCATGGTTGCGCGCCGTTGAGCTGCCGAGCTGCTGCTGCTGCCGTTCACCAGGACACATCCTCGCATTTCCGGACCTTGCTCGTCGGCTCTTATTCGTGTGCCCCCTCCCCGCGCATATCCCACACAGTCCTTCCAGACAGATCTGCTGCGACGCAACATCCATGGCATCGACCCGCGTTTCGTCATCTCCTGCCTCAAGATCGGCCGCGGTCTGACCGAGGCGCAGGCTGTCAAGATCTTTGTGGCGCTGCAGGATGAGATCTGTGCAGGCAGCGACGCAGCGGTGCTGGAGCTGCTTGCACTTCTACCGCAGGCCATGGGTGGCTTGTACCCGATCGCCACCGGACTGTTCCATCCGCGCTGGGAGGTCCGCCGATCCACCGTCAAGATATTTGGTCGCCTGGAGTGGCATGCGGTACGTCTGTCCTCGAGGCCCTCCCTCGTTTGCGTGGTTCGGGCGCAAGCGTGCTCTCCCTGTTGACTGTTTCCATTGCTGTGACTTGCCGATCCTCTAGAACGGCTCAAAGTTCATCCAGCAGCTCAACCCATTCATCTACCTGGCTTACAAACGCACGGCGCGAGAGATCGCCATCGCCGAACCCGAGCACTTTGAGACGGACTCGAACGAGAGCCTCTCGCTCGAGGAAGATGCTCCTGTCGAGACCACCAGCTTCCAGGCCACACAGGCCACACAGGCCACACAGGCGCCGGTGACCGTCCAGCCCAGCCGACTTACTGCGTCGCACTCGGGGTCTAACCTCCAAGCAAACGTGACCCAGAGCCAGCCGGGATCGCTTGCCGTGCCGCTTCAGATCAATCGCATTTCCGCTGCTCGAATCTCGCGTGCCTCTGGCATGTCGTCGCGGATGCGCCAGACGGTCAGCATGCTGATCGAGGGTGAGCACGCCCAGGAGCTCCAAAAAGTCCTGCAAGCCTCGATCTCGACCACCAAGATAGAGCCTACGTCCCAGCGAACATCGGTTGTGGCTGCCCGGTCCGAGACCGGGCCCCAAGTCGAGCCCGAGTTTGTCCCCCCGCCTGTCCCTGACCAAGGCGAGGCCTATCCGGGATACCAAGCCCCTGCACAACCTGCCACGGCCTACTACCTGGAAGGAGAGGGCCAGTTGTCCTGGCAGAACAGCATCAAGGCCGGAGCCGCTATCAAAAGCTCTCTCCATTCCCCCGTCAGCGCTGGATCGGGAGACGACATCAAGGGCGCCAATGGTGCTCTGCCTGACTATGTTATCGCTGCCATGTCCGTGAATGCCACTGGGCCAGCCCAGCATAGCCCAGCTCCCCTCATGTCTACCCCTGGGCATCAGTCGCCGCAGCTGCAGCTTTCGTCCATCCGACCAGCGCCGCGCCCCGGTCAAGCCGAGTCCAAGGATGCTAAGGGCAAGCCGAAATGGTTCTCGTGGAAGCGCAAGGACAAGGGGTCGGACCAGGGAAGCAACGCCTCACTCAACAACCCGCCGGCTGACAGCGCACAGTCCGAGCAAATGAGCGAGGTTGTCAAGAAGATCCTACAGGCCCAGCAGGAGCGGCAGGACGCCCTCAAGACCAAGCTCGAGAACCTCAACCAGCGCGACCGAGAATCCCCGCGTATCCAGATGGTCACGATGGAGCCGCAGGCCTGGCACTCGCCCAGCATAGCCGCTGCCCACCTGCCATCTGAGTATGCAGAGCCCAAGCAGCTTGACAGCGACCACGATGATAGTGCGCTGGCATTTGCAAAGCCAGTCTTTGCGAGCTCCTCGTCCTCGACTTCCCTCCACAGCCTTGGAGGACATGGCGCAAGCAAATTCGATGACGATTCGCTGTCCCGAGCCAATCGCTCCCGCTCGAACAGCGTCCAGAGCGGCCGCAGCATCAACACCCAGAACTCGTACACCGCCCCTGCTGGCCCTGTTCCGCCCGTACCCTCTTTGCCGACGGTGACTCCCAAGAAACTCAGCGTAGCCGTCAAGCAAACGGTCACGCCGATGTCGATGCGAACACCAACCCAGACCCAGCGGGTGATCCAGCGCAGCGCATCGGACACCACCTTCTCGTTCTCCAAGGACAAGCTTGGAGGCGACATGACCTTTGCCGAGGTGCAAGCCAAAACCATGGCCGAGAGCGGCGAACACGCCTATGTGCCTACGCCGCCACCTCTCTCAAGCGGAATGCATGATCCCTCCTTCGAGTCGCTCTCCAGACGAACGGGCGTGGGAAATGCCTCTGTCCTCAAGTCCGAGCGGCCTGTGAGCAAGGCTGCCAAGGTTGTTACTCCGATCACAATCCGCCGCTCGCAGTCTCAGTCGAGTACAGGCGCACCTACGCCCAAACTGTCGACCACTCCGGGTCCAGGTCGCGCCCCAGAGAGCCGGCCCTCCCCGGTTCTCATCAAGACCAACTTTGCGCCCCCGGTCATGCGTCAACTGAGCATCAAACAGGTCGAGACCCCGATTTCTCAGACGACTCATTCCCCGCTGACCACCACGCCGATCAACAAGTACCCTACCCCTGGCTCGGAGCGAGGCGAGTCCATCGAGGCCTTCATCGACCACGCCTTTGAGCTGGGCCCACCGAGCGCACATGTCGAACCTACTCGCCCTGGCCCCGCCGTTGAAATACCTCACTCATCCGAGGCGTCGTATGGCCAACCGCTCACTCGCAAGAACACGGCGACAGCAGCTACAACGCACGCGGGACCTGCACCACGGGCGGCTCCACAGACCGCTGTAGTGTCGGCGCAGCCAGGGATGGTCAAGCGCTCCCTCTCTGTGTCCTCAGCCACGGCAACGATCAAGACGATAACGCCGGTCAAGCTGAGCAGCTCGACCCACGTCGCAAAGCCCCATACCATCGTCCACCACCAGCATCCGAATCAATACGGCCCTGTCGACGGCACTGCTGCCGGCCAGCCCGCTGGCGAGCGCATTGTGATAACCAAAGGGTCTACTGCACCCCGCGCAGTCGGGATGCAGAGGTCCAACTCGGGCTCCTTCCGAGACCCCAAATCGTCCTAGCGAAGCTCTGACTGTCGGCTATGAAGCGGCTCTCTCAACCCGGCTGTCCGATATCTGCACCGCCGGCTCGACCAACCACCAATGGTGTCTATTCCAAGTGATTCCAGTTGCGAGGTTTCCTTTGCCGACGGTGGTCTCTGCTGCGACAATTTACTGCCCTCTATTCCCACGCCTTGGGGTCGTCAGCGGTCCTTCGCACCCGCTCTCGATCTTTCTCACCCCCCGCTTCTCCATAACAAGTCCTATAGACGCTTTCTGTCTGCGTGGCTGTCTTTCAAGCGCCCAATACTTCTTTCGCTGTTCTGTCACTGCTGCTAGCCCACTGGTGGTCCCTCGCTGGTTCCGAAGCTGCCCGGAAATCGGGAACGGGGCCAGACAATTGGCGGAAACCGTGTGATTGTCAAAATACAACCCAGCTGTTTGCGACCCCCTCCCAGCTCCTTTGGGCTCGCCGATACATGGACACATCAAAGGAGCCCGTCTGGGATCACTGGTTGCGGGTCAGGCGATTCTTGGAGTGGGCCAGGCGCTGACACAATTGGCACCGGCATGAGAACCCGTACATGTGCTGAAGCCAGCCGTTGCGCTCTTGATCGCTTTTGAATTGATCAATGTCGGTGTACGAGATGAGCAGCTCCTCGCCCTTGCGGATGTCTCTGACAGTCTGGATCTCGATGGCGTTCGAGTCTCTCCAGAAGGGATGGGCGTTAGGCACGCAAGAGTGGTTGAGAAAGGACGACAGGATATACAGGGCTGCCCCGGCCTGGTCCGGCAGAAAGACCCGAAAGACGTTCAGATTCAGCATGGTCATCTTGCGGGCGTACCAGGGCAGAGAAAACAGCTCGGCCTGGCCGGGCTCGGTGAGGATGCACTCCTGGATGCGCCGGTACGACGATTGCCAGGTCTCGGGAATGTGCGCCGGCTCGATCTCGTTGCCGTGGACGAGCTGGTTGATGAGGACCATCGAATCGAAGCTGCCCTTGGTCGTCAGATCATGTAGGATGCGCCCGATGATGTTGGTGATCAGGATCGGGAAGGAGCCGTCCTCTTCTATGTGCCGGTACTGGAGATCGCAGAGCTCCTGGTAACGGGGTCTGGTGTCGAAAAACTGCGATGCCGATGCCGATGCCGATGCCGATGCCGATGCCGACAAGACAAGACAAGACAAGACAGGACACCACAAGATAGGAACTATGAGGCCCAGCTCGGCTATCGATAGGACGGCGCAAGTGGAGAGCAGAAAGCCCACTCCGAGCAGAGGATATCAAGTGCGGCAGCTACTCACGGCTTTGTATTCCATGCTCAACTGCGAGAGGTCGCATGTGCACTGGGGCGAGCTGGGGACATTTGGTTTCCAGCAGCGATGGCATCGGTTCTTGCGATTGGAAGGAGGTGCCCAACCCATGTTAGAAGAAAGGGTGATCCGCATAGCTCCCGGGGCACCCGACAGCGAGGCACCGGTGCATCTCCAGAAGCAGGGCCGCTGGGGCGAATAGAGTGATCCAAGCCCGCCGAATGACACTCCCTCCTTCCGAGATTGCTGCAGAATCGGCGCAGAAGCCCCTGGTCACCTCGGTGTCTCGCAGGACCTCCGCAAATGGGTTCTCCACGATGATGCTTTCACCCGCAGGAATGTTCCTCATCGCATAGATGCCGCGACCCGAGGTGGGTGAAACCAGCACGTCGATCGCATCTGCAAATGGGCTCTTGGACAGGTTGCGCTCGATCTGGAGCCCGAACGGGTGGTCGGCATCCGGGTGAAGCGACGATAGGCTTCGTTGGGTTTGTCCGGTGGTGTGGAAGCAGCGTCTGATCCGAATATGCGGCGATGCCCGGGTCAGTCTCGGCGACAGCATGTTGGCGAAGGAGGAGACGGCCGATGCATTCCAGATCCAGGGCGAAAGCCGGGCCAAGATCGCGCGCGGAAGGGATCAGAAACCTCTTGTCGCCGATGGATCCGCTCACTTGGACTGGGGCGCGGGCTCATGCACCCGCAAGTCATGGCGGGCTTGCAAGTCCTCAGGAGAGCGCACGCACCACCGCTGCTCGCCTCCACGCCTTGGTACATCCGGTGGGCTGCTACTGCACTCCATGCGCAACTTAGCTACATCGCTGAGGAGGCGGCCTGGCGATCCCTTTGCTGTCCGCGACGGCTCCGAGTTGCTGCATCCCCGAGCCGTACCGGCATCAGACTATGATGATGCCGGCGAGCTTGTTCCCCGAACCAAGCCCGGAATCGTTGTGCATGGCCACATCATCCCGTCCTTCTCGAGACGTGTCGATCTCACCCAGAGCTTGCAGGGCATCAAGGGCATCAAGGGCATCAGCGCGGACGCTTTGGACGCAGAGTGCAAAGGTGAGAAGCCGAAGCAAATGGCACTGCTGCTTGACCGGCCCTCATGTCGCCATTCGCGCTTTGACCCGGATTCCCACCCCGCACGGCAGCATGGATCCGGAACATCGATGTGCTCTTCACGGCCGGATGCATCGCATCACACTCGTACGAGTCCGAGCAGACGCTGCCCGTGCGCATCAACGTCTTCCCACCCGCATCCGAGACCTTCCCGAAGCGCCATGTCGTCACCCTGGCAAGCCCCACAACCGACATATTTTTCCACTGGACCTTGGAGATGACGCCCTTCAGCTTCAGAACATACATCCAATCGCAGGGCTGGCGGCTGGATCCGCATGAAATGGAGGAGGCTTTCGATGGATTCGGCGAGACCATCTGCGACCGTGTGCGCGAGTGCCTGGTGTGCCCCAAGAGGTAATGGCCATTCCCACCAACTGTCGCATTCCCACAGTCCTCCTTCGGAAACGTAACGCATCGCGGCTCGCTGGTGCCTTCCTCCAGATTCGGGGTGTACTTGCAGATCAACAACGTCGATCGGACCGCCACGCTCACCTTCTTCGAGGTCGTGCTGGAATACCGACGTATCAAGCTCATGTCGGTCGATTTCCGCGAAACCGATTGGGAGAACATCAGCGCCGATATCCGATATGACTACGACCGGATCAAGGTTTGACTTGATCGCTTCCCGCGTGAAGCCCCGTTGCTAGAGGGGAGTTACTGGCGCACGATTTGAGCCGGCCTTCATGGCCGTGCCGCTGCAAGATGTACTGATGGCCGTCTGTGGACTCTCTCTTGATCTCAGAACCACAACTCGCTGCTCCGGACCTCGCTTGTTCAGACCGTCGATTTAGTCTCGAAGCATCACCCTGAGCTCTTGATTCTGGCCGCCTGTGACGAAGAGCCCGTGCCTGTTCGTCAGGCGCACACTTGGATCGAGCTCACGCAATCGCTGCTGAGCCCGCGAGTGCAGAAAGGCCTCTACGAGAACGGCCGGCCCGCGGCAGCAGGCCGCATCCTGTCGATGGAAGAGCGAAACATGCGTCTGAAGCTGTTTCTGATGGTGACGGAGCCTCGAGAGGACGATGTTGAAGGTGCGTGTGATCCGAGCACGAAATCCGTGGACGGGCAAGATACGCAGTGCTGGGTGCGCAAACTAACCGCCGCTCTTCCGGACATTGGACTTACAACGCGAAGCCATCTATTCCAAGTCGGCTGAATGCAAAGTGCATGGCGAAGGAGAGCCGGTCCGCGAGCGGCTGGTATTCACTATCCATGCAAAGGTGATGACGGGCGCTGGCACCATAGCATCGACAAGGCATGCCTGCACCCATCTTCCTGGACAAACATCCTTCCACGAGTCACAGCGACAACACCGAGAGCAAGCTTGCTCACGCCGGCCTTATCACTTGGCATCCATTTATCTTGCACAGGGAGAGAGCCGAGAAAGCGCCGTATACTTCCTCACCATCACCAAGAGCGACGATATATTCTTCCACTTTACTTCACAGGACATCACCCGCAACAAGTTCCTTGATCTGACGAAGCGTCTGAAGGTTCTCCGGGGAAGCGATGCAGACACTTCACCAAGCGACGAGCCGTTCCGCCATTGCCGAAAGACCAAGGAAGGTGATGCGGCCAAGTGCGAGACACTGGGATTCCACCCAGACGAAGGCATTGGAGGCGTTTTGGGTGTGATTGCCGGCGACTGTCTGAGCGGTCTGGAGGAAGCCCCTGACCGGTAAGCCAGCGGGCGAAGCGGCTGCAAGAATGGCGACAGATTCGATCGATGCTGCATCAAAGTTGATAAGTCATGTCTGCCACTCTGGTTGTGCGTCTTCGCCAGCTTCTGTCCGCAGGATCGTCGTCGACTCGCTATCCTGGATGCGCTTGGTCGCGCTTCTCGCCATACTCTCTTCTCATACACACACAATTTGCACTTATTTTTCGATGATCGACTCGTGTATGACGGCCATATTTGGGCGAGAACCGCATCACAAATAGGTACGAGTCAGAGTTTGATATCCAGCATGTGCCGCGAGTCCACGCCGAGCAGGAGACCTTTGGCTGGAAGCGGCCGGACCCAAATCCGCCCCAGCCACGGCGAGCCGTCTTGAGATTCAGCGAGCAAGTCCTCTTTACCACGACGACACTGCTGGAGCTGGAATTTACCGAAACTTGTGTGGAGTCTCTCAAGGAACAAGTGCAGAGCCGATATGCGCGGATCAAGGCAAGTTACTGGCGATGTCGGCTGAGGGGGGGAGGGCTGTGGCTGTGTGTCCAGGAGGATCCGGCTGACAAACTATGCAGGGGAGCGAAAACACAATCCGCTGTGCTATTTGCATCAAAGGACTCACTTGCCGGACGACCCGCTGCAGACCGAGGTTGATGCGACGCAGGCAAGGCTCGATCTTTTGTGCGGCGTCATTCGGCGACGCAACCCCACTCTGGCCATTCTTCTCAACAAGATCCCGGTCCCTCCGACCTTCACCAAGATCCCGGCCTCGCTCCAATCGGTATCAGCGTCGATGTCGATGCCGACGCCTGGAGCCAAAATGTCGGCCTTAGGTGGCAAGGGCTCTACGCGGCTGCCGTCGCCCGAGCGCATACGACGAGACCACTGGGACGACGCTCCGGCCCATCCGATCCTGATGCATCCGACCCGCATCCCGATTCAGCTCAAGGACATTCTCAGGCCGCCTCGGCGCCGCGGAGTATCCAGAGCAGCCACTACCCGGGCTACGAGCGACTACCGGCACCACTGGAAGCGTGAGGAGGTTGGCTTATCGAGCTACCCGCTCAGCTACGGCGACATGGGCGTGGGGGGCAGCATCCTGCGGTCGTCGGTGGATCCCACAAGACGCACGGACCACAGACGAGGTCGTAAAAAGCCTCCCAAGGTCGTCCAAATCCAGGAACCAGTGCCAGGCGCCCACGAAACCAAGAAGGCACCCTCGTCCCCCTCGTTAGTGTCGCGGGTGTCCCGGCCGCTCTCAGCCCTGTCGGAGACGATGGAGTCGGGTAGGAGCGGTCGAGGCAGTAACAACCATGGCGGTAGTGGCGACCGAAACCAGACGAGGATGTCTCCGAGCCCAGGACATTGGTCGCCGAGCAAAGGACATCGATCGCCGAGCCCGAGAGGTCGATCGCCCAGTCGACCGGCGGCCCAAGCCCGAGATCGGATCCGAGAGGACCGCAAGTCCCCCGCGATTCCCATGAGCCCAACCAAACCTGAGCGACCCAAGTCAGCACCGAGTCGATCTGGCCAGGCGGCGGCGGCGGCTCCGATATCCTCTCGGATGTCGAGGCGGTCAGCAGCAGCAGCAACAGCAGCAGCAGCAACAGGATTGACGGCAGTGTCAATGAGGCAGTCGCCGATATTGTCTCCCGCCCTGCGTCCTGTTGCTTCCATTGCCCGGCCCGCTCCAGTATCGCCGATTCTCAAGTCTGCGTCGCCGCTGGTGCCACCGGCCACGAGCCCGGCTGGGACACCAATGACGACAAAACGAAGAGGAGTGACATGGAGCCGACCAGGTTCGGCGGCATCGAATTGGGCACCGGTCACAGCACGATCGACCGTGGAGACGGCAAGCAGACCCACTTCTCCTGGCGGTGTTCGGGATCCCAGTCAGCAACTTGAAACGGGGTACTTCGATCGGCGCGGTGCAGCCGTCAAGGGTCCCTATCCATCGCATTCGCACCAAACAGGGGCCGAGAGAGCGCCGAGGCTGGGGCGTGGCTTCTCCCCTGCGCTCCTGTCGGGACCAGAAGGACACCGGTTTGACTGGGTGAACACGTAGAGTAGGACCATATATAGAGATGTATATGCACGCTATAAAAGATGATCATGCACCGAACGAACGAACGGCACGCCACGCCACAGGCACGGCGCAAAGGGAAGCGGGACAGAGCGGGGCGAGGAGGGGAGGGGGTGAGGGCGAGGCTAGGCGAGACGAGGAGGGACGGGATCCAGACGAGCGCTCTCATCGGGCAAGCTGGAGGGGGTGGCCATGCCGTCAGATCCAAGCAGCAACAAGAGCACCAGGCGGGCGACGAGCGGAGCAGGCATCCTCAGCGAGAGGACAAATAGAGCTGGGAACGAAGATACCAAAGCAAGCACAGACAAGAAAAAGAGAGGGGAGGGGGGGGGTAAAAAACAAACACAAAAGACGAGCAGGAAGGAAACAAACGAAATAAAGCGGGAAGGGGTGGGGGAGGAGGGTTGATGAAGGACGGAGCAAGCGGAGGAAAGCATGGGTCGTGGACGCAAGACGGAAGCGAAACTACATAAAGTACATAACCTTGGTCAGCTCGGGCTTGACAGTTCCGTAGTTCATGACGCGCTCGCCAAAGCTGCTCATGCCGCTGCTGGCGACCGAGTTCAGGCTCATGGTGCTCATCTTCTTGCGCAGCTTCATGGTGACGTCGTTGGCCGAGGTCGCGCCGCCAGGGCCGATGGGTGAGGCGATGGCGCCGGTCATGGAATAGACACTGCCAGCCTCGCTGACGCTGGCGCTCTCGCTCCAGCCCTCACCCGTGGCGTGGAAACGAGCACGGGCGGCGACCAGGTGGGCGTAGTAGGCAGGAGGACAGACCGACACCGAGCGCGTGGCACGGCAGTACAGGTAGCACAGTCGGTAGGTGAGCTCTTGCAGGGCGTCGGGGAAGAAGCGATTCTCGTCGTAGAGAACGTGGTAGTGCGTGGGCTTGGAGGTGCCCTGGAGACCAGGGTGGGAGCACAGGTAAAAGTCAAACTCGGACGGGTGGGTGACACCGGTCTCGATGATTGTGCCGGGCAGGACGTTGCCGGACTTGTCCGAGTCCTCCTTGCGGATAGGGAAGAAGCGAGCGTGGTGGCGCTTCTGGACAATCACGTAGGTGATGGTCGGGCGATAGTTGGGATCCAAGACCGAGCAGGCGCGCTGGATGGCCTCGACTTCGTTGCGCAGGACCTCGCCGAACTGGCCCTCGGAAACGCCGTCGCGATAGAAGAGAATGCGATCGGGCTTGGCACCGCAGGTCTGGTAAAAGGTCTTGAGCAGCTCAATGACCATGCCGGTGAGATCCTGGATGCTGTCCTGGCGGCCCTTTTGAACGCGGATGGCGGCGGCATAGCGCGAGCACTGGGCATCCATGGAGCCAACGAGAGCAGCAATCGACTGGGTGGACGAGGATCCGGGGGCGGGGTGCTGGATTGGCGAGCAGATCGTGAGTGGGGAGCGTGATCATTGGTCATAACAGAAAGAGCATCGATTGTGAGTATCATGGGCGACAAGTACAGCAACGTCCGACCGCCAACTTGCAGGCAGGGGGGGGGCGCGAGCAATGCTGAACACACGATCCAAAGCCACTTACAGTTACATCGGCGCCAAAGACAATGGTAGGGCGTTCGCTGATGAAGGGAAGCTGCGTGTTGGAGAGGTACGAGTTCATGCCGCCGAGCTTGACGTTGATCTTGAGACAGACGTTGGCACAGTACTGGCGCTTGGCCGCAAACATGTGCTTGGCCTGAATGCACTGGGTAGCAATGCCAATGACCGTGTCGGAGACACGCTTGATTTCGGCATAGAGCGGCACACCCGTGTTGGGCAGCACGCAGACAATCAGCTGGGGCCGCTCCTGGAACGAGTTGCCGGCCACCATGTAGGCGTCGATGAGGGTCTTCTCGACGTTGCCCTGCGGGTTGGCATACGAAATCGGAGGCTGACGGTTCTGGATAAAGACACCGCACTCTTCGCAGGTCTGCACCAGAAGCGTGACGAACTTTTGGACGGCGCCGACGGGGTAGTCGGCCTCAGAGCCAAAGGCAACGACGGACCAAGAGCGGATGATGACACCCTGGGCCACCATCTTGTCGCGGAGGTTCCAGGCGCCTTCACGTGGGGTGATGACGGGCTCCTTGGAGGCGGGATGGTACGAGATCGAGGGCGCCGGCAGCACACGGGCATTAACGATCGCCATCTCGTGGCCAATCTGCACACCAAAGTCCTTGAGGTAGTCGTTGTCGCGCTGCTGCAGAATGGTGATGCCGGCCGAAATCTTGTTGGAGCGGACGTGCGGGGGCTGGCAAGTGAACTTGATCATCTCGGCCGTCTGCGCACGCAATGAACACCGACGCAGCACGAATGAAGAACCGGGTCAGAGAATGTTGTTGCAGACAAGCGAGACCAGCGGCAGGAGACAGGAGGCAGTAGGGGCAGAGGTAGCAGGCAACTGGGGGCTGTTGAGCAGTCGCAAGCAATCGCTGAAGCGATTTCGAGCACACACAGGACGTCGCGGGCAGTGGGCATCGGACCACAGCCGACCATGGCAACATTTGCTTACCTGGCGCTCGTTCAGCTTGCGCAGATGACGCTGGCCCGGGATGATCTCGCAAACCTCCAGCGGAAGGTAGACGTGCTTGCTCGGATCGCCGACAACCAAGCACGGCAGATGAGGGAAGTACAGGTGGCGGTTGTATTTGGCCTGGAAGTAGCTGGCAACCGACTCTTCGGTGCCGGTCGCGCCCGTGGCAGCATCTTGACCGACGACGAACATGGTGCGGTTGGCGGGGGTGCTGGTGAGCTTGGCGATGCGGTATTTGCGGCGGACCTGGCCACGATGGGTGACGACGACCTTGAGGCCCTTGAGGGTCTTTTCGAGCTTCTGGCGATCCTTGTCTGAGAGGATGGAGCGAAGCTCGCCGGCGGATTGCTTGCCGAGGATCTTGGCAACAATCTCGACGACGGGGCCTGGGTAGACAAAGGAAGGGGGAGTGGGGTGAGCAGAGCAGTTTAACAAACGGAGACGATCGAAAGTGGCACGGCTCGATGGCGTTTGATCGACGTCGAGATGGGGGCCAGGTGAATGAATGACATAGACGAAGAGGAAAAGAGGGCCAAGGACAGCGGATGAAGGATTCAAGATAAGCTGCTTGCTAGATCGTCGAGAACGCAACACATACCCGTCTGATAAAAGGCGGTGGCGGAGACATCGAGGTTGATCAGCATCTGGCCGCGGGCAGGACGCAGACTCTGGTGGAATCCCTGCCAGAGCTGAGCACCGTTCGCAATCATGGCGGCCGAATCGGAGGTGTAGAAGCAGCGGCCGACGGTGGTGTACATCAGAGAGGGACGGTGGCGGAGGAGAATGTCGAGGGCGCCGATGGCATCCAAAGGAGTTTCCGAGAGACGGCCATCCAAGAACAGGCTGAGGCGGGACATGTTGATTTCGCCAATCTTGGCAATGGTCAGCTTGAACTTTTTGGAGCTGCGGCAGGGAGGAATCGTAAAGAGCAGCCCGATAAGAACGCTGGCAATAAGCACGGGGTGACCCGGCGAAAGCGACCCCTAAATTTCGGTTTATGGACAGCTGCGCCTGTCTGCTGACGCGCCACGAACCTCTTGCGACCATCGACCAGATCCGTCGAGGTGTTGTCGGTAGTCGACAGGGTGGGCACAGGCTGGGGCGAAACTGGGCTTCTGGGCTTGGTCGGAGAGCCAGTGCCAGTGAGGCTAGGGCTGAAAGCGACCGACCGACCGAGAGGGGACGTCGATCAAGTGGGCGATATCAAGGCGGTCGATGGAGGGGCAATGGAACAGCCGAGGGAAGGGCGTGATATGGGGTCGGGTGGATGCACAGCAGAGCCGATTTGAAGTTGGTGAGACATATTGTGAGCGTTTGGGCCAGCGAGGCGAGTGTGGGGAAAACGGGAACTCGCCCCGGGGCTCATCAGGAGGTACTGGGAGAGCGCTCACGGGTGCAACATGCGGCAACAGCACACCAGCAACGCCAAACGAACCTCTTCCAATCCTCGTCCTCATAGTAGTCCAAGTAGTAAACAACGGAATCAGACTCCATGGGAATGGGTCTGGATGTAAACATGTGCTTTCGTCCGTCATAGATGGGTCGAACGCCGTTGAGGGTGCCGGCGATGATGGAAGCCTCCTCCCAGAGACGGATGACCCTTCTGTTCTTGGCGGGAGGAACATCGGGGTAGATCGTGACCTCGTACTGGTGGACGTTTTGGTTCGGAAGGGTCAGGATGGGGAAGAAGTTGGAGCGGACCTGGATGGGCCGTCCAGAGCCACCGATGCCAGGTCGGGTGGGGAACTGGAGCATAGTGCTTAGAGGTTCTGGGAAAGGGGGGGGGTTGAGGCCTTTGGGGGGGGGTTTGATTCCACTCTAGTGAAGGGGCGAACAGGGGTCTGTAGGGAGGCGGTGCGAGCGTTGTGTCAGCGATAATCAAGAGTGCGGCATGACAGGGCTGCGAATCAGAAAGCGACGGAACAGAGGACAGAAGACAGAAGAACGGAAACAGAAGCATGGCGGGATGCGATCGGAAGCCATCGCAGGGCCGATGATGGCAACAGCCAGGAACGCACCTGAGCGGAGGTTGGGTTGGGGAGAAGCGTGAGCGGCAGAGAAGATATTAGTATGGATGGTGCTGAAGCTCGCCGGGGCAGAAGACGATGGGAAAACGGAAGCCAAGGACAGACGAGACCGAGGGAAGGGCGATGGAGAAGGCAGCCAACAGGGTCCAGCGGGGAAGAGGAGCGGGAGAGAAACGGCGGTGGGAGCGAGGAGCAGACGGAAATGCCCAGCAGAGCGACGGCGGCCACGAAGGTCACGACGGCCACGACGGCCGCGACGGTAAGGCACTCGGGGATAAACAAAGGTCGGACATGGCAAAGACGGATTGGGCGATCGAGCATGAGCGGCATGGGGAGGGGGATCCGAGGATGTCCAGGCGGCAAGAGGGGATATGGACGCAGAAGGGCGGCCACATTGGGTCGTCCGTATGTGCAGCCAGAGAGCCAAGCCAGGGTATCAAATCGAAGGTATGAAAGGCATCAAGAGCATCAAATCAAATATCAAAAGTATCAAGCCAGAGTATCAAGCCATCTGGGAGCGTTACCTGTTCCAAAAGGCCCTCCGTTCACTCAGGTTGCGCTCGGGATGGAATCGAAAGGCGACGGCGAGGCAAAGCCGAAGAAAAATGGCGATCCGGCGGCGTGGCCTCGGTGCGCTCTCGGTGCGCTCTCGGTGCGCTCTCGGTGCGCTCTCGCCCGGCCCGGCGAGGACAGCGCAACAGAATTGTGTCACAACAGAAGCCGCACAGAGAAAGCAGGCTCCCCACAGTCCGAGCCACGGCACACAATGGCGCCAAAACTCGCGTCCGTGAAACCGTGTGCGGCGCGCGGTGCCTGATTTGGCAAGCAGCTATGCAGTGCTGTCCGAACGAAGTACAGACAAGATCGCGTTACTGAACAGGATAATGTGCCATGTGCGAGGAAATGAGACGGCGAGACATTGTGAGGCTCAATGTGGCTATGAAAGCCAATGCTGGCCGGCGTCGGGCTGGGCAGTTTTTGATGGATTGGTGGCTTGTATCGACGGCGAGTCGGTCGTGGCCGGAATCAGCACGATCTTGGCCGGGCTGTGCTTGTCGAGAGCTCGATCGGATCGACGGCGATCATCACTGGTTGTTCGACAACGAGGCCCTCCGGAGCGGGAACAGATAGTCCAAATAAACCGAGGCAGATCCACCCGACTGTATTTCATTCCAGTTGATTTCATAGGATTTGATTCGATTTCAGTCCGTTCATTGGAGCGAGGATGACAGAGTGGGCGATGAGATGGAGAGTGTGGACCGACGTGAGATGGGATTACTTGGATCGGGATCGGCACAACGGAGGAACTGAGGCATGCTGGCCAGGACAAACACAACCCTCGATGCAATCCATTCGCGTGTGCAGGAACATCCTCGGGGCTGTGGGTGGCGAGGCCGATCGAATCGGGTGGCAGTGCGACACAGCCACTTGCTCAGCCACCACGGCCCTGTGTCGCCAAACGCGTCTCCACTCCGCGTTGGTGCGAGGGTGTCGTGTCCTTCTGCGCACACACAGAATGTTCCAATGTCGTTGCATCCTGTGCCGCGCTCTCGCCACATGACCCAGAACGACGAGGCTGCGTCTTGTGCTTTTATGGAGCTCATCAACAACTTTGTCTCACGATCGGACCTCCTCAACCTGAAGCAATGGAATCTCTTGTTTGTCTTTGTCGATGTATTCGCTCTTGAAAGCGGAGCCGGTCAGTTTATGCAAGCCCCGTCCAGGTTCCAACTCGACTTCAGCAAAACCAATGTGCTGGTCAACATGGAAGGATTCGACAGCACCGGAAAGTATTCACTTGTGCGGTCCACCAGCTCTTGGGCCTCCAGTCTCTTTTCCAGAACCGCGCCCCATCCAAACGGTAACTCCCTCACCCAGAAAGCCATGGCAAGCGACGACAACTTCACCATCTTGGATTGCATTCCACTTGGACAGTCACTTCGCGCCATCGAGCTGACCCCCATAGACCCTCGCTCTGTCCACAGCACCATGGGTCGATTTTCCACCTACATCCAACCGGGTGTCCTCCAGCATCTCGGCGACAACGTGGCGGCTTTTGCAAACCAAGTCCTCCTGCTGGATCCAGCCTCGATTCCGCCCACTTCTTCTGCCACACCTACCAACTCATACGGCACTGCGACTTCGATTGTGATACCGGGACAGTATTATGCCTCGTTCTTTGATTGGTTCATGGTCACCACATCCTTCTCCACCATCGGTATCGCCACAGCTGCATCCGCGGGGTGCTCCGTTGTCATCATTGCTCTCGTTGGATCGATCTTCAAGCGTCGGATCAAGATCGGTACTCGCACCATCCAACATGTCCTCAAGGATCTGCTCATTGGCTTGGCTTGGCTGGTTACCAAATCAGTTGCTGCATTAGCTGCTGTTTTAATAATGACACTCATTTCTGGCTCGACTTTGCCATGGAATTCACCATTCCGATTCGCATACTACATGGTGTTCCAAGGTCTTTCGGCCGTCGTCCCTTGGGCTGCGATGAATGCGGTATTATTCCATTATGAGATGAAGCGATCCCACCATGATGGCCAAGATACCCGCCTGACCTGTTCGTGTCGTTACTCAAGCCAGTACCTCCATCCTACGAGGATATCGAACTCGCCGATAGGGAGCACCCCGAGCAGCTCCCGATGTATGAAGTCCCGGTAGCGCCGCCCGGCAATCTCGCTGCGACCAACACACATGCCTCGAATAGTGTCCCCGACTCTGCCTCGTCCGAGTCGCATTCCAACGCCGATCTGGTGTACTTTGCCGGGCCTCTTGCCAACTCGGCTCTGTCGACTGCTGGAACATCCGAGTCCGTCGATGCCGATGCTGCTGTGGGTTCTTCTGCCAGAGCCACCGACACAGTGCCAGTCACCTCCATCGGCCATCCCGCATTCTCGAACGATCCTCCTGCTAGACCCCGCTTTGTCTATGGATACGCCAACTTTATCGATCTTGCGGTCCTCGCCATCTTCCACACACTCATGTGCATCGTCTCAGTGTTCATCTTCCCGGACATTGCCCTCATCCCAGTGGCCAGCCTCATCGTGGTCACAGTGGTCCTGTTGCTCGACCTGGCCTACGTCCACCTCGAACAGCGATTGATTGAGCCTGAAGACAGCCCGCGAAACAATGCACGCACACATCAAGGCACTGGGCCGTTTGGCAGCGAGCGTCGACGATGTGTTGCAACACTCATTTACTTTACTTTCCGACACGTTATCCTGCTGCTGCCGCTGCTGGTTGTCTTCCCGATATTCATGACTACGAGCGAAGTATTCGCTTATAACTGCAGTATCGTTCACTCCCAACCCCAGCATCGTCCTTCCTGTGTACAGTGTACTGTTGCTGATGCCGAATCTTGATCCGTTGATGCTGTCGCTCAAGAGCTTCCAGAAGCCATTCGCCATTACGCACCGGCATTCTCTATGCCGTCCTTACATTTGGGATGGTTTTGCTTATTCTGGCCTAGTGCAGCTGATCCCCGACGAATGCTGCATGTCTTCTCATCCTATCTGTCACGAACTGAACTTAGGGCCTGCTCACACTGTCCCCATTCGGGGTTTGGTTTCGATCGTTGGAGGATGCGACTCCAAATACAATTGGACGAGTGACATCGATGGTAATCGACTCTTGCACCTCTTGATTCCATGATTCGGAGAGTTGCAGAGAAGAGGACAGAGCTTGGCTTGTGCTGATACGCCGAGACCCTGGATGAGAGGGATTGAAGGACTGCTCTTCCCTTCCGGTCGTTCGCGGATGCCGAAGGAGGGCTGTTGGGTGGGTGGATGGAAGGCAGGTCAGCCCACGCCACCCATCGGTTGTGGAACTGCATTAGTCCTTGGTGCTACTGCATTAGCCTGTGTTACTGCATTATCGGAGCAGAGACAGACACCCACAGATGCCACCAGCGACAGCCGAGCAGCGACAGCCAATGCCAGAGTGGCAGGTGGGACCACTCGCCCCAGGTTCCACAGACGCGAACCCCGAACCAGTCATGGCCATTCCGATCGGCGAGGGGGTGAATCTGCATGCCATACCACATCCCACATCCCACATCCCACATCCCACATCCCACACCCATCCCGCCGCATCTCGTCTTGCCTGCCCCTTTCCCTCTCCTCGTCCTCTTCCTCCCCCGATCTCCCCTGCTCCGTCGCATCCGCCACCAAATGGCCTCGAGCTCCAGTCTCCCGGCCAAGTCGTTGATGGATGTGGATGTCGATATGGATGTGGATGACACAACCTCGAAAGGCCCTGTCCAGCAAACCCAGCCCGAGCCGTCAAGGCACGGCACCCTCCAAACCAGCCGACTCCCTTGGTCCCTGGCTCCATCCCATCGAGTGTCTCATCAACGGCGCCCTGCGACGATGCCCGATGCCCTCCTGATCAACACATACGAGAGCGGTGCCTCCGAGCGACACTCCTATCGCCAGGTGTGGAGGAGAGCATACTCGATCGCCCAGGGGCTCAGGGCCCTCGCCGGCTGGGACGACTGCAGACCACGAGGTCATCGGCACCTTCTGCGAGTCCGAGGTCAACTGGGTGTTCTATTCCCTTGCAGTGTGGATGCTTGGCAAGTGAGTGCTTGCTTGGATGCGATCGAGGGCGAGTCCCGCTGCATCCTGTCGTCTGCTGCTTGCTTGCTCCACACATCCGCCACCAGCACTGTCGATCCAGTGCCATCGTTCATGCTCTGTCCTGGCTTGTGATGCCCTGACT